AGTCTTTCAGTAAGTCAGCTAATAGGCAAGTCAGCAAGTCAGTGGATCAGTCATTTACTTCGTCAGTAGGTCTGTGAGTAAGTCTGCCAATTGATAGGTGAGTCAGTATGTCAGTCATTTACTTCATCAGTAAGTCAGTCACTGAGTCAGCAAGTATGCAAGTCAGTCAGCCAGTTGATAAGTGAGTCAATAAGTCAGTCATGAACTCAGTCAGTAAGTCAGTCACTGAGTCAGTGAGTCTGTGAGTCTGTGAGTCGATCAGCCAGTTGAAAGCTGAGGCAGTAAGTCTGTGAGTCAGTCAGCTGGTTGATAGCTGAGACAGTAAGTCAGTCAGTTACTCATTCAGTTGGTCAGTTGATGATTCAGCCAGTAAGTGGGCAAGAGATTGGAAGAGTGAGTGAGTGAGTGGGTTAATGGGTGAGTCAGTCTGTTGGTTGGTTAGCCAGTCATCAAGTAACTCTGTCAGTCAGTTTAACTTTTAAAACGATCTGTTGCTCCATTTTCCTGCCTAGTATTTGCTAATCATAGCTGCAGCTGTACACATATTTGAACAGTTATTTGAAATAACAACTCACTTGGGAGAAAACTTTAAATGCACATCATTTAAGCCCAAGATGTGAACAAATCCTTGATACTCTTCTTTTTCTGGCTGCCCTTTGCTGTCTTTGATCCTCACCAAGATCTGGTCACCCCTTACAACTGATGGTCGATTCTCTGCAAGTCCAGGTACCTGAGGAAAAAAAAAACACCATCAACACAAAATAATCACTGCCTGTGGTCTATATTGCCTCAGTTTAACTTAGTCTAAGTCATATTGTGTTATGATGTTTTATCAAAATTCTGTAACACTACATGTATAATTAGTAATTATTATAGTGGAGCTCGCAGAGCATAGCCCCATTATTATACAAAATAGTAGTAACCCATCAAGCTGGAAAAAATTTGGATGTACGACCATACGACTGTATGACCGTACAAGGTGCATCTTTCAACATGCGTGGTCAACTATACTGCGGGCACACCAATGCCATGGCTTTGTTCAGTAGTCCAGTGGTCAGTGCACTGGGCACCGAGTCGGACGACCCGGGTTCTAGTCCTGGCCGGGGCAAGGCATTGTGCACTCAAGACATGCGGGAAAAAAAAAGTGTGAGCTCTGCTTTTAGGCTTGGCTAAATCTATATATTACTACCTTTAGGACAAGAAACCCTCCTTGAGTTGATGGGTTAAGAAATACATCCTCCATGTCATAATGACGAATGTCAACTTCCATTTGAAGTTCTTCAATGTAAAGAAGTGAAGCAAACTTTTGAGAATATTCTTGCAGCTGTGGTCCAACTTCAAGCTCCAAGAGGTTTGTTAATTCTTCTCCAGGTTTGCCTTGATTTAATCCCAGACGCAATTGAAAGGGGATGTGGTAGTCTTTGAGAGGAGTGGCAAACCGCAGTTTATTGTCAGGTCTGTGTTGAAAATGAAGATCATGATAGATTTATTTAATGTTAGTAATGGATTTTATTGTGATCAATTCTGTGATTGGTGGATTTAGCTGAATGGACTTTGTATGATTGGCTGCTTCAACTGTCTGATTACACTATACAGAATGATTAGTGAAACTGAAAGAAAGCTAGTAATGCACCAATCACATTTGAGGAAATTGCAATGGTTATGATAAGTACTCTAATAAGACACTGTTGGTACTATGCTTGTTATTAGACAGTTTACATGTAATAGGACAGTTCATGCATCTAATTCATTCTTGAGTGACTGGATGGTAGAGAATCATCGATTTTGTCCTGTTCAAAAGATTAGTGGTTATAACCCAATAATAGAGAGTTCGGCAGAAGGGTTTTAAAGAAGCTCAAATTTCCTTGGTTTTTTTTTTTACAATTTGTTTATTTTTTTTTTCCAAATTATTTACTAACTTTGCATTGTCCAATTCTGTCTGTAGTCACAATTGTCTTACTAGTGTTAAACAAATGAGGCTCTGAACTTGCAATGGTACAATTTTTTTTTATCACTCATTAAATGAAAACATTATTTGCACCTCTGCACAAGTTTCTTTGCCTGTGGGAAAGTACTGTATGAGGCCTTGAGCAACACAAGCCATTAAAAAGTCTACCAAAGGGCTAAGCACTGAGAATGAGTGCCTGACCCCCAATAAGCCTCTCCCTGATTCGTCCAGCTGCGCTATAAATTGGTCATTTTATAGTTGGGTAGCCTTTGATTTGGAGTGAGGCTCAGGTTGTCACCATGTTGTGATAGAGATCAGTATCTAGTAAGCATGATAAAAAAAAAGTAATTTACATTTGAAATGCAGCAAGGTTTGTATCATAACAAGGTCACACTTAGCTTCACCCCTGTTCAAAGGCTTGGCAACTAAGCATGCAACTGTAAAATGGACTATTCTCACTGATAATTTTTTCTTTTTGCCAACATACCGTGGGGGAGGTATTCCACCTATGATTTGAACTTTGGGATCCACCACTCTTGCTACAGCCTTGGGATGCCGATACTTGTGTACAGGAAGGATGCTCTTGACATCCTCATTAGTCCCTTGTCCAGTTAAGAACCGCGCTATGTGATATGTCTGAGCTGTATCCCCTTCCTCTTCAAATTCAAATACAATCAGCTGCTTAAATTCTCCTAAACGGCTTGGTTTAAAAAGTGCTGATATCTTGTAAGATTTCCCAGCAGGTAGTTTGATGACTTTATTGACTTTTCCAGCAACTGTGACACTGTGTTTATCTGAGAGCATAAAATCACTCACAGATTCCAAGGCGACAAATCGCTTCAGTTTAACGGCATTGGTTCCTGCGTTGTTCACAGTAATTTCTGTGATTTGTGCACTATCTGTCAAATGCATTTGGCCAAAGTCTATCACACCATGTTCCCTGTCCAAATCGGAACAAACCCTTACTCCATTTTTGTCTTGGACGAATGATTCTCTGCATAGAGAACAATATGAAGAAACTCTCAGATTGTTGAGCCTTCCATTCTAAAAAACTGATGAACATGTATTTTCTCCCTTTAATATCCATACTTTATCCAGCAAACAGGTAATGGGAATACTCAAGCTTATCAGGTGGAAGTTTTTATCTTTATCTAACAGCAAATTCCTTCAACTAATTTACAGGGAAACATGTAGCAGCTAGAGGGGAGAATTAATAGGCTTTAATGAGTTTTACTTAATATGTATAGCATTAAACAACTGAGTGTAGTTTGTCTGTTCAGTAGTAGATCACAGATAATGTCAAAGTAGCATTAGAAAAAAATAAGTGGTCATCGATTTTCATACCATACCATGAATGACCAAGACAGAATTTCTCTTTACTATATCTATGCAAAATCATGCAGACAAGTAATGAGAATTGAGAAAAATATCAATTATGGGATTATTAATTGATCCGATACCAGATTCTCCAAACTAACATATGAGAATCATTTGGCAGACAGGAAGGAGAATTACTAATGAGATCTTGGGAGTTAGAGGGTTAACTGTATAGACCCATAGTGGTATAGAATTGATTTATGGTAAAAAAAAAAAAAAGCAAAATGCTGCCGATGGTGACATCATCTATGTGTCTGTCCTTGAATAGAGCATGATGGCCAACCAATCTATATACAGATTATAATTCCACATTCTATGTAAAACACTACTTATACCCAGGACTACTCTCACTCAGAGCACACAGTCAGAGGTAACATCAGCAACCTGACTTACTTGTGTTTGAGAAATAACTTTTTTAACTCCATCACAGGATCATCGTCATCATGTTCTGTAAGCTTTTCCTTCTCTGTTTCATCAATATCCTTCTCATGATCTTCTCCCTTCACTTTGGACGCATTTTTTTGCTTGCGCTGTACAAAAGACTGGTCAACAGCCAGGACCAGACGTCGGCCCTTGCGTTCAAAGTATAACAATGTGTCAGAACCATCTTTACTCTTGACTAATTTCTTCATTCGTTTCAGTTGAAATAAGATGGTGGAGAAAGACACTGTAGGTGACGAACGATCCAATGTTTTCTTGAACTGATCATAGTACACTTGTCTGAGCTCCAGTTTTGTTGATGGCCTGAGACGCTCTGTTGACAAGAACTTCCAAAACTGTTTTGTGACATTCTTTTTATATTCATTTCCTGCTTGAGGCATTTTTGTTTAATAATTCCTGTTCAAGATAAAAAAAAAAAGGGTTTAGAGAGAGACCCAGTTTAAAATCTTTCGACCCCTTAAACTGACTAACATCTAATTTCTCTTTACCATATCACCCCTGAATCAAACATTATGGTCACAATAATAAAGGAGTAATAAAGTAGTGCAGATCTCGGCAAGATTTTCGCACAACTCCATCATCAATTATGCATACCTTTCTAGCATAAAGGAAACTATGGCAAAAACAATAAATTGCCTTTGGGACTACGGCTTTGTTTTGGAATATTCTGAGGCTATTCGGAATCTTTTTAGGCCGGCATGAAAAAATATCCGGTTTACTTGAGATCCATCCATCATCTGATTCAAAGTCGGATAAAAAAATATATATATTTATATATTTATCTCGTCTGTTAGATTGATTGGAGTAAACTGCACACATCAAGGTTCTGATTCGCATATATATAGAAAACATATAGCTTTGTGAAAATAATATGCTTAGAGCACTATGCGGAAGTATAATAACGCAGAAAAGAACATTACCTTGAACAAGGCTTTCCCTACCTTTTAGAGTGATCGATAAAATCCAAATTCCAATTTTTAAAGACGATTAAATTCGTAGGCGATTAATTCGATCGCTTTATCATAAACGTTGAAATATTATAAATAGAATAAATAAATATAGAAAATTTTCTTTTTGAGAAAATTTACAAAGAGAAAATCAAGATTGGCTGAATTAAATTGCGTTCATAGAATTTTCAGGAAAACAACTGGCGGGCGCCATATTGAATTCCCGGGATCCGGAAGTTGACAGTGCATCGAGGCTACATCAACTGCATGGCTTTCTGGGAGGAAGTGGCTATTTCCAAGATGGCGCAGTCCTTGTCAGATGAAGAGTTTTCTCGAATGCAGGTACTATGACTTAACATCAATAACCGACTTGATTCAATAATAATCATTTTATTATTATTTGTCCTTTTTGCCTTATAGACACAGCTCATCGAGCTGCGTACCTTGAATTACGAGCTGGAGTCTAATTGTCAAAGACAACAGACAGGTCTGTCCGTGATCAATATTTTTGATTTCGTTGTAAATCGCTTTAATTTAAGAGTAATTATTTCCGTGATCATTCTTTTAAACGAAGTAGGAAATGAGCGATACTGAGTCAGCATGGTTCAGACTCAGGGTTTCGACGTAAACTTGTGTTAATCTTGAGCTGCTGCAAGACGAAGCTAAACTATCATAAATTAAATTTGCAACACGGAAAATTTTAAGTTTGTGCATGCAGGCGTAGTTGTTCGATTCTTAGAAAAAAATAGACTTAAAATCTCTTGTCTTTGTCCTTTATTCCATTTGAAATTTGAATACTGCTTTGAATTTATCAATTTATGAGAATTCACTTAGAACAATCCCCAAGGTTATACCAATTTAAAACAATCTCTAACCCTTTAAACCCTAACATCAGTGTCTATATTCTCCATACTTTTCTCCACATATTTCCTTTGGTACTGACCAGGAGAATTTGTTTAACGATCTAAGCTGCTTAAGTTGGCAATCATTTCCTTATTCTCATGATATTAATGAAAGATTCAACAGTAATAGTTTAGGAAGAAACTAGGTGTTAATCATTCTTAGGGTTTAAAGTGTTAAAATTTATTCTCTGCACTGAAGATTACAAAACAAGGACTGGGAATGATCTTACATGAGTCTTCGTTGCTGTCCAGCAAGGTGCTTTAAGACCAGTCTTTCCTGAATGTGTTGTGTCACCTTTTTGTACTCTTGGTTGGAGAAAGACTAGTTTTCAAGTAAATTTCTTGCACAAGAAAACAACACAGTGACTCAACTAGGGCTCTTACCTAGATCCCTCAATCAAATTTTGTCTTTGCCAGGTCTTGCAATTGCAATGAATCGAGGGGAGAGAATATCTTGAAGTTTTAATGTTTTCTTTCTGATTCTCAGAACTGGGTCAGCTTCAAGAAAAATACAATAATCAGGAAAAAGAATTACAGAAAGCTAACAAGGTAAGTCTGTGCTCATCAGGAACACTCCAGGGTTTTTTTTTTAATTTACCTTGATTGCTTGTTAGAAATTTTTCTACAGAAACAATCAGAAATCATTCTTTCTTCATGCATGATAATTTAGCACATGTTAAATTATATTATTTTTACTGGTTTTACAGATCATAAACAAAAGCAAAAACAGAAAGGTATGTTCATCTTTTTTTTGATAAATTGAACACTGGTTACTGTGTGATAAAAAAAGTTTACAATTGATATTGTAATATTAATTTTTTTAGTCAAATGTATTCTGCTGTGTTCTGTAATACATTAAGCATGTTTGAACCAGGCCTTTTTTTGTTTAAGGAATATGCAGTTCTTTTGGAAGAAAATGAAAATTTGCAAAGGCAGTTTCAGGTGTGTTTTTTCGAAATGAGTATAATTTGTTCTTGCAATGGTGATGTTTCATCTTTCCTTTCAAACTATGTTAATTCATGAACAGTTTTGTTACAAGACATGAGATTTTTCAGTGATGCAACTTTTTGTCGACTTGAATGCCTTTGAGTTGATGATTTTCATGTTTTGGATGTTTTTAATACAACTGAATTTTTTACTTTCAGGCGCAAGAGGAAAATTTTAAGTTGCAAAACCAAACCCTTCTTGAGGAGATAAGCAAGGTAATGTGCATACTTTTCTTTTTTTTGTGACAAGAATGGCTTGTTAATGAGAAGTTGTCAGTCAATGATTAAATCCATCCATCCGCTAGTCAGTTATGCAGTCAGTCTGTCAACAGACCAGCAGATCAATCAGTCAATCAGTCAGAGTCAGTTAGTGAGTTGGTCAATCAGTCAGTCTGTCAACCAGTCTGCTAACCAGCTAGACAGTTTGTCAGTCAATCAGTCAATTAGTCAGACAATCAGTCAGTGAGTCAGTCAATCAGTCAGTCAGCGAGTCAGTCAATCAATCAATCCATCAGCCAGTCTGCTAACCAGCTAGACAGTCAGTCAGTCAATTGGTCAATTAGTTAGACAATCAGTCAGTCAGTCAGTCAGTCAGTCAGTCAATCAGTTGGTCAGGTAGTTAATCAGTCAGTCAGTCTGTTAGTTAATCATTAAGTCTATGAGTCAGTCATTTTGATTTTCAGTCATTTTGTCAGTCAGATGTACCATTCCAGTCTTACAATCAGTCACTCAGGCAGACAAGCAATTACTCAGCCATGCCATTTTTAGTTGGCCAGTCAATCAGTCTTGCAATGGGGTGGGTTTGCTATCTATGTAATCACTGAACTTTGTAGAGTATTCACTTTATGTCACATGTGTGCATGTACCTCAATTTTTTTTTTTAATTGAAATCCAGTTAAATGATGACAATGAAAAACTCCAAAGACAAGTAACAACAAAAGATGGTAGCCAGGACTCAGGTTCTGATGCAGAGTTGAGGAGACTAAGAGCAGAAAATGCTGCTTTGCAGAAAAGTTTGACAAGTACGTGTACTAAACTAACGCAGAGATATGACATTAGATCCCAACCATTTGTGATATTGTGGAAAACTTTTGAAAAGCTTAAATTATCAGTTTCTTCACCAATCTTTTTATATTTACCTACGTCTTGGCTCATAGAAATATGAGTCATTTGAAACATTGTGGTTCTCTGTGTGTTCATAACGTTATTTTTCTCCCTCCTGAAGTTTTCATTAGCTTGGAGTATAAACCCTGTAACTCCCAAGATCTCTTTAGTAATTCTCCTTACTGTCTGCTATACAGTTCTTGTGATGTTAGTTTGGAGAATTTGGTATTGGATCAACTAATAATCCCCTAATTAAGATTTTTCTTTTTACTCATCATTTGTCTGCTTGATATTGTATTGAAAATTGTAAGGAGAAATTCTGTCTTGGTCACTCATGGGAGTTAAAGGGTTAAGTGTTTATGTAGAGTATCAGCAGTTCCTCTTTTTGGGTGAGGTCTGGCGTTTGAGTTATAGAGAAGAAAAATCAGCTAGAAAAAAATTTATGTCAGCTGGCCGTGCAGAAATATTGGAGTTAAGTGCATCACCCCCAGAGGTCAGCACAGCATGCTATCATCGATTTTGTTTTTTATAGAAATAAGAGAGATGGTAAATTTTGAGCTTGGTAAAGAAATAAAGAAAGATGTTTTTCGTCTCGTCACAAGCATGGGACAAAGAAAAAATTCTGAGTCCCAATAAGGAATTGAAACCTCAGACCTTTCCTGAAGGTCTGAGGTTCAATTCCTCTGGTCCCCACCCACGTGATAAGACAAAAAACATCTTTCTTTGATTTTGTTTTTTGTTTATTTTTTCCTACTCACTTGACAGTTTTTGATTAAAAGGAGGGGCTTTTGTAGTGTGTTCTTCAACTTGTTTGTATAATTATTATCAATTAAATTACAATAATTATATCAACTTTTCAATTTGTCTGTGCACCATAGATTCCCAACAGAGGCATGAGGACGAATTGATGCAATTACAAGAAAAACTCCAATCCCTCTCTGATGACCATGATAATGACAGCTGCCAATCAGCAGATGCAGGTGAAAATGATGCCGAAGAGTTGCCAGCCAATGGAGAAACACATGGAGATGAAAATAAAGATGCTGTAAATGAAAGTGGACAGGCTAAAACATCAAAACAAAAACTTCATGAAATTTTAAACGTGGAATTGTCAGCATTTTGTGAAAAAATGTGTAGCAGTGAAACTGGTGATGTGTCTAAGGAGGCAGAAACAAACCAAAGGCATGAAGTTGCCAAGGGTGTGGATGAGAATTTAAGTGTAGTGGATGGCGCTGAAACAGAGAGCAATGCACCTGGAACAGCAATGTTTGACTCCACAGATAAGAAGTCAGGCAATGAGGATTTTATTGAAGAGATAGACAATTTGAAAAGGAAACTTGCTGATAGTTTGTTTCATTTTGTTTCTTCAAATGAAGGTAAGATTTTTGCAAAGTTTTTTCCCCTGAATGTCTGCTCCGGAAATCTTTTTTTCTGAGGAATTGCAAGTTAGCTCTGTGAAGTCTTACTTAACTTATAGATTAATGATGTCGGCGGGTTTTACAAAGTAAGAGATTTATGAATCAATATGTAGATGAAAATCTTAAGGGCGTCATGTATAATGGCCGCAATTTCACAGCTCATATCATCATACATCACATGTACTGTCCTTATGAAGATTAGGTTTACGCTCGTTTCGTCGACGTGCGGTTCTCGAGTTCCATCTCGGCAACAACTCGGGACGATTCGATTGATACGTCGGCGAAAGGACCGGATGTTGAAGATTACGAGATGTCATGAAAGGCAGCGTTTCGTCTTGGCATATGAATTTATGGAATTTTCAAACAAACTCGTTCAACATCGCACTCAAAGTCCCGTTCGAAAGTTCAAGCTGTTAGCAATCCGGCTCTCTATCGCGAAAGGTCTCCCACTGCGATAGTGAACCAGGAAGCTGACAACTTGGTGAACAGGACTCAGAGCGAGTCTCTCGGCCAAGACGATACGCTGTGTCGTACCAACTAAAAAATACATGTATGTTCCTCAACCTAGAAAAGATCCTTAAATTGCAGAAATATACCTTTAGATAAAAAAATGTACTAATAGTAATACTATGAGAAGGATTTACGATCATGTATGTTCCACGCAAAGGGTTGAATGGCTGTCTTTTACCTCATAACCTGCAATGTAACTATAATGTGTCATTGGTGCTGCAAGTCTGAAGGTTTTTAGGTTATTCGACTGTCAAAAGTTATGTGTTAAAAGGTTAGGATGCAGATGTAATTTTTCTGTTATGGTTTTTACAAGTTACAGCTGCAGTCGTCAGAAGTCCGCCGCGGGAACGTCGACAAGAGGTCAGTACATGTACACACAAATGGGGATGCTGTTTTAAGTATCAGAGATGCCAGAGAGCTGCTCGACTCTGAGCTCGAGTCCGGATTGCAATGAAAATAATTGCATACATGCGAGCGGTTTCTGTGTCATGAAGTTGGGTGTCCAGCGCTTTGTCTTCTGCTATTGTTTTGCGTGCGACAGTAAAATTATTTACTCTAATTTGCGGATCGAAATCCTTGGAGAGCTCTTCGAGGGTCTCTATTTTCGATTCTAATTGTTATTTTATATTAATATACAACTTGTGTACCTTTTTGCAAGCTATATCCTGGATGCAGAAGATAAATAATACTGCTTTCGGCAACAGTGAAATTTAGACATAATTTGCGCTCGCGTGCATTTTGTATTACACGCAAGTGCATGTAGTAACGCGCAGTGTGCGTGTTTTGCGCGTGTAGTACTTGGGATTGGCACATGCTTTAAGCGCGTGTAAAGCTGCAGTATACGAAAGCGGTAGTGTAATTCTTCTTACCTGAGTTGCTCTCCTTATCAAGTAAATGTTATTGATTATACTTTGGGTGTTTTTGAAACTTGTTTACAACTATGATCTGACTTTTATTACGAAGGTTGAAGTCAGAAGCCTGGCTCTGGAAAAGCAAGTGAAGGAGATGGCAAGTCTTCAGCTACAACTTGACACCGAACGAGAAGAGAAGAGAATCCTTCAAGATCAGCTACATGAAGCTGAGGTGGGTTAGAGAGGGAAAAACCAACTTAGTGCTGGGTGGCGCAGTAGTCTGTTGGTTTGAGAGCCACAAGTTTGTCAGTAATTTTAATATTGCTGTGGAGTGACACCCTTACCCCGATAAATATATGTTATTTGCCGGCTGGGAGGTCCGTATGGTGAAAAACTGTGACCGAGGACTTGAAAATACTGCCCGAGGCCGTAGGCCGAGGGCAGCATTTTCAAGACCGAGGTCACAGTTTTTCACCATACGGACCGACCCTTAGCCGGTAAATAACATATTTATTGTTTTTAAACTTGATGAAATTCTTTCCGAAAGAATGCGAATGATTTATGGCCGTAAATACGGCAAGATCTTCCATAAACTGAACAATTTTTGAGTGAGTAAATGGTAGTTGAAAAAATAGAGGTGATGCAAATTTAAGAGAGATGCCTCAGCGAAACATTTTCATTTCCGTAACGATAAAGGTGATTTAAAAGGCTTCCAAACAAACTTTGAAACATTATTTTTACAAGTATCTGTCACAATCTGACACCTGTCAATTAGAGAGCGCGCAAGAAAAAAAAAGCGTAGGAACATTTGAAAACCAACAGAACTAGTTTGGCAAGGACTGTCACGACAATATTTTCTTCAAAATCAGTCAATGATCTAACGGAAAGTATTATTCACTCTCATCGACCATTCATTCATGTACGAAGATTTACCTCTGTTCATTAAGTAAACGGCGAGGAAAGTAATTGTGAGTAAATTCAATTTTTTTATTTTGAAGTTGTGAGAGTTTGCTCGTTTGTTTGCTGTAATGGCCTGTTTAACTCTGGTCTTTCCTTCACAAAAACTAAATTCGAACGGCACACTCCAACGAGACACAAGGGAATTTAATGCGGCCTTTTCTCAAAAAACATCCTTCAATTTCTGTTGTGCAATTTACGGTACAAATGTCCAAATTGAACGGAATTGGAAAGACTCACCGGGAGCGTATATTTGTTGTAGAACTTAAATTAAAACTTCGCTTGCTATTTCACTATGAACAAATTGCTCGAGAAAATTCAGATATTAAATGAATGAAAGTTCCATCGTTCAGTTTAACTGTAACCAAATACCTCACGTTTCAACTTTCTGGGTACTTTTTGTGAACGATTAAAATTAATTGCAGACGGTTTTTAGGCCGCTTGTCAACCAACGTAATGACAATATTGTTTATACAAATTCATTCTGAAACCAATATTTTTCTGTCAACCAAAAAGGATTTGATAGAGAGAAAAGAGAGGATTCATAAGTTATTTATCGGCTTCAGGTAGTGACCGACGTGTTTGCTTAAAAATACTGCCCAGCCGGAAAACGAGGTATAAATATGAAAAATGACAACGAAAGTTGGGATGTACCCGGCGACTCACGAAAGCGTTACCGTGGCCCTTGGGCAGAGATAGGAAAATACTGACCGGGTAGAGAACCAATCAGATTGCAAGATTCGTTACCGTGCCCTCTAAAAAAACAATGAAGTCTCTTACTTACTTACTTATTGCGGTGGACTCCGGGTTGAGAAGTCTGGGTTCAAGCCCTGCCCAGGTCATTGTGGTGTGTTCTTTGGCAAAGTACTTTAATCTTTTTCTAAAAACATTTTATTTCAGACGTCAGGCAAGCAGGAAATTTCAAAGCTCGAGAAGGAACTTTCGCAGGTGAGAAGAATGGTGCATTGTGTGTCAGTAGAATCTGAGTGACTTGTTTTATGTCGCAGGCTTTTGTATACATCAATAGCCTTGCCCTAGTATGAAGTCAATCTATTTTTACTATTTTATTTTCTATTTCGTAGCTCACAGAAAAAGTCAAAAGGAAACAAGAAAGGTATGTCACTTGAGCCCAGCTGCTTGAAACAGAATTGGCAGTAATTCAGATTTACTGTCTTGGTTCATCGTAAAAAAAAAAAAAAAAAAAAAAAGAAATTTTTATTTTCTTCAGAGCTTATACTCGCTTAGATCAGTAATGTGTTAATCGTCCTGTGTTGAATGGGCACGAGAGACGTTAAATTATCATTAAGGAATCGAAACCCAGACCTTTGGAATTCAGGATTATTTACTTGAACAACAAGCTACAGAGGGCCCGTCAGGGGAGCCGGTAGAGGCCATGTGCATGATTCCTAGGTGAATTTGAATATCAATACAGCACTAACATATGGGATCATGCTTTTTTACAGTTACCTACAGCTTCAAGAAGAAAAGGAGAAACTTTATTCGGAAAACAAGTGAGTCTTACTTAGCATTGTGGCCTGATGGTTAACACGAGGGAGTTTGGGTCCGAGTTTAAGCATTCGATCTCAAGCCCTTAACCTGTTTTCGTTAAAAGAATGTTAAAGACCCCTCGAGGAACTGAAGACTGTTTTGCTGTCTAAGACTCAGGAATTCTATCAACATACTCAAGATTTTAGCGGCGGTCTTTATTTTTTTTCTCAAACTTTCGTGTCATTTCAGGAAATCTCAAGAGGAGTTAAAAACCACGAAAGAACACGAAATAGAGGTAGGTATATGCAACTTGTTTAGGGTTTATATTTCATGCATTCTGTGCTTCAGTTTTGTACTTTTTTCGAATCATATGTGATTTTCCAGTTGCTTTGGGTAGATGGTTATCATCCTTGTGGTAAGAAGCTGGGCTGATGTACTGGAACCAAAAAACCCAACATGGCCGCCAATTTTATTCTTTTGTTTCCTTAATACCCCGATATGGCCGCCGTGATGTCATGTGACAACCCGTCACTGTACAGTTTTCCTTGATGGAAGAAAAAGAAGAAAATTACTCAAGATTTCATCAACTTATGTATCATATTCTTTAGGTTTTAACAGAGCAAATGGCAAAGCTTCAAGATGAGGTTAACACTGCCAATAAGGTTAGCACAAACAGAAACGACCAGGATCTTGGGAAGCGTTTTTTTTTAGTTTAATACCAAAGTTCCGCGCGGTCGCTAATGTCATTTTTTTTCTTTCTGCTATTCCTTTTTGGACTCGCGCGACGGACTTCGCTTAAAGGAGGGGGGGGGGCTGTTCGAAGTCTAGCGAGGAAAGGGCGTAGAGTGTGGGAAAGAATGAAAATAATTTTGTGGGCTGCGAAGAGAGAAAGAGTGAAAAGTAAACGGCGACGAAAGAACAAGAAGCATGCGAAAGTTACTACAAACCTTAAAAAAAATAACAGAAAGATTGAAACTGAGCGCGAAGAGCTACAAGAAAGCGCGAAATGCAATTATTAGCGAAAGCTTTCTCTCATCGGCACTGAAGAAAATCTTTGTGGGTTTTGTCCATTTACACAGCGGTACACAGAGTTAAAAGAGGGAAATGAAAGAAAGATTAAAGGACTTGAAGAGACTATGACATCCCAGCGTAACCAGGTAACGGGTGTCATCACCAAGGATCGTGGCTAATCTATTGACTGATTGACTGGAACGACTGATGTATCGACAGACTAACTGACTGACTGGCGGAGTGATTTATTGACTGACAGACTGACTGACTGACCGACGTAGTGCTCTACAGATCGATTGACGTATGTCTGCCTACTGACTGACTGACCGATGACCGACCGACCACACAGTTACTGTGTAAGTGACTCAAACTGACCTATTGACTGACTGACTGACCTATGACTCACCGATTAATAACTGACCGAATGAAAAACTGTGTTACTGACTGGCAGACGGACGCTTTCTTTGTCTTTGATTCAAGTTTGAAGTAGGTACAATTTCTGAAATTGCAATTTCCACCAATCTGTTTTTTTTAGGCGTCGTTATCTGCAGAGGAAACGGAACAGATTGTTGCAGGACTTAGGTAATACAGTATTATTCGTTGTTGGGATACTTAGATTCTCATGAAAAACTCTGTAGGCAAAGGCGTAGCCCAGAACAACTCACATGCATCTCTCTTGCTCTCCAAACTGCCAATGTGTCTAAAGAGAACTCGCTGAAAACTCCACAGAATAAAATGTCCAAAGACATAATAGTTTGAAATCGTCTGTATCCTACGTAGGCTTTTGCTTGGCGGTGGGAGAGTCATATGCCATATGCAATCTTCTATACAGATTTAGAATTACTCTTTTTTCTCTGTTGAAACAGAAAAAAAGGCTGACTATAGGATACCAAATAAAATTACCAAATATATGAGGTTCTTATTGGGTTGCTGGTGTGAAGTCTTGTTTAGGTGAATGATTTGGGGTTTTCAGCCGCCATTTTTGAAAAGAATCTATTAACTAGTTTTTAAAACAGTTTCTAATTTACAATTTCTGATTTTTAGGCAAGAAAATGCGTCTTTGGTCACTGAAGTGCAAGAGCTGCGAGCGGTAGGAATCTTTCTTTTTGTTGTTTAGATAGTAAATTGACACGCAGTTTGAAGGCTGGTCCCTAAATTGGTGGTAAAGTCACACTGAGTGTTACGTTAGCAACATTTTTACGGTTGGGATCAAAGTTTGTGGCCCTTGAATAGATTTATTCCTCACGAAATGTATTTTTCCTGCTTGTAATTTGTAGAAAGTCAAAACAATAAGGGAGGAGCAGGAAGAGTCTGAGGTAAGCATGTGTAGCCCTTGCCCACCCCCCAACCCCCCCCACTCCCTACACGTTAGAAAAATTTCAACTTGTCACAATGCTCGCTTCATGAATCGGTATCAAAACCGAAACCACTTGCGACCTTGACGCTCGCTTTTTCCTGCTCTTGACGTGTGCCTAGTTTGAGTTATCATAGGCTTTTTTCCGGATTTTTCTTCGTTCTGATTGGTCGTCGTGATTACTTTGGTTATGATGTTTTGATACCCAGTCGTAAAGTACTCTAGTATCAAAACAACTTACTCTATCCACGAGATAGTGAGTTGTCAGATACATATCACTGTCTTGCTTTCGAGCTTCCAGAGTCAGGGTCTAAAGGTCGCGCAAAATTTATCGCGTCCCTCCCCCCCCACACTTTCCCGATCCGCTCTTTAAATGAGTACTTTATGTCCGTACACTTATTGTGTCGCTCTGTTCGATTAGGACTTGATATCACAATTGGAAAACAAAGTGTCTTTGACCGAGACGCGCTGCGCTGAGCTGGCCATGGAGGTAGATGAGTTGACAGCCCATGTGAAGGTAGCGCTTCAAATCCAAATCAAACTACCCCCCCCCCCCCCTTCCTCTCTCCTTTTCCTTAAACTGGCTTCTTATGTAGGCCCAGCAGGTTAGCTTGCATGTCCGGGGAGGGAAGGGGTGGGGGGAGAGAGAACGATTGGGTGAGCCACTAGCGATGACATTTTCGGTTTGCTAAAGTATGATTACCTACCCCACAGGTGTTGTTGCAGCTTTAGATCAGATTTATTTTCATGTCTAAGGAAGATTTGACTTAGATGAAGATAACTGGTGTTTCACACGAGCGTAGGAAGGAAAAAAAAACGCGTGTCCCCCCCTTAGGTACCCGCACTTCAGACCTTGAGATACAGGGAACTCGTTTCTGAGTTACCCTCTGAAATAGGTCCGTTTGCAAAAGGATTCTTTGATTTTCAAGCGCTAAATCTGTTCTGTGATTGCCTGGTGGTGCTAGCTCCATGTTTTTATCTCAAAACAGGAACAGAACACTGCAGTTGAAGGCTGGAATGAACAAATATCACAGCTAACATCTGAACGTGATCAGCTGAAAGACTCGCTGGAAGAAGTAACCAAGGTGATAGCCATTGACAATTTCGACGACTTGTTCTCTATTTTAGCATAGGAAACTTGTTAACGACGTTTGTTAAAAAAAGCCTTGCTGAAATTCAATTTTTCCTTAAACCCTTAACAATTCCTTGGCAGTTGTCGGAGCTAAGATAATTTGGTCCATCAAGTTGTGTCCTCCCCGTGTTCAAAATCTAGTTTATCATTCATTCCACTAATATTTCCGATTTAAGGCAGCTGCAGATTTTTTTGCGCGGAAACAGGAAAAATAGAGAAGAGAAAATTAAGATAAGTCGTAAGAGAAGCAATTAAATCGCTAAATCAAGGAGGAGTGGTCTAGAAAGATTCGAGAAAATTGTCCTTTTCAATTTTTCAGTGTCTGACGAACTTTAGGAGGAAAAACGTGTCATATCCTTCCTTTCAAACTACCTTGTGGAAAACCTGTGCATGAAAACTGCTTAGCTAATGTAAACGTGACTTGTTTTTATGGTTACACTGCTTTCTAGGTCGCCAAGAGTCGTAAAGAATTGGTTGATAAGATGGCCATCGAGAAACAAACGACAGACGCGAACCAAAAAGAGCAATTGGACAAGTTACAAGAGGATTATAAGGTTTGGTTTATGCCAATAGAGAGAATGGACTGAATAAGTGAAGCAAAACATACAAAAGAAAACTTGTTTGAATCTAACCTGATTTTTTTGTTGTTTTGCGCAGAAAGAAATTAACGAACTTAGAGAGCTTCTGACGGGAGAGAAGGTAATGTGACTCGTTTCTAACTATTTATTAATCATTTTAAAGCCACTTGTTGATGTGACGTGGAATTGTACTACATCGTATCAATAGCAAGAAAGATGAAATTACTAACGAATATTGGTAAATCTGCTTTTGGTCTTCGCTTAATCCAGAGGAAGTGTTCATGACGTCTTCAGGTGTTCTCGGCACTCTGAGTCGTTCTCAAAAATAGGCTTCGGAAATCTTTCAGTAAAACTTTGGAATCTCTACGTATCTTCAAACGTTCCGTCAGAATTCATGCTTGTTAGACAAAAAGAAAAGGGATGACAGAGTATTTATTTTCTTGGCAAAACAGAATCTGATTCCCTTCCTTCTATGATTGAAAATTTTTTTAAGTGTTTCTGCGTGGAAAAAATGTACGCAGAGCGGTAACTGCACAGTATCTTAGAGCTAGAAAATCTCGTGGTCTAAAGTAAATAAGCCGGATTCAATCCTTCAAACATCAACTCTTGATCCAGGTCAATGCAGATCGCCAGGAACTTTATCTAGTTATGGCAAGCAGCTTCCAAAAAAAGTCATTGTTATGGAAATCAGACCTAGTTTTGAAGTTAACTGTCATGTGAGAAATCGCCTGATGCATACTCGCACAAAATAAAAATCAGAAATGATGAGGGAAAAAAAACATCTTTGTCTTCTCAGAGGCACTTAAGCGTGGATATATCACAAAAAAGGGTAATTTGGTTTTATCAACTGAGTTGATAACGTAAATTGGCCACCGTAAAGAGTTTCAAACCTGACGTTTCTAGCGTTATCTCTTCCTCCATTCGCTCCGATATAGGACTAACGCTCGAAACGTCAGCTTTGAAACTCCTTATGGTGGCCAATTTACATTATCAACTCAGTTGATAATACTAAATTACCCTGTTATACTCTCCCCCGACGCAGCATCTTTAGAAAGTTTCTTTAGAAACTTAACTCCTTTATATCACAAAACATTTTGAATTTAATAATCGATCCTCGGTGAAGCTAACGTTCCCTGGTTGATGATTTCCATAGATTCTCACTACTCTTTGCCTGTAAATGGTTATACTATTTTTTGAGAATCTGAAATTTAACGTTGTCGCATTGACAAACCCTGTCGTTGCATTCTCAGAAACTTCGCAAAGAAGTTGAAGACTCACAACAGAAGTTAGCAGAAACCAAGGCTAAATTACAGTCTGTAGAGAGCAAAAGTGGATGGTTTGAGAGAAGACTTGCTGAAACTGAGGTATTTGAATTCCTAACCCTTTCACGAACCTTTAACTTTAACCTTTTCTGCGAGATCCCAGTCTTAATCCACCCTCTTAGCTATCAAACATTTCCTTGTAGATTAGAAGGGAGAATTTTGAGTTATATCGTGATGGCAACTTGAAACTGTTACATTTGTCTATACCTCTTACTTATCGCGTGTGAGGTCTGTTACGGACCGAGTATTTCCGCCTCAATTGGCTATAAATCCGAGCGGAAATAAACGAGGTTCCGTAAGTTACATGTGCAGTACTGACTGAGGAAACGAGTCAGTAAGATATTTAATATATCTCTGGCTTCAGATAGAATGGAAGATTTCAATGTAAACAAACTTTTAAATTTAGCCAAGATGTTTTGGCTATGCGGTGATCTTAATCTGTTTTTCTCCACCTAAGGAAAACTTGAAGGCAGAGAAAGAAAGAAATGAGCAAACACTGGCCAATCTGCAAGCGGAACGTGAAGAGGAACTTAAATCTTTGCAAGAAGAGAGAGAGAGAGGGGAAGAGGTGAGTCTATCACCAATGCTTCGCAAGCGAGCTGAGCCCAGGGGCTTCTGGGAAAGAGTTTGAGAAATCTTGGCATCGTGTTGGTCTCCAGACTCTCAAATTAATGGTTTTGTTAAGTTGAAATAACCTACACTTAATTTATATCATTTCGTTTCATTTTCAATCGCACAGGGATTTCAGTCTCAGATCAGTGGGTTGCAGGAAGAAATGGAGGAAAAGGAACAAGAAATGGAAAAATTACGACAAGAACTGAAAGATAAAGAAGTTGAAAACAAAATTGCCGGCAAGAAAGGAGATCAGCTGGTGAGAACCAGTTTGCTTGTGCAATTTCTTTCTTTGTTTCAGTAATTTAATTTTAGTACTGTTTTGGAATCTTGAACCCAAAGAAATGACCCTTGCTGGCAGACTACAATTTCGATAAAAGCAGAGAAGAAGGCTCGAAGGGGATTCGACTGAATTCCAACCCATGCCTTCCAGTTACAAGTGGGTCTCTACTCCCAACTGAGATGCGAAGCTACTACACATTGGGAGCGGGGCACATGTTAGAGGGTCCAATCACTATTGGGAAAGTCACAATTTTGTTGTTGTTGTTCTTGTTGAAGGTTAAGGACCTGAAGCGTCAGCTCAAACTGGAGAGGAAAAGAGGCGAGCAGTTACAGCAAAAATTACAAGAAGCTTTATCAGAAAACAGAGTCAAGCCAGGTGAGAACTGAGCCAATCACCAGAAATTTAATTTCGCGGAATAAATACTTTGTCTAAAATCTGTGTCAGGGAGGATTGCAACTACTTCATTGCCAAGGCACTGTGACGTAAATTGTAATCAAGAGTGCCAATTCCTTTTTTTTTCTCTCCTATTTATTATTACCTATGTATTTAAAATATACTTTAAATTATTTATTTAACTATTTTTTTTCAATGATCTACTCACAAGATTTCTTTAGTTGCCAATTTCTTTCCAGTTCGTTCGTCTACTGTGACAATGGTGTGAAAAGAAATTGCATTTCGGTACATGAATTCAACACGAAGCTAATGGTTTGTGTTCTTTTTCTTCAAGCATTTGAGGATATGTTTGTTGGCAGGGAACATCAACGGCGAAATAGCGGGTGAGTTTACGGTCGGCTGATTTTATTTCACAGAAGAACTAAAACGCTCGCTTCGCTTAATTTCTAGATGCGCTTATTTCCTATGAGTGTGTGTTGATTTTACTTGTTCTACCTTTTTTTTTCTTCGTTTCCACACTGCATTTAGTGCAAACCTTTTCGAGCAATTTTCAATCGAGTGTTGAAAATAATCCGGGACTTTTATGGTTTTGCTATGTGTTACCCTGTGATTGGTCCAGAAAACTCGTGCCATTCTCTCGACCAATCAGATGCAAAACTATCACCAATAACGACCTGGTCCCCCGCGTTTTCCCGCGCTTTCTGCGGTTGGCTAGTTTTTACTTTGAGTTCCCCCATTGGATCTTCAGGGTATTTTCAAAGCTGTTATTTTTACAGCAAAGTTTATTTTGAAATTTCGTTGTTATTTTCTAGTGATTCATCAATTGTTAGTCAACCGTCAAGAAGTGAAGTGGACAGCCCGGAATTTAGGGTACGGTTAAATGTATGGATTGAGTGCGTAGATACCAAGAGTGATCCAGTTACGGTCGAAGGGTTACTGTACTAGTTTTTTTTTTTTTTTTTTTTTTTTTCAAGTTTTTAGTGTTTTTGTTGTTGTTGTTGTCTTTTCAATTTAACAAATATACAACTGCTTAATGTTAAGCCCAGGTTTCAGAATGACGAGGGATTGAAAAGCTAGACATAGAGTAGGTAGCGAACAATAACTTGAAACGTAAAGTGTATTACATTCGACAACAACCACCACTTCTCTTCAACGCATTATCTTGTGATGATATTCTTTAGCCCCCAAGCCCCGCTGCGTCCATGATCAGTATGCTTAACGACGATACCACTGACCTGATAGAGCGACTCGCGGACGTTCAGCAAGATAAGTGGCTCCTCGAGGAAAAGGTTTGTATTGAAGAGCCTTAAGTACACGTTTTTATCGAGTATCGTACATGTATAACAACCCACGTGTGAGGCCAGGCTGCCGAGTTTTTTCACAATGGCGGCTTCCATGGATGAATGTTCAGCACATCTTAGGACAATTGTCGAATGCTTATGTTGCGTTTTTGATCTGAAAACGCAGTTATCAATGTCAAAATTTCACTTATTCCTTGTTATGGCCGATAAAAAATAAACAGTTTAGGACGTACCTCTCGTTGAAGTTTGGAAAAAAGTTTAAGGAGAGCTATGTATGGATTACAACGTGTCTGTCGTCTCGGTGAGCAAAAACTGATGAAAAATCTTTCTGATCATTTTTACGTGTTTTTTTTTCTTTTATTCTCAAATGACTGAAAACAATTTACGAGGTAGTAAACTGAACGGTTCACAACACGTTCACATTCTTTTTTTAGCAGAATTTATACTCCTATGTTCATTTTTATGCAGGTAGTGTTTGAAAACACGAAACTCGCTCGAAACTACGGAAAATTTCCACGAAGCAAACTCAAGTTGTGATTTGTTTAATAATTTGCAAAAAAAGAATTCCTTATTTCTTTCTTTTTTTTTTGCTCTGTAGACTTGTAAACTTTTTCAAAGAATTGTAAATTGTTTTCTTTTAGTTCATCGGCCTTGTACTACAATTTTTTTCCTTCATCTAAGAATCTTCAGCTTTTTCATGATTTCTCTTGCAGGTTCGCCATCTTGAAGAAAATGGAGCAGCGCTAGCGGAGGATCTATTAAAAAAATCAGCCATAATTCAGGCATACGCCATGGAAACTAAAGTCGGTAAGGTTATTCGGACGACCCAGTTACTCCACTGTAGAAGGAACAAGACCTAGTTGCGTCACATGTAAATGGCCAGGTTGATAAGCAAGATTCAAAATGGCGGCGTCTATAATAGACCTTTTCATCTGCCTGGAAAGGCGCTCAGAATCCTAATTCTATATAAAAGATTAAATCAAAATGATATCGTTTCTGAATGATATCTTTTTTTTAAACTTTTATTCTCTTGTATTATTTGGTTTTAATATATTTATATTTATATGTGTTTATTTGTCTTTTCCAGGTCCTATAGCGGAGTCTCCAGCGAAACCATCCCCAGCCGCTTCGATTTTTACTTTAAAAGAGAAGATTCGGTCTCCTTTTGGTAAAGCTAAGCCTGAGAACACCAGAAAAATACAGCTGATGCTGGAGGAGACACTGACAAAGAACATTCAATTACAGCGGGTAAGAGGTCTCATAAGTACCTGTCAATTGTTTGTTCTCTCTCGTTATTGGTGCGCTTTTCGATTAAGTGTCATAAAAGCAACACCAAAATAATCACAACCGCCAATCAGAAAAGAGGAAAATACCTTTAAGAGCCAATGAGAACTCAAAGTAAAACACCAAACAAACTGCCTAAAGCGCGGGAAAACGCGGGCGACCAAGTCGTGTTTGGATATAGTTATTCTTCTAATTGGTTGAAAGAGTGGCGCGAGTTTTGTGAACCAATCACAGATCGAAGTGAATCAAAAACAAAGGATTCCTTGAACATTGAACTGAAAAGTGCCCACACATTATCACTTTTCTCTTTCTTAGGACGTGGACTCAATGTCTAAAGAACTTCAAAGATTCAAACAACAAGAAGTGATTCCACCGGAACTCAATGAAACTTCGGATTCAATGTTGAATTCAAGTTTATGGAAAGCCACAGAGGAAGAGGAATCTGAATCTAGTTAGCAATTTTTAACTGATTTAATTTTAGGTTTAAGACACTTTTGTCGAGTGCAGGGAACCTTGGGTTGCGTTCCCCACTGAGCTGTTAACTCCTTCACTCACATGAGTGACCAAGACAGCATTTCTCCTTACTGTACCAATGCAATATCAAGCAGAAAATTGATGAAAATAAAGCAGAATATCAACAAGGGGATCGTTAGTTGATCCAATACCAAATTCTTCGAACTAACATCATAAGAATTGTATGGCTGTCAGTAAGGAGAAATACTCATGAGATCTTTGGAGTGAAAGGATTGGTACAACTTGTCATCTTATCACAGGTTTGATAGTCAGTTGTTAAGTCACAAACAGTTTTTCCGGGAACAGTGTCACAGATAGACATGTGTGCTTATAATGGGGCCAGTTTGATCAGGTAAAGAGAAACTTTCTTACAGAAGTTCTCCTCCGCAGTAGATTATGGATGATACTCAAATGTCGCACTAAACCGTCCGCTTAATAAAAATGTTATGAAATAAAAGAGCTTACTAGAACATTGAAGTCAGCGACCGCTAAGAAGAGTTCTCCAATGGATACAAGGTTATTTACCATAAATATGGGGAAAAATTGGTGCAGGGTTTTAATTTAACTTGGGGTCCTATCACTACGGGTTTCTTATCAAATCTCTTTAGTATCACCAATATACAAATATATATTTAATAGATCTTTTAAAGAGATTTAGATTTATATTTCTCTAAAAATGAATCATCGAGTAGTGTTCTTTCTCACGAGAAGCGAAGTAAATTCGCTCGAGTGTAAAATGAAAGGAAATCTTTGGTACTGTTCAAGCGCTCGGTTGATAAACATTGTAGTGACAATTTTTAGAGCAAATGCAAATAGCATCTTTGGGGGGAATTTGTAGATATTACGCCTATTATTTTAACAAGATATGTAAACTAGTATTGCTAGTCTTTTTTTTTTTCAATTTTTTTTCAATATTTTCAATGGCCTATGTACGTGCGTGTTCTATCGAGAAAGGTACGGTTTGTAAATACAGCTATCCAATGAACTAAAAAAAAGCATTGTAAAGAGTGAAGTAAGCTTCTGTATTCTGGCAAACGAGTAGATCGAAAGCATGGTATTATGCGATATGCCGATGTTTACTTCATTAAATAAGATATAGGAACTTAGAAGACCTATATCTCAAGTACCTTTATCATACTTACTCACGTCCGATAAGTCAAAATAAACACGAAAATCTGATGCATTTATACGTTTTATTCCACGCGTAATGCGTCAAAGGAAGGTCGAGAGGTTTATAATAAACGAACTTGAAAGGAGTTTAAGCGTGGAATGGAATTGATAAAGTTTTGAGACTTTCATTGCTACTGTGTTTGTCGATACACCATTTTGATGCCTTTCAAAGACCAGTTTGACGTATTTTGCCCAGCAGAGGAATAAACGTTTCATAAAAGGTGCAGAGGGAACGATATTTTTAAATTAGGTGAGCTGTGTACTACAAGTGAAGTATTGTTCTTCTTAGAATCTTAATCGTAATATTTGTTATTAAATTTTACAACTTCAACGAAACTCTCATTCAAATCGCTGAAATGTAATCGATTCGTGCAATCCAACCAGTACGGCGATGAACAAATTTGTAGATAATGTAGATAAATTTACTTAAAAAGTCCCTTGTTCTACTTTGCTCGCCATTAATGCCTAGGTAAACAAATCTGCCCCAGAATAAATTAAACAATCAGGTAAATGTTGGTCTCTCTGTTTTACTAATTTGGTGATACAGTTTAGCAGATATACCCCTAGCCGTTTCTTTCGTTCTCTTGTGTGTGGTTGCCGCGTTGGATTAGCCTTGGTGCCTTCGAGAAACTTCCCTAACATTAGAAAATAACTTGGGGTTAGATCTTGGAGGAAAGCAGAAGGACTTGCAATCGTAAATTCTTGTCCGGAAGTTTTGTCCTTTCGAAGTAAGAACGAAAGTTAAATGGCTGTGAATCCTACTGCTAACTCCACGCTTACGAAGAAGAAGGCGCCATCTAACTGAAAAGCTTCAAAACAAGATAAACTTAATAGCTGTCTTAGTCATTGTCACGTTTCAACATGTCGGATTGTGTTACACGATATTCTTTAGTTACGTGACTTTTCAAACGGAGGGTTTCAATTGATGGAAAGAACTTGTCACGCAACTTACGTTTTCTACGTTACCTATTTACAGTGGCTATAAAACATTCATATATATTTGTGATAGGAAAGTCCCTTTTTCGGGCCTCGACAGTCTCATAAATGAACAGGGATTTGCCGGGAACAGCTGGCTTCACAGGTTACTCTACCGAAGACAACAGCCGTTCTCTCATGATCGCCAAATTCCTATGCCCGATGTCGGCCATAAGCGGGAACTTCGAGAATGGCGACGAAGACGTGTCTTTGTTATCGGGATTTCGGTAAGTAGACGTTCAGAGATTAATTCTTCGTCAGTAAAATCAGTATCATCGTATTTTCTCTGTGTGATATGACTTGCTAATGCCGATAATTAACCACAAAAGCGCGAATCTTCACCAGTTAAAATCTTAGAACCTTCATCATGTCGTTGTGAGCCTTGTCTCGGGATTTTTACATATGAAAATCAAAGTGTGCTGTTGACTCGTTGAAGATATGCTGCGTTAATTTTTAAAGCGATATGTTTAAATTATTCAACAAAGTTTTCCAGAAGAATGGTGATTCGATAATGCACTAACCAAAACATGAAAAAAAAAATTGCAGTTTATTTAACATACTACGGTATGGTTAGAACATGAACTCACATTCGAAGTAATGATAACGCGTGTTTATGATGCGCCGTGACGTGAAACTTCGACATTTTATCGCCGAGCTATAGAGGAAGAGTTGTGTGTCTAACCGATAAAGAATAGTAAATTCAGAAGAAGGCTTTTAGATTTGTATGACAACAATATTTTGCGGCATCGTGAACTGGATGCACCATGGTGTTTTGTTGAGTAACACGTGATTTTTGTGATGAGTTGAACTCTTTTTTAAAAGGTGTCGGCGTTGTGACCGATCATATCTGGTTTCATGCTAAATTTGTCTCTTGGTGTACGTATCTGAGAATAATTATGAACATGGTTTTACGCATAGGAGTATGGGAAAAATTCATATGTACTTGGCTTTTGTAAGTAGATGATGTTTTACGAAAAGAGCTGAGAGCTCTTAACCGGCTTTGAAGATTTTCGGATAGATAAACCAGTGAAAATAAGCTAGCGAATCTTTTTATTTACTTATACTCTGATAGACTGGTTCGGCATCCCGCCGGAATGGACTATATATGATCAAAATGATAGGTGGTAGGTACCAGGGATGCCGTTGGGGTAACATGTCATCTCCCTCCCCACCTCCTTACTCACAAATCCGTATAACGATACGATGATTTGAATTTCACTGATAACACTTCCAAATCTACTCTTTTGCCTGTTAATCGGAAAATGAAAAATTAATCTTGGCATGCAAAATGAATTATTTCTACGACAGGAACAGAGTTCGCAGAAGGCTGATATGGCTAGAAATAGATCTGTCTTTTTGAAAGAAAGGAGAACGAGCTAGCAATGCTGAGTATCCAGTCTTCTGAAGTAGAGAATTGCGTTCATGTTTCAGAAACCCTGCAGTGATTCTTTTAGGTGTTTTAAAACAATTCTGTTAGAAAATTTCATCTTCTTTATTATTTTAATCTCTGCGCATATTTTTTTAAGTTACATCTTGTTTAGTTCCATCATTTTCTCTATATGAACTATGAAGTGATGAAAATATCTGTATTGTAATAATCATACAGTTGCTACAAAGTGCTCTTCAAATTTTCAACCGGAAGTGAAGCCTCAAAGTGAGCCTGCGACACAAATATCAGTTGTCAGCGGATATTGCCATCGCCACATAGAATGGAGGGCGATTCAGGAACTCGGTCGACCATATTGTGACTTCGTGATATAGACGACAAAAATTATCAGGATACTGTTTGTTTTTTCTCGACCTTCCCCGCTTTTGACGAGATCAAATCCTTTTATCACTGATTTATGATGGGTGGATAGTCGAATTTTATCCCAAACATGAGCGAAGCGGCCAAAGAGCGTGTTATAGCGCTCGGAACTCAGTTCAACACGATGGAACATTCTGCTTCAGAAGATCCAACTCTTGTGACTTTTGAAACGGGTAGTCCGAAAAAATCCTTTTGGAAAAGAAACACGAGTAAATTACCAGGAAGGTAACGTTATTTTCCGTCGATTAAGTGCCATGTTTGAAGCCCTTTTATTGATTTAATGTACTTTCTAAACAGTATAAAACCCGCACATGGGACTCAAGACTTGTTGTCTTCGAGCGTTTTGCCAAGTGCCAACCAGACTTCCAGGTACGTTTAGTCTATAACGTCTGCTCATGATGGCGTGATAAAGTTAGTTATCAAAGAAGTTGCGTGTGTATACTTCCTTCTAGCACTCTGTAGATTTGTTGAATACCAAACTTTCATCCGTTCTGAGATCCTAGGGAAAGTTGAACGACTGTGTTTACATTAAATTAAAATCTTGTTGAAAAGTTGAGTCGGTTAGTCTTTTGAAATGATCACGATGTTTTCTTTCTCCTATTTTGCCAAGAGTGTGGTTATTTTTTTAGAGCGGCCGAGTCAATTAATGAATCTAACAGGCGATCTTCGTTCAGTGGTGGTTCATTCTAATTTTTGAATATATAATTTGCTTACCACTGCACTAATTGCGGAACATTTTTAATAAACTTATTCAAGAATTCCTTGGTTGAATTTCACTTTATCTTTTGTACAATAACGTATCGAATTTCTTTCATTACGGAACAGAAAATAACGCATTTGAATCCAAATAGTCCCTGGTATTGATTTTAGAATTTGATCTATCGCGAGATTATCCAGGAAGCCTTTATGTTATTTTTACAATCATCGTTATTTGAGATCATTGAAAAGAGGATTGGTTTAAAAAGGAAAGATTAATCGGACTTACAAAGGTGTCCTACTGCGTATGACAAAGGATTTTCATAAATAACTCTTATTAAAGAGATCAGACTTAAATCTATATTGGTTTAGGCACTTCAATACGTATTCGTGTAATTAAATAACAATATATGAATACGCCAGCAAATAATGTTTAAATTATCGAATGCTTATTGGGCAGAAAGTTTATGCACTTAATGATAATAGGTAGATTAAATCTGGTGGTCATTAAAAGTGTAGTAATTTCTAAGTTAAATTAAGGATTGAGAATCTCTACATAACCTTAGGATTATTACAACAATTTAATTCCTTGGCTTACCAGAACTCGGCTAAGCTTTTCATGCAACTTAAGCAAAATATTATCAAAAGGTTTGCCAAATATCTATGGTTAAAACACTCAGTTTTATGAGTGATGTCAGGCACTTGGTACATCAAGCTTTTTCTTAACATAATATTTTTGCTGTGAATATCTAAGAACCATTTCTTCCTTTTGTCTCCCAACATTTTATTTTCATATAGCATTTGATGATGAATCAAGCAGTGTTGTATAAAATATGGTTTCTTTCCTTCTCATCATGCTAGTAGAATGAAGGCTACTCTCTCACAAATATTTTGTTGTGTTTTTCTGGAAGTCTCTTAGTGCACATTTATATACCAAAGAGAAGATAGGAACCCTGAAAATAAATTATTATGCACAAGGACTGATCAAAATGGTGCAAGAACTCAGGCCTTTTTAAAAAGTAGCACAGGGAACCTAAGGAATCAGTTGTTAGGCCACAGGGTAATCATAATCATTACAAATTCATCAAATATTATTGGTGCATATTGGAGCTTCACTTTTCACTAATCATTCTGTACAGTTGTCTGTACAGTTGTCTGTACAGTTGTCTGTACAGTTGTCTGTACAGTTGTAATCAGACAGTGTAATTGGACAATTGAAACATCCACTCAGCTAATCCACCAATCACAGAAATGATCAAAATAATCGTAGCAACAACCACTTAGCCAAAGAAAAACTGGGAAATTTCCAAAATAAAGGTCATGGAATTATTAACAAAAGGCATTGTCTCCACTGGAGTTATTTGTTCTAGGTATATTTGTTTTTTCAGAAATTGAAGTGGTTATGATTAATTGGTAACACAACTTTTTGTCATCCAATTCTGTCAGTAATTATAATTGTGATTAACAAATCGGACTGCTGCTTTGCAGTCATCCAATTTTGTTAATCACTCATATGGTTACAGACCAAATTGGACTCCACTTGGTCCTATTACCATTATAAATAATTGAACATGTTTTATTTTCAGCATTCATGGCAAAGCCAAACCAAAACCCTTGAGTTTCCAGGAGTTTAACAGCAAGATGAGTGACGCATGGGGTGAAGATGATGACGATGTAATCCGTGTGGACCCAGAAGAAAAGAAGTACTCCAAACCTGATTCTCGAGTGCGCACAATCAGTGGAGGTGAGGTCAGAGCTAGTATTCCAACTAATGTGACTTCCAAAGAAACCAAGAAACTTCCAGAACAGTTGGTCAAGAAAGATGAGCACAAGACATCTCGTCCTTCTCCTTTGAGCTTACTAAGTAAGTCCTAGAAGTGATTACAATGTAACTTCTCCCCATGATATCCATACATTATTAAGCAAACAGGTGTCAAGAATACTTAAACTGATCACTTAGAAGTTATCATCTTGATGTACAGTTGTAACTCCAAATTCTCAATCCCGATTTACATGGAAATATGTCACTGCTAAAGGGGAGAATTAACAATAAGATTTTGGGCGTTAACAGGTTTTTAAGTAACACTGCCTCTTTAAAGACGGTGTACGTTCAATGGTTTATTACCAATTAGGGGTGTATTACTGAAGTTTGAAATTTTTCTTTTTTGGTGACAAAAACAGTCTTGATATCGGTGTTTAAACCTTTTAATGACTGGTATCTAATTTCTCTATACAGTATCAGCCCTGAATCAAACATTAAGGTCATGAGAACAAGGGAAATGATCAACAACCAAAGAACTCTTGATTGTTCAACAAATTCTCCTTTTCAGACCCCTAAGAAATCTTTAGAGAACAGTATGGAGAATATGCATACTGATGTTTGGGCGTAAAGGGTTTTAAAGGAATCTGAGACTGGTAGTCACCTTAAACGATAAACACTGAACCAGACTGTGATGTTTGATTTTATAAGTGTTATCATCTGAGTGAGATGCAGTCATTGCCGATATTTATCAGAAACAATGATTTGCAATTCTAGAGTTCTGGAAATTTTATCTTTTAATCGTTATTATTTGATGAGTTTTAAGGTTAATTGATATTCACCTCTGGAGAAAAATTATGATCCATTACGAGCCACGATTTTGACTTTCTTTTCTTTTTTCTTCAGCACGGCACAAGAATCAGTCATCATCTTCAAAGTCTGCTGCCCACTCCCCATCCCCTCCCCCTGTCAATCTACAGTCTCCCAAGCCCCCCTCCCCCATTAGAGCTGTTAAACTGGAATTTCAAGATCAAGAAATACACAAGCTGGAAAAATTTGGAAAGTTGTTGGCAGGTCCTAACACTGACTTGGGTAAGCATGCTGTTATTTCAAGGTAATAGTGGCAGTGTGGAAAATGTATAAGGAAACAGTATGGGGATGATGCATACTGATGTTAGAGTGTTTATGGTTAAACTATACTAAGAATTTACCTTATACTTAATCTGCAGATGCAATAAGGAAACTAAGTTGGTCAGGAATCCCAGTCACAGTCCGCCCAACAACATGGCAGTTGCTCTGTGTAAGTCTGTTTATTTTACATGTTTGTGATTGTCTAGCTAGTTAGGGGGTCCTGAGGTGCCCTCAACCTCCCCTCCCTTCCCCTTTGTAAGCCTTTTTTCTGTCATGTGAACCCATTGAACCCTAAGAGTGACAAGCATCTTATTTCTCCTTACATTATCACCCTCAATTCACACATTAAGGTTACAAGAAGGAAGAAAATGATCACCCACTAATGAAGCTCGATGTTTATAAACAAATTCTCCTTGTCAGCTCCTTAGGAAATGTATACAGAACAGTATGGAGAATATGCATACTGATATTAGGGTGTAAAGGGTTAAATAACACATGACAAGGAGATCAACATGATAATCTAGTGAGTACCCTCTGGTTACGCCCTTGTTCGTCATTGAACTTTGTCTGCTTGTTAATTCGGTAGGGTTTGTTAACAAGTGATTACTGTGTAAGTAGGATACCCCTTAACTTTTGAAATCTGATTGTTAATTCTCTCCTCTAGCTGCTACACATTTCCTTGTAAATTAGTTACAAGAATTTGGTGTTAGATCAAGATAACAACTTCTACTTGATAAGTTTGAGTGTTCTCATTACCTGTTTGTTAGATAATTTGTGGATATTTTAAGGAGAAGTAACATGTTAATCAATTCAGGGTAAACAATTGTTCTACGTTACTAGGGATACTTGCCTGCAAATATTGACAGAAGACAAGCAACGTTGGATCGGAAGCGAGAAGAGTACCATAATTTTGTCAAGCAGTATTATCCAACGAGATACGAGGATACATATCATGACACATTTAGACAGGTAACTATTTATACACTTGTAGTTGAGTGAGTTTTAGGCGAGGGAGTCTGGGTCGGGTCGCGTAATGAACCCGTCCCAAACTTCCTTCGCTTTTTCACTCAACCGCTACGATCGGGCTGTTTTTGATATCACTCCTTTTTTACCAACTGAACGGCTGGAACAGACCATAGACAGGTTTTACCTCTTCTAGGACGTTGATGATTTAATTTTCTTGTTTCTTGTGTCTTCCATGATATGACTCTTGTTCTTTCACCTGAAAGACAGCAGCAAAGTATTCATAACTTGCAGATAATTTTTCTAAAGATCCACTATTTTTGTGCCAAATTTAGGTCACCCTTAAAAGTCATACAATTAAAACTTCTTTCGATTATGTTCGATTATTGACGGCATAAAATTTGCCTCAGCAACTTGTGTAAGAGCAGTGTACGCAATGAGGTTTTTCATCTTGTCACCTCGTTAAAGACTCATTGTAGTGTGTGTTTAGAAAACCAACTTTCTCTTCTTTCTTTCATTGATTCCTAAATAAATATAGGGAACAAGCTTTCAATTTACTAATATCAAATATTTTAACAGATACACATTGACATTCCAAGAACAAATCCTCTGATTCCTCTTTTTCAACAACCCTTGGTGCAAGAGGTTAGTGAAACCCCTGTTACAGCATCACAGTGTTTAGAAATTTGAGAGAAAAAGTGCCACTTGCCGAACACATCGAGTTGCACTACACGACCATGGGTCGGTTATTTAAACAAAGTTTAGCCGTTGTTAAACAAAACCGCGTTCTAAGTCTCTTCAGTTTAGCCGAACCTTTTATCGCAACGTTTATTTTTTTAAGCAGTTGCAAGAGCGCCGAAAGCAAAATAGTGGAAGAACATTTATTCTATTACATCGACCCCATTGAAGAGAATCCCAGAAACTCACTTCTTGAGTAAAACCGCGGTTGGGGTTGAGCTCGTGTAAACAACCGGTTCTTTGAGTCTTAACGTAGAAGTTTTCGTTTCTTGTAGATTTTTGAGAGGATTTTGTACATCTGGGCCATCCGTCACCCAGCCAGTGGTTATGTTCAGGGAATTAATGATCTGGTGACACCTTTCTTTGTGGTGTTTTTATCTGCATATGTTGGTAAGTGAATTGTCATCAGCAATTTACTCCTTAAACCTTTGAGTTAATCTAGAAAAGTTGATGGTATCCGGTTATTCAAGTCCAATCTTTGACACCCCTATGACCTGAAGGAGAGCTTTGGGAGAGTAGCGTAGGCTCATCTTTCCGAACAGCGGCGGGATATCACGTCTAGTGCGCACAATCCGCACACTCATTGGTCAAACGTAGGGCATGCGCAAATGGATCAATGTTGGCCAGCCGCGCGCAAAGTTCCCGCGCAAAGTTTTAAGGATAACATAAGAAATCAGTGGCTGTATCTTAACCGAGATGCCTTCCTACAGCTCTTTAAAAAATCTTACCGACGCCCCTGGAAAGATTCTGTCTCTATATCCTCCTTTTGTTTCACTCTTCTTGAAGATGGTGACCTGGAGAACCACGATGTCAGCGGTCTTTCACAGGACACTTTGGACACAATAGAAGCAGATAGCTTTTGGTGCATGAGCAAGTTGCTCGATGGAATACAGGTGAATCTAATATTGTACATCCTAGAAAAGCCATTCACACTTAAGGAGGCTCTAGAGATTTCACCGAATCAAATTGAAGAAATTCGAAGGCAAAGCCAAATTATCACAGGCGAGCGCCTCCCTCTGTGGAGCCACAGCTGAACAACGAAAATCATTTTGTTAATATTTACTACGGCAAAAAATAGTTCGAACCTTGCACACCGCCTTTTGATAGCTTTTAGTAACCTTGAAAAGCCAAAATATAAAAAAATTTCTAAAAAACTACGCTGGCGTACGCTTTAACATAGCACAAAAACCCTATAGAGCCTCCTTAAACGTATTTATTTCATCCTTTTTCGCAGTTCCTTTTCTTGTCTTGTTCTTCGCGTGTTTGCGAGATATTGGGCTCCGTGAGACGATCCGTAGTAATTTACAGTCTTCCGTAAATTTTTTTGTCCTTGACTAACGGGCAAAAGCTCATGGAGAATGCCAATTTCACTACATAATGGTTCTCTTTTCACAGGACAATTACACATTTGCACAGCCTGGAATACAAATGAAGGTCAACGCGCTTAAAGAACTCATTCAAAGAATCGATGGTAAGAAAAACGATTGTTCTCCGTCGAAAGGGCCGCTGTTGTGCTAGATTTTTATGAGATATGAAGCTAGTATTCCGAGGGTTTACGGAGACGGGGTGGATCCTGTGTAGAATGCTCTAGATTCGAGACCTGGCAGGTTCGCTGTGTTTTTTTCTCGAATTTATGGCCCATTTTGCCAGTAAGCTACAAAACTACAGAATAAGAGAAGGTTCAGTCTGCGCTGGAGCCACGCGGCTCACAGGGAGCCAAAACCTATTCCGTTGTTTGTAGCATGAACCGACTAAGAGAATTGCTACTTTTCTAGGACAGGATGCGAGTTCATCACAGTTTACGCTCAGCATTAGTTCAAGTTTCCCTGACGTTTCGCTGGAACTCATTTAACCCTTTTCCTCCCAAGATCTCATTAGTAATTCCTCTGACTGTCTGCCATACAACCCTTATAATATTACTGGGAGACTTTGGTATTGGATCAACTAATAGTCTCCTTATTGATATTTTTCTTTATTCTCATCACTTGCCTGCTTGATATTGTATTGATATTGTGAGGAGAAATTCTTTCTTGGTCACTCATAGGAGTTTTAAGGGTTAAACTAGTTTGTAGAGAGGTCGAATCTTCCTTGGGACTTTGCCGTTGTCCTTTTTCTATGCTCTCTAATTCACTTACGAAAGATGTTCTTCCCATTTTTATTTACTTACCAGAACCTTTGAATCATCACTTGGAGAGAAATAATGTGGAATATTTACAGTTTGCCTTCCGTTGGATGAATAATCTTCTAATGCGTGAGATGCCTTTAAGATGTACAATACGACTTTGGGATACTTACCTGGTATGTATCTATAAAGAAAATTTCCCTAATGTTACTTATGCAGTCCAAAAACCAAAGCCGAAGTAATTTCAACGGCTGATCAGAGGAGAAGAAAATATTTTCAAGGGCCAATGAGAACTCAAAATGATAAACAGTCGGGGGTAAACACCGGGGGAAAACAGGCGGGGGAAAACACCGGCGACCAAGTCGTGATTGGATGTTAATTTTGCATCTGATTTGTTGAGAGTGGCGCGAGTTTCTGTTAATTTTGCATCTGATTGGTTGAGAGTGGCGCACGTTTCTGCTAATTGTACATCTGATTGGTTGGCAGTGGCACGAGTTTCTGGACTTATCACAGAACAAAGTAAAGTGTATTGAAAATTGCCGTGATAGTTTTGTATGCAAATGTTCATCTCACAGAAACTGAAGACCATAGTCGCGAAGCGATTAAGGTCGTCAAATTAGTGACTTGAGCAGCAAAGTTTTTCGCTTTTTGTTTTTTTTTTACTTGTTTTTTCTACTCATCGGGGCGACCAAAGAGTGGCAACTTCGAGTACTGCATTACGATGTAGTAATTATTGCTTGGCAACTTCAAGACCTCTTAACCTAAAAGTGACAAGGTTCTATTTTCTCTTTACAATCTCTCCCTTGAATCAGATGTTTAAGTCCCGAGAATAAAGGAAATGATCAGCAATTAACAAAGCTCTTGATGGTTTTACAAATTCTCCTTATCAGCACCTAAGGAAATGTATAGAGAACAGTATGGAGAATATGCATACTGATGTTAGGGTGTGAAGGATTAAAAGATTGATGCAATTTATTTTGTTCGTCTTCCCACTAGGCTGTAGAAAATGGATTTGCCTCATTTCATCTGTACGTCTGCGCAGCATTCTTGAAACAGTTTTCAAAAGATATTGTTGAAGAAACAGACTTTCAGGTTTGTGGATAGCTTGTTTCTAGCTTGACAAACTTGACTGATATCCTTCGCGATAGTGAAGTGCTTCTTTATTCAAGGCGCTCAACGCAAAGAATTACCGGTCGGAAGGGGTTATCTAAGAGAGAGAAGCTCGCCACGCCCGACCCTCCCCCCCCCCTCCCTTTTTTTGTCTCTGCTTTAGTTAGTGACCTTTTTACGTTGTAGTGTACATTCAACGAATGGTGAGCACTCGCTCAGTTATGACGTTTGGCTTTATCCCTTTCAGGGAGAACTTGCTCTGATTGTTATTTCGTATAAAATTTATGGATTCACCTCTCTTCCCCCCCCCGTAAACACTTAGTAAATATTAGAACAAAGTTTTCCCGCTGCCTTTGAGTGAAAGCTTTTATATCGACGCTTTCATTTTCAAGGGACACCCATATATGTTTGGTTTGTATTTTAAGATCTTCTTAGATCTAAAATTTTCGCTGCAATTCAACGACTCTTTTCTCATTGGGTATTATTTGATCTTCAAAACTCTCCGTGAACGCGGTATTTTTTTCCATTCTACAGGGTTTAATGCTTTTACTACAGAATCTACCAACAACGAACTGGGACGATCAACAAATAAGCCTTCTGTTGGCGGAAGCTTACAGATTAGAGTACATGTTTGCAGACGCCCCAAAACATCTACAGCACCTCTCGTGAGACGAATGAATCGATACAATAGTTTGGCCGTGTAAATACAGGGTACATACTTAGGTAGAAAGCAGGATGCAGTCACAAAATGGCGGTTAAGTGATAAGAACCGCCCAGCAGTCTCCAAGACTTCGTTACACTAAAAGATTTTAAAACCGCCATCTGGGTTTTTTTGCAAGAATGACATTGAGACACTGTAAAGTTTAACTGGATATAGAAGTGACTTGCTCGAAATTTTGTTCTATGAAAGCCTCGAGAAACCAAATCAGTGATCTCGATGGTTTCTTTATTTTTTCCTTATCGTCCATAGCTCTTCATCTAAAGACCTAGTGACTTTCAGAGCAGTCCGGTGATATTTTTACTATTCTCTCACGTTCCCGTGCATTAGCTCGCCTTGCCACGATTGTAGAATGCGAAAGACGTGTTCTTTTAAATTAGAAAGTAGGGCCAATTAACATAGAGATGAAAAAATGGTATATTTCCTTTTTTGCAACTTTGCTGGTAGGTATGATGTCCTGCGAAATTTCCTTCTCGCCGCAATAATCCGTCTTTTGATAGTTACAATATGGCTTTAAAAAATTATGTTTTCAACTCGATGAATTTCCTATAGTTGTAGTCCCACGCATACCCATAACTGCCGTCATGAGGCTATAATTATATTTTTGTACAGTCTGGATAAGCGCGTTGTACACGATTTTCGTGCCTGCCTGACCGATTGGTATAAATCGTTGATCGAGCATCACTCGTGAAATTGATAATAATCGATAGTTTAGTAAGATCCAGTCGATGAAAAGTCGGAGGCAACATTTTCATGGTCAGTTCGATTGCCATCGTTTGTCTTCGGTTACCATCAACTGCTACCGATTGCCATCAGCTATCTCCGACTGCCATCGTTTGTCGTCGGAGATCTTTGATCACCATCGTTTGTCTTCGGTGGCCGTCGGCTATTTTCGATTGTCGTGGAACCTCTCCGATCGATATCCGTTGTCTTCGGTTATCTTCGTTTGCATTCTATTGTCTTGGACTATCTTCAATTCTTATCGCTTACTTTCGATGGACCTTGATTAATTAACAACTTTTTGGATCCGACGCTTGATTTAGGCTGGGTATCCTGTGCCTCCTAGTGTGGTGACCTTTCTCGTCCTTCGGTTACATTTCCGACGCCATCTTAAACCGTTGCATATTCGAAGCAGGTTTCCAAAAAAGAGAAAGGGAAATCCCTCAGGGTGGCATAGGTGTATTAGCTAAGTTTCGAAGAGAAAACAGATGGAACACTGAGTTTCATGTCTAAGCGACGTATTTGGTGATTGCCCTCTGAACGAGCCGAGTTTGTACGAAGATGATCACCCCATTAGGTTTTTTCGGAATATGCTTTCAAGTGAAGTTTCATTTGAATCTCTCAACAATGTCTGTAAAATGTACAGAAAATCACTTATCCGTCTTTGCATGCCCGACACCTGTCAACCTGTCTCTTACCTCACCTGGTAGGGATATTATCAACATTCGAAGATAAAATTCGCATCCAATTGCAGCCCTTTAAAATCCTCTTTATATTCGATTAAATCGAAGTAAATAGATAATCTTTAAAATCTAGAAATGTTCTTTCACATTTGTTCATCAATTTCGTTGATCAATTTTTTCGATTGGCCTCGACCAATATCGATTTTGATCGATTATGGATTTAATCGGCCGGTCAGGCTCGGTTTTTCCGGTGGTTAGTGGTATCGTTTGTGAAGTTCCCTCACATTTTATTTTAGGCAAGCTGGTATCCCTTGTGTCTAAGAACAAGTTGAATATTTTTATTTAAATGGCTTTAACCATAAAAGGTACTTAGATTGGAAGTTGTAAAGATTGACGAAAGGAAATTTTGTCGATGTTCGGCAACAATAAAATATGTTACAGTTTGGAAACAGTAGTTATCTAGAGAAATTTAATGCTTTTAGTTATTGACAAGTGCACACTCTATTTTATTCGTTGTATCAATGCGGCGAAATAAAGAAGAGAAACCAAAATTTGACCTGGCATACGACCAATCCCCAGCTGTCATTTTAAGACACAGGGATTGAACAGGCACACTCGGGTCTGCAATGCGGGACCACCCAGCGTGGAGGTCTTTGATGCGACACATCCCCGCCAAGAATGATAATTACGAGAGGATTTGACAGAACTGGTGAGAAGTGCGTTCGACCACATTTTTTCTCCAGAATTGGAACAATAGGTTTGGAATGAGATGCCCTTACAATTGAGAAATCTTTCAAAGAATTGAGTTCGAAAAGTAAATAAAAGGAAAACTCGGACATTCTCACTCTAGAAGACTCTTATATTGTCACACAAATCATCCAAAAGGTCAAGCCTTCGTGAAATTTTTAACGAATTAAAGCGAGTTTTTCAGCTGCCAACATGTTATATTCTTAGTTAGTCCTTAGGCAACTTTGTAGTTCTATTTCCTTTATGATATGGTAAATTTATTTCTTCTGTAACTGTGAAACTGTCCTATTAACGACATCATTAGATTATAAGTAATTTTTGAACGCTTATGTAATAGTTTTACTTCTAACTTGCGACCCGCCTAGAATAGCACTCAAGCTCTCTGTGAGTGTATGAAAATCTGAAAATAAAATCCAAGTAATAAAATGTATGTCGAAACGGGAAGAGTGAAGGATAAAGAAGTTTTACATGGACAGGATTGCAAGTGAGACACATGAATAACGTAACCGTGAACCGTTACTGTTATCTTCGGCATCGTCTGTGTCACCAAGTGGTCAGTTCCGACTTATATCGTCACAGTCCTGGTTTTCTTCAGGCAATGACGTCAACTTTGCACGCGTCAACTTCTGGAGTGTTATGCTGAGCGGTAATTGGTTGGTTTTCGTTCGTTGCGATTGACGCATTTTAATAATGTGTTTTCTAAGCAGTCCACTGTCCACCTGGCTTCACTACATCGTGGACATCACTTTTTCTACCGTGAGTGTGTAGCAATATGGATCACGATAAAATAAGGGTTACTTCTTCAAAATGCATTGATCACGGTGAAACTTCTTTTTTTAAATTCGCGGTTTGATATCATATGGTGCGAAAAAGGCAATAAGAATGAGTATTACAAAATAGACAACAGAAAGCAATAGCAGCCAACAATCGAGATGCGAAGAGGCGTGTTTCACCCGCTGCACGGAAATCCATGATGCATGCAAAATCTCTCCCTATCCCTACCGTTCTTGCTAATATGATTAGACTAAACGTGGATTTTAACTAAAATGTGATCTTTTGCCAACATTAATGGAACCTCTTCACCTCTAACATCCGTGTTAAAACGTGTGCTGAAACCCTTATCATACGATAAAGGCTGGTTAAGCTTTCGCCACCTAACGCAAAATCCCTCATTTAAAAGATTACGGAGCTAGTGTTTTATTGATCCAAGCAGTGGTTGATTTAAGAAGCAGAAGAGCTTTAGCGGACTTCACGAATTTTGTAATTTTTTTTTTCAATTGTTGCAAGTTTTCTGTTGGCTGCAGAGACTACAGAGAGAAAGAAACGAACCAAAAAAGAATATCTGAGAACGAAGAGATTTTCTTTGCCCTACGATCGTGAAAAGACAAAATCTTTCTTTATTTCATTTTTGAGCTCAGAATTACTTCTACGAAGCTGTCGACATCGCTGATCCTTGCAGTATGTACGCGTGTGTCCTATCACGCATGAACATTCTGACAAACGCCTAGCTTACCACAGATGGGTTAAGGGGGTGTTTCTTAAGAGACTGAGGAAACACGTCGGTGGGAAAGATTACATGATAACTTAGCTCGGTATCAATTGAGTTGATGATGTAAATTCTGCCTGACCGTAAAGAGTTTCTAAAGCTGACGTTTGCTCGAATGACGAAGGGATAATGAACAAAATGTCAGCTTAAGAAAAGTCTCTACGGTGGCCAATTTACACTACTAACTCAGTTGATAGAGCCAAGTTACCTTATATTAAAGCCAAGCTTACCATATAATTTTCTTTAGCTTAGTAGTAGAGCATTGAGGCGCGGAGGTTCAACAATTTATCATGGGGATGCTGAATTGTTTCTTCATCTCACGCTCGTGATAAGACGAAAAAGCCTTTCGCTTTTTATCAGGGCGATAAAAGATGTGGGAGATAAGAGCGGATTGCAGCTGATAAGCTGGAGCGTTTTCCAAGATGTACTACAAATCCCAAATTTACGTCAACAACAAAATTTTCGTGTTATTTTCCTCGCGATGGACACCTCTTGACCCTTGTGTGAGAGACTGATTGACCTAAAAAGCGAGACAGATATAAGACTCATTTTAGCTGACTCAAAGCGATTCCAGTCGATGCGTTTTCAACGCCTGTGAGCTCTATGCTCACCATAACTGCACTGGACTGGACTGGACTGGACTGGACTGGACTAGACTAGACGTGTCTGAACTCCGAAGCTTATTCTAAAAAGGACTGGACTCCAAAACCGAGGGAAATGGATTTGACTGGACATAGTCTCGCTCTTCTAAACTGGTGAAGCCAAACAGATCACGACAAATTAAAGGAGAAAACGAGGAAAGGGCTTCATTTCATCCACCATTCCACTACTTCTGCTTTCGTTTACGCTGGATTCTTCACAATATGCGAATTAATGGCGTAGGTTTACAAGGACTGCAAGCACTCTGCACGAAAAGACCTGTTTATAAGATGTGGCTTTGTTGAAGTTTGTTTTTTTTGCTTTGCTTGTTGGTCTGCCTGTTTTTGTTTGTTGTTGATGTTGTTGTTGTTGTTTTAATTCATCCGGGAATCCAGTAGCTAAGGGATACAAACAATCATATTTGTTTCAAAAATCAACCTTATGTTCACGAATCTACACGTTTTAATTTTTGGAAAATTACTCTTTACACAGAGCCCTTTTATACAAATCTAAGTCCACTGATACATTATTTAAATCTTGTTTTCCAAATGCTATCCATTATTCGTAAAATCAGTTTGATTCTCCCTACATTCAGAAACAAAGAGAAAAATTAAATGTGACCCTTATTTCGTGACGTATGTCGTTATTACATTATCTTTACCTTTATTTACCCAGCCGGGATGAACCGAACCCTTTAATGCAATCATCCACAGGAATTCAACTGCCATGAGGCTACAAAGGATATGTTTTTTGTTTTTTTTTTATTGTTCAGACAATCACAGAGTGCGAAAATGACCGAGCGATGAAATCATTGCTTCTTCCAAACTAAGATTTCTTCAACAAAATTTCGTAACTGATTTATCTGCTATCATTGTGGTGTAAGCAATTGCCTGCTGACATAAAGTCGCTAAATGTTACATAGTCACCATACTCGGCTAACGAGAGGTCAACAAGGATTTCTCGAGGCCATGAAAGACTCTCTAAGACCTCAACGTTTAAAAACAGATCAATCCTGCGAAAAATTTCAAGACATAACCAGGGCTCCGTTATCTTAAAACTGATCCCTTAAAAACCTCACGAGACGTCTATCACTTGGCGCCTATTAAATTCTCTCAACGGTTTCATCAACTGACGACAAAATTTGGGCGGATGTATTCATAACTCGTTGTCTCTTTGGCAGCGTGACCTCTTTTTTCTGATTCCTTTCTTTAAAGTAAACTTTTAATATATTAATCGCCGTCTATAGTTTATGTAATCATTGTTTACTTTGTTGATTAGAATTTAAAAAATTCTTTCTTGCCGGATGAGTGGTCGCAACGAGATTATTATCAGTGCGCCAAAGCGGTTTCACCTCCAGTGTACCTATCAAATGTTTCCTGTGCGGTTTACACGGTCTTGCTCACTGTGCGTCCGATGTTAGCGTTTGATCGACAGGGTGAACCATGAAAAGGCAGTTAATTTAGACAAGATCCTTTCCCTACCACCTTCCTGTCGGACACTCAGCAGTATTTTTTCAGTCACGCCTTTTAAAGGGAGCTGTTACGTCTAACATAAACAGAAACACAGCCTTGGTGTAGCGTTTTTCTCGTTCGTGGATTTGTAGCACTGTGATCATTTCTGTCCTGGTGAGATGCTGTATTCGACTGTCAACGCTAACACGTCTTGGACGCGCGCTGAATACTTGCTTAACACGACATCGCAAACACCCGCCGCCATGGATCTCCACATCGCAAGGTACGCAGTCTTCTGTTCCATCTTTCTCTTTAGCGTAACTGGGAACACACTGGTAATTCTAACCGTTGTTTTGCTTCGGAAAATGAAAACAGTCCCAATGATATTTATAGCGAACTTAGCAGCCTGCGACCTTACCACTACTGTTTCAAGTATAGCGTTTGACTTGCCAGAGCTGGAACTCGGCTATTGGCCGTACGGAGCTGTTCCCTGCAGGATTATTTATCCACTGGCTACATTTTCAACCAACTCAGCTGCGTTAACTCTAGTGGCGATATCAATTGACCGGTACATCTCGATAATTTGCCCCCTTAACCTGCGTTACCGCATCACGAAAGGTAAATGCTTTAAGATAATCACAGCGATTCATTTTGCCTCTGCGGTCGCAGTTGTACCTTATGTACTCATTTTGAAATACACAGCTGGCTTGGAATCCCCAACGTGTGGCGAAAATTGGCCCGAAGGTTATTCGCTGAACAAAGTGTACACAGTACTGCTGTTTGCGCTCCAATATGGACTGCCTTTGGTTATTATGTCTGTCGTTTATACGCGAATCGGCCTAAAACTTTGTAAAAACACTGGAAAAGCTGCTGAGCTTAGTTCTGGGAAAACAAACAGATCGCGCAGTTCAACAACCAGCTCGGGGCAGACTCTCCTCCACAGTGCACTGGACAAAGCAACTCACTCCATTCAGCGCAGAAAAAGACAGAACGAGAAAACTGCGAAAATGTTTCTGTTTGTTGTTCTTATCTTTTTGATATTCATGATGCCGCATCAATTGCTCTGGCTTAGCTACGAATATGCTAGCAACACCTCTGGTTTCCAGCAACATGAAGACCTCGTGGTCTTTGTATGCCGCGCTTTTACATACGCGAACTCTGTGTTAAACCCACTCGTTTATGGTGTGTGTAACGGTAATTTTCGTCGTGGCGTTTTGTCAGTGCTGAAGTGTCAGTGCAGCAAGGCGAGTCAGAGAAAACAGGTGAGGGAAGCAGAAATTAGAAGAACTGAGACAATGTTGTCTACGAATTCAACGCCTTTGTATGGTGGTTCTTCGGGCTTTAAAGAAAACAGTACACATGCAAATTCTGTCCATTTCTCCCTGCGAAGGGAAGGTTTAATTCGTAACGGAAATGGTGTGGTACACCAAGGAGCTTTGAGGACAAACTTAGATCAAGGGTCCATCTCTAAACTGCCAACAAAAGAATTCAGGACGAAAAGTGAAACGGAAGAAAACAACAATTTGTACAAAACGAAACCAAGCGGTGATAAAATTCCTAAAGAAAGCGTCGCCGCTAAGCCGGAAATTCGTAACTCGCTGTATGATAACTCATTAAACAGCCATCTTCTACATCAAGACTCAGATAGCGATACTATGATATGGCTACGAGAAACGGAAGCTCTTTTGAACAAACTCTGCCGCGAACTTGACGTCTCCAGAGGAGACAAAAGCAGTCAGTACGGAACGCAACGGGAAATTCCATTCCCTTTGAAGGAGAAGAACATTTTAAGCGCCCAGTTGAGCGCGGAAAAAGAGACAATTCTTTAAATAAACCCAGAACATTGTGGGAGATGGTAAGATTTCTTTAAAGCCATTTGTAAGACAACGTCTCCCCCCATCGTGGAGAGCATAACAAAAGAATTTTATTTTAAGAGGGTAAATTAGCAAACAAACTTGGTTGACTGACAAGAACCGGTTCATCATGTGTTTTTACATTTCCTGTTCAAAGCGATTTACAAATTATTTCAAAATGACTAGACGTTGAAATGAATTGTTTTAGGTCGATATTTATCGTTCCAGACATTTCTCTCATTAACAGAACAACATAAATTTCAGCTTAGAGTGCTAATTCTCGACACAATTTCAAGAATGGAATGATTTATTTGGGTTTGCCTCATGTATCATTAACAGATTAAGTCGTTGCTTTTGAATAGCTGGCGACAAGTCCATTGTAAATCTCTTTCAAATGCGTCATTCATTTTGTCAATAAGCGCCTGGTTTTTTTCAAGTTTGTTCATCCATCGTAATTCGTCGCAACTTCAACAAATTTTTTCATTTTGAAACACTCCCTCTGATACGTGCAGAGGAAGTCTTTGCAAGCTGTTCCGTTTTATCTGTTTCGAGATTTGGTAAAGGAACTGAAAATTGCAAATGCGATTCGCGTAAAGTTTTCGAGATCCTATTAACAAACAGTATTTGAATAAAGCTCTTATGCTAAAGACTGATTATTTACATAGGAATTAGTTTGCAGATTTTTTTAACCAAATTTTTTTAAGATTAGGGATTTGTTTATTTTAAATTAAGAGAAAATTTCGACTTGACAACCTTACTTTGAGAATAGTAACGAAATAACATAGAATTTATAGTAAGTAATGAAAGATGTACCTTTTGAAACATGCAATTCGGGCTAGTATTGCTTTTCTTAACCGTTGTGGCCGAGCACACAAGATATTTATAAACTGATAACAATGAACGCCGTCTAGAGTTGTACAAACAACTTGACAACTGAGGTCAATCCCTATCGAATGTTCTTTTCTTCTGTAAGACACGGGAAATAAGTTTTCAAAATAGAAAATTTCACATGCACTGATTTTCATTGTGGTTGCACAGCATGTTTCGTAGTTAATTAATTTTTCGTACTCGGAGGCGGGCAAACGAGAGTAAACACGAGATTTAATGAAGAATTCTAAGATGTGCGTTCTTGATTTCATAATAATGTTGTACTAAAAGAAAGCAATTAAGAGAAGTTATATCTTATTAAATTACCATCTTGTTAAATTTAATTGCTTCGGTACCAGTCAGCGCTGAGGCCATTGCCTTTGGTTTGAATTAAAAGCACTTTTTGAACTGTTTCGCCTCTAAAGGATTCAATTTCATTTTGAAACGAGATAGGAAAGTTGTATGGCCCTACTCAAAAATAAACATGCCCGCTTTGAAACCCCACGATGGTTATACTAAATATGTTTTTAATTAACTTCGCACCTGAACTGGAGTATTCGCTATTGCGACAGCGGTTGATTTCTATACGTGAGGCAACAACCTTGAATCCATATCGAAGGCGGTTAAACCTCATAGAAAAGGTACGCATATATTCGGACAAGCTCTACAATCAGTAACTTTCAAATTGAGTGCCAAGCAAATAAAACTACGAATGATAACATTTATCTAGCTTCTGTTGAGTCAGTATCACCCGGCCTAAACAGAACTTTTTCGAGCTGCAATTTTTTATTTTCTAAATTTTGAACATATCATGGGGTTAAGAAAAAGTTTATTTTCAGAAAGAATTGTTTTGAGGCTGAAGGAGTCAAATACTTTGGTCCATTTATGGCAATCTTAATTTTATTGTTAGGGTATGGTTAGGGGAATTTTTTTGGAGCCATTTTTGAATCAAGATCGGCGCAAGACACGTCCGAATTTTCTCAAGCAAATTGACAAGTGAGATCACTTCTAAATAAATCACGCATCGACAGTTAAGTTCATGAATGTTTTCGCTATATAGGAAATAGCAATCTGTGGTTCATTCGTGGCGGTTGTCATGTTTTGTTGAAAGTAAATCTATATCCTTTTGCTCTCGTTTCGGCCTGGGGGTATGAACTGAGTAGGGTAAACCACTTTGACGAAAACAAACCTCCTCACTTTAAATTAATTTGAGACAGAGGTTTAACATGACCCAGTAGTATCAGGAAATTTTCATAATTATTGGGGTCAAAATGAGCAAAGTAAATGGCACATCAAAACAGAAGGCCAAAGTGGTTTGGTTTTACACTCTCTACAGATTTTGGCCAAACTGCCTACAACCGACAACAGATGGGAACAGAAGAGTGCAGGAACTCTGAAGGTGTTTGCTGTAACTTTATAATACCGGCAAACCTTCATTGTTGTTAAGAAATTACATTAAAACTCAGCTGGAGTTGTTTAAAATAGATATTATCATCTTTCTGCGATTTTAATATCTTATGTTGATTATTATCGACTAGAATTTATTGTAAACATATTTGTAGGAATCAAATACCTGCATTGCTTAAGGTAACGGCTGTGAAGATGCAAGGAATTTATTAAGCTTTTTCAGTCTTCATTTTATCTTATCCATTGATCTTGCCGTGTTAGCTAACCGACAGAGATAGAATACGTAAGATGAATTCTTGAAATGGCACAATATGCTGAGAGGCTGACTTTTCGTCGGAATTTTTTTGCTGACTAAGCTTTCCGCATTTCGTTGAAAGCTTATCAGGTTTGTGATATCTAAAAGGTTTATATATTGCTCCCTAAAACAAGTACGAGTGATATCAGGATCAGACAGGAAATTAAATGACTTCTTTTAAAGGCTTTCTTTTCTCCGGCTTCGTTATGTCCTCTGCAGGTTCTTGTGCTGTCACACTTTAGCCCTCTCTCGACAAAATACTGAAAACGCCTGATATCACAAGATAATACAATCTTCTTTCATTGATCCCAAGGAAAAAAAAAAGACTGACCATGTTCATACTCTTAAGAAAATCGCACAAGATTGCGCCAAAGTGAAACGTGGACGAAAAAGGCAGTTTTCTCGTCTAGGATCTTCCTTATTCTCGTCATCACTACTAACGTAGCGGAAAGAAGTCTGGAAGCAGTAATACGTCTTTTTGTATACCGATATCTATAAGTATTGCCATATGTTATATGAAAAAACCCCAGATTATTTACACAAATCTTCCTCGTGCACCATGTTTTCTTTCTCACATCAAGTGCTTCAGCTGGCCTATGCCACCATAGAATTATTCCTCTGAATTGTAGGGCATCGGAGCGCAGAATCTGCAAATATTTACCTTGTCCTACACAAGACGAAAAACATCTTTCTTGAAAAAAAAAACAAACAAACAAACAGAGAAATTCATTCGCCTTGCTTCGCCTTCTTGATTTCACTCTCCTAAAATTCTCGATGTGCGAAACCAAATGCGAAAAAAGTTCTTGAGTCACCCTCTAAAATGTCAGTTTTCTTAAGCTGAATTTCAAGTTGTCGAAATGGAAATATATAAAGGAAGAGTCTCACTGTGGGAAAATTCGCCATGCGTTTTACTTCATTTCGACACTCATGGGTTGTGATCATGAATAGAAAGGGAAATCTTTTCTTTTTTCGCAGTTCTTCCCTTTAATTGGATAAATTTAGTTTTCTTAAATAAATTCTTAAGAGCTTATATTAATTCATGTCAAACAACTATGAGCAGAAATAACTTTGACATTCCCATATTTTGCTCTGAAGCCGTTTATGCCGCGATCACATTATTTTCGTCCAGGACTCCTTCGGTTCAAAGAAAAGTTGGAAAGGAGCTGGCACTAGCCAAACCCTCCTCCTCAAACTGTATGCTCGCGTGGCCTGCCGAGGAATGATTAAATTTATTAATAATCGGCTTTCTGTCCTCACAGATGGCATCATCACCTGATCACGGAAGCCTGCGCGTATGAATCAGCTATTTTACGTAACCGTCGCACCCTTCCAGAGTGGAGAAAACTATTGGTACGTTGAAACTTTGAACAAAAAGCGGTTGTTGATCTTGCAATGAAACTATGGAGCATGCACCATAACCTTTGGAGGGTCAGCTAAAAAAGAGCTTTTCATGATCTACAAATTAAAGTGATTCTTGGCTCGCTGGCGGTAAAAACCATCTCCTCCTCAGATGAAGTAAGGGCTCGCGATCGGTCAGGGAAACCCCAGGGTGGTAAGGTAGTTTAAGTTTTCTTTTTGACTTAACACGGACGGTATGAACATGAGAAATCACAGGTATAGTTTACACTGCTCCTAAGGTGTACATTTGAACAACTCAGCATTCTTGACGCATGTACGTAGCCCGGATGTGAAAAAAACGGAGGCACACCTCAAGCAGAGCAGCAGTCAACATCGGAAAGATACTGCTTGCTGCTAGTGTAGAAAGCAGCTGGATCTACTTAGTGGATGAACTCGCATCATTTTCATAACCTCCAGCCTTTAAGATCTTTTGTAAAAGATCATTTTATCAAAACAACTAGGCAGGGCCGTATGGTTTTTTTTCAAGTCATGCCTGTGCGAGAAACCAAACAGCAAAATTCTTAAAGGAGTAACTTTCTGAAGAAACTGTGGTGCTGCGTCCGTGGTAGAGTATATCAGGGTAATTTGGTATTATCAACTGAGTTGATAACGGAAATTTGCCACCGTTGGAGCGTTAGCCCTTCGTCATAGCTCTGACGAAGGGCTAACGCTCGAAACGTCATTAAAATTTTTAGTCACTCTTTGTAGTCTTCCACGCTAGGATTCTAAGGCAATCAATGGCAAAAACATTTTCCTTCAAGTGTTATGAGGCGTTGATTTTGTTCGCTGAAAATAGTATTCCTGTGTTCAGTATCACTGAGAAAGGCAATCGCATCATCTCAGGACGAGGAACACTCACAGAAGAGTAAGGATCTCAGTGATCAAGAAAACTTCAACGGCTTCTAAAGAACGTGTATTCGCCTTCGACACAGTAGACATGGCTCATAAAGTGTGGTCGTCTCCCAAACTCCAAAGAAGTAAGATCAGGCGAAAAAGAAATGAGATCCGCAAAGGCTGGCGAAGGATCGCTTGGACTGTAAGTGGAAAACATGAAGGATTCGTTTTTGACGATAGACAACTGACATAGGATAAGACGTGTTCAAGCCACTGATTTTAAAATCTAAGAGGTGAGTTATTTGGAACTCTAAACATTACAGTGAAAGTCATATTCATATCGAACAAACATCATCTTTTATTCCGAAATGCTTGTTAACATAAGGCTGTCTTGAATTTTGAAGCTGATATTGCTATTTTTAATTAAATAACTGCAGACTAAACGGCAATGAACCTTCTGTTACAAACACGGCTTTTTTGTTCTTTTCCTGTTTTCTCGGGCATGTCTTCCTGGAATTTTCTGATTTGTCATAATGATTGACTAGTTCTCAGCAAGAGAATTTAATTTGATCAACAGCTCATAAAGGTGAATGAAGCGGAAATACTTGCAATGATTCCCATGACCGGTATTTCCTTCACATGCATAAGGTATTTATCACATTGATTCATCAAAAAACGAGTATTGCAAATTGAAATTAAAACAACTGTAGCAATTCTTAAGCATGAGAAAGATCTTTCCACTCAAGGAATGTGTTAACATGAATTTTCTAATTTGAATATTATCAGGGAAAAACTGTGCTAGTTTTCTCTAACTTTCGCCATCCTCTTTATTCAGAGGCCTTTTCTTTTCATTCCCTTTTTTTAATCGCACTACTTGGTAATTTTAAGTTCCTCCCACGGAAGGGGTTATTTGGAGTTAACATCAGCATTTATCGTTCGTTAGAATGACTGAAGTTGTTTTAATTTCAGTTTGCAATACTCATTCATTCTCACAACGTCGTGCATATCGACAACAGCTACGACACCAATACCGACTTCTGTTTCCTTTATGAATCGAGGTTGGTAGAAGCACGAGTAAATTAAAGTAGAAGTGAGTAAAAGTGAATAAGGTTGTTCTTCCTCGTATACCATGTTTTCTATCTCACATCAAGTGCTTCAGCTGGCCTATGTCACCATAGAATTATTCCTCTGAACTGTAGGGCATCGGAGCGCAGAATCTGCAAATATTTATCTTGCCCTACACTTTTAACTAGACGAAAAACATCTTTCTTGAAAATAAAAACAAACAAACAAACAGAGAAATTCATCATAGTGGCACCCGGCTTCGATGAGGTAAACAACCATGCAAGATGATGCTAAAAACAAAGTTGCGAAATATGTCTTCTCGTCTTGTCGCGAGCCTGCGACAAAACAACATCCTGAGCCCCCTTGAGGAATTGAACCTCAGACCTTCGGATTCCGCGCATCAATGCTATACTACTGGACCTCAGAGACTCTACGAGAAAACTTCTTTCGCTATTTCTTTACCGAGCTCAAAATTTAGCATCTTTCCTATTCTGTTTTCAAGCAAACAAAGTTAATAAGTAAATTGAAAACAGATCGACAACAACTGCAGTAAATTGCCCCTCACTCTATAACCCTTTCACTCCTATGATCTCATTAGTAACTCTCCTTTTTGTTTACCTTACAATTCTCATGATGTTAGTTCGGATAATTTGGTATTAGATCAACTAATGGTCCCCAAACTGACTTTTTCTCGATTCTCATCACTTATCTTCTTGATATTGTACTGATAGTGTAAGAAGAAATTCTGTCTTGATCACTAATGGGAGTAAAAGTGTTAACTGATATTGATATGATGTTTCATGGATTAATCACCTAATTCCGTAAGAATAAACAAACTCACGATCCTTTCGATGTGACCTTATTTTGGTTTCTTAATTCAATTTGTTCAAAGCAATTACGCGGTATCTTTTCAACTGTGTAATCAGAGCAAATCAACAAGTACTAATGTTCTTGTGCTTAGATCTGCTTTGACCGCTGTTGAAAGGAGGATATTGAAACAAGGAAATAATCTTCAATTCAAGTGGCATTAGCGGTTGAACTTCTGGTAAAAGAAGTGCTCAATCCAAAACCTTTGAGCTGAACAGACGATATAACATTTTGACGCTTCCATCCAATTAAAAGCTGTCTCTTTAAGCGTGCAGACTTTAACCGGGTAATCCCAAGTTTTTTTTCTCTCGTAATGAAAGTCTGTTGAACTTGAGACATAAACAAAGCAATTACTTCGCATTCAAAAATCCTAAATCTCTTTTACTACTCAATTGAAGTGCTACTGACACCTTGGTAACGGTTGTAAATGGTTCCTTGAGAACGCTCAGACAAACAGAAATTAGCTGACTTCTTTGATCTGTTTGGACGCTCACGGACAATATATGGTGTCTTTTTACTCAAACCGCACTTGGAAATAAGACGCGTTATGTTATTCTTGTGGGAAAAGAGGAGACTATCAATAACTGACAAAACAGAAAGATATATGCAAATTTTTGAGAAGGATTTTAAACGAATCTACCGTTTTTTGTTTTGTTTTGTTTTGTTTTTTTTTTCACTTTTCCGTCATACCACATAGATTTAAAGGAGATTAAAGCTATACGGGTGTGTTCTTTTGTCGGATCAGAATAGAAGGTCAGACTAACAATACAAATAGAAATAACAAGCATAGCAAACCTTTTGATTTTAACCTATACTTTGCTTTTGTTAACATCTCAAAATATATTTCTACAAAGCAAAGTAAATTTTCAATTGATCCGCTTATTGAACGTGATATTTACTTATGTGAGGTGATTACATAATGAACTTCGATGAAACAGTTCTATATTAAATTTGCAGGGTTTATGAAATTCTTCTTGATGGTACGTGCGACGCAACTGGATTCGGAGCAAAGCATTTTCTGCGTCATCATTCATTTGTACAACAGATCATCTCACTTGCGACCTAGGTTAAAAGCCTTAAAATAAATTAAGAGATATCTTTGATATTGTCTTAAAGTGTGATTAAATAAGCATCAACTTTTGAACATTGAAATTTAAGAGCTGGAAGAGATAAAACTGATCTTGACCTAAGTTGGATCAAAATTGTTGCCGGTGCAAGCAAGGAAAAAAATCTTGGCTCAAGCTTCGACGATGATGAAACAGCAAACTTGACACCCACTACGAGGGGGTAATAGTGGCTATCAGATCATTTTATTACATCGCTTTCGGCCATTTAGTATAAAATTACCTTAAGCTACAAGTTCAGTTTTATGTAAACACACATGTAAATGACTCATGCCACGAACTCACTTTAGCATCCTGTTTATCTGCTTCAAGGAATTTCAGTACGTGAGCTGGATTAATTTCTTGCGCTGAAGGAAATTCCAAGCCTTCTTGCAAGGTATTACCCGACGCATCACTCTCCCCAGTGTTGAAGAACTTGTGCACAGCGCAATATCTCACCATTTCAGAGAAGGCAAGATGAACTCGACAGCAGAACCAAACGTACAAAACTTGTTTCGCGACCAGATGGCAGTCAAAGCGATAATGACTCTTCTCTACGTTATCATCTTAATCCTAAGCATCGTAGGTAATGCTTTGGTCATAACAATAATTTGCAGGTTTAAACATTTGAAGCGCGTTCCCGGCAATCTTTTCATTGTGAATCTCGCTTTGTGCGATTTGCTTACCCCACTGATTAGCATTCCTCTTGAAATGGCGTTGGTAGAAAACAGTGGCAAGTGGCCATTCGGGTCCTTCTTGTGCAAGATGTTTCCAGCGGCCGCAACTTTGTTTGCGACTTCTTCATCCCTCACACTGGCAGCAATCTCACTGGATCGATACAGGACACTGATGCATCCATTCAAGCAGCGTTTGGACACAAGAACCGTCAAGAAGCTTATTGCGTTTGTTCACTGCTTTTCAGGGATCCTGGTCATTCCCTATTTGATAACCTCGCGATTGTCACCAAATTCCGTTTGTGGAGAAGTTTGGCCTAACGAAGTCCTCTCCAAGATTTACACATTTGTTCTGTTTCTTGCCCAGTACGCTCTCCCTCTGATGTTCATGGCCTTCATGTACATCCACGCAGCAAGGAATCTCTTCATGACCACGAGCAAGGCACGTTCCTTATCGTTTTCATCTGCATCGTCGAAGGATAGAAGAAATGGGTCACCAAAACCGGACAACAGTCCAAAAGCCTCAGAGGATGGAAGCTTAAACAACACCCTGGATAAACACTTTCGTCAGCACCGTGACCATAACGCTCAAGTTACTAAAGTTTTTGTGGCCATCGTTGTGATATTCGCTTTGTTTACGTTGCCCATTGAGGTCCTATGGATTTGGGGAGACTTTGCTGGAGGGAAAACCCACAGGCTCTACCCAACTATAGCCGTCATCTGCCGTCTTTTCACATACGCCAATAGCTGTTTGAATCCATTTATCTTCTACAAGTTTAACCGCGATTTTCACCAGGGGTTTGTGGCCGTCTCCAGACATCTATCCTCTTGCGGAGATGATAGCTCTCTGCAATCCAACAGCAGTTCTCCCGTTGGAAATGGAAAGTACGCTCCTTTGTGGCTGACACCACGTGGGTCATTGAGCACACCAAGGTTTCTAACACCCAGAGGATCATTTCAAAGTATTCCAAGACATTCAGGGAACTTTTTGGATCACCAGTCAAATACAAATCATAACGGTAATAAAATGAAAAAGTGCTTGGATATCCCTTCAATGGACCAACCGTGTAGTCATTCGAAAGCGACCCATGTTTCGAACTATCTCAGTGGAGATACGCTGGGTTTCCCAGCTTTGAACAGTGCCTCGGATCCTTGCATTTCGAATGCTAACTGCAAAATATCTATAAACGTTTCCTTTTACGAAAGCGATTTAACCGTCGAGTTGGACAGGTTAGAGTCACTTGCGGGTCTTCCCCAGACAGACTGTTAGTTAGGAAATTATTCGTGAGGTTTATCAAAATACTGAAAGAATTTCTGAAAATCAAAATTTATAGAATGACAAGAGAAGGTTAAGTCGTGTCTCTCCGAAGAAACTGTAGCCTCAACCTCACCGTATCGCAAACATTTTGTAGAGCGGTATTTTCAAAGGAAATGCCCAGAACCTGCGTTAATGTGACCTCAAATACATACATACATATATATATATATACATACACACACATATATAATTATACATGTATATGTATATACGTATAAGATGGACCGTCTTGTTGTCACGAAAAAAAATTTAATCTCCTCAACTACAGACATGAAAAACATGTTAATACATCAAATTACAAATATATTATTCAACGCAGACTTGATTGAAATTTAAGGGGGCTAGGTTCATCCGCCGTAACTGAAAGTGCACAGTTTTAAGTGCTTTATAATTAATCTGATTATTATTAGAAAAAACTTTATGATCGCTTTCTCTCTTGCTTAGCAGATATCGAGAGGGTCGTTGACTGAAAGATCTTTTCAGCTGTTAAAATTCTATCATCAAGACAATAAAAAACTGCTTAAAAGTACTTGCTTTGGCCCATGTAATTGTTAATTAAGTTTTGCGGGAACTCCAACTGTGCAGTGTCCTGAGTGATTAAATTGTTTTGTTTTGATGTGTTAATTGAATATTTTAGTAAACAATCTTAAAAAAAGGCGCTTGATTAGCTCTTAAATCATTGCCCCAGGTCAAATGGCTCGCCGCTGGGATTCTGAGCGTCGACAAATGAATGAATCCTGTCAAAAGTTGCACGAATGGAGAATTGTCTGATTTGAAGACTACTTTCATGTTTACACGTTATATGTTTTAATTCTAACTTTTCAAGACTTGTCCCATGACATCAGATGATAAAAAAATCTCTACACAAGCAGGACGACAGAAACATCTCTCAAAGCACGGAATTGACACATGCAAAATCAATCAATCATCATAAAAAATTTAATTCGTCACGCTATGTTTAGATTCAAAGGTTGCTAGGTCCTCATTATTGGCGCCGCAAGACGTACGTTTCTCCGCCCGCGAGACGAGTTGGGGAGAGTTTTGCCGAGGATCTAGCGCTTAAACGAAACTCTCTTCCTTAAAACCCTTTTTGAACTTCAGTCATTTCACTAAATTTATTCTATCTCATCATCGCTGATCTTTTTTCTCAGCAAATATTCTTGCTCAGTTTTTTATCAAATTTTCCCCAGTCTGGCGCATTTTCAGAAAACTGATCATGATGAAGGTCTTTCCTTCACTGATAATCTGAAGTTTTCATGATATCTTTTTGTTTTGCTTTGTGTTTTGTGCTTTGATATTGTGATCGCTTTAAATTCTAACATAGTTAGTAAATTTGACTAATCAAATTCAATGGCGCGAGCGTGCTTCATATTCCTATTGTGCACGCTCATGACGTCCGCAAACAAATCCCTCGAGAAAAAAAATTTCCATCAGGTTGAAAATGTTATAAAACAATTGGTTCATGCGTCAGCTGTGCGTTCATCGAGATATGAAGCACGCGGGAAGTTTGGAGAGGACTCAAGAAAACTCTTACGCATCTTTCATGCTCTCCAAACTTTCCGCGTGCTTCATATCTCGATGAACGCACTCTAACGTATGAAACGATTGTTAACTTGAGCATGCCTAAGTTATTTTTAACCATTTTTTCCTTTTTATAAATTCTTAGCAAAGGGATATGTCAACGCTGAATAACTCAGGCTTATCAATGAACTTACTTCGTTAACGTCATTTAGATGGTATTCTTAGATAGGAGAAGGTTATAAGAGGGAAAAAAAATCCCTTGGACCAGGAAAAAAACGTTGATTAATATTAATTAATATTTTTCGGGGACAAGAAGGGGAATATTGAAATGAAAATAGCGCTTATATCCATGTGTAAAGATGTATTGCCATTGATAACTGAAAGAGATGTTTAGGTCACTGAGATTTGAAAGAATTTTATCTTTTGTGAAGACAACTTGGGACGGTCGTGGAATTTAGTGAGATGTTTTACTCAAAGTTTGTTTGCGATTCAAAGATAAAAGGTGGAAACGGTAAACAATGTAAGTGGGATGTCCTTTGATTATCCGAGGTTTCGTTTTCAATTGGTTAGGGAAATTCTATTTCTTTAGGGAAGAGTCACTGAGAAAATTTTTATCATTGACGGAGATCAGGCTCCTGCGGGAATTGACATCGTTTTACGCTGTCTGACTTCATTGTGAAAACGAGACTGTCATTACCTTGATAATATACATAGAAAATTCCGTCAGTCATATTTCCTGAGTGGAATTAAGTTTTCTAGCATCGCAATGCTCAAGAGAGGTAAATAAGTGCAGAGAAGAATCAATTCAGTGCAAATTGAAAGCAAGAAGCTGTTTATCCGTACTTTGAACTTTTTGGCGGCTTATACTGAACGTGAGAAGACATTTGTAAAATTATTATTCTGATTCAGCACGTGCACGATGACATTTACATCGTTTGAAGGTAAGAAGCTGTTGACCCGAGCTTTCAATTTTTTCGGGGCTTAAAGTGAACGTTCGAAAACATTTGGAAAATTTTTGTTTTAATTTAGAAGGCGTACCATGACATTTACAGCGTTTAAATGAATTAGTCGCTATCTCTGCTTCTACGTATTTATGAAAAGCTGTCTCGTAACGTCTTACGCATGCGATTACCCAAACTTCTACATTCTATACCGCGCACGTTATGCTACCCCACACAAGTCGAAATATAGTCTCCTAACCTGGTTTTCAACAGTTTAAAATTTTAGCGGCACTTTGATGGAATGAAAAGTGCAGACGCATAAGCACGCGGATTCCCCTTTCAGCTAGACATCAGTAATTTCCTCTCCAGGAAAACGTATTAACGTCCTGAATAAGAAGACCAGATATCATTTAATTATGCGACGTTCTTCCAGATTAATGAGGTTCTCGACCGGGGGCATGGGCCTCGTGACATAGATACCATTTTAGTTTAGTGTTGTAACACTGATAACATTCAGCCTCTGACTATTTTTTTTTCGATTCCTCTCTCGTTAAAGAACCCACGCACTTTTCGCAGAAAGTAGATAACGTTACTTCAGATATTGTAGTCTGGCCTTGCTTCGAAAACTTCTTAAACTGGGGGCACCTGCAAAAATTTCCATCAAAAATTTCCGTCAAAAATTTCAAACCGCTCAATGTATTCTGACCACCAAAGTCTCCCCCAAAGTGTTGTAGAACGTATTAGAGCATTATTATCAATATGGAAAATACGCCATATAAATGCATCATTATCAGTATTATTATCCTGGATCACATTTCGTGAGAAGAGGTTGTTTATCAATCGCTTCTGGGAATTGAAAGGCTAAACCCACGAAGTTGCTATGCTTTCATCTCGAGACACTTTTCTTGCACTTGTAGTTGAAATCACATGGCGGGCTTTTAGCGCTTGCTCTGCCTGGCAATATTCACGTTTGTGTAGTTGTGACTGTAGTGTTGATTTGCTACATGTTTCGATAGAAAATTTAGGATTATTTTGATCAACGAGTGGACCGCTTTCCTGAGTTCCCATTTTCCTCTGGCGCGCAAGCTTCGTGTCGCCGCCAACCTGTGGGGTAATGTCAAATTTGCTCCAAAGTCTTTGTATCCTCTCCAAGTTCGTCTCTTGTCTTCTCCCGGTCATTCTCCGTAGGATTTTATGCAAACCGCGACGATAATCGCGTCTAAATGTGAAAAATATAATAGGGTTTAGGCAACCGTTGGTGTAAGTGAAGAACCGACAGATTATAATCTCTTTCGTAAGGGAGGTGACATCACCGTTCTTGCCAAAATCGATCCATAACCACAGCACTTGGTTAGGAAGGGTGCAGATGGCAAATGCAACGACGATAATTACAAACATTTTTGTGACTTTCACGTTTTGTTCTTGGCTCACGACAAAGCTTTCACGGCGCACAAGACGTTCTCTGAAGGATGTGGATGTGCGTCTGTCATTTTCAAGGGAGATTGACATTTTTCTTAAATTCTTGGTCGCAGTGTAAAGTTTCGAAGAAGCGAGAATATACATAGTCATCATGAACAGCAAAGGAAGCGCGTACTGCACAGAGACCAAAAACACTGTGTAAATTTGTCGATACGAAAACCCTGGCCATTCTTCAATGCAAATATTGTTCTGTAATCCAAGGAACACGGCGTATGGAACAACAAATAAAACAGAAACACAATCCACCGCTACAAGGATACATTTTACTTGGATCACCGAGAGTTTTGATTTAAAAGGATGAAGCAATGTCCGGTATCTATCCAGCGAAATGGCGGCCAAAGTGAGGGATGAACAAGTGGAAAGAAGAGTAGCTGCAGGGAACAACAGCTTGCACAAAGCATCACCATAAGGCCAGATGTAGTGGTTCTCTTCCAGCACAACATCAAACGGAATACTCATAATCAAGGTTAATAAGTCAACAAAAGCCAGATTTAAAATGAGAATGTTACTTGGCAGAGACCTCATGCGCTTTGAGCTAAGAATTACCGCTATTAGCATTGCATTTCCAGTTGTGCAGATGAGGAGTATCGAACAATACAAGACTATCTTTGGGATTTTAAAGCCCAGTGTTTCTGGTGGCGGATAAATTGTATGTAAATGAAGATCCGCATTTCTTGTAGCGTCATCTGAAAGAGATACATTGGTCATATTTGTTTCCTCCTTAGTCAGATCCAGTTTCTGAAATTCGACTATTAAAATGTGTTAGACCTTTTTAGGTTGCTTAAATCTTTAATATGCGACTTACAGTTTAATTTACTAAAAGCTTTGACGACCAATCAACAGGCAGATAATGTTGTGAATGTTTAATCAACTGACACCGTTCGGGAAGTCCACAAAGAGACACGGCATGCAATAATTTCAAAGTTTATATGTGGATAGACAAAAACTGCAGCCGCCTGATTAGTAAATTAAAACGATGACATAAGGTAAAAAAAAATAAATTGTTTGATTCTATAGACATTCATGCTTTTTTTTTTGAGCTGATCAACAAACAACTAGATCTGTCATTATGAATATCATGCGACTTGGCGATCTAAAGTTGACGTGAGTGGTTGGTGGTAATTCGCTCGCAAAATCAGCTGCCTGTTTCAACCTAAGCAGCCAATAGCGCCGACGTTTTAGCTCTCCTTTTAGCTTTTAATCTTGCAATATCGCTTAAAAGATCGATAATTCGGGGAAGACAATAGTGATGGTGAATTACCTTTGTACTCACCGTCAGCAGGAAAGTGGACATGGAAAAACCATTAACACAAATTTTATTGCAAAAGAGGGGCGGGATTTAGCATCTTTGTAACTTTTCTTATCACATATGACTCAGCATTTCACCCTATATTTCTTAACTAGGTCAGTTTGCCGCTATAAAATTAAGAAACTGCTATTGATAATCAAGGATCATATAGAAGGAAATCTTAAGAGAGTTTTGGGGTGAGCAATTTTGAAAACTGGACAACTAAACTACAGTTTTCATGTTATTCGGATAAATCATGTAATTTATACAAGTGTTTTGTATGAAAACTTGCCTACGCGATGTTTAGAACACCCGCTGTGTAAAATTACAGTCAGTAATGAAACAAATATTCAAAGTAGCACCCAGTAGTGATAGCCAGACGTAATTGATGCAGGGGTAAGTTTCTAAAGAAACTGTGGTGCTGTGTCTATGGGGGAGTATAACAAGGTAATTTGGTTTTATCAACTGAGTTGATAATTTAAATTGGCAGCCGCAAAGAGGTTCTAAAGCTGACGTTTCGAGCGTTAGCCACTTATCAGAGCATTAAGAGCAATTTTGGGTTTTGTGTGGTTTATACACAGAAAGATAGAGCTGCACTTTGGTTGAAGCATGACTACGACAAAAGAATATATTTTTTGAAAAGAGTTCGTTGATACTGTGGGGATTAAGAGTGCCGATTTGAAAGATAAATTTTTGTTCTAGAGTTTTGCGGCTTCCCGAATTGCGTAAATGTATGGAAAGGCTACATAAGGCTGCCATATGGTGCTTAGAATGGTTAGGGAAATTAAATTGTCAAAATACTGATCTTTATGTGTCTTTGTTATTCCTTTCTACGTCATGGCGTTCTCTGGATCGGTCGCCTAAGTCGTCTTTCTGTTTCGCCGAAGTAATTAAGCCGGTAAGATTCAAACCAAACTAAACTTGAAAACTGGTTCGATTGCAGGAAAGTTCGCGGCAGAGGAAGTTCATAAATTGTTTGAGATATCAGATCATTTAAAACTGATATCACTTTCTAGATCCATTCCACATCATGGAAAGGTGACAGCAATTAAGAGAACATACGGTGATTAACAGTAGAAAAGAAATTATTTGCATAACCGGCAAAGTTCGAGAGGATTTCTCCTGTTTGACACAGTTCAAATACATACCCTGAAAAACCAAACTAACCCCTCACAACCTAACATCAGCATGAAAGCCTTATCCATACTGCGCTCTATTCATTCCCTATGGCACTTACGAAGAGAATTTGTCTAAAAATTGAAGCAGTTCTTGAATTTGCGATCATTTCCTTTACTCTTAAGTAATGTTTCATCTTGGGATGAAAATATTGGGTAAATTAGCTGCTTCTTACTCTTAGGGGTTACAGGGTTCATCTTTTGAGTTCTAGGTTATTTTGACTTTCTATGAATGGTTTTGGGCAATTTTGTCATTATCTAGCGAAATTGGAAAGCTATCACCTTTTTTTTTTTAAATAAGAGGCCGTTCACACGTCAACGATTTTACATACTTCCGACCGCCCGACTTTATACTTAAAAACCGCAAGCTCTTTACGTCTCTGATACTGCCTATGTGGCCATATGTAAGACGATGAGATAAGGCGACGTCAGTTTGCCCGTATGTAGCCTTTGTAATCCAAGGGATACGGCGCATGGAACAAATAAACAAATAAATGGAACAAATAAACAGAAAGATAATCCACACTACAAGGATTCATATTTTTGAGTCACCGATAATATTAAAAAATCGCACGATTTGTTTAAACTGAAGCAAGTGAGGTTAGATTACTGAAATCTCACATTACTGAAATATAGGCGCTCGATTCTAAAATTTTCCCACAGCCTAAAAAGCCACTCCTGATACTAACAGTTCAACATCTGCTTTCTCAAAATATCATGTTGAGATGTAAGGAGATTTACAGAAATGGAAAACAATATATGTTCGCATGAATTATTTCTTTGTTATTCTGTGTAAAAGGTTTGGCTGTTCTGCTGAGATGAAAATTAATTCTTTCGATTCTGCTTCCACTTGGTTCAACCCTTTTAAATTTAGTGCGTTTTGTTGACAACGACGTTTGGAAGGTAATGAGCTCATTGAATCGAGGCTTTGAAGGAGCTTCGTATACCTTCACCTCTAGAACTCTCCTTGAAGTCAAAAGTGTCATTATTTGCAATGTCGAGGTATCAGCGGGAAGCGCCTCCTTCATTAAAGACGCTATTTGTTGATTCCACTTCATGCCCATCTCTTCTTGCAACAGAAGGATCAGCAATGGATGTCAACATGATAGCATGTCTTTGCGTGGACATGGGTCATGTGGAATTCTTAATCAAACTCTTCCTGAAACGAAACTCACGGCTATAAAAGCCATAGATAATTGGATTGAGGACACTATTTGAGTATGTGAACAGTCCAAACAGTCAACAAATAGCTGATATGATGGCAAAGTAGTCGCTATCTTTTCCATTTCCGAAATCCACCCATAACCATAAGACTTGGTTGGGGAACATACTCAACGAAAACACTATTACAGCCACAATAAACATCTTCGTGACTTGAATGTTTTGCTCCTTTTTCTTCCTACGAAGATTCATAGCAGAGAGCTCTGATTGCGATCTCTCTATCCCTGTGAATTCCATTTATTTGTGGTTTCATATAATTTGATGGTCCGCGGAGGGTCCTAAGCGCAAGAGAATGTAAAGTGACCATAAGAGTAAACGGTATTCCATATTGTACAAGAAATAGAATCAAAGTGTATGCTTTTCTGAAGCTCGAGACGGGAGCAGGCCAGTTCTCAAGGCAATCACCTCCTTCCAACCTCAGCACACCAACATAAGGTATCATCAACACACGTGATGTGAAATGAATTGCAAAGATGCAGTGCTTGGTGTGAGTTTTCGTGATCCTTCGGGCCTTAAAAGGATGCACGATTGCTCGAAATCTGTCTTAACAAATCATAGTTAGCGTTAAGGATGTTGAAGTGGAGAACATTGTCTGTAGAGGCCCAAGTATCCTGCAAAGGATTGGCCAAAAAGTCCACTTGTAGCCGGATTCTTCAAAAATCCAATCGATCGGGATGCTGATGGTGGGAGTAATGGCGTCACAGATGGTCTGAGTCCTGATAATGTGTACGACAACTTAAGGTCAAGATAATTACGTATAAGACGTACGTAGGGATTTGGAACCGAGCGATTATTGCAGCTCTCAAAGACGTAGTCGTAGTCGTCGATAGTGTGCTTGGCGAGGTGCAGTTAAACCCTGAAATCGCGTCATTTCTCCCAAAAATCAGTAAAAGTGTTGGATTTTCCGTTTATTTGAAAAATTGGTAACTGAAGTTTACCTTTCTCGAGAGATAATAATCAGTTCATGGAGAGCGACTCGCTGATCTTAAGCTCACGTGAATCCCGTTAATTGAAGGGCTTAACGGTTTGGGATAGCCGTTAGAGTTCCGAAGAGCATCTAGATTACGTCAAAGCAGTGGTAAATGCAAATTTATATTATAATCTCGTCGCGTAGATGTTCATCCATTAGACCTGAGTAATTAGCTAGCAAAGGCTTAATGAACTTGCGTGCGAAGCACTAATTCTGCTCAAATCAAAATCTTTTTCTGATAGTAGGTGATAACCTCAGAAGTTTATCTTCTCTAAAGCAATGTCACCTATCCTTTGGTTGAGGTCTCAAGTGACGGTAAATTTGAAAATTGGGGGAGGAAAAAAAACAATTAAAAACAAAGAAGATTTGACTTTTAGTGATTACATTTAGATCTAATTTCTACTTAACGGCAAACGAAAAAAAAAGATCTCTCCAATCGAACCTGTTCAAAATTGAAGGAAGAAAAATCTCTTGTTCAGCGCCGATGCAAATATGTTCACCTCAAAGCACAAGCTGCTAAAAAAAAGACTCCGAAAGTTCAAGTTTTGCTGTTTGCTGTTTCCCGTTGATATTATGCTTAACCCCTCTTTTAAAACCCAAGAGAATTGGGCGGAATACCAATTAAGCTTCATTTTAGGTAATCATCAATCAATCGCAAATTGGGAGGATCGAAGGAAGTCATTGCGCCAACAGATGAGACCTTTAACCACTGCGGTTTTTTAAGAACCTTATCGACCATTTACAGTTCATATTCTTCTTTTCCTTTAATCAAATTAAAGAAAGCCCTAGAGGTAAAGGTGGTGAGAAGTCAGTTTCTTTTCCGGTGGTTATCTCGCAAAAACTAATTCAGATATTAGGGGTTTGTCAAGTGATTCTTCATCTTCAGTTACTTTGCCTGTCCAAGTATGAGAATAAATTTTGATGGAGATGGCATGTTCTTTTATAGCTTTTCAACTGAAAGTCGCCTGTGCTCGCCAGGAATTTAGCAAAACAGTCCACATTTGGCTAAAATACTATAATGAGCAACATCTTATGTAACTACGGTGATGAATGACTGATGAGTTTTGACTCAACATAGCAAAACAACAAGAAGACAAAGTAACGAACCAAATAAAAAACAACGAGCCAACGACAAAAAAAAAGCAAGAACCAAAAATAGAAAAATCCGAAATCAAACACTAAAAACAAAGTCCTGATCAAAATCCTCTAATCATGCATGTTATACGAACTTTAGTTCTGTACTTTTTACGAAGAATCGAACCATGACTCTCTTGTCAACCTGAAACGTAATACTATACGCTGTTGTTTTGAAGTTGATCTACTTTTTAAAACAAATGATGATATTTTTCATTCTATTGTCAATTCCTTTAAGGGAAAAAAGAACCTTTTGAATACTTTGTTGCATACCATCCCATTTCTCAAAGCCTATCAAAGCTGCATACCGGCCTTGATAGGTATCGTAAACGGAGACATCGCATCATTGATTAACAGCTTAAGTTATTCGACGTATAATTTGCCGCACATTTATCTTTCTTCTTTGACTAACTGTGCCAATTAATCATCATCATTACTAGAGCCCTCTGCTTCAGTTGTAAAACGCAATTTGTCACTATTGATTAATATAGTTCCTCTATAATGTCTTCCCTAATTTCGTTTTATAAATAAATGAGAAACTTAAGTGGTAAACAGCAGACTGACCCCTAAATTAAAAGCTCACCGATAGATAGTTGTGGATTTAATCTTCGTTTGATCAAATTGTAACAAGTTTCAGCTTTTCAATGGTCTTAATTCTCACACCCTAAGGCGTAAATCTTTTAATTCTTACACTTCAGTTGAGCTGCATTTTCACTTTCATTAAATGGGTGCTAAGTCTTTGTAACCTTTGGGACAGATAGTTTCAGTGTTGCATGGTTTCATTTGCAATGACGTCTACACAGCGTAGCAGTTTGCGGTGATGGGTGCTACCTATCTAGGAGTTGGGGAAAATGTCAAAGTATTCCTTCCAACTGGAAATGAACCGGAAGATCTTAAGTGGTGCTGTAGCATTTTTTTAATGCCGAAGGACTTCCCAGTCCACCTTTTATTAAAGCCCTCGTTTTCCTCTCGCACGAGAGGTACTTTTTTTAGTTGTTGCACAGAATTTATTTCATAGCGTTATCTTCTTTCTTGAGTGCCTATAAGGACTTCTAGGCGACAATTGAATTCAGCACTGAATATGAAAGTTCTGCTGAAAATCATCTCCAAAGTAAACCACACTAGCAACAAACGGGCAAATTCCAGACATTGTCTCACGCACCAACCGAATCACTCATATTCTGTTCACCTCTAAATAGGGAGATAAAGTGAAAAATCATCTTGGTACAATATTATACCAACAACAGATGGCCGAATTCCATCCAAGCCAAGAGCAGCTGACCAAATTGCATTCGTGGTTCAACGTTTCCACTTTTCCCGGGTAAATAAACGAGCCTGTTTGAAGCAGTTTCTGCAACTGAAAGGATCAAAGGAGTTTTTTAAACAAATAACTCGCGGTTCTGCCTCCCTCCCCTCTAACTAATGTCCGCTGTTTATTACTGGAGGAAACTAACTCGATCATTAAAAGCAATCATCTATCTTTGTTGTTCAAAATCATGGCTTACTGTTTCAATTATCCAGAATAATTGGTAAACTCCTGCTGTTAGCCCTGCTGTGCCATCTTCATCAAATCAGCAGAAGTATTAACAAATGCTCTAAATTATCTTACACAGCACTGGATAAAGTGATTCAGCCGACACAAAATACATGGCCCAAGTGCATGTTTCGCAATCTAATCATCCACTGACTAAATAAACCAGTGGTACACTTACTTAGCTTACTTACTTATTGGAGGAGGTTATCTGGAACGGTTGAACCACTTATTTTTGATAGACGATAGAGGTGGACTTGAATCACCCAAAGCAGACTCGATAGAAATGAGGAAACTCGTCTCGAAGGAGGATCAAACTGCAGACATCGTGAGTTTTTAAAGATCGGGTTTCTGGGCACGATGCGCAAAGCATATGCTTTAAAATTCCAAAAGGTATCTGATGATTCTCAGCCGCATCATACCAGGGCCAGCCACAAGCTAGATTTTTACAACTGCTTGACAATTTTTTAGCGCTAGCTATGGTCGTAAATTACCATTTGTTTGATCTGAAGTGGACAGTTTTTTTAAAGTCATTTTAAGCTTAAGCTTCTTTTTATCGAGTCTCGCAAAACCAGGGTAATCATCAAAACGGACAATCAGATAAAGTGTTTACCTCACACGGTGCCAATGGGACTGACTCAAAATAAATATGCTTAACTTAACTTAAGTGCGAGAACGTGCATGATTGACTTTAGTCTTGCACCCATAAAGAGTGGCGCATGTCTTTTAGACTAATCACAGAATGCAATAAATTCAAACCGAATGGATGCAAACCCGGTTTAACCTCACCACTCAACCGAAAATCGCTTCGTCCCAAACTCTTGTCATGTCTGAAACTTTACAATTCGGCGGAGCCTTTTTGTGATGCATAACCCACCGAGAGAAACTTTAAAAGACTGCAAACTAACTAGAAAACCCGATGGTCGAAGCGGAAGAAATATTACGTATTTTTTTTCTTGCTACTGTGAACTGAATTATTTCAAAGTCTAATTTCAAGCACTTGATTCAAGTGGATTCAATCTGCATTTAAGTAGTGTTCAACCCCTGTGCATGTATCGGCGCAACGATTTCAAACTGACAGGTTTTTCTATTCAAATTGATTAATAGCAATTGAAATGTCAGCCAGGTGAAGATAAAGGATTTATTCGTAAGCATGGAAAACTTTGGCTAGAATAACGCCTGTCTGCGTTAGCTGAGCTGGAGGGCATAAGTCTCCGGATTGACGGAAAGTAACTCTTTGATCCAAAGCAAATAGCCGTATTATTTATCGAATAATGACGTTATATGTCAATAAGAAACAATTAGATTTGACTGCAATGCAGCTGCATGAGTAGTTAAGAGGTTTACGGCCAGACCCTTACGCAGAAAGAATAGCACTACAATTTCTTTTTTGTTTTTGCTTTTTTTGTTTTGTTTTTATCGTCTGTGTGCATCAAACGAAAAAATGCGCTTGTCTGTAATTAATTGGTTCTAGAACGGCTACAGATGGTATTTGCTAGATCAAATATCTAGATTAGACTTTAAAGCGCAGATCAAATGTGCAGATGGGAATTTAAGTTAGTATTTTGTGCGGAGCTGAAAAAGCTGATGAGTTGGGTCAAAATCCGACGGACCGTGTTCTTAGTTTTCGCAAATCAGAGGGAAGAAGCAAGAGAAGTCGAATTAGAGACGTGCAAAACATACACAGAACTCGATCGAATTGAGCCAGGTAGGTTTCTAAACTGATTTAATCTTCTAGTTGTCAGTTAGTGGCGATACACGCGTCCTTGCGTACACTGCAAGCATAACTGTATGACTTAAACCATTTTCCATCAATTATTTCAAAATTTGCGGTTTGTTTTTTTCGGGCTTCGCAAGTAATATGTGTAGTAATGAATGGATAACACCCAATTGATGGCATGAAAGATGTTTCGAGGAGACATGTGATATTCAAGAAACCGCGATAAAACAGCGATCGTAGGGATGGAAATACCGTCTACCAACAAACACCTAACTAAACATCTTCAATTCAGTTGATGTTTGTCTTTTGTTGCTAGAAGCGAGGTGGATTTGAGCGTCTTTGGAAGTCATGCAGTGCTGGTACCCTGAACTTTAATATAAGAGACAGTTTGTTTGCAAAGTTTGTTTTCGATTCCTAAACTCCGCAGACGTTAAAGCCTGATTTGCGAAAATGGAAATCAATGCTTACTTGTTTAAGCAATGTTAGACTATGTCACTTTCCTTCAACGTGGGTTAGGTTTATCACCACATCACCTCAATGCGTGTGCCAGTGTAGCCTAACTCCCGGAGGACATTGTTATCGTTTTCCTCAATGTGCTCGAAAGTTGCGAACGCTACAAATATTTTCTTCTCCTACACGATCAACAACCAATGGCTTAAGCCTTATTAACAGTAACATGTAAACTCTACGATGAATGCTGCTGCTTCTCTTAAAATTCCGTAGAATTTGACCCATGGTCTGTTAACCGCGTCGATAGTTGTATCGTTGCAGCTCGATCATTTACAACTAGCTCATCAAGAATGATATAAATAATAATGATCGATAATGATGGATGAAATGACAAAAACTGTATCAATATCTGTAAAGAGCACCCAAAGTTCTAACTTCCAAAAACTTTTGAAAGGAATTTTCAAGTGTAATTCTTTGACCCCTCGGGTTATTTTGATCTTCCTTTACCAAACGTCTTTGTTCTTCAGCTTTAGACTATAGTTTAATCTCGTTACTAACTCAGTCTGATTTGCAACTGCTGTTTGAGTCCTTATAAAGATGACAGTGGCTAAGCTGGTAAATCAGTCAGATGTATATCAAGATATTTGGCGAATCAAAGTACAGATACAAAACGTTCCGATCAACTATTGGGCCAGGAGCGCGTTCCTTTGCAATGTTCGCTGTCTAAAGACTGGCTTCCTTCCTTGACCTTCGTCAAGATAGGACATAACTAGCAAAGTAAGCTCAAATTGGCAAAATTGTATGGAACATGTAGGCAGCTCCATAAGAGACTAACAAAGAAAATAGGGATAAAACAAAGGAAGAAAGGAGACAAAGATCCAGACAAATGCGGAATTTTTCGTTAAAATTTTATTTCAGCGATACAATTGATTCAAAGCTGACGAGTCTCCCACTTTCCTCGTGGAAAACTTCTAATGTGATCATAAATCTGTTTTGTTTTTGAAAAAACAATATTTCAAATAATGCTGGCACTCTCTATCTTCGTCCCGTCATGACTGATCGAAAACATTTTAGTAAAACTGTTTTAAATATCTGCATTGTTCAAGTAGTAAATGGTCTTCGACGACATCGTAGACATCGCTTTCCAACCGATTAGCCGAAATGAAAAATGAGCCTAATGATTAAATGATATTCCTTCAACCAAGAGGTCCGACCTCTCTCAGCGGGTGGAAAATATTTATCAAGTTATCGGAAAGCTAAGAGTGGATTCAGACGCTTAGGGGAACAAAAAGTGAAACGTGGAAGATTTTTTCGCGCTTTGTGGAAGAAACAATGTCAAGTGGATCTTGTTGATGTAAAATAGCAACATACCGATTTGCGATAGCGCTAAATTGATGCTTAAGGTGTTAACATGATATTTCGTACAGGAAAACATATGGTAACAACTATCAATTTTCCCTTAAGCATGTAAGCAAAAACACAACCTGTCATAAGGTTTTGACAAAGATGTTTTGATAAAAATGTTTTGATAAAGATGTTTTGATAAAAATGTTTTGATAAAGATGTTTGATAAAGAAGTTTTGATAAAAATGTTTTGAAGCAAGGAAAATCAGGTACCGAAAAATACAGGATAACTGTTTTCTGATTGGCTACTAAACTGACTAATAATCTTTCCAAGTCAGGACTACTCGCTTAATCCCGCAAAAGGGAATTGAGGCTTGTAAATAAAGTATTTGTGGCCACTTTTCATTCTCCGTAGCTTCTAGCTAACCTGATGTTGTTACGAGGGAAAAAGTCTCTCTCGTCTCAGTTAATGTGAGTTGCATGCACTTGTTGTGCAATTCTCTAATGAGAGGACTTTTCGATTAGTTTCCAAATTGTATTTACAGTGCATTCTTCCGCTGGGGTTTTAGAGTCATCGGGGTAAGTTTGTACTTTAAGTTTGAAACCGCAAAAGATACCCTTCCCGTAGAGTCTCGAGCCCCTTGGCCAACGTATTTTTCGAGCCGAAATTTTGACTGCAAGGAAGAAAAATTGGAAGATATTCCTTTTCGGGCAGAAAACGTTTATGAAATAATCGTGGAATCGATGCTGTGTCTTTGTTTATTTTGTCTGTTACCTATATACTGCTGCTATTTTCCATTGAGTATGAAGTCGGTCCGGTACAGACTCAAGTTTTAAGTAAGGAAGCTTCCCGTCATCCTTAGCGCTCTATAAGTGTGAGAAGCAGCTAAGAGCATCCACATCTCTTTCCTTCGGTTCTTCATTTACAAAGTTAAAAAGCACAGTGGGTAAAAAAATTCATCCACTGTGTTTAATTTACTTTGCCAAGCAGGGTTTCAGTTACCTTTCATTCTAGCTTATTCCTGCAGTTATGACATCCAAATTTTCACTTGAAACTCTGAATTTGCAGGAAAAGAATCCATGCCTTTGTTACTAAGTTTTTTCTCACTAGATGTCGGGGCCTTAATGAATTCTACTCAATTCCACTGCACAAAAACTCGTTCGATTGGTAATTGAGATTGATGTAGCTATTCAAGTGAAATCGGAAAATTTGATAGGAGATCTTTATATTTTATCATGCTCTTAAAAGAACCTCCATGAATTGTCACAATGAAATTAACGTGGTTGTTGATTTCCCAAAATGACCTTGCAAATTCTTGTTAAAATTATTAATAGGGTAAGAAAATTAATGGATTTGGCGGCCTTAATGAATTCAACCCAGCGACACCACAGAAAAATTCCATGTTGCATGGATAGGGTCATAGCTAAGTTTGTAGCTATTTTAGGTCAGACAGTTTATGTACGTAGTGTCTTTAAATTTAGGGACCCCCACGTATTGTCACAGTGGATATAATGTGGTTATAATTTCCTAAAATGACTTTGAAGGGCAGTGATTCTTTTTGTTTTACGTTCACGAGAAAGAATTAAAGGCTCATTGATACTTTCGATCATGAATTGATGGGCTCGGTATATAAGTAATGTAAACTTATATTTTTATATCGCCAGTTTTATTCCCTGAAAACCAATTATGATGGTGTTGATTCGACTTACAGATTTAACTGACATCTCACAAACCCAGACAAGTGCTTCCTGTGGAAAAAAGGCGAAGATTAGAGTCGTCGCTTGGAAATGTTAACGAACAATACCAATCTTGCTGGTAGAAGTAACGATACCTTTGAATACATGGAATTCCGTGTTTTTAAGATAGCACTGTACGTTGCAATCTTCACATTTAGTTGTGTCGGGAACAGTTTAGTGGCCATTGTGATCATTGGGGCCAGAGGAATGAGGACAACTCCAAACCTTTTGATCCTGAATTTGGCTTTATGTGACCTCTTGACACCCGCTTTAAGCATTCCGTTTGATTTAGCTTTGGAAGAACTTAACCAAGAGTGGCCGTTTGGTAGGGTGATGTGCAAACTTTTGTGGCCATTTCAGACGGCCCTTTCCACATCATCATCTTTAACTTTAGCAGTTATTAGTTTGGACAGATTTAAAGCGCTTGCAAAGCCATTGAGCGAACGCCCATCATCTATCCGAGTTGTGAAGACTGTTGTGGCAATTCATGTTTTCTCCATCATTTTATGCACTCCTTATTTTATTGCTTTGCAATACAACAGCTCTCCAAGGTCCTGCGCTGAAACTTGGACAAAACCGGGCTACAGACAAGCTTATACCATTGTGCTGTTTCTGTTTCAATTTGCTCTTCCTCTGGCAACTATGTCTGCATCGTACCTGCTTATTTATCGAAGCTTACGTTCGAACACGACAAGGCTTTTTTCCGAGAGCACCAAAAACCACAGACACGAACGTCGCATCATCAACAAAAACTCGACTTCAAGCAAGGAAGAAAGCGAATTTAAACGAAGGGAACAGAACATTCGCTTAGCAAAAATGTTCGTTATCGTTGTAGTGGTATTTGCAATAGGCATGTCTCCCAATCAATTTTTATGGCTTTGGGTAGACTTTGGACGTGGCGCAAAGCACAGATTGTTTCATTACATTTCTGTAGTAAGCCGTCTGTTCACCTACGCCAACAGTGTGTTGAATCCGTTCATCTATGCTTTGAAAAGCAAAGAATTTAGGTCTGGATTTGCAAGGATTGGACGCGCAGGTATGAAGCCCTTGAGAAAGATAAGCACTGATACAAGGAAATTTGTTCTCAAAAAGGTCAGCAGAAGTGCGAGTCAGGGCCTCGTCCCAGAAACAGCCGAAGTCCATCCATTAACATTCATTCAAAATGGCGACGCCGGCAGAGATGTTGCTACTGATTCGAGAGGAGCCAAGGTGTCGAATAACGACCCCGTGGAAAACATATGTGCTTCACACAAAATATTATTCCTTGAGACTCTCTCAAAACCTGGAGCGCACAATTTTTTCAAAGAGCTTCGCGAAAGCTCATGTTGAAGGCATTGTGAATGAAAGTCCGGCCATCAGGCATTATTACATTCACCTCGATAGTGAAAGAACTCTCGTTCCAATCCTGCCCCTAATCTCAGCTGAAACGATTACAAGAAATAAATAATGATAAACGCAGCTGGGAAAAATTAAAAGAGCCGAATAAAATGTGTCGTTTCAAAACCTGCCGGGTTGTCCGTCGTATACAACCCTTTTAAAATAGTTTCCTTTGTAATTCCGGAAATGTTCAAAATATCGGAACAGGCTTAATGCGATATTTGATTTATTATCATGAAATAAGAAATGATCTTTGAGGTCAAATTTTAATTACATTTATAAGAATTAAATAGATTTTCCCCAGGGTTCAAGCCTGTGACCTCAGATCACAGTGATCTTTCAACTGAGCTATGCCTTCTATGATCTGTCGCTGTGTCTGGAGGTCGGAGCTTGGGATCCCAGCTGAACCAGAAAATCGTTCACGCTTTCGCTATATATAACTCAGCTGCAAACATTACCATTTACTTACTCTTCTTTTGGGCGCATTTTATCGATATATGATTTGTATGTGCAATGGGTTTATATCCTGTCGTAACAAACGCTAAATTGACAAAACTGGACGTTAAACTGAAGTACTTAAGTTTCAAGATGTAAATTAGTAAGTTAGAGTCGCACTTTGAGGTATAAGGTATTTGTTTTCGTTAGGGAAGTGTAACAACCTTTGAGGAGAAACAAGCAAGCCTGGAATTTACGAGATAAGCGACAAGGGAAAGGTGAAACAGACCGATATCAGGATGGTGCCCGTATCCAAATTCCCTCGTAGTTCCTCCGCCTCACCATGGATTTACGTGATACTTAGGTTTCATCAGGAAACTGTGATGAACATGAATAGATAAATTTAAAGCCAAAGGAACGCCATACTACGGCAGAAATACTACTCGATAACGTTTTACCTAAGCTGCAGCACCTATATTCTCATCTTTGATACCTACCGGGTTCCTCAACCAGTCACTTGTATCCTCTTTATTTTCAAGCTTAATTGTTTAATGCCGTTTAGAGCAATTTTCAATTTTGCTTTGAAAGTAATCCGGGATTGCGTTGGTTTTGCTTTACTCCGGAATGCGATTAGTCCAGAAAACTCGTTCAACCCTCTCAACCAATCAGATTAAAAGATTAAGCCACTGGTGACTCCCCACTCGCGTTTTTCTCGTGCAATGAGCAGTTCGCTTGTTTTTACTTTGAATTTTCATTAGCTTATTGTTATATTATGTCTGCCCTGATTGGCTGATGAAATGATTAATGAATGAGAGGGTTAGTTTCTAAGAGAACTGTGGTGCTGCGCCGGTGGAAGAGTATAACAGGGTAATTTAGTATCATCAACTGAGTTGATAACATTAACTGGCCACCGTAAAGAGTTTAAAAGCTGAAGTTTCGAGCGTTAGCCCTTCGTCAGAGCGACTGGGATCGAACACAATTACTCTGACTAGGGGCTAACGCTCGAAATGTCAGCTTTTAAACTCTTTACGGTGGCCAATTTATGCTATCAACTCAGTTGCTAATACTGAAGTACCCTGGTGACATGATTACTTTGGTTTTGACAGAGTGCGCTATAGTCCATATAGATTTTTCATTTCTGTCACTGCCGTCCTTGAAATCTAACACTTGGGTTTCTCTTGTAGTTGAACCAAAGTAGTATTTTTTCATGGCATTCGCGTAAGTATAGGCGGGTCAGCGGGTGTGGGAAATCCAATAACAATGACAATAGTAAAAATTCGACAGATTAGTCTAGTATGAAATTAGCTGGGCGGTGATATGTGCATTCCAAAGATCGTACCCCTTCAAATTTTGTTCTGCTATAATCATGATTCGGCGCACGACTAGTCTGAGACGTGACCTCAACTTGCTGACTTTCTGCCAGCCGATGCATACACAGATACGGGGCTGAAATTTTGACAACCTAATTCGAGTGTTAATCCGATCCCTTTTTTAGAAATAGTCAAAGCTATTTAAAACATCATTGTAGTCTTAAAAGCTTCCGACAGACGACATGGATTAAGGTATTACTAACAATTCAGTTGATTATGATTTCGACACACCCACTTTCCTACACTGAAGCATAAGTTTCCTATAGTTAGCTTACCACAACGCTGAAATGGCCTTTGAGTAGAGCTTTGATTAAAACAATAATGAGTCGAATTCCTGTTTGGCTGCAGTGCGGTCTTGTGGTTAGGCCATTCATTGTGCACTTTTGCCAAATGTGGTTTGGGATTGTCCCTACTACGTGTTACTAATATTCTAGAAATCAGCTTAATTAATTCTTGAAGTGGATCATTGTTATTTGGGTATCTGGATGCTCCGCAGATGGTGAATGACTAGGTTTTTTTCGGCAAAAAAGTGGAGTGGGCTGTTTTGCTTCTCATTCGTTCACCAACAGTATTTTATTGAAGGTAGTCTCTCATAACAAAATGAAGAAACCCTTGACGTCCACCGAATGATTTTAAATGACTTCGTCAGGTATTACGATGAAATGATCTATCCTTTGATTAGTCAGCGATATACAAATCAATCACTCGTGTGACCCTAGTAAGCGCGCCTTCCTTTTGTCACAATTGTGCGGAAACTTGTTGATGTTTTAATAAAGTTTAAATGGTGTTCTTACTTTGATGAGTTTATGAGAGCCGCCTTTGATGTATCCCCACGTATTTGCAAGACAAGTCACGTCTTTTGTGCCGCGTAAATATATTGATTTTTCTTTCACTGTCAAACAACGGAGCAGGAATTTCACTACTATTCGCCTTTCCTTCGCCCCCAAATTCTTGGAGAGCCACTTTCTGCTAATCTGTTTTTCTGTTTGTTTTTTTAATACCTCCTGCTAAGATCTCATTATTTATATGTCTTTGTATTATTGTATCGGCGCCTGTCTGGTTCATCAATAGTAACTGCGTGGTTTTAGTTTACTAAAGGAACAAACCATGTAAAGGTCACTGGTTTAAGTATGTTGCATTTATCGATCTCATCGTCCGGATATGACGGCGTCTGGCGTCGGTGGGCAAACACTGAGACCATGAATAGACCACGAATTCAAATCGCCCGTCTCTTGCCATTCCGTCAGTGCCTTTAGTGGCGAACAGCTATTACGCGCTGATTTCATCGGCCAGTCTTTCGTAACTGTCTCGGTAAACCTAAAGGAGGGCACGTAACAAACACAACCGTCATTTTTTGTGTTGAGTGTATCATTTGAAAATGGCTGTAAATGAAAGCACCATGGCAAGTAATATAACTGGTGTCCTATCCAACTTGGAATATCTAGAGTTTCGAGTGGTTAAGGTATTACTGTACGTTTTAATCTTCATTTTAAGTTGTATCGGCAACAGTTTGGTCGTAACCGTCATCTTAAGGGCCAAAGGAAAAAGGACACCAGCCAATCTGTTGATTCTGAACTTGGCCGTGTGTGACCTCGTCATTCCAGCTCTGAGCATTCCCTTTGATTTGGCCCTGGAAGAATTGAACTACGTTTGGCCATTTGGAAGAGCTATTTGCAAAGTTTTGTGGCCATTCCAGACGGCGTTTTCAACTTCCTCTTCGTTGACTCTGGCAGTCATCAGCTTAGATAGGCTTAGAACTCTTGCGAACCCGTTTGCTAAACGTGTCTCGATGGAAACGATGGTGATGATTGTGTGCACTATACACGCTTTCTCAATTGGCTTGTGTATTCCCTATTTCATCGCTTTGGAACTCAACGACAAAGAAGACTCCTGCGATGAGGACTGGCCAAGTTTTGGCCATAGACAAGCATATACAGTTGTATTGTTTCTGTTCCAGTACGCCTTACCTTTAATGACAATGGCTGTGGCGTACTCTCTCATACATCACAGCTTGCGAGCAAGCACGAAAAGATTATTCTCTACAGATAAGCAAAGCAAAAGATCCTTCAAAAGACCATCATCGACCATCAGTGATAAAAATATTGAATTTAAAAGGAAAGAGCAGAACATTCGTTTGGCAAAGATGTTTGTTCTTGTCGTCGTTGTGTTCGCCATCAGCATGTTCCCGAATCAAGTTCTTTGGATTTGGGTGGACTTCGGAAATGGCGCCAACAACAAATTTTTTCATTATATTTCTGTAGCGTGCCGTATTTTTACTTACGCTAATAGTGTGTTAAACCCGTTCATTTATGCCTTGAAAAACAAAGAATTCAGGTCCGGGTTTGCAAAGATTGGCCGCACAACCATGAAGCCCTTGAGAAAGATTAGCAACGAAACCAGGAAATACGTTCGCAAAATCAGTAGGAACGCCATTTTAGATAGCTCAAGCCCAGCTCGTGTGAAATATTTTGCAGGCCGGGATGATACACTAAGCGATTTAGCCACAATCGTAGGGCCCGCGAATTGTTCTGAATCAACAAATATTTCCCAACCTGCTAGACACCGTAATAGAAAGAGTCCATGTTACGAAATTCAAGGCGTAAGACTTTCACTAAATTTAGCTGCAGGGCCCATTCGGCCAATGCTATCAAACGACTCTCCTGTTCGATTTTGTTGGGATGGCACGGAGCCCCTACGAGAAATTGTTCGCAGAGACTGTTTAAATCCTAGAATCCATGGCAATTCAGAGACTGCGCGCTCTTTCGATGATGCAAGAATGATTTCGGAGGCATGGAAACCTTCAGCGTTACACGATGTACTTCGGGAACTTCCCGAAACGAATTGTTGACGTGAATGCCTTTAGGCATGTCCGACGGTTTATTTATGTTCATGGTGTAAGCGGAGCTCGCATTTCTTTTCCGCACGTCTCAAAGGCACAACGCCTTGCCCAGGCCAGGACTAGAACCCGGATTGTCCGACTCGGAGCCTAGTGCACTGACCACTGGACAAAGCCGTAGCGTTGGCGTGCCCGCGGTACAGTTGACCACGCATGTTAAAAGTAGCACCTTGTACGGTCGTACGGTCGTACGTACGGTCGTACATCCAAATTTTTCGACTCGATGGGTTACTACTATTTTGTATAATTATGGGGCTAAGCTCTGCGAGCTCCGCTATAAAAAAGCATTAAATCGTATTTCAAGCACCTGTTAAATGCAATTCATCTTTATTTAACTTAAAACAGCACAGAGATTACAAACCGATATGATAAGAAATGGTTCATTGTAACGAATCAACTTTTGGGCATTAAATTTTGAAAACGTTCTTCTTTTGAACTGAAACTTCAGAAACGATTTCGATACAGTGCTGCAAAATCACAATCAACGGTTAATCAGAACAAAAGAAATTTCACAAGGCGCCAATGATAACTCAAAGTAACAACAAGAAAACTGCCTGTACCGCGGAAAATTTGCAAGTGCTCTAAACACCAAGATGATCAAATTAGTGAAACAACAAAGCCCCATAATATATCCTCATGGTACGCCATGTCTGGTAGTGAGGGGACTTGAAATTGAGCCATTAATCCACACGCTTTGTGTCCTGTAGGACACAACAAGACAATGCTGAATCAGAGACATTTTGGTCTCATAGTTTCACCATGCTAGTAGCTTTTGATGGTCCTTTTCGGGATCAATATCAGTATCTGGGCAACTGCCCACCTACCCCTTCCCTAACCCAACATTAACCCTAACTTGTTATCAATTGACTGTTGTTGAGTTAGGGGAGGGGTAGGTGGGCAGTTGCCCAGATACTGATATTGATCCCATTTTCGTATGCTGCACCCATCTGCTCTCAGAAATTTGATCAAGAATCTGGGCCTTGAGATAAAGAAATAAGACTTTTTTGCAAGGAGGAATGCTTCCAAATCATAAGTGTTCTATGCGGCCATCTTGGAAAACACGCGGTAAAATTCTCAAAACTCGGAATTCATATTAGCCTCTCATATACTAAACACTACATATCTGTCTCCTTAAGTGATCTCATTTTCAACTTTTGATCTGTTTTTACTCATTTTCGGGCCTGGTGGTGGAAATTTGGACCAAAACTTTTCCTGGCAAATCAAATACCTCACACATGGTATGGGTCCCCACCCTTGGGCTGTTCGTAACAATACAATGCCGTGTCAGTATACTCAAAGATATTTTAAAACAGCTGGCGACAACGACTAAATGGTCAAATGAAAACTTAAACGTTTTAATAAACATAAAGAATTTAGTTTTTCTTTTGTAAACATAAATATTTATTTTTCTTGAATACTTTGAGCATCTGTTGTCACTCGTCAGTATTGGAAAATGGATTAGGTTTAACACTATCTCAGAATATTTATCGTAAGCGTATCTGAATGATACAATTTCATTAACTCGAAGAATGTTTCTTGCTCATTCAGGGCTGGACTATATAAACAAACATGCAGCCGGAACTATCAACATCGATATGCGTTTAGCACGATTTTTGGAATAAGGACATTAAATATTTAGGTTATCGAAAATTAAGTGGCAGCAACTATTTTGAAGTGTAATTTCATCACTAAGTGACCACTGCATCGCAATGCATGGCGAGACATAGGAGAGGTGTCAGGCTACTATTTTCACCCACCAAGCTCAAGGATGGGCGATTTCTGGTTTCAATTTGGATTTTCACTGCCGCGTAATTTCACGCGCGTTAACTTTGTCTAGACAACATGTGTCTGCGGAAAAGATGTTGTTACGTGGCTCAGAGCTGGTCATGATTTGCGCTGTCGCATAATTTCACGAACGTTAATAAGCTTCAATCCCACTTACTTTGCGTTGTCGTTAACATAAAACATAGTGTTTTTTAGGAGGAGCTTGCCTCGTTAGAGTTTGAATAGAGGAGTTCTCGCGCGAGGCGTAATTCTTATTTCTTGGCCCCACGAACTTATATATAACAGAATGTTCGAAGAGCTCGCGTCTGTGGTTAAGGCCACATTAATCTTCTTTGGTCCCGCAAGCTGTCTATAAACCGTCTGTATTTTATTATCAATACATAAATCCAATAAAATGAATTCCTGTTACATGGAAAAACGCGGCAGTGAAAATTCGTGCTAGCCTTCTTTTCAACCTCAATTTCTTTATGGTTTGTTCCTGTATAATTTGTGAATGTTAAGCCAATAAAATCTATGCCGGAAAAATATTCGTGAAATTTCACGCATTTGGAAATCACCATTAACTTTCTTTGCAGACTCAAGATTTCATCAATTGTCTATATTCTATATTCTGTTTAACGCTCTTCAATGCGAGACAGTACATATCCATCATCTCTTGCGCTCATTAAATAGCGTTTGTAAAATTGCGCTTCAGGCATTTAGTAAAACAGAGCGAAATAGGAAATGCGTATCGCTAGTTGAAGACCGAAACCGAGGGAGGTCTGGGTCAAGTCCCGTAGAAACATCGCTACACTACCCGACCCAAACCACCTCGTTTTTACTGCTCCGCTCCTCCGCTACTAAGAGCCGTTTCCTTTTGTGCATTGTGTTACTGACCAAACTAAACTACTTCCAGTAGTTTGAAATAGGATTCTGGAAAACAAGCATAGCCATTTTACGCAGATGCTAGCTTCAGAGTAAAGGAATTGATCCCCAACTCAAGAAGCTCATGATTGTAAAACAAATTATGCTTGTCAGCATCTTAACAGATGTATAGAGGACATTTTGGAGAATATGCATACTGATGTTATGGTGTAAAGGGTTAAAATGCACTTTATTTGCGTGAATCTAGATCATATTTGCAATTGAATATATCTGATTCAGAGACATGATACTGGTGGCTTTCTTCAGTTGGAGTTGAGGTTACATCTTATTTCTACATGCAACTGTCAGATAGTATCCAAGTTATTTCAAATACTGGGGTAGCTGCTGTAATTTAGCGTAATTGAGCTCAGTAAATAAATATTGATAATCGGCTCAGTTCAGAACAACCCGGAATAAGACGTTAATCAAATTATTTGTTATTATTATTATTAAGACTAAGTTTTATCGACTCCAGCCCGAAACACAGGAAATCTTTGGGCGCACTGGCAGAATGTAACCTCGTTAACAAAAGTCTCAACACTAGAACCGTCCATTTTAAATCCAATTTACGAGTCACGCTAAAAATCACCCCACAGGCCGAAATTCATCGAACAATAATTCCGAGATCTCAGCCCTGATTTTATTTAGCCGAATAGAGTTTTTTTATTTAGACACTAGAGTTATAACTGACTTAAGCTTTAGTTATGTCTCTGTTGTTGATTTTTTCCTCGGTGTTGTTCGATGAAGCCTTGTCGAAGGCAATGACGATTGAAACGTATGAGAGAGCTTTCGTTCCTTCAATTCTTCATGATTTTTCGATTTCTTACTTCGTCAAGGCAAAGAAATTAAGGATTTTCCCATAACTAAGGAATTATAAATGTCGGCGTCGACAAAATGTCCAAACGTAAAGGTATCACAATATCTTCGTTGAATTTTACAATCTCGGAATCTATTATTTTGACCCTATCTTTCCGTCGCGGAATCTTAGAGTGGAGAATTTTCTTCGAAAATTGTCTTGTTTTCGTTATTCTTAGCTACGATGTCCAGGATAAAATCTAGAGATCTCGATGATGATTTCCTCTCTCGATTTATCCAGTTCCTTTTTTTGGCTCAAAATTCAGCTGAATTCCGGAACGGATTTTAGGATCTTGATGTCTGCAAAGTCAAACGTGATGAATGACGAAAACCTACGAAATTATTTCACCAATTGTAGTTGTCATGTCAGCCCGTCACAATATCTGTTAACAATAAAAAAAATCAATAGCCTCCACCATATAATGTATTTCGTATAGTCTAGAAATGTCTGGGCTTGAATTGACAGAATTGATACGAAATTCCTCGCCTCGCCGTCCAACCGTTTTTGCACGCTACGCATATAACATTCGCCACACAAGTTCTCGTTGAACTTAGCCATTTTCGCACACTATACTGAAAGCAGCTTCAAAGTTATTGAAGTTTATTCCTTGCTGAAAGCAATGTTATCGGCCTAGAGAACTGCTCTCAGTTCTAACGGTACTAAGTAGTTTTAAAAGCTGCAAAGCCCTTGTAACAAGATTATCGTATCAGTCAAAGTGCTTCCCTTTTAAGGAACGCACATTTATTGGTCATGAACTCTGGCAGATGTGAAAAGAAAAGATCCGGAAATTGAATAGCAGGAACCCATAGCTTGATATAATGGAAAAGCAGAGGATGACAGTGGAACGAGAGATTTCCTTTGAACAAAAGACTCTATCATTCAACAACGTTGGTTGGTGTAGAAAATTTAATCATCTCAACTAGAACACATCGACGACAAACTTGTTCGTGCGAGGACGGAACGGAAAAGCAGGACATTCTTAAACAGGAAACACACTCGACCCGTACATAAAACGTTTTCTAAAAACAGCACAAAATAATCCCCTCTGTCTAAAACGCCGCCTCGTTGATTTTAAATATGGCAGACGACTTCTCTGAGTACTTCCAAACATGCTTAACAGTGTTGTAATTACGGGAAACGAAAATCGACAAAACATCAAAATTAACCACAAACACAATGATTCTACAACATCAGAAGTCTTTTACACCCAAGGAGCAAATGAAATACCAAGAGTGAGCTGAAATCGTTAACAAACCGCATTGATTTTGATGGCAATTCATATTGTATATTTGACCCCGCCGAAGATTCCTATACCTTTTCATTCTCTCTTTTTCCATATGTTCGCCTGTTTCTCTTCATTTCCTTTATGTTATTTTGATTTTGTTGTTGAACGACTAAGAGTACACTGCAAATCAATTCTAACTAAAAAGGAAGAATTTTTTCCGAGCGCATCTTTCACAATTTCATTGAATCTTAAGATCTAATCTTCCCACGCCTCCTTTTTATTGGATATTTCCAATCATTCCATAATGACGGTATTGCCTGATGATGATGCTGCACCATGACTAACGCTTTCTCATCGAGACACTTGACTAACAAAGACGTCGACAAACATATGATATATTTCGGGAATGACATGCATTTGTGCAACAAAGAAGTCGTTGATTAAGAAATATTACTGTACGGCGGGTCGCGTTGCATTGCCTGAGGCATACAAGGATTTTCTCTTTAAAAGCCTTGCGTTGCGTTTTGATTCGAAATTTCTCAGATTTGCTGTTTTGGAGAGCAAGACTGCTTCTCAAGACTGAAAATAAATTGTAGAAAGTGTATTTATGGCTTCAAAGATAAGCTAACTTCCTAACCACTTTTCCGGAATTTGTAAGCTTACTCTCGTCAAATGAGATAATAATGAAAAGCTGTATTAAAGAAAGACGTGGGAGGGTGGAAATCCTAAAAGGGAAAATAAACCAAAATTTTTGGAATCAAACCAAGAACACGAAGATTATTATAAAAAATTTGAAGAAATGACGCCATTTGGTGTAACTCAAGAAACGTTCCTACCAAAGAATGCTTGCCATGGCAACATAATGATAGCCACCGTTTTCAAGCTTCTTCGCGGGAGTACTCCTAGATTTCGTACTTTTGCTTTGCGTGATTTCTTTATGAGCTACAGATGAGTTATAAGAGTAAAGTAAAGAGCCTTTTTTCCTCTCTGATATTGCAGTTGGGCAACACTTGACGATTCAGAACAGCAATAAGGCGACAGTCGAATAGAGTGTTGGATTATAATCTGATGTGCAAAGCTACTTCGTTATCAGAAAACTTTGAGCATAAAACTGCATTGCTCCTTTAAGAACTCTTTTGAAATCAACACAGCGGGAATTATACGTCCAATGGCGATTCTACAATGCCGATAGGAAATCTCGTCGGAATTCACACATAACCTCGTGATGAACAAGTCTGACCCCTTCTAGTGTTCATCAATCTTGCGGTGGGCCGCTAACAGTTAGTTTCCGGCGAACTGTTCAGCGCATCGGTCAAAATGTGAGAGTCTGAAGTAGACAAAGTATGCCATTGTTCAACAGAATTTTCTCTTAGAGGGCCATTAAAGTGACAAGCTGCCGCATCTCCAAGTTCAAAAGCCCTTGGCGGGCTCGATAACGTTTGCTTGCCGAAAGATTCTATCGCGGTTCTGTTTGAAGCGAAATTTGGTTGAGGTGAAGGTGGGGACATTTCATTAAACTGGTGATAAGTTTTTCTTTCCAACATGGGTGTCTTTTGTTCATCTTGAAAAAGACAGGACAAGTTGCTTTCCTTTGTACACGACCCGTAATCCATTCCATGTGATTCCGTAGTTTCTGAACGAGTTTTGCTAGTACTTTGACGTCGTGATCTTACAAGATCCTCTTTGCCGATTAATCTCTCGCAGCGCAGCAGGCTCCGAAAAATCCTCCTAAAACCTTTGCGAAAGTCTTTGCTAAACAGACCAAAAATTACCGGATTTACGACGCTGTTGGTGTATGTAAACAACCAGCATATGATGGAAAGTTTGCTGAAGTTTGGATGATTTATCCCTCCGCCGAAATCTGCCCACATCCACACAATTTGATTAGGGAACATAAATATTGCAAAGACAGTCACAATGACTATGAACATTTTTGTGGCTCTGGCATTAGGAGTCTTCCAAATGTCCCGTGTCTTGAGCTTGCTAAGTCGTCTGATAAATGTGTAATGGGTTTTAGATGGTCCACGTTGTATTTCTTGCTGTTTGGCCTCAAATTTAAGTTTCTTGACAATAAATTGCGGAGTTCTTGCACGTATTGACTTGTCGCGTGTTCTCTTCGAAGTTTGACAAAGCGCTCGGACAGCCATTGTATACATAAATATCATTATTACAAGCGGCAATGCGTACTGAATTAGGAACAAAAATAGTGTGTAAGCCTGTCTGTAGGAAAATTTAGGCCAGTTTTCCCCACAAGAACCATCTCTCAGCACGAGGAAATAACCGTAAGGAATGACCGCGACCAGCGAGCATATATGTACCAGAAAAATTAGCAAACTTATCTGTTTGCTCGAGAGCCGGATCTTGAAAGGATGAAGAATTATTCTGTAGCGATCCAGCGAAATTGCAGCAAGGGTTAACGAAGACGCGCAAGTAAAGTAAGTTTGTGTAGGCCAAAGTATTGTACACATGGCCTCACCATAGATCCACTCGTAATTATTTTCTTCCAGGATAAAATCAAACACGATGCTTATCAAAGGCGTTACTAGATCACAGAGGGCCAAGTTTAAGATCAGGAAGTTGCTTGCGGTTTGCATCTTTCTCGTGTGAATGATGATATGAGCGAGCATGCTGTTACCAAAAGTGCTCGCGGACAGGATAATGAAATAGAAGAATATCTTTGTAATATTAAAGGCTTGTGATTCTCCCAGAACATCACGTGGCAACAAAGTGGTAGCACTTCCATTGGGTTCAGCTGAGACTGCCTCGCTGTTATTCATTTTAAGCTGTAAGACACTTCTACCAACGTACTGTGAACTTATAATTTCTTCACTGTTAGAGCTTAATAGTTGGTGGCACAGAAGGGTTCCATTTGACTCAACTGACGATCGAAGCAGCTTTTAGCGAGTTTACGTCGCTGTAATCGGCCAAACCTCTGAAGTGCAGGGTCACGATTCGATGCGTGTCTAATGTTTCGCCTTTACGAATGCGCGCGCGCGATTTAACAATTAACTGTGTGCGTTAGAAAGTTTATCATTTCACAATAACAGGCGGGTGACTCAAATAACCGTGCAGGAAATATTTGGCGTCATTTATCCGCCCTTTATGGTGTAAAGATGACGTTTAGTGCTATTTGATAAAGTTCTGTTTAATTTTTCTTTCAAATCGTCAAAGTCTTGCTTAAACCGATAAAAGACTGCTTGATGTAATCTCATTCTTGAAAATCCTGATTTAATGGGAAGAGATGAAATCTTTTTTAAATAGAAAGAAAAGATTAAAGGAAAAATCTGGAATTAATGTTGTTATTTGACAGATAACGCACGCAAACTGCCCGCCTACGTTTTCGTGGCTTCGATATCCTGAAAAGTAATTCAACTTTTGATTCGTAATCTTTTAAAAGTTTTTAAAAAGGTCCTACGATGACCTATGGTTCACGAGCGTATTCGGGAACGAATGCTAAAACTTGGCTACTTTAATTAACTCCAAAACTCAGATTAAATTAGATTAACTGATTTAATTGTTAAATTGCAGTCGCCAGTTTGTGGCTGTTAATCGGTAAATTGAAGGAAAAGATCCCGCTATTGAAAATGGCCTTGCGTGATGCAAAAATTGTGATTCGCGCATCACTAACAATCTTTAGTCATTGTAAATTCTATTTTTGTCCATGGTTTCACTCGATGTTTTAATTTGCTTGACGTATTTTGTTTTCCGACACGCAACACTTTAAAGCGCATTATTCCTGAGAGGTTATCTTTCAGAGGCTTTCGATAAAATCTTTCCTTTGAAGTGTACTGTCATCTCCTGTCACAGAAATCCCTTTTTTCTTAAGAGATATATATAAACTTACGCATAATACAAATCTTCTCGCGTGTTAGCGTTTTCGTCCTGAATATTTATGAACACATCATAAAAATAATAACGGTTCTCGTACTTTATTTCTCTGAATTGAAGCGTTAGAATACAAAAACCTTTGTTTCTCGCGAGAAATCTTTCAGGCGATAAATGGCTACTTGGGGAGCAAGCTCTGACCTCATAACCTTTTAATAAAATCATTTGATAGCGGCTACCAACCCTTTGTTTAAATTTCATTGAAAATTCTAATCCCAGATCAATTTGAAAGCCAAGCCACATGTTAAATATCTTAGCAAATTAACCTTTATTAAATTCAACCAATTCAACCATACTTTGAATAGGAAGGTTACCAGGGTAGCCCAGCAGCTATTCAATCAATTCGCGACTAAAACTTGTGTTTACAACGTCTTCTTGTAACATGAAATATACTTATTTTGCATTTTATATTAAACAAAAACAACATAAAAGTAATAAGCCAGAAGCGACCAAATGTCTCCATATAAAAGTCTCTAATCTAGTAAAGTGTGAAATTGTTCCTACTGAAAGGAAAATGTTACGTCAGAGCTTATTGTACAAGCAGTAGATGTCAATTAGGCCTAAAATTAAGTATCTGAAATGAGCTGTTAAATCATGTAAATGGTCCACTAAACGAATGGATGAATTTAGAAGCTAGGTACATTTTCCGGCGCCTAAAAAAAGCGATTATGACGAAAAATTCTCCCACTCGTGAGAAAAAAACTCCCCCTAAATGAAAATGGAAAGGCACGTAACGGAATACAGAGATAGAAAAATCAATTGTAATTTCAAAAGAGGCCATAAAATGTTTAAACCAGTTGGTAGACCATCGAGTTTTAAGCACAACAGCAAGAAACTTTGGAAATGAAAGTTTCTTTCGAAATGTATTGTAGTTGTGACGATGCATAATCGTTTGAGGCGAGTTTTCACCACCCACGCTCAAGTTGTTCCCCTTCCATTTAACCTCGTCACACTTGGTTCCGTGTGTGCAGGTATTCCCGCTAGGGGTTAACCTCGAAGAAGATTTTCACTCCACAACTTTGTATCTTATCCAAAATAAACAAGTTTTTATCACAATCAGTGAACAACCTTATGCCAAATCAAAATGCTATCACGAATAGGCCGAGTATTTTTTTTAAATATCGACGAAGAATGAACACGTACATCGTAGGATTACAATTTGCGTTCGTCGTTTTAAATCACAGACGTATTCACTCGAGAAACTATGCCCTTAAAAAATTACCATATCAAAGCTTAAGTGAAATGTAAAGTTTCTTCAACCTGTGCAACTCGAGGGTTGTGTATGATTAAATTGAGTTTTCAAGTATACAGTTGAAGGACTATGCCAAATATTAAAAGAAGACCGCTTTGCGCACCTCACTGAATTTCACTTCTTTCTATCATTGCAATCAAGATGAGATAAAAGATACCTTTTTCTTAAATATCCATTTGACGTTTGTTTGCTCTTTAAATTCCGTTTTGTTTTTGTTCACGCAGTGTAAGAAAACAGCAGTTGTTTCCGTATGCGAGAAACTGCACGAAATGAATTTTCTATTTTCATTTCGCATGATGAAAACGAGGAGTGGAAAGCTTCTCCTTAATAAATGACTTACGGGGTATACGTGAAGTAGTTTTAACTCAAACATTTGATGATCAGGTTCCAGGGTGGAATGGAAGTGCATTAACTCGAAAGATAACATCGTGGGTCAAAGGATGGATTAGAAGAATGACGATGTTTGATTGACTTTCACATGTACGTGATTTGTCACTTTAATTATCACTTGAGGTAGCGGAACCTCTGTGAACTACAGGCGTTCATGGAGGTCTGGGTCGGATTGCCTAGCCGACCCAGGTCTTTCTCGTTTTTTCACTCGCGCTTTGTTCTACAGATTTACTGCCTGAAACAGGAGTACAGCTATGGATGAGGTCTGTCAAAAGTTGTGATTCTTGAAAACTTGGTCTAGACTACGAGTAGTCCCTCTTTTTCGACGCTGGCTGTGGCGCGATTCAAAACAAAACTAGATAAATAAAAAATCGTGAGGTGCTCCTTCTTTCCGAGCGCGTCGAGTGCCCCAACTTTACGAGATGTCTCTTGTCTCTGTTTCAAACCAAGGAGGGTAGATCTAAACTATTTTATGAGCAAATAACTTGTACATATAACACTCATTGTTATCTACCGAGACTATCACATAACAAAACGAGCACTGTGATTGATTGATTCTTGGTCACGTGCCCCTGGTCAAATTCAAATGCATCTCAACCGGGATACAATTGCGCAGTTGTTTCCCGTGCGCCGAATACAACAGCATGTTTTTGCCATATGATTGCTTAAGGGAAAGTCTAAATATGTAACAAAGCACTTAATGTATGGTCCCTCGGAAAACCAGTTAGCTTTTAAGAGCTCCTCGCAGCTAAGAACACTACTGAACTAGTAGTTGAAAATTGGACCTGAAAAAAATTCAGGCCCGTACGGGATTTGAATCCATGGTCTCTGCGATACCGGTGCAGCGCTATACCAACTGAGCTAACAAGCCAACTGGGAGCTGGTCAATATGTTGGGTCCAAATAAACCATCCAAGAGATGAACAATGATTTTAGATACATGAAATTCATATATTTGCACTGCGGTGAGGAAACGAATGAATGAAATTTTTTCAGGTCTTATTTTCAACTGCTAGTCCAGTAGTGTTCTTAGCGGCGAGGAGCTCTTAAATTCGTTTCTTCACCGCAGTGCAAATATATAAATATATATCTAAAATCATTACTGGTTAGTTTTGTTTTCCCTCGAGTCTGGATGTTTCCCTCAACTTCGTCACAGGAAACATCAGGACCCTCGGAAAACAAAACTAACTGTTTCCCTCGGGGCCACGCATTGAGTGTATATTATTACCATGAAAGATATGAGTTTTACAAGGGCTCTCGGAGCTCGAAAATGGCCAATTTTGTAAGAGGACGTGTCACTGTAAAACGGAAGATATTTCAATGAAAACGTAAGTCAACCGGTGAACTGCCTCTAATGGACGATGTTGATGGATCTGTTTACGAGCTAAATCTTTTGTCACTAGAATCTAACTAATTTTCTCAACAGTAGAAATGATGATAATTCGAGGTATGAATTTTCTACTCGCTTTTTTTTAGGTTTTTTTTTTAATCTACCGGCTGTAGACAAAGATCTGAAATAGTAGATCGTAATTTAAAAGCGAAATAAATCATAGAGCAGACTTTCTGTCTATTTTAACGAGTGCATGTGCATGACAGAATGCAGAATTACAGAACTTTCTTTTTGGAATACAAAAACAAATTATACCACATGGAACAGACATCGTCGGATGTAAATGCAATTACTCATCCCTCAGTCTCTACTAATGAGACAAATTTTCTTCACCAGCTGCGGAGAAATCTCAAGTGACACTTGGAAACATAAAGCTGCTCAAGTTGATACCAGGTAACACTAGACATTCTATGTGCAACATACCATTGATATTAACCTCCAAATTACTAATTTAAGTGCTATTCCAGCACGCTATCTGAGTGTTTTATAAGAATTTTAAGATCTTCCCATTGCTAAAAGTTTGCTAGACCATGAAACTTCTGTTAATCCACAAAATCTTCCACAAGGGGAGCCGTATTCAAAAAAACACAACAAATATAGTTTCGTTTTACAGTAAAAAAAGCTATCAGAGTTGATAGCTTCAGAAATCTGTCTAGTTTTTCCTTTTTTAGGACAAAAATTTCGTCATTGGTCGCCAACTATAATTTAGCATCTTTTTTTAACCTTGTTCACAAATCAAGTGTCTATATCTAAAGTTAATCTTCTCTACGCCCAAAGTTTTTATCTTCGAATGTTTCATTGCAATTTGCTTTGTTAAACATATTTTTGCCATTTTTTTCCTTAAGAAAAATGCAGCTAAAAGCTTTTTTTTTTTTAAAGCAAAGGATAATTTTGTGCGTTACTGTAAGGCGATCTTTTCTTTCCTGACGTTATAGTTACTTTGCAAACCTTTATATATTACATCATTTCTGAAACTTATTTTCTTCTGCGCATTAATTTAACGATCACAGAAGATAAAGCTTAGGTCGTTGGACAGTAGCATTTTTTCTTTTTCGTTTCTCTGTCTCTCCAGAAGCTACGCATTTCAATTCTGTTGTCAAAGTTTCCACCATGTCTGTTTTATACACCTGTCGTTTTTTGCGGCGGTGTAAACAGAACACTTTTCTAAAAGCTCTTTTGAAGCCTCGACGAAAGTCCCGGCTAAAAACAGCGTAGATAACTGGGTTACAGACACTATTAGCATACGTGAATAGCCAACAGATTATAACCGCGTTTAAGAACCTTGGATTCTGTCCCTTATTGTAGAAGTCCGCCCATAGCCAAAGTGCTTGATTGGGGAACATACAAATAGTAAAAACTCCTACGACGGCCATAAACATCTTAGTTGCTCTTTTGTTTGCTTCTGTCTTCCCTCTCCTGACAGTTGAAGAGAATTTGCGCACCAGACGCACCGTGGACGAAACCTTTTTCAGTTTCGGCTCAGTTTCGGCTACTGACGATCGCCGTGAGTTCGTTGATGTCCGACTGACTTTTCGGCTGACAGCAGCCGGTTCTTGCTCGGCTTTCTGGCCGCTAGTCTTGTCTGCGCTAGTGTACAAGTTTTTCAGCGCAAGCGAATACATGAACACCATAAAAATCAGAGGAAGGAAATATTGCACATGGAAAAGTCCCAGGGTGTAGTACTTCTTGTACGAGATATCAGGCCATATTTCACGGCATTGATGTCCTTTCAGATCGAGAACGTACGAGTACGGAGTTACCACCAATAGTGAAAACACGTAAACTGCGACAATAATGCATTTTATTTTAAACTTCGTCAAACGAGATCGAAATGGATGCATTATCACACGATAGCGATCAAGCGCGATCGCTGCAAGGGTTAAAGCAGCCGACGTAGAAGACAAGGTTGTCAACGGCCACAGAATTTTGCACATGACTGTGCCATACATCCAGATGTAGTTATATTCTTCGAGAAAGTAATCAAAAGGAATGCTGAAAACCGGCGTGACAAAATCACACAGCGCCAAGTTCATTATCAAATAGTTGGATCCTGTCCTCATTCGGACGTTACTGACGATGATATAAATAACAAGGCTGTTCCCTATAGAGCTTCCTAGCAGAATAACGCCGTAAAGCACAATCTTTACGATCCAGAAGTCGAGTGACTGCACCGTATCTGGGTTGTCTGTAGAAACGTTTGCATAGCTCTCATTCAATGCATCAGTGACATCATTCAGCTGGCTGGAATAGAACGGAAAAGGCGTTGTGTCCCTTGCATTAAATGTTGTGTTAGAATTCATCTTTTCGACAAAAATTGTGTCTTTGCTACGAAGTATAAGCTTTGGAGATGTCAACGTATTTTATCCTGTTTGATGAGAGCGAGCTGCCGCGGTAAAATCTTTCACCCGGCTTCTTCAAATTGTATTAGCTTGATAAACAAACTTCTACCCGTCTGTAACGTCTGTTCTCATTGCACTGCTGAATTCGTTACGACACAGAGCTAATAATTTGAGTGTAAGTTGTTACATGTCCTTGAAAGCCGTGTTTTCCTTCGATGAGGACTGATCGTCACCTACAGCAGTCCATCCGCTCATAAGATCTTGAAATTCCTAACAGGGCCTCGGGGCTTCGAACGTAATAACCCGCTGCCGTTATCGCGACGGAAATTGTGTGAATGTACAACTCCAAGGAGGGCGAGAGTGACATGCAGAAAATTAATGCGGAGTATCGTGTGAAAATATCAGAGATCTTCGCCAAGAAAGCGAAAAAACTACTCAATAATTTACAATTTTTTCGCGTGGCTACAGAGGAACTACAGGTGAATTTAACGGGTTATACTTCCAAACTTTTTTCACCAGCGTTGTTACAATAAAATGGAGAAACATAAGGGCTACAGATGAGACGGATTTACGCGAAATCAAACCAGCGATCTACGGAAAAATTTAATTGAAATGTTTTGTTGATAAGTACGTTTATAATCTTGATAGAAGACATCGTATTGGCCTCTGAGCTAAATAGTTAATTTGGCCGGTATTTTACTAACATAAATGATCTTCCAAACCACAATTCTTTAAAGAAAAAACACTGCGATGTTTGAATTTTGAATTAAATCCATGATCTGATCTATGAGTCCTCGCGTGCAAAGCGACGTTGATTTTTTTAGGTAGCGTACCCTTGGAAAGGAGTTTTAATCCTTTCGCGCGTTAACGCCTAAGAACAAGGTGATAAATGGATTTGACGGTCAAAGCGAGAGAAGATTGCGATTAGCGGCTTTTTTCTACCTTGGATGCAAGACAGCTAAAAAGAGAAAGAAAGAACGAGCATAAAGGAAAAGCAATGATCCTCGCAAAGGGCTGTATTTTATGCAATTGCATCAAAAAATGCTTTAAAAATTCAGGCTTCAGCGGGCTCCCAGATACTATCAGTTGAGTTAAGAAACCATACGTTGGGAGCGAGGCGAAAAAAAAAATTGTTAAGAACAAATTTGTTGCGCAAAATAAGTCAGGTTTTGCCGGAAACACTTTGTTCTTGTAAAAAAGCACCAGAAATCACGTGATTTAGCTGGGGATAATAACAACGAGACAACGATAATCTTTTTAGTATCTCCTAAAGGTAACTTGTCTAATAAAATCGAACTTTAATGCGAAGAGCCGCAACACTTGATGCCTTACCCATGGATATGCTTACAACCGCCGAATTCTAATTTACGAATAAAACGAAGAGGAACTAGACAACAGATGAAGTATCTCCTTTCTATTCCAGTGTAGCCCAAGCAGAAAATCAAGCAGGTACAAAATTGTTATTTATTATTATTTAAAAAATAATAATTCATTTAGCAAGGGTGGTCTAAGTAGATTTTCTACCGCATCAGCGAGTTACTCAAATTTCATCCTAAAAATTTGTCCAAGGTTTTTAGCGATTGACTAATTTGCAGCTATGACCGAGAATTCTTAGTGTGAATACCATGTAATAAAGCGGGCTAGATTTCACTATCTTAATATTTGAGAAAATTATTCTGAAAAAAAAAAGAGGTTCCCGGCTAAAAAAAATTGTTTGCTCTATTTAATTATTCTTTCCTTACCTTCTATGCTTCTATCAGGAATAGAACCGTTTTTACTCTCTAGACGAATAAATAAAAATATATGAGGTAACAATGCGTGAATTTTCGATAACAATTCAATGATATGCTTTACCCGGATCCAATTTGAAACACTCGGTTCCGATGCATCTGCAAACCTGGATGAAAATTAATGATGGAAATATGAAAAGAATTTCTGCAAAAATATTTTAAGTAATTACTCTTTAAAGGTGCAATCTGTTTGTAATACAATTTTTTTTTAAATCGCTAAAGTATTTTTATCACCTACGAAGAAAACCTCCTTTGTGGCATTCTTCATGCCAACTAATTTGCGTGTCAATTATTACAGCGGCCGGCACAATAGAACTAAATGCCGTAACTGATTAAAAAAAAGAAAATAAAATGGGTCTGTCGGCGTTTTTCTGTTAAATCCAGTTCTTGAAAAATAAGCAGTGATTGGAACTAAAACGTGCAGCTCTCGAGAGCTTTAACGGAACATTTAAGGTTTTAACGTTTCTGGTCACAAATATTTGAAATTGGCCGCTGATGCCGGCCATGGGAATTGATGTCCTGGAGAGAGATTCGACCACCCAGACGTGGGCAAGGGGGGGGCTCCACAAGTGATAAAAAAAAAAAGAAGGGATGGGTAGGAGTCTTACAAACGGTCTATACTTTCCCCTCTTTTTTTTTCTTCTTTTTTTTTTTTTTTTTCTGGCGATTTCTTTTCTTTTTTGTTGCCGATTTTTTTTATTAAGGAAAGAATGTTGTTATTTCCTTTATGATAAAACTTTAAACAATCAGTTGAGTGGAACTACTCACAAAAACGTTTTTTCATGATTATACCCTTTCTTTTTTTCGTTGGTCAAATCTTTCTTCAAGTGTTGCCAAAAATTTAAACACGTTCCATCTGATGCCCATTTAAGATCTTTACATACCGGATATTATCAAGATAATGGTAAATAAATGAGGAGCTTTTATCGCTGTTTGGGGAAAAAATCTCAGAGAGCAGTTATTTTTGTCCGGCAGAGCTCAACGAGTTTATCGGATAGGCATCTAACCGGTAGCCAAAGATAACTTTCGCTCAGGGATTGTATCTTGCAACTAGTCGATAAGGTATATGGAGTCGCAGAACGTGACTTTTAACACCGTTTTTCATAAATACAACAACGGAGGAAGCCCTTTTCTGATTATCAAACCTTAAACATTAATTATGAAATAGCTATTAAGGTACTTCGTTATAGCTTTTATTAGCAAAAGCCTGATTTCACTAAGGCAATCTGACTAAATGATGGTAGTGACGAAAGCCAGAATGTTAAAATAAAGAAAATGTGTCTAATCTATCCTAAGATTTATCTATCTTTTCATTATTTATCTATTTATTTGGGTTATTTTTCCCTCGTCATTTGATTAGAAAATCCTCGCCTTGAAATTTTCAGGCTATCCAGGAATTATCTTTGGCTCGCGGAGGGTCTCCATAGGGTTAACTGTTGGCCTAAAAACGGCGAAAAGCGTTAGACCTAACAATTGACAAATTGAAACCGTTAGTTGGACAAAAAAAAGTTTAACCGTAGATTTTGTTTTCAGCAGTGAAGGAAAGAAATTTATCATGTGTGTAGAAAACAGAATGGCGAATGTGCACAAGTTCTCCTTGTCAGCACCCCGGGAAATGTATAGAGAACAGTACGGAGAATATGAACACTGATGTCAGGGTGTAAATGTCGTGCTCTACTGAACAAATCGTCATAAAAGGATTAGCAAGAAGTTTCATTAGCACTTAGTTCACGTTTTTTTATTTTTGTTTTTTTGACACTTTAAACGGCAGCTGTTTTATGGTTTTCAATCGTTTCTCATGAAATAAAAATATTTCAATGAAAAACCAAAGAGTATCTTCTTTTCAACTGATGTGTTTACATAGTTGTATTAGTGAGATACCTTGTTAGTTGTTTCTCGGGCGCGTGGGCTGATTTCCATCTCCCCCATACTTCCTACGGTTCTACAGTCTATTTTTTCCCTTTTTCTAAGGTTTGGGGCTTGATTTGTGTCAATTCACACCGATAATGTTATCTTAGAATAGCATTCATTCCAAAAAAGCCTGTTTGTCTGCCATTTATGGCCAAACGTCGCCTAATTTTGTTTTGATATATTGCCGTAAAAAATAAATTATCATTTCTTTCAACTGGCGAAAACAAAAATAGAGCAAACGGATTAGCACTGACACTGAAGCTGATGGAAGGTTACGAAAAATATCTTATTTGCAGGTCAGTATTCCGGCTTTTTGCTTTCGCGACCTAGAGCGAATCTTGAAAAGATTATTTCGAGCAAAGCTGTGTGGTTGCAAAGTCGTATTTCTAAGATCACTGAGCAGACAATTTTCTAACGAGTTGTTAAATGTTAATTTAGCTGCTGAAGGCGACATGATATCTACAGCTCATGAAATAGACATAACAAGCATCAACGAAAGACAACTAGCGCATATCAATTTTTTTTACCAACTTTAAAAACAAGAAAAATTCAGTTAGCTATATTTGATATGCATTATTTAGAAAACAGATGAAATTCAGTCACTGAGCATGGCCCGTCAAATGATTCAGCTATTAAAAAAACAAAGATGACCTGGAGAACATATTTCAATTGATAGACTATTCAAGATACAAATCTTTATTTGAAAAAGGCATGCACCACTCGAGAGGGCATGAAGTACGTACTTGTAAATGACACGGGACTGTTTGACTGAAGTATCTAGATTAAACACGAAGCACGAGAAAAGCCCTCAGTTGTAACCTTTTCATCCCAGCCACACGTAAAAAAAGGTTGCTATCTTGAAAATGAGTTAGTCCCGCTGTGAGCTGAGACTAAAGTCTTCCCAAGAGCAAATCAAATGCTTTGTATCGTGTCGCTAATCACCAGTGCTCTAAACGTCATACTCATATCTTATCATCGTGGTACTTGCCCTCGACAATGATAATAAATCTCTGTCAAAACAAGATGCATTCAATCTTTTATCAATGTGTTTTCTCCTTCCACCCTTTAGGCTGATCGCAGAAGCGCCATCTCCTCCGCATGTATCACATCTTCCACTTCCTGTTTAAAGTTGTTTGTCTCGCGTGATCAGCGAGACACTTATGGACGCAAAGCTTTCTTGTCACGCAGATCAAATCGTGCACAATAGAATTCCGAGCTTTCTTCACCTGTAAGCAAATACTGGAATTCGGAAAAGCTTACAACAGGAACGTGACTTGGATCCACAAAGAAATTACTGGATATTGTTATTTGAAAAATGGCGGCCAACGTAAATTTAACAGAAGATAGTAACAAGGAAGCTCTACCGTTTAAGGTTTTCAAAATCACAGTGTACTCTGTAATTCTTCTTTTGTGTCTTCTTGGGAATACTCTGGTGATGATCGTCATCTGCAAGACCAAACGAATGAGGATTCCATCAAATCTACTCATTCTCAATCTTGCAGTTTGCGATTTAATAACCCCTCTCGCCAGCATTCCATTTGATCTGGCACTGGAGGAAAAAGGCTACATCTGGCCCTTTGGAAGAGTCCTTTGCAAAACTCTTTGGCCACTTGCGACGTTATCGACCATTTCTGCATCTCTGACACTGGCCATCATCTCGCTGGATCGTTATCGAGTTATCATGCATCCTTTTAAACAAAGACTCAGCTCGAGGCAAGTAAAATATTCCATAGCGATGATGCATTTAGTGGCTCTGCTGTTTGTAGTTCCGTACATCTATTACCTGGATTTGGTTGGGGAAGAGTCCACTAAGTTTTGCGAGGAAACGTGGCCGCTGTTTTCCTACAGGCAGGTGTACACGTTGGTGCTTTTTATTGGTCAGTATGGAATTCCCTTGGCGTTCATGAGCGTGATGTACACCATGACTTTATGCAACTTGCGCGCTAGTGCAAGTATCTTTGAGAAGGTTCAACAACGTCCCAGTCGAGTGGCCGTAGATGGAAACTTAAACAACCGCAAAATGGAGAACTCTCCCGATTTCCAGCGTAAAGCCAGCCGAGTGACACTAGGTCAGAGACACAACATCTTGGTCGGCAAAGCTGGTCAGAACATTCGAGCAACCAAAATGTTCGTGACGGTTGTGATAGTCTTCGCCACTTGCAGGTTGCCCAACGAGATTTTCTGGCTTTGGTCAGATTTCGGGAACGGACAGGACCAAGATCACTCACCAATAGTCGGAATCATCTGTAGAATGTTCACCTACACCAACAGTATCTTCAACCCCGTTATCTACTGGATGTTCAGTAGGGATTTTAAAAGAGGGTTCAAACGAATATTTACCAGCGTATGGAAACGTAAACAGGATGGGTTATTTGACGACTCTCTGGATAAAAGTGAAAGTCACTTAAGAAAGATCAGTTCTATTAACGAATCTTTTTCTTTTGTTTGGCGAAAATTGAGCCGATCAAAAAGTGACAAAGACAGCCCTATGGAACTCAAGGAGAATCAGAGACTTTTCAAGCCCACAATTTCGAACAGTCCAGAGAGTTCCCCTAAAAAAACGTCAAGGAAGATTTCTTTTCATAGCGAGGAATTTGCCCACGGCCCAGACAAGACCTTATTAGGAATAACAAAGAGGAAAATACCTGGGTCAGTTCAACTTGACGACTCGTTTAGATTTATTATGTCGCCTTCGCAACCTAGACTGTCAAAGAGCGGCGAGGAATCTTCATTTGATTCAGCTCAAGAACATGGAATCGTCAGAATCAGACGATTAGGTACAGTAGAGCTACCGAGCGCACGACCCTTAAGCGAGCATAACATTCTAAAGACTACACAAATTGCGACAGACGGTTTGACATTTTTTCCAAACGAAATGATTGACGAGACGATCGAATCAATCGATTTAGCGGAGAAAGAAAACTCGCAGCCCATATCTGATAAAGTATCATCCTTAGAAATTAAATGCTCGTTTGACAACATGAAAAATGACAGCGGCGGCGATTGCAGAAAGGAAACGTTTTTAAATCATCGAGATTTGCCATCGATTTACTTCAAATTTTCATCGTCGCTTTTAAACTTAGCTGCATTGAAAGAAACCCGATGTTAATTTGGTTGCCATCTGTCTCAGCGTAAATGAATTTAACCAATTTACCACTGATTATTGCGTGCAGAAGAGTTCGAAATCAGCAAATGCGGCACCATTTTAATTTGCCACAGCCTTTAAAATGTTTTAACCTTTAATAGGGAGCTTATTTTTGTTTGAGCTATTCTCAGCGGCGCGTCGCCAATCCTGCTCGTTCAGAATAATTTATCACGAGACCCCGGGGCTTCAAAGTCAACTTGATACGCGAAACCGTCCCCTAAGACAATCGCTCTTTCTGTTATTTTCTTTCTTTATCGTGTTCTTCGATGGTCGATACAAACATGTAGACTAAACTATATGGATAATTTTGAATATTTTTCAGATATTAACAATACTATATTTAGCGAAAAAACTATACTGAGAAAGACATTTCAGACAAAGTAGTTTAGGTGCTTTCGTTTGTAAGTGATTGCAGGTGATTTAAGTTATAAGATTTGTTGATAACTGTTGAAAACTGAACAGGCAATTTAAATGTGAAAAGAAAAGTCGCTTGCATGTTCTAAGTTTTGGCTGTGAAGCATTTGTGAAAGTTATAGATAAAAGATTTGAACTGCCTCTTCTTACGCCATGAGTTCCATTAACTTCCACGAGAACTCATCCGAAGTTCTATCGTCTTCTCTTGCTATCAAACAAATTTAGATCAATATTGTTTGCTTTTCCAGTCTATGCAACATATCACGCGAAAAACAAAGTAACACTAGAAAATCGAAACACCAACACACGAGACGTGGATGTTGTTCTAAAATCGGTGTGCCCTGCGCGTTCTCCCCGCGAGATGTGTTGTTACCACAATCAGATAGAGATCCTACCTGGCACATATCACTTTGAGGGATACACCCTATATAGCAGAAATTATATATGAAGAATTTGCAGGCAAGATGAAGATCATTTTACATGTTTGTTGATTGAAAAGAAGCTTCTTGCTTTGAGTCATAAATCACTTATAATCTTAATAAGGACATTTAGTAGTTAGGAAGGTAACGCCAAGAGAGACATCGATTAAAAAATTTTTGTAAGAATTTCGCAAATTGCTTGATGTGTTTACCATCCAGATGTGTTTAATCTCAGCTTAACTTAGAGAGCAGCGTCGCATATGAGTTCCAAATGGAAACTTAAATAATTTGCCGTCGGGGTTTCTTTTCTCAGGTTATGCAAATTTTGATGATTTCGTGTTGTTATTTTGCAGTGGTCGGCTAAGAAATTAGATCTTCTGATTAACCATGACCTCGTTGCCACCACCGTCATAGTTAAAGGTTCTTAACTCCGGCCTAAGAAGACAGCCATTATTTATCGCTTTAGGGAGGGGTGGGAGTTTTTTTTGGGGGGGTGGGTGTCACTTGGTTTTCAGGGGAACAGAGGGGGATCATTCGTCTTTTACAGAGTATAAAGGGAGGACTGTGGAAAATTGACTGCCAATGAGTGGGGATCTTTAGAAAATTGTGGTCTGTTTTGAAATTAATGTCATTTTTTAGGATCCTCGATGGCTCACAAACTTTTTTCTTTTTCATTTTCTTTGCAACGACTTTTTGAGAATCAAATCATACAGCATTGTTAAATACTTTTTTCAAAATGGGACAGCAATGGCAGAGTGGTGGCGCGGCGGTTCACGTTTCGTTCCCCGCGCTTGTCTCTTTACCAGTCTACCCCTTCCATTTTTTCGCGAAACCAGGCTCTAGTAAATTTGCGTGACTAAACAGGGACGCCTGACTCATAACGTGAAGAGGATTTCAAACATGGCGGGTGTTCGCGAACTTTCGTACCTTTCTCTGACAGCCTTTTTCACAGTCGTTTTAATAATTATCGCAAGAACTGTGATGTATTCTCATCAGCCAACAGCTGCCTACCCATGCAAACCAAGTGATCTAGATTATATCAATGTAGACGAGGACGTGAAGAGAAGGTTTCAAACTGCGCTTTCTTTCCAAACGGTTTCCTGGAATGTTGGAAATTACAATCGAGAAGAGTTACACAATTTCCTTCAGTTTATTCTGAAAGGTGAGGATTGCAAAGGCAAGATTTATAATGATTTCCTGCTTTTTTTCTTACTCTATTAAGGCAGACCTTTCAAATTTTAGCTGATTTCAAGGATACATATATACTGCAGCGTATTAATTGGTCTTAGTTTTCATTAGTTTTGAACTGTAAATTCGAAAACAGCTGGTACGTAATAGCGGAATTGAATTTAAGTGTTACTCAGAAGTGATTCTCTCCTGTCCCATTTCATGGTGCAAAAAGGTTTTTTTATAATCCTCAGCTGCAGAGATGTCAGAGAAATCGTAATAGGGGTATGATCTGAACTGAGAGATTGAATTATGCTTAGCGACACGTTTATATTAGAATCAGTTAAAAAGTTCTTTTTTACTGTCTTTGATTACATTTCGTAAAGTAGCTCGGGTGCAAAATGATCTGACAGACTGCAAGTTTGCTCTGACTGCCTAATACCTTCTAAATTTAATCCAGAACTGTCGTGCATAATGAAGACGGGTAATGATCTGACATTTGTAGTTAGTGTGTGGTATTGTTCAGCAAGTTTGTCAAAGAAAGGCTGGGAGTTTTTCCTCTTAGATACAGAATTAGAACATACCTATTATTTAGGAAGGTATGCAAAATGGAACAATACTTGAAATTAATAAGTGTTTATGTGAAAACTATTTAATTTACGATTAATGTCATCCTTAATAAGGGTAATGATAATGATAATGATAATGATAATGATAAGGAATTTATATAGTGCTAAAACTGTAAACAATAATCAGAAGCGCTTTACATGAGTTCAAGTTCTATACTAATTAAAATTAAACTATTCAAAGGCAATAAACATTAGAACTATTGAAACAAACTAAAAGCTTTCCTAAATAGAAATGTTTTAGCAATGGTCAAATTCAAATGGCCCAACTTTTTTAGAGTGAAAAAAAAAAAAAAATAGATGTATTAGTTTGATGCTTGAATTTAGTGGATGTATGCTGACCTATGGTAGCTCAGAAAATTTATGAGAAGATAAGTACAACACAAATTGGATGGCAAGGAATTGTTTGACTTATCTATTTCTTGCAGAGTTTTCAGATGTGTTAAGCCATTCCCTTGTTGAACACAAAATTATTGGAAACTACAGTTTGCTTGTTTCCTTAAAAGGAAGTAACACATTGCTAAAGCCCTATCTGATTGCTGGTCACTTTGATGTAGTACCTGCCACCAATGAATCATGGGAAGTACCCCCCTTTGAAGGGCGTGTTCAAGATGGGTACTTCTGGGGAAGAGGAACTTTGGATCACAAAAATGGAGTCATGGTACTTTGGAAGTGCTTTCGTTTTATAAAGGAGTTCTTAGTTTAAGGGTTATCAAAAATATCTTATAAAATCTCATAAAAAACAGGAAATGCAATCAATGATATCTACATTAATTGCCAGCAGTTGGCTTCATTTATATTGTTCAATGCAGACACAGAATTGCCCACTTCGAGCAATCCTGTGTCTGCATTGCAACTGTTTTGAGCAAGGATTTGACTTTCAGCCATCTTCACACTCATAACTCCCAGTCGTACAGGAAGTCATTGGCGTTTTTTTTCAGAGAAAGACAAATGTCATCATTATCATTGTCAGCAAGGAGATAATTTTGAAATGTTAGTTATCCTTCTTGTGAAGGTCAGTGAAGAGGTCACATTTTAGTTGTTTGCACAGTAACTGTGTGAAACTAATTATTTTTGACCCACTTTCTTTTGTTATGGTTATGGTTATCATTATCATTACTGGTTTTTTATTTTAATTCACATTATAAGACTCTTTTATACTTTCTATTTCCTGCAGAGTTTGGCTGATTTGCTCTGTTTGAATAAAATTTTAGTACAGTTTTACAAACCTCATACTAAGTTAGGTGCTAATTCCAACTTAGCAATTTAATGTAAATCATTGGTGTTTTTCATCCTATGTAGGGCTCCCTGGAGGCTCTCAAATTTCTTCTCAAACAAGGCCACCAACCACAGCGCAGCTTTTTCTTAGCTTTTGGACATGATGAAGAGGTGAGTTGATGTAAAATGATTTATTCTGATTGCATTTTGGTTTTTTATGGATTTATCAATAGAAATTGAAATAGGTTTATGATCTTAGTAGGTGGTGGAATTAAATTTTGCTTGTATGGCATGTTTTGTGCTCCCTTGGAAAAAATTTTAAAATTAGAAATTTTCTGAGACATGATCTATAGCATTCTGGGAAACATTTGAGTAACTCTTTTTTGCAGTAAATTGATGATAGACTCAGTTAAAAAATACTTATTTTCTGTCATTGATCACAATTCCCAAAGTGGTTGGCGGAATATGGTCTGACAGCCAGCTGCCAGTTTTTTATTACAACCCTGCTTATTTTAAAACTCTTTAATCTCTTATCAATGGCACCCACTCATGTCAAGACAGTTCAAACATGCTATTTTTTAAATCATTTTATGTCGTCATGTCATGTTACAAATCTGATGACTTTTAGTGTGGTGTGACGTCAAATATGATATCATTGTGATCATGTCACATCAATGTCGTGACATGTTGTGTATTGATGTCACATCACAGATCAAAATGTCCTGCCTCTTGTGACAAGTCATGTTAATAAGAAGTGCCATGTCATGTTATGTTACCTCATGTCACAAAATGTTATATCACACCCATCCCATGTCACGCTGTGCTCATTTGTGATATGGCAGTACATCATACGAACTCATTTGAAGATTATGAACTAAGACTCCTAACCACTTTCAAAGGGTCTTTTCCTTCCCCCCCCCTCTCTCTCTCCCCCCCTCCCCCCCCCCCCCACTGTTAGGGTAAGACGGAGAGAGGGGTGGAGAGGTACAGGAAAAAGAGAGAGCTTGGTAAGGAGGTTGCTGTCTTTTCTTGTTTGCTTATGTGGATAGTTGATTTTTCAAAAAGGTCCTAGGAATCGATGGAGCAAAGCAAATTGCAGCATATTTAAAATCTCAAGGAGTGAAGCTGGAATTTTTAGTTGATGAGGGAACAGTCATTGTTAAAGATGCTTTTCCAGGTCTAAAGAAGCCATATGCTTTGTGAGTAAGACAAAAACCTATGTTTTATTTTTCAACTCAATATATACCATAGTTTTAGAATAGTTATGGTGGAAGGCAATTCCCGTCAGTGTAAAAGAAATTGAAATATTTGTCACTGATTTTGTAGCCTGCAGAATGGGTGTCATCTTTCCTGTTTTAAGGGCGAGCCACACCCTGAGTGGAGTGTAAGGGGTGAGAAATGTGGGGTGGGGTCAAGAGAGAATGGTCCCTTCTTTGCATGGGTCTCCACCTTATCATTTGCTGTAATTGGGTTTATTTTGCCACATTCCCAGATTCTCCCCAGCTGAGGAAAAAAGAATGAATGAACAAGGAAGGAAGAAATCCTTATGCTCTGCAGTTGCCACCAATGTTTCTCGCTTTTTGCTCATAGTTCAAAGCTGTTATTAGTTCTGACTAAAAAGGAGGCAGAGAATGATTTGTACCTGTAACCTCCTCAAATCCCATGAGTGACCAAGAGTGAAGTTCTCCTTACGATATCAATACAATATCAAGCAGACAAGTGATGAGAATAAAGAGGAAATAACGATTAGGAGATATTTAGTTGATCCAATACCAAATTCTCTAAGCTAACATCATAAGAATTGTATGGCATATAGTAAGGAGAATTACTAATGAGATCTTGGGAGTGAAAGGGTTGATTATTAGCATCGTAAGAGACAAAAAGGCGGTAACAATATATATTGGATCCGTGATCGTGTGTATTATTTTGTCTATAGAATTGGAGTAGCAGAAAAAGGCTACATAACGCTAGAACTAAGTGTGCAAACTTCAGCTGGGCATTCGTCAATGCCACCTAGGGAGAGCAGTATTGGAATCCTGTCAAATGCTGTTGCAAAGTAAGTCTTTGGCATTGTAAATTCGTAATAACTTTCGTTGTTAACTGCTTTGGTCGCTTTCCAACTTCTCATCCTTTTTATCCGTTTTCCAATCCTTCTTTTCGTTTCTTCTGTTTTAGTCCATCCGTGCGTGCGTGCAAACGTGCGTGCGATTGTCCTTCTGTCTGTTCGTTTCTTTGCACGTTTCGGTTATCATCTCGTTCGTCGACATTCATTCGTGCGCTCGCCCCCGTTCATTTGTTCGTTCGCTCCTTCGCTCGTTCGCTCGTTCGCTCGTTCGCTTTCTTGTTCGTTCACTCGTTCCGTCGTTCGTTCGCCCCCTCGGACGACCTTTTGTTCGTTCGTTCGTTTGTTTCCTGGTTAGTTTTTCCTTACGTTCATTTGTTTATTCAGTCTACCTCTTCCATTGTTTTCATTCATTAGCTTCTTGGCCTCTTCATCCTTCCCTTTCGTCTCTCTCTCTCCAATTTCTGATTGTCTTACCCTCTTGAATAACCCCATGCCATTTTTTTTTCATAGATTAGAGACCTGTCCCATTCCTGCTGTATTTGATTCCACTGGTCCAGTAAGGGAAATGTTTGAAAATTTTGCCCCTCAGGTAAAGCCAACTGAAAGGCGTAGTATACCAAAGGTACCCCAATCTCGATGTACAGGTACATCGGTGATACTTTTGCGCAACAGCAGCAACATAAGGATTCGTTTACGAAAAACGGTTGTCTTGACAAACAAAAAAAATTGTTTTGTGATTTGATTTGGAAAATACGCACTGTAGTGCGTTTCAGGGTTGTTTTGAAGCCGATTCACAGTAATCTAGTCTGGGGAGCCAAAATTGAAAAAAAAACCTGAATCGTCACATTTTTGACTTGAAACCACACTGGCGACCAAAAAAACGCCGATTGAAGGGGTTTTGGGTTTATTCTATAGTTATGAGACCAGGACGTTTTTTTGTTCATAAATGAAGCTGTTTTCCGACACAAATCCTTGTATTTCCTGATGTCGCATACCAACAAATATTACAGTGGTACAAAGAGGTACACAGGGCTACCTTCGACTATAAATAAGCAATATTTATAGTCAAGATGAATATGCAGTTTTACAGGTTTATTTAATTGGCATGACGCGAAGCAGTCATTTTGAAATTAAGCGCCCCTGCTATAATCACATCGCGCAAGGTGGTTATAGCAAGTTATGACGCAATCCTCGACCAATCAGAATGCGCGCATCTCTATAATCACCTGAACAGTTATTTGGATATTTGTCCGCGTATGTTATATTTTCATAAACTTTGATTGTTACACCGAAAAGTTCTAACAAGCAAGTTGCTAATAAAGTATCTTTATTTCCCAGGTTCCATTCTATCTGAGGGCTATCTTAGCAAACCTGTGGCTTTTCAGCCCAATTGTTGTCAGGTATGTTATATATCAAAAATAGCTACCCATGCCAATCGATCTGCTACGAACGTGGGACAAATTATTTTATAATAAGTGAGATACTACGAGCGCCCTGATTGGTTGAATTGTACCAGTAAAACATTGATATTTTATAAAAGCACTAGGTTACAATTTTTATCGGGTTTTCAAACCACAATGTGCTCAGAATTTCGCCACTAACAACGAGAACTCCCTACCAAGGTACACTAGATGTACGCAAAAATGCTACACTCGGGAAATTTCAAAGAAATACGATACTTAAATACTTATTGCAAAAGCTGACGAGATTTTTAGATTAGATGATAATTTTGCGAGACTTGTGATTTTTCAACATGCCACCCGTTTCAGTGAGAAAAGCTGAGGGTAGTTCGAATTTGGGAAGACTCCAAGGAACGTCTTCTCACCTGATGTAAAAGTTGTTCTTTCCATATAGAATCCTTGAGAAGAAACCTACAACAAATGCTTTCCTTCGGACAACAACTGCTGTAACTCAGTTTAACGCCGGAGTCAAGGTTTGTGTTAAAATTATTTTGAATAATGTCAACGTTTTGATGTTTTGAAATCGAGGGAGAGGCTCATGTGTAAAATTTTTGTCAGTACTAGCTGCATAAAGCACTCGCGATTTGTCCCTCCAAACGATAGAATTTAATTGCACTAGTGACTAAATTAAGTCGAGCACCCACCATCCCTGCGGCGTTCTTTGCATAGTTACGTGACCAGCTGCAACCAAGGTCCTTTTACGAAGGAGGAAGAGAGAGGACCTTGGGAACGAGGTTGCTTGGCCCTGCACAAAGCTTTCATGTGCATCATACCGGGATCAAATATCAAAGCATCATTTGTGGTAGATATTGAGATAGGTCGGCGAATAAAATAATCAATATAGGCGTGCAACCAAGAAAACTATGATATCATATCTTTTATCTTTCATTCTTTCTCTTTTCACCTCCAAATAGGCCAACGTGATACCCTCCTCTGCAAGAGTCACTGTAAACCATCGGGTTCATCCGAGTAACACGATTGAAGAGGTGAGGACACATCGCTCTGCTTATTTACAGCAACCTTAAGTTGAGTGTGGCAAGTATTCCGGGATTGTTTTGTTTTTCTTGCTTCGTTCTGTGATTGGTGTAGAAAACTCGCGCTACTTTCTCAACCAATCAGACAGGGGAAGTACGCTTAAAGTAAACCACAGATTAACTTAAAGAAAAAAGTTCAAAACATAACAGGGAAAAAATAAATAAAGTTTTGTTCTCTTGTGTAGGTTCTGGAGCATGACCGTCGCTGTATTGACGATGATCGTGTTAGCATTCGTGTAATGCAGTCAGCAAAGCCCTCACCCGTCTCTAGCTGGGATAAACATTCATTTGGATTCCAGGTATAAAAAACAAAACAATGAACAAAACAGGATTATTGCAAGAAACTCTCGGAAATAGAGTTCATGGTGGGGCGGGGGGAGGAGGGGCGCTTTAAGGAAACAAGTTCAGGGAGGGGAGGGTGTCTATTTGATGTTGGTTACGTTTTATTTGGCTGTTTGTGGACCCTGTCGAAATGTGACCTGTAAGTAGTTTGTTGATCTTTGACTATTGGATCAAAGTCAGTATCTTAACTGTTGTGCACCTAACCCTCCCCTAACCCTCGACTGTTGTCGGGTTGAAGGAAGGGTAGGTGTGCAGTTGTTCAGATAGAGACATTGATTCCTTGCCTTGGCTAACGATGCAAAGATCTACTTTGATCTTTAAAGCTAATTCAACGAATTACTTTTTTGTCAGAGATGCATACATTCATTCATGTAAAATTGTTTTCTTTTATTTATTTATTTTTTAATTTGTGTTCCTCACAGGTTATTTCTCAAAGCGTGCGGCAAGTTTTCCCAGAAGTTGGCGTATCGCCAGGTAAGCGCCTGAAATACAAATCTTACACAGGGTATCCTAGTAGTTGGCAATTTATTTATTGTTTTGGAAAAAAAATAAACAAACTGATGGAGAAATTTGAGAAAAAGATGAATATAGATGAATAGTTATTCGTCCAGGGTGGGGAGGGACAAACGACCCCCTCCTCCCCTATTGGTGTTGTTAACAACCCTGAGCTTTTTAGTTCAAGGTATTAAGAACTCTTTTCCCCGTTGGATTTCTTCTCAGGACTTATGATAGCAAACACAGATACAAAGTATTATCTAGAGCTCACAGATGCCGTCTACAGATTTATGCCATCAGTTTTGACACCCGAGGACGCCAAACGAATCCATGGGTTTAATGAAAGAATTGGAGTCAAGAATTACGAAAAGACAATAAATTACTTCTATCATGTGATGATTAATGCAGATGCAGCAAGTTTAGACGCAGATACTGAACACACCGAACTATAACAAGCGAGGAAAGATGACTTCCGAAGACTTCAGGAAGCTTCTGGAACACGAAGCGAATCCATGCTGATGCTAAATCTGACTTCGTTAACCAAGAAAAAAATTCAAATTTTTAAAGAATGTTTTGATATTTATCGCGAAAATATTTTATCTGCAGGTACAACGTCCTACAAGTTTTCTTACCATAATTAATTATGTTGAGTACCACCCATAAAGTATTTTTTGTAAGGTGGCTTCAGGAACATCTATTGGACTAGTGATCATGTAGCTATGGGATGAAACTCTCATCTCAGTAGATCAGGGAGAGGCAACTGCCATAGCTGTTTCTCTTGGCTCCTGTTTTAGCGTCTGACGGCACCAATCAAAGCCAAGACACAGGTAATGAGCCCCTACTTTAATGATTGTAGATATCTTTAATAAGCATATACCACTCAGGTGTCCTTTTTGTGCGTGCTCATTGGCTGGCTGGTTCAGAAATGATTTGCGTGTATAATTCATCTCTATTACACTGAAGAGATATTTATTTCTGGCCATTTTTCTGGTATATTGACTAATTATTTTTGATTAAGGGGGTACGTTTTTAAAGGAATTGTGGTGCTGCATTGGTGGGAGAGTTTAACAGGGTAATTTAGTGTAATCAAGTGAGATAAAAGCATAAATTGACCACTGTAAAGACTTTAAAGGCATTAGCCTTTCGCCAATTGCTCTGATGAAGGGCTAACACTCAAAACGTCAGCCTTTAAACTCTTTATGATGGCTAATTTACATTTTCAACTCAGTTGATTGCACCTTATTATTTTTATATTTGTTTGGTATATACTAAAACAATTATTCACCTCAGTGTTGGCAAAAGTAGTGGATATTTACTTTGCTGCTACATGGCTGTGTAAATATTCACCACTGTTCACCTCCACTAAGGTCAATAATTGTTTATTATTAAATTATTATAATGACAATAATAATAGAATAATAATAATAATAATGATAATAATGCTAAAAGCATTTCAGTATGTAAGAGAAACAGTTATTTAACCCTTTAACTGTAAAATGGATTTGCATTCTCAATATAATTATTTTGTGAAGAATCTGATCACTTATATTAATGCTCTCTATTTGTAATTATATTTATGACTGCACAACACCTGCAAATTCTGTAAATCAGTAAATGGTTGCCTTGTCATTCATAATCAAGACTTGCTTAACCGCAATTTATTTAAAATTCAGCATCATTACTCAAAGTTCTTGTTTTTGTATCCAATTTTATTAAATACAAAGAAAAAGTGTTTTACAGTTGTGGATAAAGTTAAAAATTTTAAACCAATTGAGCCAGCCTAGGATTCCTGCAGTTTACTTTTAACATTGTTGGCACTCCACCAAATCAACAAAGCTGCTACAACGGCAATAAACTCTGTTTGTACATAGAGTCCTTCACGGCCAGCTCCCTAAAAATAACAAATCAACTTTGAATTAACCTTTAGGAAACATATCAGTAAGAGAAAGTTAGAATCAACCTGCTGGGGTGCCAGGCCTCCATAATTTGAGTTACTTTCTGCCAAAAGTAAGGTTACACTCTACATAAGGGTCATCAAAAACCATTGGTTGGATGGGTTGGGAAAACAAGTAAATATGACAGGTATGTAGATCAAATAACATTTCTGAACCTGTCCCTCCCCACCAGATAGATATACAGAAGACAATGGCATGACTTTGGGGAGAGAACCAAACCTAGTTAGAGAGGCAGGCCATAATGAATTTCATCTATGTTCAAATCATAAATTTATGGTCTAACAGATATGAATAGTGCAAGTGAGTGAGTAAGTGAATTTTAGGTTGCCACTTAATCCTCATGGAATGACCACCATCATACCATGAGGTAAAAATGGATGGAGAAGATTGTAGGTATTCAACTGGAAAGTTTGGCAAAATTTTCATGATACAAAAGCCCAAAGAGCCCAGTGTACACCTTCCCAAAGACATCTCAGAACTTCTTAGAGGATAAAGAGTCTAATCATGATTTTGCATCATGGTAGCGATTGTGTTCATCACAAAGGTCTTTGGGAAGTTAGACACTCATCTAGAAAATCTATTGTTTCTTAGGAGTAACTAAAAGAGAGAAATGTCATAAAATGGAATAAAACAATGGATGTGAAAGCATTCCTCACCCGATGATTAACATCAATGGAGAACAAGGCCTTGGCCTCACTTGGTGTACCACTTCTCTGTGCCTAAAAGCAAATTGTGGTAGATGAGAACATGTTTGTACCATCCTAAATATATTAAAATCCTATCATTTGTTTCTGATTATTCTGATTATCAAAGAGCAAGTCACATATATCAGACTTCCGGTATATTTTGTAATCATCTTTCTCATTGGATTGACAGATAATTATACAAGTCATCATTTACTGGACAGCCCTTTGAAATGTTAACATCTGCAAGTTGAGTGTGAATCCTTCTGCTTATAAATTTAACAGAGTTAACAAGAAGGACAAGAAAAAACACAGAGGTAGAACAAAGGAGGTTTGATACACTCCCTCCCTCGTCTCCACCAAGGACAAGACTTAGAAGGAATAAAATTTTCTTAGCAGATATTTTAACAGCAAACAGGTCGCAGAGACAATTTTTTTTCTGTGGTATGATCAAGAGTTCTTCGCCACTCCAGGAGTGATTAACACATAACTTCTCCTTAGAATATCCAAACAGTATCCAGAAAACATGTAGTGAGAATACTCAACTTATCATGGAGAAGTTATTACCTTGACATTAGGACAATTTCTTATAACTAATTTACAAGGATGTGTAGCAGCTAGAGGGGAGAGCTGACAATCAGGACAGTGGGTTTTAGACATTGTTATCCAGAACTACTTGAAATGACTCAAACTGGTTCAAAATCATCCATACCAACAGTATGTCCTTGCAATAAATAAAAAGGTTTATAACAAACTACTTGGGTGCAGTATGGGGAGGGGGGGGGAGGTGGGGACCACAAAGATGTATTAAAATGACCAAATTGTTTCCCAATATTAAACCATCCTTAATTTGACCAGTGTACCTTTCTATAGGCTGCATATCCCTCATCATCATAGAAACTCAATTTGTAGACACCAGCTTTAGCCTCCTTGTGCTCCTCTGCCCAGCTGACCTAATAATAAAAATAACAAAAAGCAAGTTGGTGCATCATCCAGGTACTAAAAAAAAAAAGTTCAACATTGAGTTATCCAAAGACATATCAGAACATGTAATAGTGTAATCATATGTACTTTGTACACTCAGGGTAGCTGATTCACATTCATCATCCATGTCTTTGGGACAATTATTGAACAAAGAAATACTCAAGGCATGGTTTCTAGCTTCACTGATTCTGGGTTACCATGGAATTTGGCATATTAGTTGCTATAAAGAAAGAAAAGATGAGAACCAGGAGAAGATTCAATCCTCAAGGTTTTAACAGCTGGGAATTGAAACAGGGTGTCATGAGATGGAAGAACTCCATGTTAGCTCCTTGGATTTCATTTAACCCTATAATACCTAAGAGTGACTAACATATAATTTCTCCTTACAATATCTCCCCTGAATCAAATATTAAGGTTGAGGATAAAAGACATGATCACTGACTATAGAAGCTGTTCATTGTTTAACTAATTCTCCTTGTCAGCACCCAGGGAAATGTATAGAGAACAGTAAGGAGAATATGCATACCAATGTTAGTGTATTAAGGGTCAAAAATGCCACTGGGCCAACAATTTGGAAGACCCACTGGTCAAAAGGCTGGCACTCTGGACTTAATGTCAAGAGATCTGGCCTTGCAACCTGGCTAAATCTTGTTCTGCGTTCTTGGATAACACACTTCATTCTGATGATCCCTCCCTTCACCCAGGAGTTTGAATGGGGGCAGTTAACTCTGTAACTTTTAGAGAAGCCTGATAATGCCCAGGGTAACTTGTGATGGACTGGCCTTCCATCCATGGGGAAGAACATTATTTTACAATTATTTACTGATCTGGAGGCAAAAAGTGGTTGATATTTATTGAGCCGCAAGGCAGCAAGGTAGATACAGTATGTACCACTTTCACTGACAATGTGGTTCATTATTATTTTAGAATATACCACAACTGAAAAACTACACTGTAGTTTATTCCTTTCAATGCCAGTAAACTGAAAATTGTGAGAAATTAAACTCTTGAAGCACAGTTTTATCTCATCAGTTGATCTGAGTTGAAAATTAAATGCACTTGCTATTTACTTAGGACAAGCCAATCAGCCTGTGTGAAGTACATTAGGAATTATTCCTTGCTAAGTACACATTGATCTTTCTAAAATCAGTTACAAATAATGACAAACCTGGTATTTCGCATCATCAGTTGATCTTGTAACTGGCATAACTTTTCCATTCACTTCAGCATAAAGGTTCACATCCTGTTTACATAATAAAACATATCAAAGAATAAATTCCTCTACTTGCATTTAAAGAGCAAAACTGTTCAGTTTGCTGACCAAAAAATCTCTAGTGAGCCACTGAAGTCATGAAATGATTCCCAAGACTTTTCAGCAATTTGAAAAGTTTAACAATGAACAATAAAGTGGTTGATTTACATATATCATAAATGTCTTAAGAAATATATTAGGAGTTTCCTTATCTTTTAAGCATTGCACCATTTTTTATTGGTATGCTTTTATGTTCCATGTTGAAAAAGTTAGCATGCATCTATGGCAATCACAATAACCAATCAATTTAATGTTCTTCATGATGCACAAACAAGCAATTGGTTCCAGTTATGCAAATAAACCCTCTACACCCTTACATCAGTTAACATATTCCGTTCTTCATACATTTGAGGAACATGTGAAGTGCTGACAAGGAGAATTTGTTTAACAGTCAAGAGCTTCATTAGTCAGTGATCATTTCCTTTTTCCTTGTAATTCTAAGTGTATACAAATTTAGCATGGGGTTGTGCAAGGGCCTTTCCCTTCTTCACTAATCAAAGAAAATGGTTTAACAAAACAAAGGAGTCTTGGGCAACTTCTTAAATTCTACAAAATATTGTTCTATATTTAAAGTAAACTCTCTCTCAGCTACAGTTGTATCTGAGCAGAACTATCCAGTAGTTTCTTGAATTGTATTTTTCTCTCTGGTACTCATATCATGGAAATGGAAATTTTTCAGACAGCATAAGAATAAGACCATCAAAATAGGACTACTTCACCCATCCGCAAACATACCATACCTTTGCACCATTGTCACATTTGAGAGAAAATTCAACAATGAACACACTCTCTGATGACAGCAAAATGTTCTTTGTGGTATAAATGTCTGTGGTTGGCCTAGCTCCTACGCAAGCATCACCTAATTCAAAACCACAAAGTGAAATCAACGTTAAGAAGACATTTCGTGACACACTCAAGGCATTTCATCCATACTGTTACTTCAGTTTTATTCTGGAGGTTGTGCTCGCCTTCATCAAATACAGTAACACGTCGCTGAATGTTACAAAACGATGTAGACGGCAAAATGTGTCAATCAATAATTGTACAGCGTCTGATAAAAATTAGGAAGTTTGAAAAGCAAAAAACACTCCAGAAAAGGTCAAAGTAGATTGACCAATAGAGTCCTGCCCCGTGTGGCGAAAAAAAGTGCTGAAAATTTCTCCCATTAACTTCCCGGTGGAGACTTGTAACTACATAATTACCCTACACGTTAGGTTTAACGTTCAATTAAAGTTATTTTCAGCTTACCAGATGACTTTAGAGGCGCAGAAACAGCTAAAACGGCGAGAACAAAGAACAGGGCAGCCATGTTGGTCCCGTCCACGCTCGAAGAGAACGAACTAAGAACATCACGTGGCATTCGTTAGCTGAGACAAGAAACACACCAACCAGCGGTTACTTCCCTAAGCGTTGAAAATGAAAGTCAAACGGGTGAAGCATGCAAGGAGATATTTAACTTTGTTCAAAAATTCCTTCGGGATATTTGAGCCTTATCAAATTTTAGGTGAGTGAAATTGTTAAACATATGTTCTTCTCTAACCTGTCGCAGTTTGGAGGCAATGGAGAGCGTCTGTGTGTTTTGCACACCGATTTTATGTGACTTCCGGCAGTTTAACTGGTCGGCCATGCTTGCGAGTGTAATTTTATTTCGGTGTTGTTCTGTTCTCAGTTGACGGCACTTTCAGTCAGGCAGCACTGCAGACCAAGATCAATATCAAGGAACAGCTTCCCAAATACTTGGATGGATCTGTTCAGTTATGTATCCTTTATTCATGAAAGTTCAAAATTACTCTGCACTTGTTCAAGAAAATACGTGAAAGAAACATGCACGTACCTGTACCAACCCTTGAAACAAAATAGCGCTACTAAATTTTTTTTTTTTAATTCTTTTGGGCTGCCAGTGTTTTGGGGCAGTGCTTGGGCCGTCAGTGCTTTGGCGACACAAGCTTCAGCTGTGAGATGATCATCTGGCGTAAGAAGCGTCATGGGGAAAATAAAAGAGTTTTATGGGAATATGAATATTTACGACTGCTTTTCAGAGGAAAAAACTCATTCAACTTCTCAATAAAAAATATCTCACCTTACTTCCAGGTACAGTGTATCGCTTCTTGTCTGAACGCTTTCTTTGTGGAAATGAGGCCATTTTAGTGATTTATCTTTTCTAGGTTTCCTACTCCTACTTCTCTTAGGAGTAGGAAACCTTTGCCTAAAAGAACAACAACTTCAAGTTTGTCCTCCACAATCTGTTTAAATCTTTCCATTGTAGATCAACCATGACATTTCCTGGTGAATTCTTTCTAATTTGGTCTTTGTCTATCTTACCAAAGTAACATTTTCTGCCTTCCTTCTCATTAAAGGTAATTTTTCGTTTTGGAATAATTGACTCAAAATATTAATGGGGTAGAGTTACATGTATGGTCACAAAGTGGCAAAGGTAGCATCCTTTATCAGTTAGTCAAAAGAGTGATTCAAAGGGTTTATTTGATTGCTGTCACAAGAAAATATAGTTATTTAGAAGCTGATGATTCACAATGGTAAATGCAAAAGAAGACATCAGAACTTGGACACAACATTTTCCTGTTATTCAGAAGTCATACCTGGCATTAGAATCAAAGTATAGCCTTGGTAATAGTAAGGAGTTGTAACTTTTGATTTGTTATGAAGATAAAACAAATTTCCAGAGAACAAGGGAACAGTTACCACTAACATATTTTAATTAAAAACTGGTATGTTGTACGAGAATGAAATCAGAAGTTGGTAAATTTTTACAAGCTTGACAGATTCTAGATGAATGAACTATTGCTAGAACGCATGCTATCTGAGTCTTAAAGCCAAAATGTATGTTTACAGCCTTGAACCCTTTCACTCCCATGATCTGATTATTAATTCTCCCATCTAGCTGTTTCACATTTCCTTGTAATGAAGTTACAATAATTTGGTGGTATATCATGATAACAACCTTTAACTGATAAGTTTGAGTAATCTCATGACCTGTTTGTGGGATAATGTGTGAATATTGTTGGGAGAAGTTACATGTAAATCACTTCCAGGAGTTAAAGGGTTAAAGTTATTTTTTGTACAAATTTAACTTGACTTGTGACAAGTGACAACAAAATGTGTAATAGAAGAAGGAAAGTCACTTGGTCCTCAGCTGGCAGGCGCTGTACTGATTTTAAAGAGATTTCAGCTGCGGAAATGTGGCCACCATAAGGAAGCTGTGCCAGCTGCAGAATGTATTATGAATATGATAGGTAACTGTATAATGAAATTAATTGTATGCACATTTTGATTGCGTCATGCTTTTGATCGATTGGTAGACAAACACATTGATCAGATGACATCACCATCAACACCAGTTGCTTTATAATAACATAGCATTTAGGTTCCATGTTGCTCTGCTTCTGTTCAGTGAGAGATTACAGCAAGGTTAATTTCTTGCAGTTCATCCTTTGTTTAAATCTCAATTGTCCTGTCTTGTTCTTTTTGTAAGCCACACAGATTATATCCCAGTTGGCATAGCTTTGGCAAATGATTTATTTGCCTTGACAGACAAATTGCAATATGTTGCTCAAGATCCTTTAATACATGTTAATTCTTCCTGTTGCTTCTCTTTGAAAGGAACTGAAAATAAAAATGGATACTTTGTGGCCTCACAAGACAGAACTCTAAGAAGTCATCTGCAGAAAATTCCAGGTAACATTCTGTTTCATTTAATTCTTATCCTCTACAGTGAATTTGTCTCCTTAACCCTTTACACCCTGACATCAACATCCGCATTCTCATTACTGTTCTCTATAAATTTCCTAAGGTGCTGACAAGGAGAATTTGTTCAGCAATCAAGAGTTTCTTTAGTTGGTGATAATTTCCTTTATTCTCATGACCATAAAACATGATTGAGGGGTGAGTTGTAAGGAGAAATTAGATCCTGGTCACTCTTAGGGGCTAAAGGGTTAAGGTGTTTTAAGACCAGGTTGCACACCTAACACTATGATATGCAGTTTACAAACTGATGCTGCTCTGATCATCACCAAAGAATCTTCCTTTTTTTGATTGTAGAAGGATTTTTTTGGGTAGCCCTTAATTATAAAATTCATGATTTTCCTGACTTTGTCCAAATATTTTACAGGAGTACCACTTTTATTTATTAACCACAACACGATACTCCTGGAGAAACCTTCAAGGGCGTCTCATCAAGCCTCTGACCAGGTTTGTCATCTCTTTGAACCCTTTAACTCCCAAGATCTGATTGTTAATTCTCCCCTCTAGCGGTTACACATTACCTTATGACTTAGTTTGGAGAATTTGGTGTTAGATTACAATAACAACTTTTACCTGATAAGTTTAAGTATTCTCATGACCTGTTTGCTGGATAACATGTGAATATTGTGGGGAGAAGTTACATGTTAATCATTTCTGAGAGTTAAAGGGTTAATATACATGTGATAGGCTGAATTATATCAGTATTTTGATTGGCTCTTCCTTATCATCATTTAGGGGATAGGTTGAAATGCAATCTTCCTCAGCCGTTGAATCCGTGTGAAAGAGTACACGCATATACATAAAGAGATTAACAAAACACGTTTTCAAATAGACGAAACCCCGCGAAAGTGCACGCACTGGAAGTGCGTGTACGAATTACACGTGCTTTACGCGCGTGTATTTACTGCAGCACACGCGAGCGTTACTGTTGAAGACGTCTCACTCAAGAAGTTTTATCTTTTGATTATTGTTTAAAACAAATAGATTCTTTAAAAAACAATTGTACGGTACAGTTTGAGCTCGGTAATCAAATATAGGAAGATGTTTATTCGTCTTGTCACGAGCGCGCGACAAAGAAACTATTCTAAGTCCCCATGAAGAATCGAACCTCAAACCTTCGGATTCCGCACTCCGATGCTCTACCACAGAGTCACAGAGACTCTATAGAGAGATAGGCTATTATTAGGGTCAAATATGTATGTAACACGCGTCTTGTACACCTCTAGAATATTTGAGCAATGTCGACAATTGGAGTCATGAAACATTTCACAGGATACACTTTCTAACCGACATGATTTGTTTAGTTACACGTGTGAGTTGTTCACGTGTTTTGCCAAGTGTATCCTTAACTCGAATATTTTTAGTCAGAAGCTTTTAGAGTCTTACTTTGGAAAAGTTTCACTGTTTTATTTCATCAAAACACTGCAAATAAACCATGCATTTTTAAAAAACAAAAACAAAAAAATTAAAAGAAAAAAAAACCAGATTCATAGCATTTTGCTTACTGCCATTGAAAAGTTGTGTGATCGACAAAATTGTGTAATTACCTGAAAAGCCATCTCAACAACCTCTTTAAATTACCTCGTCAGCTCATTGGCCGAGCGAAGAGTTGCACTTTGTTCGTAAAGTGCTAAAAAGTCGATTAAAACGTTGTTTTCGGGGTGCAAACTTCATATGGCTGTTATTTCTGCCGGGCAGGCTTTGATTATCGTTTGAACTGATAAATAGAAAACAAAATTTGGGCTCATGAAACACGCAAGTGCAAGAGATAATTTTCTACGGACTACATGTATGTCATGTAATATATCATAATGCTTTGATACAACGCTGCGAAGGTTTGGTCAGGAAAATCGTTTTTCACTCGCTAACCGGCCAAGTGAAGAAGCACACTCAGTATTGGAATGAAAGGTATTTCGTTTTAATGGTAGTTCTTTGCAATATTTTCCCCGCAATTGTCAGTATTCGCATTCATGAATGTTTTTCCGAGTCTGGAAACATTTTATCTCCATTTCGTTATTTTTTTTCGTGCGGGTTTTGTGTCCGACCCTAACTGAACTCTTCGCGTAACATCTACCGGAAAGAATGTGATCAAATTTTTTTACAAGGAAATGAAAATTCCTTTAATTTGCCTGGCTGTGACGTGTCGATATGTGGGGCGTATCTCGGTTGTTCAGTTGTTCTTGGCACTCGACCGGGGAGATTCAAAACTTACTACAGAGTCAAAAACTCGGGCAAAGTCCTTGATATGCTTCAAAGTAGAATGGAAAACACGAGTCAAGCGAGTTGTACACTTAAAGATTGGGCGATTCCACTCGAGTTTTCAACCGGATCTTGAACTTTGTAGCGAAAATCACTCGCGTCGCTCGTGCAACAGTTCCACTTGAACATTTTGTCACGTTATTAGGATAACAGTAGTTTTTTTTATTTGTTCTTACTTTTGAGACCAAAGGAGATATTATAACAGTGCTCGGTTTTTTATATATATCAGTAGTGTTACTCTTCTTTTAAGGCTCGTTTGAATGTAAAATTTTATTTGCCCGGTCAAAGGAAAAAAAAAAAAGGAAAAGAAAGGTTGTTTTTCCCGACGTCGCGTGACAAAATTTGGACAAGAGTTCGTGACGGCGATTTCGCCGGGCACGTTCAAGTTTGTTTCCTGAAATCTGGATTTTTCGTCTTTATTCGAATTTACCCTCATTATTTCATTCTTTCTTGATTGTGATTCTCTCTATAGTGTTGCCCTCAGGACACATTTTAAAGGCATTATTACACGTTGGCAAAGACAAATAAATAAAAGAAAGTAAACAAACATGATAACATGGTGTCGCGGTTTCGCAGTGTTTCGTAACTTGTTTTTTCCGGTCGTATGGGAAGCTGCGATAAGTTTTTTTCCCTTCACTTGTTTTGGTCTGAAATTAAATTGAGAATATACAGTACGTGCCATTATTTTTTGTCGTTTTCTTTTTCTAAGATATGCCACTTTTTCTGTTGTTTTTGAAGTAGGAAGCCATGCGATGTCGCGCGAATCTATGCTCAGTAAGAAACGATCCACGGCCATGTTGCATATTCCAATAAACAAGCGACTTATCTGCAGCCCTATGCTTCTTTCAAAGACAAGCGCAGTTTTTTCTCTGGTAACTTTGACCCCCTAAGAGTAATCAGCATCTAATTTCTCCTTACAATATCACCCTTTGAATCATACATTACGGGCACGAGAATAAAAGAAATGATCACCAATTCAAAAAGCTCTTGATTGTTAAACAAATTCTCCTTGTCAGCACCTTAGGATAAGTATAGAGAACAGTATGGAGAATATACATACTGATGTTAGGTTGTAAAGGGTTAAGCCTTTGCCATGTTTTACCTTCGCCGACGTCGTTCCCCCTTCGGATTTAGAATATCTTATCTTCCAAACCACTTGTTTTGAGTTTCACGCTTTATTTCACTCTAATCAATGCCATCTTTTGCGTTTAAGGTTCAAATTTCCCGTCTGCAGCCCTCTGCTCACGAGAAAGAGACGTTAGTTCGACTGAAGGACTCCGCTACGGATGCTCAACCGAAACGTAAACGGAAGAGGCCCGGGGGACCAAACCCTCTGTCCATGTTGAAAAGCAAGAAGAGAAAGACTGGTGATGAAACTAAGGTGGGAATACCTAGATGTTTATTGCTATAATGATAGTGATGATAATAATGATGATGATGATGATGACGAAGACAATGACGATGACGATGACCCAAATGATCAATTGGCAAGAACAATGGCTTAGCACGGGCGTTTAAAATCATTGTACATCTCTTAGCCGTCCTTTGCAATAAAAACAACAGGAAATCACCAGGATTGGCGTGGTCTGAGAACGGAAACCCCGACGGCAAATTATTTGAATTTCCATCTGGAACTTAACGCTGCTCGCATACGTCGTATTGAAGTTGAGGTGTGAAGCGGTAAAAGACAGCAAACACATACAGCCAATTGCGGAGTTCCACTCAGGGATTTCGGTTTGTATCACGGTGAAATTTACCTGCTCCCCCATAAGGGCTCTGCAATTTTCTTCGGATCCTTCTCCCTCATTAGCAGTAGATTGGCAGTCAATGTTCTATAGACCTTGCCTATACTCTGATGGCGACGACTGATCCTCATCCGTTCCCCCCCCCTCCCAAAAAAAAAAAACCATGTGACCTCCCCTTCCACATAATCTCCCCCGACCCTACTCCCCCCCTCGACGATACATTTTCAGGATATCTTGAACTGAACGCCAGGTATTTATTCTCACCTACTTAGAAAAAGCGAATCCGTAAAAGAAAAAGAAGAAAACTGGCCGAGCACGTACAACAAGCGCTGCAGGAACAGATGACATGATGTTTTTCATAAGCCAAGGTTGGAATATATAGAGCAAATGTTACATTTATTTACGAAAATTGTATTCTTATACTCATTTATGGAGCAGTATTAAATCAAGCGTTGAAAAACCAAAACCAAAATAATCACAGTGCCAATCAGAACAAAGGTTTATATTTTCAGTAGCCAATGAGAACTTAGAGCAAAAAGGAGCAAACTTCTTGAAGCGCGGGAAAACATGAGTGACCAGGTCGCCATTTTCTTTCGTTTTGCATCTGATTAGTCGAGAGGATGACGCAACTTTTTTGCTAGACGAATCACAGAGCGCAAAACCTGATTACTTTTGAGACTCAATTGGAAATTGTTCCAAAGAGTGAACATGTGATTACAAGTTCACTTGGCGTGGAAGTACATTCCATGTCTATTTTTCTTAAGACATGTAGTAAAAGTTGATGTCCGTAGAGCTTCGATTGTTCTTCAACCCTTTATCCTTTGTAAAGAATCGATTCGCAGTTATCAAACATTTTTGAGACTTGGTTTTTCCTTTCGAAATTAATAGAATGAATAGTTTTTCTTGATGGTACTTTTCTCAAATGTCTAACCGACGCGAGGAAGCATTGTGGTTGAAACGAAGAACTCTTAGTTAGGAAAAAAGTAGAACGCTTTTGTTGTTGTTACCGTTTTACGATATTAAAGTGTTTCGGTTGAAAGAGCGATGCTAAAACATTCGAATTAAGTGAAAGTTAGTGTCGAATTTTCAAAATTGAGGGTAAAAATCGACTGCGCACTCAATAAAACCGGTATCGAGTATTAAGTGCCAACTTCCTCAGTAATCCGTACTGTTGCTGCATAAAAAGGAAAAAAAATAATAAAACACTTGCAAATAATAGGTTTTAAGATTTTCAAGTAATTTCTTTAGTCATTTCGGTTCTCTCTTTGTTTTTGATCTGAGTTGGTGTCCTCTGAAGGCAAATATTAGGACACGGAAGAAACTCCTCTTTTTTCAGAGTCATTAACAATATTGAAGTTTTGTGGACTTGTTGAAAATCACATGGCTTCAAAATTACTTTTGTCCATTGGTTTCGACGAGAAGAAAAGCCGCAGAGAGAGAAACTTAGGCCTCGTTACATTGTGAATGATATGCAAAGCTTTGCTCTGACACAAGGAACTAGTCACACAAGGCTTGCAGGCGTAGAATAAAATTTGGGCATTGTTACTGGCATTTTAGAGGAAGTTGTTTTATATTGATGGCATGTAGGGGGTGTAGGAAGTCTAAATGGACGAGAACCTGCGATGTCGTTAAATATTAGAAGCACAGTATTGGACAGTGGACGCGAGCAATTAGGCAACAAAGCAGGAGTTTTTAAATGATACCAATTATCGGAAATTTACTAATTTTATATCAATTTGTTTTTCTTTCTTTCGATATTTTGAGTTATTCCTGTTTAGAGAGGAAGTTTCTTTTGACTAGCAGGTCTTTCCCGATTTTTTTGTTATATTCTTAGAAGAAAGTTCAAGCTGGTGTGCCAGGAAGTTGTGCTGATATCTGTAGAAAATATGTTCACGAAGTTCTGTTTAGTTTTTCAATCATCCGTTGTTGCAGTCGTGGTAGTACCATGCATTTGATCCATCCTCAAACACGTCATCATCGTTAAGGAAAAAATACAACAATTCCTTTGGCGTTTATATCCATTCCGTTTATATTCATCACCTGTAAAAATAATTTGTTTTTTTTCCTCAAGGGTGGATAAAAACTGAGCCAGGTAGTTTTTAAGTTCGTTTCTTTATCGACTAAATTTATATAGCGTCCAATTTGGTTTCCTCTATCTCTCACGGTGAAGCAAGCAAGTATCGAAGCAAAACTCCATTGGAAATAAACGGCTCCCATTTTTTTTTTCTGTTGGACAAAAATCAAGCCAGGTAGTTTTTACCTTCGGTTTTTTTTTATCTGTTAAATTTAGTTTCCAATTTGGTTTTATCTATCTCCCACGGTGAAGCAAGCCAACACCGAAGCAAAACTCCACTGGATATAAAACTGCTCCCGTTTTTTTCTACGTACTAAGAACAGTGCTGTTCTGTTTTGCGTTTCACTTCTCTTGTACGGGTAATCTTGAAATGCCATATTTGTAATTTTTTGTGTGTGTGTGTTAAAGAGAAAACTCTGGAGGTTTCGAACATGCTTCACGCTCGCTTTTGAGTGCCATAGGCTAAGAACTGAACTTTTGCCTCCTGCCTCTAAATCCTGAGGTGTTTTTTGGTAGACTTACTGAATAATAAAAGATTTGAAGAGAAGTTATTGAGTCTTGGGTTGGATTTTGCCGTTCCCGTTTGCAATAAAAGTGTATCGTAATCTTTCCGTTGTCTCGGTCGTTTAAGTTGTCATTTTAGTACTGTTAAGTTAAATAGTTCAAACGACAAAAGCACTTGTTTCTAGAATTCGCTAGTCTTTGAACAACGAAGTTAGAAATACCTCTATTCAGTAGAATTTTAGCACAAGGATTTCGTCGGTTGATTTTTAGGAGTTTAGCGGACAGCTCTTTATCAGTAAGAAAAAGCTACAGCTTAATAACTGGATCCCTTATACTGAAATGCTACCAAAAGTACAATTAGAAATTGATAGAAGTTGGCAAAAGCTTCAAGAGAGGAGGAGAGGATTTTTATTTAATTTTGTTGTTGTAATCAGTGCTTTCAAGTAGAGGGTGCTGTAACTCAACTGGTAATAAAGAAAAGATGAACGCATCTTATGTATTTCCATGTTAATGTTCCACTAAGTTGGACAAAAAATCGTAAAAACTAGCCGTAAAAAGTGAGATGATGATAGATTGAAAACACAGATATGTTATTCTTAAGGAAGTGCGTAACGCTTGCCGGAAATATTCCTTGCGAAACATGCGTTGACCGTTAATTGCATCAAGATACAAATTTGCTAATCTTTTTTTCTTCAACGGCACGTTTAGATTTGTAGAAATACTTTTTTCTTTGAGTTCACAGATTGTTGAATGTAGTGAGATCAGGTCTATTTTTAAACAGGCAGTGATAAAATCACAGTTAGTTTCGTTCTTTTAACTCAAATCTCGCCCTCTCTTTTGTTTATTTTTAAACTCGTGTTTTAAGTACAGACGTGAAATACCTCACATAATTTCTGTATACCATCACATTTTCGAAACCTGTGCAACATCTTAAAACAGAAACTTTAACATTGTTCAATCCTAATTTGGACTTTCATACTCATGCGACAGATGGTGCTAGTTTTTTCCTATTTTAAGGCTTACGTTGATGCGAAATAAATTTTCTCTGTGCCCACTGACTTTTACAAAATGAGGTCACTTCGCTTTTATATAGATGATACTTCACGCATCAAAATACTGGACTTTTCAAAAATGTTGAATCTAACCACAGAAGGACCTGAAATGTTAAGGTCCCGGACCTTAACATTTCATTTGACAAAACGGTTTTGTCACTCACGTGCAAAACGGTGGCATGCTGAAAATTCCACGGAAAAAGTTATAAAAATTTGTAAAAATTCATCAATCTTTCCTAACCCTGATAACATGATTAAGTTTCCTGTTCATAGTACTCTTAAAAATGGAAATATGCTTTCTTGACAGCACAGGGAAAAGAAACTTGAAATTAACGAAAATTCGGAAAGGAGCACTTTTTGTTACCTTTTTTTTTTAATTGAGAGAATCGCTCTCTCTCTATATATATATATATACACACACACATGTATATATATATTGGTAGGATTCCAGCATTTCAGGGAACTATCCGTTGGCCAAATCATAATATTCTTTCTCTGTCTGTTGATTTAGGAAGTGATACCGAGTTTTTGTCTGATCGTGTCATCATCTATATTGGGATCGCATAGGCCGGAATTCGTACCTTTTGACTGCTATTTGTGATATGCAAAATTTCAATATCCGAATTGTTGAATCCGCGTAAAGAAGATTCCAGCTGCAGTTAATTAATTCTGTGTTATTTTTAAAGATTTGGGTGTTGTTTTTCTCGAGGTTTTGATCCTTTCCTTAATTTGTTGACAAAGAGTTTAGTTCATGTCCGTGCTGTACATCACGTAGTTGTATTTCCGAGGTAATCCTCGGTGTATGCAAGGCAGTAAACAGGGTTAAAGGACAGAGTAGTTTAGACAAATAAAAAGTTTGTTAAGTAAACGGAAAGTAATGAGAGTTGTCTTTTTAACCCCTATTAACTGAAGTACCCAATATTGCTTCAAACCACGCTACGTGCTCGCTAAAACTGCGCTCGAATCTACGGATTTCCGTCTTACAGAAACTGTAAATTTTCAAGGCATTACTTGTAAAAGTACAGTGTAAAATAAGTCGTGTAAAATGATATTATTGAGATATTGTATGTTGAAAGCTGGCTGCGTAATCAAGAAGTAACCAGCACGTGATAATTGCTGTAAAAGAAAAATCTGATAATCCTCTCTAAATTTCTGTTTGGGTAACAGCAAACTTGCGTGGGCAATCTTGTCAGTAAGTAGGCTTCCACTCGACAATTCGGCCTTGCGTAATATGTTCAACCGAGGTCTGAATATCTATTTTTATGACGTGTTCACCTTGTTTAATTTCACAATGAAGCTTTGTTTTCACTCGTGTTGCGGTTTTTGGGGAAAGATTTCATGGTTTAGTAGTCTTGATGAAGAGGAAATAAAAGTGGAGTGTTTTTTGTGCCTACGATTTCGAGAGGGACTTCCAGTTTTTTAAGGATTTCCGTTTTATAAAAAAAAAAATGTCTTCAAGCACGTTGTAGAAAAAAAATGAGTTACTTCCAGTAACTTCGGTGTATGGCACCATCCCAAAACGGTTTTTTTTTTTTTTTTTTTTTTTTTTTTTAAATAGCAGAAATTTAAAATGATCTTTCTTTATTGGTCGAATACACTTTGATCAAATAGTTTGGCTTTTGGTAGAAACTTATGAAACGAAGAAAGATGATATTAAAGTTGCTACAAAGTTTTAGGAAAAAGATTTTCAATTATAACTATCGGTAGTTGTGGTTTCTGTTTACAAAGCAGTGTGAGGCTTGCATTTTGAAAAAGTAACTGCTTTTTATTTACAATTTTTTTTATACAATGTTTTTCTGCAATTGCTTAAATTGCCGCTCGCTCTCGTGGATCGTAGCTTTAGTTGCTTTTATAAAAATAAAAAAAATATATAGTTCTTTAGACGCTCCTGTTCTTCTAAAAGATTACTGATATGATTACATGAAAACATCCTTTGATTTCACTTTTACGAAAGGATTCATTTTTAACTGAAGAAAGCGTGAGAGAGATGTTTGTAATTGATTCTTGTTTTTTTGGAACGTTTCTGTCAAGTAGCGATACATAAAGTCAGTAATGAACTGTTCGAATGATCCTCCTTCAGGGAAATGGAATTCCTAGCTAACAGTTCATCGAAATTGGTTAGCAGATCTTTAAGGAAATGTTGTGTCAGATACGAACTGTACTGCCTAGGGGGACATATCAAATAAAGGCGTAAATCAGACATAAGTAGGATGGTTCTATCTTGTCAAACGCCTGTACTGTATCAATTAAAGCTGTTAAAAACTGTGTAGTCAGCGCAGTGTCATGACAAAGCAAGGATTTCTTGTTAGTGCAACCCCAGGAATTACACATACCACACTGCTATCGTTAAGATACAAACTGTATTTATTCATAGAAAACAGCAGGTTGTTTGAGCTAGGATTCCCTGGCAGACAGAAGATTAACAATTAAAAATAGCATCGCTTAGAGATGAATTTACGAGAAGCCATTTGAGCTCAGTTGCACCCTGTTGCTAAGTAATCATTACAAAACAGTGATAGATTAATACTTTGCGGGGTTTGCAGTTCAGTTTCTATAAGCTTTTAATTACTCTGTTCTGTGTTATTTCGCGTGACTGGATTGTGAACGGACTGCTGTAGAGAAGCACGCAAAACAGTGATTAGTCCACTGAGATTTCTGCCGTTTTTTTTATTAAATACAGAATCGTGCCTGTGACGGTTTTTTTTTCTTTTCAGCCACGCGACAGTCGAAGTCGATTTCAAACGAAGTAGTTATTTTGACCAGATCTGAAACACGTTCCTATCTTGACTTGACTATCCGAATGGGATCACAGTGTCTATTATTTGCAATGTCAGATGTTTCTTTGCGCCTCAACCTTTGCGTGTTGCTGGCCACGAAGCCATATTGCTACTGATTGTTCTCTTCTCGTAAAAAACAAGCGACAAGGTCACTAGGTCATACGCTGATTTTCCAGAGATAATGGCGTTCTGTTTTAAATATTTCTTCGTTTGACCACATCGTTTCCTTTTGGTCTCGACAGTCAATCTCAAATTGAAGAGTGAATTTAATAAGGCTTGTACCTCTGACACAGCTGGACACTGGATGAACCAATGTGCTTAAAATGGATTTGTTTTGACCTGTCGCGCGACCATTGCAAACACCAATAATCTATTGTACATGGAAACCGTGATTTTTTTTAACGTACAATTAGTTATCTGGTTTAACTGCAGGCTATCCACCCTCTTAAAATAAATATCATTAGAAAAATACACGCAAGGCACCTTTATTAAAATTAAAAAAAAATAATAACTACACCGCATGCAACTACTGCCAAACCATTTTGAATAGCCAGTTGCCGGAAAAATGCAAATTAAAAGGTCGAAACTCCTTGCTCACGATATAGAAGAAAACTTTCTTTTGAACAGTCACTAACCAGAGTTTATTTTTTATGCGCCTTTTCGCAATTTTGCATGTAAATTCGCTCTTTGGAATTGACGCATTTAAGATACGTCTTCTAGATCGAAAACTCCATCGCGAAGAACGCATTGCGCAACTTTCCGCGTCTTTCCACGCGGAAATACTAGAGTAATGCCTCGTAGCTTAAGTTATTTTTACGAATCACTTGCAGTAAGGTCTTTTTCACTACCAAAGCGATAGTAAGCAACATTCGTATTAATGCATTACAAATAAAACGAGTTTATACACATTGCTTGCGAAGTTTACATCTCGACAACAACGTAGCATTGAATACAGCCTATCGCTATTTTTAGTTCCCTGCTGTCATCCGAATTTATAGTTCTTTTCATTTGTGTGCATAAATTTTTAAGAGATCGAAACTTCTGACCTTGCATTTTTCTGAAAAATTTTGTCAGGAAAGTTTTCATTTTCATTTTTGACAAAATTTCTTGTGTTGAATTCCACTTCGTTCTATTTTCACTTGGAAGTTTTGCGTCATATTCTCAAATTTGGACCACGCTCAACATACACACGTCAAAAAAAAATTGCTTTCTAATATCTGCGTGTTTGTCGCATGCAGCTTACACGAGATATGCAAAGTTTTTTATGATCCAAACAGATGAATTATTTCGCTTATCTCTTAACTTGAGATATATCACACATTTGGTATCAAACATTTTACATTGCGATGTCAAGAATTCTAGCTGAGAGCTTCCAATAAACATATATGTCCACAAGTTCCCAAAAATACAAAGCCTGTAATTTGAAGGTTTATCTGTAACAGGTATGTTTTCAAGCGGTTTTCCCTCAAAATCATTTTCGAAGCTTCCCCTAAAGAACTGGCTGTGAAAGAATAAGTTTCCATTTTCGGTATTTTTGACAAAAAAGGGGCACGTCGTTAAATTAAACTGGTATTGTAAGTCTCATGGTTGTGTAACACATCTCAAAAATGACTCTGAGAAAATATGTTTTCCTTTTGCATTGAATTCACAATGGCAAAAACTGATGGCTTCGATTGTCTCTGAGGTCGGGAATTTCTTGAGTACACAAAACATAATGAACAAAGTTAATCGTTATTAATGCCTTGGAATCGACTGAAACTAGTTTTAGATCCTCGAGGTTTCTTTGCCGCTCCGGTCAACACAATAAATCGTAGAGAAAACGATAGACTGTTGTTTTCTCCTTTTTTTTTTGCCTGATAAACGTAGCGATTCTCTCCACCGGAAAGCATATCTTTATATTGTTTTGAAAAGAGAAATTACGGGTTTATCACTCCTTAATTACTTTGCACTGATAGCGGGAGAAACTAGTGTAGCAATACACCGTGAAAATTTGAGTGCTTCCGGAGTTTGAGAAAGAAACAATGGTTTTCTGCGATTTTAGCAATTATACAAGGCTAATTGCTTAAGGTTGAATTTTTAATTTCAAGTTGTGGTATATCGGCTAAACTTACAAAGAAAATTACTTTTGTCGTTGTGATGCACCGAACAAAAGGTGTTTTGTACTCTGCGTCGGAGGTTTGAAGGGCAGAACTGAACACAGTCAAATATCAGTGGTCCAAAGGGCATCAAAACAACTTTTAGGTAAACATCTATTGTCCGAGTGCAGTGAACTTGAATGGGTTCTGGGATTTTAATTAAATCCCACAAAATTGTGAAAGGCGTCTTGCTATTCTTATGGAGCTAGCTTTGTAGTGGAGCTATCACGTGCTCTGCAAAGAACCTCTGTTTTTAGATTGCAACGGTTTGGAAGTTGAGCCTTTTGACAAAGAAACTACTCGTTCATGGTGACGCATCTTCGATTTTAGATTGAACTTGAAAAACCCTAATGCACTTGTGTGTTGTGTTGTTTTTGTATGAAGATTTGATTCAAACATGAGCAGATTTTTATCTCGTCCTATATGAGCGCATCTTGAATTTAATGCAGGTCTACGGTGGAAATAATTATTGTCAGACCTATTCACCCCTCGATAATTAACTTGTTTTTGACTTTAGAGATGCAAAGTAACGTTTATTAAAGATTCCACTTGTCCGGCGTCAGTCTGTCACCGTTTCTGCACTTCCACTTAAGACAAATTACAAAGGGTGAAAGTATTCAGGTCTTTATGGCGATTCTTTGACGCTATTTTTGACTTTTTGTAACAATAGCCGACGGTAATGCGCACCGCTACCAGTCTGCAAGGAAGAACCATTCGGCTTTCACGCTCAAAGCCACAATCTAAGTGAAGGTTCAGCCTGATATTGCGGTTGTCTTTGATCAAATTCGCGAGGTGCTTGAAAATAATACACCGCCGCAAAAACATAGTCACCTATTGTTCTAAAAGCGGGTCTACCCACTTCGCTCGGTAACAACTACAATACTTTTCACTTTCGATGGCCTGTGAATTGAAAGGGAATTATCTGTGTGGGAAGGTGCGTTGTTTTTGTCCAAAGAAACAGTTTTTCCTGAGATTTTGAGTTTATGCCAATGGAAATTGCGATATTGCCTCGCTGCGAACAGTAAGAATCTTTGATCAAAATCAAAACACTTATTGTCTAGTGGAAGACATAATCGCGTGTGTTCGTTTCAAATCACTGTTTGGACGGACAAGGCAGTGGCGAGGTTGTTTACGTTACCATAAAAATAATGTTACAGAATTAAGACAGTTTTTTCGTTTCCAGGTACGGTTTCTGTGTTAGCAAGTACAGGAAACCTAAAGTATAACTTGCGGTTCTGTACAATTTAGAATCATCAGACAACTTTGCCTTTTGAGATTGTTCGATTCCGTTACAACTTTAAATGGCTTACGCCATCTGAACCCATTCAAATCAATAGAAAATTCAAGTTAGACTCTAGGACAAATGTTTTTCAAGAAGGCTTTGGGGCATAAATTTGTTCAGTGTATTTCTGCTTTCATTTTCCTTTGTTTTGAAAATGAGTGCAGATCGTGGGCGGACACAGATTGCGACGTCATTTCCTCGTGACAACGTCTCCAGATCGAACTTTTGTTTTTAATCTTTTAGACGTGAAGGATATAGCCATGCAAGGTGCAGGCACATGCTCTTAAAGCCAGGAAACCCTTCGAGAGCCTTTTATATTCAAATGGGTTTTTGTTGTTTTCCTTTATGTTTGTGACTATTATTCATTCATTGAGTTTTTATTCCGTTTTTTTCATTATCGTCTTTTATGCTAACAACAAAACTGGGTAGCGTTCGTTTCACGCAGTCAGTTAATAAACCACTCGTCATTTGGAGGTAAATCTTGTCGTGTCTTCAAAGAGGTGACCTTGTTAAGAAATTAGGAGGAATTTAGCGGACCAAAGCTCATTCGATTGTTGATTCTTGATTCATGGCTTAGCCTGATTTCAGCAGTAATCCCCTTAGAGGTTTCAGATATATTTAGTGCTGCACTTAAATTTGACGAATTTTCATGGGTTGTCAATGCTAGGGCTTTTTTATGGGTTAGTATTACTGTACGAAGCTCGAGGCTCGAGGGAAATTCACAGATTGTGGTTTTTCTTCATACTTCAAATCCAGCAGTCCGTTTATCTTGTAGAATTTGATCTCATAAAAGACAGATTGTTTAGCGGGGAAAACTACTGGTTTTGTTTTTTTTTTTCGTATTTAATCTCGTCAAAAGACATAAGTATTCTTGTCTGCTCTAGCTAATTGTTAGCTAAATTTGCTTAAAATATACCCTTGAGTTGGATTTTCTGATGCACGAATACTTATTAAAGCTTTGCGAGTAAGACCTTCTCGAACTTCAACAGCGAGTTGATGTGTATGTTTGAAAACAGATTTTTAAAAATAATGATTATGGCTAATCTAAATAGTCTTTCAGGTTCATATTCGATGACATTCTGAAGAAGCCGTTGGTGGTTTTGTTTTAATTTTTGCCGGTTTGTAAAATTATGTTTTTGAAATTCCTGTCCAGGCACATTAACTTCGCAGCAAAATGGGTATTTCTCCGAGCTAAAAACATGGGTATGATTTTTTTGTGTGTGTGTGGAGTACAAATATTTCAGTTTCATTTCAGGTGAGATATTTTATGGAGGCTCTGCGAGGTCGAGTGCAGAGTCATCCAGAGGCCAATGTCACTCGCCAAAACACGAAAAAAAGAAAAGGGAAGGAAGTTGTTGTGTAAAGACGTTATAATCCTACTCTGAAAAAATGTTTCGCCCTAATTTATGCGCCTGCTGAATCAGCAACCCTCAGGATCGCATGCCAAGACATGGAACAATTAGAATATCATTTTCAATTTTTTTCACTTTCGTCCTCGGTATAGACACCTTTCTCTGAGACGACCGAACGAAGACTTGTGACCGCGCTTAAGTCCTGAGACGATTTTTTAGTCGAAGTAATCTTCTTAAAAGGTCTTGAACTTTTTTTTTTCCTTATTCTTTATTAACGTAGGTGTCTTATTCACGAGTCAGTAGACTGGTTAAACGAAAACTGGAAAGTTGCCATTATTATTTCAATAGCAGCAGCTGTAGCTATGGCACTGCTCTAAACATTTTCAAATTAAGTGATGAGTTTGCGTAAACTTTGCACTAGTAATTTCGCGACATTTGAATATGAAAGAAAAAAAATTTTTTCTAGTTATTTTGAAGATGGCAATTAATTCGAAATTAATCAGAGGTACCGAACACTTTGTTATTGCAACATACTCTTTTAATTCTGTTGTGATCAAAGTTTGTGGTAATGTTTATCTTTCTCGTTTTTCTTTATTTTTTAAAGCGAAGAGGCCAAATTTGGCGCAAAGCCATGATCTTATATCAGCCCTGGTTTTTTAGTGCACTACTTGTGTGTGGTTGGGCTGTGATTTAGGTCAGCGCTCGTCGTATGAACTGCGTTAGTCAGCGTATGATAATTTTGGGTCAATGTGAAGTCACGTCTAAAAACGAAATTTACTGTTGATCGCGTCGAACACATGCAGCCCTGAAGATACATGTGATAGTAGCGAACTCAAAGGATTTCTTTGGGGGAGGGGATACTAGGTCTGTGGCTATTTCAGAGGGCTGTTGTGTCTCTGGGTTATTTTTCTTTTGTTGTGCGCAAACCCGTAATTCGATTGTTTACATACATTGCGTTCAGGAAATTCCCAAGGTCGCGCCAAGCTTTGTCGAGAAGTACGTGAGTGTAGAAACTGCAAAATGTCACCATGAGTTAATTTTACGAATTTAGCACTAGAGGGGGCCCCCTTTTGTTTTCAATGACCGTGAAGTCAGTGGCATGACAAGCCACCAATCGCAGCTTGTCCAGAGGTGTCAATCAAAAATCCAGTTTAGGTAAGGCAATAAAGTCGTGTGTTCGGCACGAGCGCGCATCAGACCATTTTAAATCTTCCGAAGGCATCAAAACATTGTAATCGAGAGAACACAAGCTTCTGGCGAAAACAAAACATGTCTTATCTCCAAAGTGCTGGTATATGGATGGCATCCACACTTTTTCTATCACCTGACGAGTCTCCCTCACAGCGGAGAGCGTGCATTGCGGTGGGAAGGGAGCTTCGAAAGATCGCGGACGATCTAGAAGCATCCGCGAGACGGGAGAAAGTTAACAATGAACAGGCCATTGTTGTTGATGCAATCAAGGCTGTGTGTGCTGTTGCCGGTGTCTTCGTTGTTGGGAGACTTGTGTGGAATCTGCTCAACACTTGAAAGCCTTTTTGTTGTGTTGTTTCACTCATAAGGTAAGCGCTTGGATGCGATGAAAACAATTGTGTTATTCGCAGATATTAATAATCATGACTTGATCGCATACTTACAGAGAGGTCAAATTTGACGCTTTTTGTGTAGCGCGGGAATGATAGTGTAATCATCGTTTTCGTTGCCCTTCGCGTTTGGATTTTTGTCAGCGATCGTAGCGCTCTGGAAATACATAACTAATCTCTATTTCTCTATTTCTCTTTTGCAGATGACACTGCGTATTCACTTGCTAGCCCTGAGGATGATTGACTCGCTCAGCGCAAGAAAATATTTTTATTTCACGCAATACGACACTCGCTTCGAGACTGGCACATTAAGCACAGAACTGTGTTTGGTTTTGTACCTGATGGCTCATGTTTCATCGCCCTATTGTTGACAAACACAGGATTAAAAGCACTGAGAAGCCTCCGCTTCACAGACCAGGATGTCACAGCAGAGAGAACTAAAATCGCTTTTCCATAACAACAAAACGCAAGTCATCCGTGGCCGGAATCCGTGAAAGCCCGGCTTGACCATAACTTCTATTCAAGGAGAGACGCTCTGACTTTGTTTTAACAATTCCGCTTAATTTATCGAGCTTCGCTAAAATAACAGCTAGTAAGTGACATTCACGTACTAGCGTTAGCATATCGTAGTTTGTTGTCACTGTATATTGCGCAGCTTTCAAACGAAGGTCAAAATTTTATTCGTCGATCGACTGTCACCGAGAGAGGTTTTTTTTTTCATCTTTTTATTCGTCAGCGCTGACTGGCAGTATTAGATAATTAATAGACTGTGACTCGCGAAATCATTACTGATATTGCATTTTCTGAAAGACACGCGCTTCTCGGGAAAAAAATTAGGGAAAAGAGTGAAAAATCATCGACCTTGACACTTCTCTTCCGGAAAATTTTGTGAGGTGATCGCTGAAGTCACGTTGCTCGGTTCGCTGGCGAACTGTTGTCGTATGCGTGTGTGCTTCGAGCGAAAACACAATTCTCTTCTATGCTGTCGTGACAGAACAACATAAACATTTCACGTTCTTATTGTCTTTGATATGCAAATTTTTTATCTGTTGTCGATGTGTATTGTTTTGAGAGAAAAGAAGAGAACTGAAAAGGTTTAGTTAGGTTACTGCTGTGTAGGATCCCAGATGCACGCTTTTATCACGAAACCTTCGAGTTAGAGACGATTACTTTTATGGCAGGTACCAGACATTTTCCATGATTATTTCCATTATTATTAATAATGTTCTTGTTGCCACAAAAAAACACGAAACAATAGGAAATATAAATAGAGCGCTTTTATACATTCAGCCCGTTAAATTAATCGAACTTGAGCAATACTTTGTAAACTCTTGTAAATATCAAACTTTTTGTAAATAATCACCCAAAGTCGTATGTAAATATGTAAATAGCTTAATGATATTATTTCTATATACGCTGAAAATGCGACAGATTTGTAATGTAATGTTAATTCGCCTTTCAAGGGTTTTTTACCTGCAGCTTAAAACTAGACAATTCTATGTGGCTGCGTGAATTGCATCAATTCTTCTATTTAAAAAAAAATGTTCCAGAGGTCTTATTTTTGTAATAAAAGAGGCTTCTTTAAGAAAAACTCGCTCTTGTTTTGGTGTCGTTAGTTAAGTACGAAGAGAAAGACTTTCCAGCTCTTTTTTTCAAAAGGGCGGTTATGTAATTAACAGATTACAGTGCAAAAGCGTCGACCTCTTTGGAAGTTTCACTTTTTCTCTTTATCCTCTCGCGAAACAATAGGGCTTTGTTTTGTGTATTTATAAACTGATCTCGCTACCACACGTTCGAGATTACCAAATATAATGTGTCATTAGCAATACAGAAAGGAAATTTAACCACATCCTTCCGAGACAGATTTCTTTTGATTTTCGCCCTCGTTAGCTAGGTTTTGTCTACTAAAGTGAGATTTCGGGAATATGAGTTGAAATTTCATCCTGGCATTTATGGGTACCGGCATATGATTTTGTTGAACGTGAATGTCGGCTATTTTTTTCTTCATTTGAAGGTCTACGTAAATTAGCCGAAAGGCGGAAAGCTATTAGAAACAACATGTACGGCGAATGAAGGGCAATGTCGATATTTCTGATATTAATGCGAGAGGGTAAATAATTCTCTTCCTATTTATCGCTCTGTCAGCAATATACGTTTTTACTAAGGCTCGTTTGTGTTATTGTTTTACCGCGTGGGTAAAAGTAAGCTTCCCGCTGTCTGTAGAAGAAGGGAAATATTGTCTAGACTTGGGAACGTTACCAAAACTCTGTTAAAAACAATCTGTCGAAATTCGATGGCAACAAATGAAAAATAGTGCTTATGGCAGATCTTTGGCTAATCTGGTTAGAAGTCTTTGTAAAGCTCTTCCCAATGAGCTCTACAGAAAGGCGTTTATGGTATCGATGAGATTTGAGACACTTGTTTCAAAGTGACTTTTGGCGATAAGGTTCTCGGATTCGACAAGTCTGAACGCAACACTAACTTGAAGTGGTAAAACCAAAGAGCGATATTGTCTTGCCGTAAACGCAAGGAAAAACATGCTTTATACTCAGTTGAATCCAGAGTGGATATTGTAAAATACGCAAGATCTTGTTTTCTATGAAAATATTACCACTTTGACGGGCTTTGATATAATTGTTTTGACACGATGAAATTTGCCCGAATCGATGTTTAAAATCAAATCTTCAATCCATCAAAAAATTGTTTAACGCAATTAGAGCTTAATAGTGGCACGATTTTTTTTCGGTTTCTCTCGAGTCAAGTGTTCTTTTGATGAACAATTTCCTACTTTTGGCTATGTGCAACAATCTCCAGACAATTTCTAGAAATTAATTGCCTTTGTCTAGTCGTTTTGGAAATTTTTGTAGTTTTGTTTTAGCTTATCCTGTGTTAAAGATATGTGTGGAAGAACCTCTTATACATTTCATTTGTCGGACAGTTGATTTTGTAATTGTCGTGAATTTTTTTCTTGAGTCTAATTTATGGCTTTCTTGTTATCTTAAGATGGAAGAAAAAAGAAGAATCAACTTATACGAATCAAGACTTGTGCATACTAAAAATTTCGAAAAATTCCCTAGCTTTCACTTTTGTTGTAGCACACAAACAAATGTATTCAATTATTATTTTGCCAACGGTAATTCTTTCATTTAAACGGAAGGTGTTGTTGTAAATTTGATATTACGCTTGTTCCCTAATTTTTTTTGTTGTCAGTTGACTCTATGTTCAAGGAAACTTTTTTCTTCCAAAAGAATTCCATGTAATTGCCTCTTGTTCATTGTCACGCACGCTGTGGTCACATAATTTCCCCAGTTTTGCTTTCGGTCTCCGTCATCTCGTTTACACTCCATTCTTTAGCATTTTTCTTTGTTTTAAACCGTCTAAACTACCTCGATGACGACGAACCGCCTCACCTGCACAACCTAGACTAGAGTATCGAAGAGCTTCTGTGACCCATAAGTAACGCAAGCATATATTTTTTTCTTTATTATTTTTTTAAACAGGAAAATTTGAACCACAACAAGATGATGCTTTCCAGTTCGTCATCCTTCTCCTTCTAATGCAATCTATGGTCGGCAGAGCACGAAATTTTTAAGTGTGTTGCTTCTTGGATGGGTGCCATGTCGTCATGTACTCTGGACTGTAAACATTTATAGTGATGAAATCAGGCATTTGACCTTGCTTGTGTTAATAATAGCACAAAAAATCTGCTGATGTAGTTCGCAACTGTTATTGATAACATCGGGACTCAGTGGAAAAAAATTCAGTCTGACACTAGAATTGTCGCGGTTTTCCTCCTCAGTTGCATCGACTATTAGAAAACGATCGAGAAGACGAAGGAAAAAGGTAGTTGACGGAAATCCGCATTCCCCTGTCAAGATCATATCAAAGACTTGACGACGTCAATATTGATAACACTACAAGGGCAACGCGAGGGCAACGACAACGTTTTAATTCGTATTCATCTTTATCTGGAAGTTTTGCGTTGGTAAACAATTAAAGGACCGTAAAAATCCCATCCCACAAGTGATCACGCTGGGAAAGTTACGTGATAAAATCGTTATATTGTAGCGTTTTCCCTAAGTTTTCATTCGTGTGCTTTGTTTTCGATTCCGATCAGTTTGCACTTGTAAAGCAAGGTCACCAGTAAACACGATTTAAGAATTGTAAATCTTATTTCGGGCTGTGAAATCAGTCATCTTATTATCGTGAACCCGGTTAATTTTGACCTTGAAGCTTGCGTGGAAATATAGTATGATTGTAAAACTAATGGCTTTTGTCATCCAAATTTCACATCCGTGAAAAATTTAAAAATCCGCGGAAATTTGAAGAGAACCTCGTGAACGTGTAATTTCTATTCCGGAGTTTTGTTGAAATAAACATAGGTCATAGTCACAGTTTGCGGTTTGGCATTACATAACAAAGTCACGTTGCATAACATTTTGCACGAGGCTGGTCACGTCACGCACTATTGCCTCATCTATAGTCAACCATTTACACAGATTATAGCCTTTAAAGTGGTACAACTTTTCAGTAACTGGTCAGTTGTATCAGTCTGTTTCAATCTTCCATTTTCACACCAACGACTGTTTTCATTTTCCGAGTTGCACAAAGCCCGAGCGACCTTGGAAGAACCATCATTTGGTAATACGTCACAGCATTTATTCGGTCACACAATTACGATTTATCGACGGAGGAAACAAATTTGACAGCTGAGTAAACACTACTCGTCGAAAACACTTCTCAACCTAGAGTTTTAATTTCACTCTGAAAAATTATGAGAGATTGGAGTTCGACTGCATATCAAACAAATGTCTTCAAACTTGGGACTGTTGGGTCCAAGTTAGTCTAACCACTTTGAGCCAACAGTATAAAACGGAGTTGTGCAAACAACCCAGGAGAGAGGTACGCATAATGGCCCTCTTTTTTTAACGTCAATTAGACACTCTGTACTCGCCTGACCCAGCACCAATTTGTTTTAAAAATGCGGAACATTAGCGTGCTTTCTCTTTCATTTTTTTTTTTTTTTTTTTTTTTTTTAAGTAACCGTGTAAAATAGTTGCACTTAACCTTGTCAGGCTCCTGACCTTGCACTTCCTTGCAAGGTCGTGGAAAAACAGAAATTTTATGCTAACGGCTGGTTTGTCGTTTTTTCTTTTTCTTTTTTCTTTTCTTGTTTATGTCAATATTTAAGGATCTGGCTTTGATTGAATCTTGGCTCAAAATGAAGGATGAGCTTACATCAACAATTATTGACAAAAAGCACGTGAACATAACATGCGCACGTACAGATGTGACGTGAAATAATTTCCATATCGCCTCTCTAGTATGAGATAATAAGCAGTATAGACTCCCTTTGTCTCCGGAACGGATTACACTGGAAATTGAGGACTATGTTAAAAAGCCGTCGGAAATATTCAGACACGGATTCATGGATGAAATGTGTTTACCTTCCTTCCAAATTGTTCGTTATGTCGGCAGGAGGTTTTTTTTTTTTTTTTTTTTTTGTGTAGGGAAATAGCCATGCGAAATACAGAAAATTTATTCATCTGCACGTACACCCGTTTGTGGATGTAAACAAAAATGGTTTATATTGAATATTTGAATCCTATATTAATCCTGTATGACCTTGGCACAGTGAAAATAAGTCTGAGCCAGTTTTTCTCCCGGCTAATTTCCCGCCAAATTTTGCCGGAACGAGAGCAACACAAAATCGTTAATGTAAACACTTCATCATTTGATGACAGGGGCGATATCGTGCGTGTGTTTCATTTTTCATCATAAAAACACGAAAACCGAAAGAAAGGGTGCCCGATGGCGTGTGTTTAAGTTTACCCCTGACAGATGTAATCTCTTTGCGTAAACGAACTATTTCATTAACGAAAACAGCGTGCAGTCTACACGTGAAAAATTTGCCTCCTCAGATCTCTTCAGAATGAAAACGAAACGAAAATTAACTTTTGGTCACGTTTTTTTGAACGCGTTAACAAAAGTTTGGTAGTAAAATAGACAGCAATCTAGTCGAGAAGAAGTGTTAAATCGGGGAAGTTGTTAACTGTTAACATGCTGAAATTAAACCGGTCGATTTCGTGTTTTTGGCGCGAAAACATAGCAGTACGGAGTAGATATGCCCGGGCTTGTCTCGACTGGAAAACAAAACAACATTTTTGTGACTTATATCGATCGTTGTTTTAAAACAAACTTTTTTGACAACGATTGATTTCCGTTTAAAGTGGAGAGGAAAGTACTTGCCGGTGTTGACAGAACAAAGAGACATTTTCAAAGTTGAAGTAATGATCAACGCGTATAATTTCTACGTGCAGATGATTTCCGGTCGTAGTTTATCAAGGTATTTTTATATTTGAGTTCTTACAAGTTGTTTCCGGTCAGTTTAACTGGGAAAGTCCCGTAAACTTCCGCCAAAATAAATCCACAGGGGGTAGAGGCGGGGTTTCCGGAGAAAGGACTTTATCGATACGCTCTTGAAAATATTGGAACCACATTTACTTTTTGCTAGAGAAAAAAAATTAAGTGCAGCAGCTTGAAATTGAATTATTCGCCTTAGAATTGGATGTAATGAATAGCAAATACAAGTATTTCATTCACTTACTAAATATCGAATGGAAATTTGGTCGACCTCTAGATATGTGGAAACATATTAGAAACCAGCGTAAGACGGTTCTTTCTACCTAGGTAACCGATGTTTACTTTTTTGGAAGCCAAAGGAATTTACTGATTACAAAGTACATTTTGCAATTAGGTTATTTCATGAAATGTTCGGCGTTTAAGTGAGCCCTTAAGGTTGTTGAAGGGTTCTTTAAATAATTGTCAAGGGCGACATAAAACTAACGAGGTGATCCACAATCCCAACTACTAAACGAATGACAATAATGAATCTCGTCCAGAACGTTTTGCTTATCAGGCCTTCGGGAACGAGAGTACACTTTTTGTACGGTTTAATTATTATTAACGTTCAATGTGAGAGCTCTTTTATGCTGACCTCTAATCTGCAAACGTGTCCATCCCGTTCAGTAATCGGTGAAAAAAAAATTTCATGTCTGAATTAGTCCCAAATGTTGCTTTTACAGAGCTGAACAGGTGAACTAAATTAAATTTGAAATGCTGGGTACGATGCTATACATGAAGAAACAGACAATTATGTTAACCCATGGTCTCGATGGGGTGACGGCTTTTGCCGCAAACAGTTAAAATTTTAGCCATTTTACGTTGCGATGGAAAGGAAGATTTTTAACTGAAAACTTTTTTTACCGCTGTAGGTTAAAATTTACCAATTTACCTACGGCTAATTTTTTTGCGTTTTTTCGGTGAATGGTTGACCCCAACCGTGCACCTGTACAAAAATAAGAGTAATTTTTAAAGCAGCTTGAGAGAATAATTTAAGAGCAAATGCAAGATTCTTAAGCACTAAAAAAAAAAAAAATTAATCGTTTTTTGCAAGATGTGATCAGTTATCAGTTAACCGTTATCAGTTACCCGCTTATACCCTAAACGTTCGATATCGGCGCCCCAAGATGCCCATGCAATATTCTGAATATATTGATGAAGAAAATATCTGTGAAACTGAGCTTTTTATAGAACAAAGTTTCTATTTTCACTCTGCGTGTTTACCATCACAAATCAGTTCAGAAGCGATGGGTCTAATATCAAATGTAATTTTTTGACTAGCAAACAAGGCGCTTTTTTTTTCGATAAAGCATATCAACAGCATTTTTTTCCATACCTAAAATGGTAAAAGGCGGACGTTTACTGCCTCGTTTATTAGTATTGTACTTGCTTTATTTTAAGAAAATCTTGATAATGTACAAACATTTTAATCAAATTGGTGTTCTGTGCTTTCTGGTGGGCTCCCAGTTTCCGGTCCGTGTCTTTCCCACTACTTTTAGTAAGGTTTAACTAAAACGGGATCAGTTTGCGGTTTTCCCCACCAAAAGAGTAGGTCGAAAACAAAAAGCCAAGAGTTCGCAGTTTTTCGTGCCATTTTAGTAAGGTCACAATATTTGCTGCAAAAATAGCTTATAAAAAAAAAAAGAGAAAAAGATAGATCCTGTTTTTCACACCTAATATCATGGGAACAGCTATCGGCCTGTCTTGCATTGAACGAGGATGCCAATATAGAGCAAAATGTAATGAAATTACCCTAAGTAACATTGCAATGAGAAAATTCAACGTCTATGGTGGAATAAAATTAGGAAGGGATCAGCCTCTCGAACTGATTCGTGAGCCCTCTGCGACTTATGCCTCCCGTGCCTCTCGTGCATCCCATGTCATAGCGTGCCACATCTCTATAAATATCACGAGATTGTTGCTTTCGGAGGGCATCATTAAAAGGTTGCCCCAGGCGAATGCGAGAGCAGTCAAGCAGATGCACTTTTTATGACCCCGTTCTCATATCGCCTCTTGGGACGCGAATCATGGACTGGATGTGTTAAAATTGAAATATTATGAGAATTCGCGTCGCCCAGTTTTGTCTTTTTTTTGTTTTGTTTTGTTTTGTTTTGTTTTTTTAGCTTGCCTTGAGTTCGTTCGGTCGGCGTTCTATACATATCAATTTTCTTGGAAAGGATAACGCAAGGCAACTACTAAAACAGCTGATATAAACGGCTCTAATTCCTAAATCAGCCCAAGAAACACACGATACAAAGGTACAAACGCTTTAGAGAGGTAAGTAAGTTTTTAGTCTAAACAAGTTCAAACAAGTTTCAATTTTTTTAGTTAGAGATTGCGACCGATTATCCCCATACAAAACCTTACATTTCGCTTATTACGAAACGCAAAAATATTTGCATGTTTGACGGCTCATTGTGCGAGCTGGAGATACTACAATTTATTAGCTCGAAACCCATTTGCCGAATAAAGGAATCCTTAAGTAAAGACCTTTAAATACCTTCATATTTGCTTTTGTACTTCAGTCAGTAGACCACTAAAGGAAGAACTAAATCATTAGATCGACGGGCGTTGTTGACATCCAATTAGTTATATTTTCCTATGCTTTTAGCGAAAGTGTGCGGACATGAATGTATTACTGACTTTGATCGATGGCTGAATTCTGTATCTACTTTTGTTCGACTATTTCTTTTAAAACAAGCCTGTTATACAGACCTATTTGTGGTCATAGAAAATAGCAATACTTTGTTAGGGTTACATAATCTCTATCTTTCCAAGGCCATTTTTCTCGGCTCCGAAAAAAAAATCGATTCCCTAAAATTGCGTTAACAAAAAAGAACAACAAAAAACCAAACAAAAAAACAAACAACCTATCAAACAAAGCTTTACTCCCTTCGACCATTGGGCTTAATCCGAGATGTTAAAAGTATCGGTTGAAAAACGAGGTTTTTGACACGACTACGATCTTTTGTCACTCATGCACGTGACTTCCACAAGAAAGGCATTGCAAATTAGTATTTAAACTTTTGACACACGATACATAGTCACAATCAATTGTGCAGGTGGATCAAACCCTTATTTATCATCCTCACCACCACGTTGAACAAACTCACCTTTCACATTAAAGTTTTTTCGCCTGGTCTCGTTCCGAAAACGAGGCTTACCGGAACTCGGAAATGGCTGTTCTCAGTTCTCAAGTTAACGAAGAGGAAGGTGGCAAGAAAGGGACTATCATCACACTTCTTAACACACTGTTTTCAATTAACTCACACCTTTAATTTAATCGTTACTGATATTTTCAAACTGTGGCTTTATAAGCATATCTGTAATATTTCAAAATGTTCAAACAAACTCTGTCGAGCAAGCTCGAGCAGCTACATCTACCTTCTAGACAGTTCTAGAAACATTTTAATTACTTTCATTGAATTGCGGTCTAATTAAAAATATATAGAGACAGATTTTGTTGCCCTTCATGATTCGGCGAAGATGGTTCACCTTTGAGGGTGAGGGAGGGGGAGGGGGAATGGAAAGGGTTTCCTCACCCCCTCCCTGCGGAAAGCCGTATTCGTCCTACAGGGACGAGGTATCATATACCAAATTTTATTTCCAGTTGTCTACTTTTCATACGGCGCAGCACTTGACACACAAAATTATGATGCCACTCGTCAAGCTGCCAGTGATGATCAAGGAATGAGGTTACTTCAGCAAATGTTCAAAGAACCATCTCGCCATGTTTATAAACGAGTCGCTCTCGGCCTCGACTTTGCTGATTGGATGATTGTTATCAGGATACGAAAGCAACCTAAAAACAGTGTAATAGAGAAATTTTCAAATAAGTGTTGAAAGAAATCCAGGATTGAATTGGTTTTGCTTATGTCACTTTGTGATTGATCCAGAAAACTCAAGTCACTCTATCAACCAATCAGATTCAAAACTGAAACTAGTCGCGACTTGGTCGTCCGCGTTTTTCCCGCGCTTCAAGCAGTTTGTTTATTTTTACTTCGAGTTCTCATTGGTTACTCGTGATATTTTCCGTGCTGTCATTGGTTATAGTGTTTGTTTGGTTTTATGATACTCAATGGAAAAGCGCTCTATCTATTTAACAAATAGATACCACGTCGCTGTACGTTTGTTCAGTAACAGATCACAGAGGACGTCAAGATTTGGTTGAAACAAAAAGGTGACACAAAAGGCGCAGCCAGGTGTACCACTTCTGTTTTTATAAATAAAGGAGGTAAGTTTCTAAAGAAACTGTGGTGCTGCGTCGGTGGGAGAGTATAACAGGGTAATTTAGCATTATCAACGGAATTGATAACGTAAATTGGCCACCGTAAAGAGCTTCAAAGCTGACGTTTCTACGATTCGCATTCGCTCTGACGAAGGGCTAACACTCGAAACGTCTGCTTTGAAACTCTTTAAGAAGGCTAATTTACGTTATCAACTCAGTTCTGACGTCTTCTATGATCTATTACTGAACAGATCCGCGGCAACATGGAGTCTATTTGTTTAACCCTGTAATTAACCCCTAAGAGTGATTGGCATCTAATTTCTTCTTACAGTATCACCACGTGACGTCATCGATGAGTCTGTCCTCCAGTAGATCATAGGTAAGAACCAATTGCATAATCCAGCTTGTTAAATACCATATAGCAACATATTGCTACATGGTTCAACATAACAAACAAACTCGCATTTTTATCGGTTATTGTTTATGGTCTACTAGAGGGCATATGCTTAGATGTCGTCACCATGAAAATTTTGCTTCATCATTTAAAACCAATAGTTTCCATGTTACCGTGTGCATGTTTCTGGGGATGGCCTGGAGCTCTGTCTAAAAGCGTCGACACCAAACACTTACCTCGTCTTTGTTCCTTGAGCCTTTAAAACTTTGTAGTATTTTCTTCCTTGACTTGGAGGAACCCGCAGGTCATCTTCTCCCAACATGATCAAAATTGGAGTTTTAACCTGCAGCATAATAAAATTGCGATTAATAATTTCTTCAACAAGTCTTTTTGTTTTCTCAATTTTCCACAAGTGCTTTGTATTATGCCTGTCACGCAATGAGTGACGCACTTATTATCACAAACGCGCTCTACCTTTTTAATGAGGCTGAAGGGAGACTCTTCCAGCATTTTAACTAACGTATGGCCATTTAGAACAGCATCATGACGAAACTCTTCTCCATTTTCAAAGAAGCACCTGTTAAGTTTAAAGAACGAAAAAAAAAACAAAGCAAAAATTGCAAAAAAAACAAAACAAAAAAAAGACAAATAGGAAGGAAAGAAACCTTGGACAAACCCTTTGATCCCTAAGAGTGACAAGCATCTAATTTCTCCTTACAATATCACCCCTAAATCACACATTAAGGTGGCAAGAATTAAGGAAATGATCATCAACTAAAGAAACTCTTGATTGTTACACAAATTCTCCTTGTCAGCACCTTAGTAAATGTATAGAGAATAGTGTGGAGAATATGCATGCTGATGTTAGGGTGTAAAGGGTTAACGCTCGCTGTATCATTATTTACAATATACGCCTCACATCACAGGCCCTGCCGATAGGTTTGATCACAGCTAGGTTATATCAAAGATTACTGGAACGATGTTCCACTGGTCTTTAGTACACGATCGAGTTATCCAACTCACGATTTGGGCCAAACTTAGTATAGTCTAACAAAATGAACAGGGCCTCACATCATAGGCCCTGCCGATAGTTTTTAATCACAGCTAGGTTATATCAAAGATTACTGGAACGAAGTTCCACTGGTCTTTAGTACACGATCGCGTTATCTAACTCACGATTTGCACTAAACTTAGTTTAGTCTAACAAAAGTTTTGCTGAACAAAACGTTAAAATAACAAAATTTCTCTTTATTTCAAGAGTACTAACTTACCAATCCGGAATGTCTGATAAACTCACCATCGCTATTAACCAAGAAATCACGTTTAAAAAATGAGTGTAAATATAAGCGCATTTAAATTTATATTGTAGTGTATACACTTTTTTTTTTTTAGGGAGAACCTCCAATTTGGGGGCCAAGGCTAAATGTTCTTTTTTTCTTTTTGAGATTTGAGCTTTAAACCGTTCTTAACATGTTCTTAAAGTTGTGTGGTATAGTATCGCAATAGATAAATTCGGACGTGACCAGGTAACCTATCAAATGCATTGTTTGCTTAAGTGTATCGTGCAATAGGAAAACCGCATTGTTAATGTTAAAAAAACGCCCTAAGTATTTGACTTAAGTTTCCTGTTAGACCTAAGTTTTATATTTCTTGTACCTTAATTTACACTACTCAAATAAAAAAAAAAATGAGCAAAATAAAGACGTTCTTAACTGACTCTCAGCCTGAGTATGTTCTTAGTATGTTGTCAAAATTTTGGTTAACTCTTCAACTCCCAAGTGACCAAGAGAGAATTTCTCTTTGCAGTGTCAATGCAATATTAGGCAGACAAGTGATGAGAATAAAGAAGATAAAAAAATTGGGGGATTATAAGTTGACCCAATACTAAATTCTCCAAACTAACATCACAAGAACTGTATGGCAGACAGTAAGGAGAATTACTAATGAGATCTTGGGAGTTAAAGGGTTAATCTCAGTCTGAACGTTCTTACAAAAAAAGTTTCTTATAAAAAAAGAATGTAATTACGGTGGCCCAGAGGGAAAGCGACTTCTCTTTTTCTTCTTAGGCTGAAGGGATTTACTTACGTCTCAAATACCTATAGAAATCGATAACGGAGCTCGTATTTGTAAATATCTACTCACCAGATATTTCTACAACAGGGTTACGCGTAGCAGCAGCTCTGTAGAAATCCTGATATACCATTGAAAAAAAAAACACAGCATGTGAAATAACCCTACCAACTAGATTCCATTCTGCCGTGTGTATGTTAAGTATTAGATCACAAATGACATCAAAATGTGGTAAAAACAAAAACTGTCATATAAGGTGCGCAATTCTGTCGCGAAAAGTTATTTTGGTAACTTTCCGAACAGAAATTTGCGAACAGAAATGTAGCCTGCAATGCAGGCGTCTTATTAGGGCGCATTGATGTTACAAGCTCGTGATTGATTATCCGACCGACCATTTAGCGTCAAATTCATTTCTCTCCCCAGCCTACCGCTGCCGTTAAAATCAAAGATGGCAGCTATAATTTTCACTAAGAGAATATCGTGTAATAGCTCGCCAAAATTACGCCTGGTCTGCAGGCTTGCAGAGATGTGAATCGCGATTGTTCTTACCGGATACTGTCCAATGAGATGTGTTGTCAAAAATCCCCCATGGGATCCCCCCATAATAAAAACGTTCGATGTGTCGACTTCGCCACTCCCGAGAACTTTCAAAGCCGCACGCTACAAGAAAAGTAAACAACATTTTAAAGCCAATACTTCATGACTGCGGACGCAAATTTGCGCTTGACTAATTTGTAACAATTCTTACGTGAAACATTCCTTTTAAAAGTTAGAGCACAATTCTATCAAGTAACCCCTTCCACTCCCACGATTTACTTAGTAATTATCCTTACTGTCTGCCACACAATTCTTAGTATGTTTGTTCGGAGAATTTAGTATTGGATCAACTAATAATCCCCTCATTTATATTTTTCTTTATTCTCATCACTTGTCTGCTTGATTTTGTATTAATATTGTAAACAAAAAACATTCTTGTCGTGGTCACTTAAAGGATTTTAAGGGTTAAATAGTTTTCCGGCTTAAAGGAGGGACAATTTCTGACCATAATTTGCCCGAGCATACTCTTGCCCCGTTCAAAGTTTACGGAAAAAAAAATCATTAAAAGTTCTAAAACACCGAAAATGTCCAAGGACTGACAGCAGATTACATTCCCTTGCTCAAAGAATTTTATCACAGCCAAATTTTATACTTACAAATAAACGAAATGAACGAAAACATTACTACTTGCACCCGCGCAGACAAGTGAAACGCCCCTTAAAATTACCTGCACATCCTGTACATCTTGTATTCCGATGTTTCCGGGCAGGGAGTGAAGCTGTGTTTCACCAAATCCTAAGGATCCCCTGTAGTTTACTAGTGGAAAGCAAGACGAACATCAAGGGATTAGGTCGCGCACTGTTCAACAACTGAAGCATAGAGAGACTGTTCGATTTCTTTTCATGAAATTTGTGATAATCCTTATCAGCAGAAATTGCTATTTTGCTGACACGTATCGCAGGGTCGGAGACACGTGCAAAGCGCGGGGAGAGTTAGGATCAGTTGGGAATCGTGGTTTGTAATTTGCAGTCGTTAGAGAGGTGAGGCACTCCACGGCCAGCCTTCGCCGTGTTAAGTTGGGAGGTTTCATTTCCGCTGAAAATGTTGTTTTTAAAATATCGTCATGTTGACAACACTCCAAATACAGGATTTGGTAAACCTTTACTGCTCGCCGCAATAGCACACGACTTTTTAACCTTGTGATTAAGAAAAAAAAGGGGAAAAAAGTAATAATATAAAAAAAAAACCCAAAGTATACTTTACCACCGAGGATAGCAAATCCAAGTTTGCAGAGACAAGCACTGGAAAGAGAGAAATCTGATAAAAAGGCAGAGTGAGGTCCTCCGTGCGGGAAAACAATAAGCGGGGGCTTCGTTTCATCCTTCAACCCTGGCTTGATGAAAACAGCTTCATACTCATCTTTGAAATCTGTGGAGTCGACAAAGTGTAGTGTTGATTAAATTGCCTTTTACGCACATAGGAATCTAACATTCAAAAAGTTCCTCTAGAAAATGGCGCTCAAAATTAAAAGCTACTTTAACAAAGATACACCACGTTGCGGGGATCTCAATAAATTTTTCCTTAAGCAGCAGCCAATGGTGCAAAATGCGACTGTGCCCAGTAAAATGGGCTGTAAGACGAGACCCAAAAACCGGAGTCCCCTCGCAGGCTTAACAGACGGCGGTATGAAGATTTGTGGGCGGCGGCAAACTCATACCCGGTCCTATCGTGTGACTGAAATGTAGGCTCGGTCGTGGAAGGTCTAGATACGAGACTAAGGCGGAATACTACCAGTAACCAGTTTTTGTTGAAATGCCTGCGTTTAAGCGATTAGCTCCTCTTTTATTCACATTACATTCCAACCTGCGTTCTCGCTGGGTGCAAGTGTCATCACCTTCCATGAAATTTCATTCTCTAGGTTGAGAATTTCGGAATGAGCTAAAACAAGAGAGGACAAATTAATTGCAGCAGTTCATGTAATGTTAAGTCGAGATTATATGATTATGTGAAAATCATTTATTTGTCTCACAGAATGAGAAAGATCATTTTCCTTTTCCAGTCTGAACAAGTCCGTTGACTTTTAAGATTTGTCCTTTATTAAATTGTTTCTTTTTGTTCCCCTTAAATAAATCTGATAACAAAGAAATGGATACATCTTTTTTTTTAAACCGCGGATTACAACGAAATAAATTTTAAAAAAGCGAGTCAGGAGCAGTGGGTGCGTCAGCTTTAAAACGCTCACCAAGTACAGTACCCTCCATTTGTAACAAAAAAAAATTCTCGTAAATTTGTCCTTGGACATTATCTATTCCTCGTAACTCACTGTTAACCTCGAGCTTCGCTCCTTGGGACAGAGATTGTCCGCTGAAAAATATACGAACATATTTTCGTGCCAAATGGAAGTTAATATTTATCGTATTTTCCAATAGGGGTTCATATGATCAATTTCTTCACTGACCTACTTCTATCCAAGATAAACCAGGTTCTGGGATATCAGGTGGTAAAGTTGCCACCATCTAGAGAAAATAAACGAACCTCTGTTACACATTTTACAACACGTTTGTAAAATACCATCTAAATGGCCTGAATAATTATGTTCTGATCTAATAGAACGGGTCAAATGGCGTCCAAATCGGACTACAGTGTCTCGAAACGGACTCTAGCACCTAAAATCGGAAACAAGTGTTTAAAATCTTTGGACTCGTGTCCAAATATTGGACACTAAAGTCTAAAATTCAAACTAGGACGCTAGTTTCCAAAATAAAAAACCGGACGCTAGTGTCCAAACTCCAGGGTCAGACACTAGCGCCCAAATTCTAAAACTCGGACCCTAGCGTCAAAAATCCAAAATCGGAGACTAGAGTCTAAAAAGACATTGAACACTAGCGTCCAAATCCAAAATCGCAGACTCGAAACCAAAATCCAAAATCGGAAACTAGCCTCCAAAATCCAAGAAACAGACACCAGCGTCTAAATTCAAAAATCGGCCATTAGTGTCCAAAATTTAAAATCGGACACTAGTGTCCAAAATCCAAAATCGGCCATTAGTGTCCAAATCCAAAATCTGCCACTAGTGTCTAGAATCCAAAATTGGCCACTGGTGTTTAAAATCTAAATCGGCCACCAGTGTCCAAATTCCAAAATCGACTACTAGAGCCCAAAATCCAAAATTGACCACTAAGGTCAAAAATCCAAATGGACTGGAGACAATGACGTCAGCACACTCGCCGAATTCACCCATTGACACCTCTCGCAGCTGATTATTTTTGTTTGATTGCTTTTTTTCCTCGCGGCTTATTCAGTTCAACTGGAAACGTCTTTGATTCAGGCGAAATAAACAGTATCTGGGCAACTGCCCACCTACCCTCCCCTAACCCAGCAACAGTCAATTGATAACAAGTTAGGGTTAATGTTGGGATAGGGGAGGGGAAGGTGGGCAGTTGCTCAGATACTGATATTGATCCGAAAGGATGTTTCTGATTATCTGTTACTCACACCAAAAACAATTCACACAGATACCGTTATTAAAAAGCTTTCTGATTTTACAATGAGCAAAGAAAATAAAGGTAACTTACCAACTTTGGTGGGCTGTTTGGTGACGAATGCGAAGCTAAAAGAATGTTACTATTGATATCAAGTAAGCTCCACGATCCAGGGGCTAACAAAGGGAGGAAATACAAGCAATTACTGGCAAAGAAGTTCATGGCGGAAAGTTTCTAAAGAAACTGTGGCACTGCGTCGGTAGAAGGGAGCGGGCGGTATTTAGAAATAATTTGGTTTGAAAAACTGAGTTGATAATGTAAATTGGCCACCGTGAAGTGTTTCTGAGGCTGACGTTTCGATCGTTAACCCTTTAACTCTTACAAGTGATTAACATGTAACTTCTCCCTATAATATCCATACATTAATCAGCAAACAGGTAATGAGAATATTCAAACTTGTCAGGTAGAAGCTGCTATCTTGATCTAGCACCAAGTTCTCAAAACTAACTTATAAGTGAATGTGTAGCAACTAGAGGTAAGAATTAACAATCAGATCTTGGGAGCTAAAGGGTTAACTTTTCGTCAGAGCGAATAATGAAAGGCTAACGCTTGAAACGGCAGCCTAAGAAACTCCCGACGGTGGCCAATATCCGTCCGCTCCGTACAGTAAATTACGGAGCCTCTTTTTTTCCGCTCCGATTTATGGCCCGCGCGCCTCGCGCTTGGGCTTGGTTAGCATTATGAAAAACGCAGACTCACCTGATGTCAAATTTGTAACCGTTTTGTCTTTGCAGTTAATGAGAACAATTTTCTGAAAGTGTAAATAGTAATAGTCTTTTATTAGCAAAAACCCCTTTGTATCTCACTCGGTAACCCATTTAATAGATCATAAAAGCACAAAGGCGAAGCTCCAACATAAATGAACGCGCCCTAAGGACTCATGCAATTTAACTTGTAAATTCTCAAGGTAAGGTCTGCACTTCAGCCAAGTGATCCCCCCCCAGTATTTCATCCAACGTCGGACACTGGTGACTCCCTCGTGCTCAAAATCAAATCATCGCAAGGTTACCCCCCACCCCCACCCCTTCCATGGTAATTCGCCGGTACCCATTTTTACTCCTGGGTGGAGAGGCCTGGGCTTGAACCCAGACCTCTCGACCCGGAGTCCAGCGCACAAATCATAAGGTTACCGTGTCTCCCGTATTTTGCAAACTGTGTTTGAAATCATATTATTACTTTTCCGCATCCGATGTTTATAAACAATCACGTTGGAGGTTTTTACAATCCAACGTTTTTCAGTAACTCAAACCTTCCCAGGAAAATTATTTCAGTAGTGAAGAGGTACGGTAATAGTTTGTGGGCTAACCTGAGAAGTTCTCCACACGGTAGACAAAATGACACTGTTCCCATCTGGCGTCCAGCATCGATCGGCGAGGGTTAAATACAAATTGTATATCCCTGGAAATCCGCCTTCTACCAAGACAAGAACACACTTCATGGTTCAGCCACAACTGGCAAGGTAAAAACAACTCATTTGCGACACTCAAATATCCTAGCTTGCAAGAAAACCCTCATTATGAGCGTGTAGGACGCGATTTTCTCCACCAGCGGGATGATTTGAGACGCCGCGGGGAAAGGTCTGCCGGGAGTCTGGCACTAATAACGATCAGTGTCAGACTCCATGCTAACTTCTCGCCGGTTCGCATTACTGAAGGCCTCGTACTTTTCCAAGCCCTTAGCACTTCTAGTAAGAATTTTCCGCTCAGGATGAAACAAATTTGCAAAGCAAACTACCACTCTTACTTTCTGGAATGTCCACAACATCAACAATAGTTGAAGTAGTCTTTGCGATCCAGTCATACTAAAAGACAAAATGCAAAACTTGTTCAATCTATTTTCACCATCGAAAAAAAAAACCTAAAAATAGGAAAGGTGTATTTGGTGAGACTTTCACTATTTGCCTGGAAAATTATCAGGAACTAAATTTCGACGAAGACAAACTAGCACAAAACAAAACAAAACAAAACAAAATGCTTTCATTTTCATCAACAATAAAAGATGTAAGAAGGGTGGGTGGGGTGGGTGAGGTAAAAGTTGCGATATCAGTCAATAAATGAAGACAATATCTTCACCCTCATACTCACCTGCATTAATCTTCCACATTTTAAATGTGCTCCACCAACATCCAAAGCTATGTAAATCTGCAAAAATATTTTCAAATTAACAAATTGCCTTTCTAATCAAACATGTGTAAAAGGTTCAAAGGACGGATTGAATGTCAGATGAAGTGGAACCAGCTCATTTCGCTGTCTATCACGTAATGCTAAGAACTAGACCAAAATTGGGGTCGCTGCTGTACTAGAAAGGAAAAGATTAGCCAGACTGTGCGCAGGCCCTTGTTGTAAGCGCTGCAGTACGCACGTTTCCCTGACCGGGAGAAGGTCTGAGACGAGTCGGAGAGAGATCGCCGGGGTCTGGCACTAGTTATCAGTCATTGCAATTTTACTTTCCATTCTTCATGAATTATTGCAACATACCAAAACATGGTTCGTACTGAATTTAATTATTCTTACAATAGAACTTGAAATTGTCCAATATCTTTTGATCTTACCAACTTCTCTTTGGTGTGATTAAAGCGGGGTGAGTGGACGGCGTACTTGGGGTCAGTCAATTGTTCTGGAGTAAAATCAAACATGAATAATTAAGTTATACACATTAGAAATATTTTAGCTTGCTCCACGTGTTCAGTTAGTAAACTGACGCGCGATAGTAGCGCAGGAGTTTAAAAACGGGGGAGGCTTGGGTCCAGTCACGTTTATTACGCGACCCTTCCCAAACCTCGCTCGTCCCCTAGCGCTGTCTACTATTCAGCTCCGAATCGACTGGGTACGAAACGACCGTGGATATAAATTGACCGGTAACCGTACCTTAGATTTATTTACAGTAGGGTATTGTTCTGTTGGTTAGATATTAAACACGTTACGTTGTAATTTATTTGCAAAACTCACCAAGATTTTTTCCATCAAGCGATAGTGAGTACAAGGCATTTCTGAAGACAAATGAGGAAACATTTATTACAAAAAAGACTGGATTCTGAATGCGATATGATTGGTCCTTACCTATGGTCTATGGGTGGATAGACAACAAGATGACGTCCTCGTGAGAATTTATTCCGTTTTTACAAAAAAAAAAATTAAATGGGAAAATAAAGAGATCACTGCTTTTCTTGACAACGCAGCTGTAAGAGAATGTGACGGACGGCCGCGCCCTCAGTTGAGTCACTTCGTTTACCATTTCCACAAATTTAACTTTTTAAATGATCTTACTTTCTAATAGGGCAATATATGAGTCCAAGTCTGTACGGCTCATGCAACCAACCCACAAACACAACGCTGTCATCGTTCGGACCCCAGCGGACCTGAAAAAAAAAAAAAAAAAAAAAAAAAAAGAACCACATCTCAGTCTCACGATTTTTAATAGTGATTGGACCGAGTGGAATCCAGTTAGGTCTGGAATCATTCGAAAGACTGACATCAAAATCGGACGGACGCAAACGGGAGGCACATTTGTTAATCACAAGAACAACTTTAGACAATATTTTTACGATGGAAAAGTTGTTACCAACTTGTCGAAACAAGGACAACTTTCAAGAAATAATACATATCAATTAAACGTATTCAGAACGAATATATACAGTTGCTTTTTATCCATGAAAGAATGAAGCCAATAGTTGACCTAACAAAGTGCAAATGATTCTCACCATCCAACTACAGATTCATGACTCTTGAACTCTCCTATTTAGTAAGTTCCTGGCGTTTAGTTAGTATGAAATACGAAGCACGATTGTGAAAGGCATTATTGTGGCAGCCAGGCGAACAAATCTCCCTCTTTTTTTCAATTAGCTACAATAGCGCGTGCAATGCACTACGAATCATGCACTGCTCAGACATATGAGAGAGTTTATAATCAATCACGTTCGCGATTTGCTTGTAATTTTCATCTGTAGAATCCGATTTAATTCCATTTTGTCACCCTCATACTCACTTGGCCTGCAGACAAGTTATCAGGCACTCCTTCCAATACTCTGATCTCATCACTCTCCATGTTGTAGACAACAATCACAGGGGAACACTTGGAAACAAGCTGTTCACCCCAGTCATCCTTGAACTCAAATTTATTTCCCTTGAAATGAAATCAAAATTGATCAAAGTCAAATAAAAAGCTTCACTGAGTAATCGAGTGTAGACTCTTCCTTTATAATTTATGAACACAAGGGAGTTTTTTCATGGACCAATTAAATACGTAGGGCACGTTCAATCATGTTGGAGATGAAATAAAGAGGCGTTACCTTTGTGCTTTTATGATCTATTAAATGGGTCAAGGCGTGAAAAGGAAATAATAACAATTGTTGCTAATAGAAGACAGTTATCATTTTTTACTTCTTTCAGGAAATTGTCTCATTAACTGTAGAGACATAACGGTTCCCAATTTGACTTCAGGTGAGTTTTCTTTTCCCATGATTAATGAGTAATTGAAGTTAACCATATCTAACAGATGATAGAACAGAAATATCACCTTTTCTGGAGGAGGCTTGTCTGCTGCAGCATCACCTGAAAAAAAAAGGAATTAATTATTGTATTAATATACATCAGCATAAAATTATGCAGTTAGAATACTGTGTACTTAGTTGTCAAGCCTTTGATTTGAAGTGAGGCTGAAGGTAACCTCGTCGTGAAAAAGACCAGTATCTAGTTAGCATGATAACAAAGTAATTTACGGAGCATTTGAAAAGCAGTAACGTTTGTATCATAACAAGGTCACCATAGCCTCACTCCTGTTTAAGGGCTTGGCAACCAAGCATGCAACTTTCAAATAGGCCATCACCCATGCGAAAAAATAAATAAATTATGAAGTTCATGACTGGTGCTATGGGTCTTCGCGTGCACTTTGGCCCTTTTTTTCTGTTCACTTTTCTCAAAACAGTTGCATGTATACCTTACCTTTTTGTTTCTCAAAATATGAAACAGCTTTTGGCAGCTTCTTTTCCGCCACATATAACAGGTACTTCTCTGATGCTGACCAAACCAGAGAGCCAAACTGCCCTATAAACATACAGATCAATTTCTTAAACACACATGTAAAAATCACTGTCAGTGAAATAACAATATTTACATTTCATGCAGATTGAGACTTGTAGGTAAGAGCTCTGATGAAGTCACTGTGTCGCATTCTTTAGCGAGACACTTTACTATCATTTTGCTTCTCTATAACAAGGAAAATGAAAGGATACTTATAAATCATCTGGAAAATCTGACAAAGAATCATGTAATGGACTGGTAATACCATCCAAGGAATGGCATAAATACTCTAGGTTGCTTCATGCTGTTGAAACTAGGATAAGTTCTGGTGGCAATTTAGCTAATTTCCTAGCTTGCAAACAGACTGCCACTGGCACTACCGCACTAGCATCTTATGAATCATCCAAATTCCCTGGAAGACAAAGGGAGTCAGGGGGAGGCCTAGGCCTCCTTTTTAGTGCCAGATCCCTCACCACCTTTGGAAGACTTTACAAGAAGCATACGAGGCACTCCTGCATCACATCCAACAACAGCCTCCTTGTAGGCTACAGGTAGGATTCCTAGCTCATCAGCACTCTGTGGTCATATGACCACTCTATGATCTACATTTTCATAAGATGGTAAATGGCTACTTTTTTCCATAGATGAAAAAAAATGAAAATAACTCAAGCCATTAAGTAAACCAAACAAAACATGGAAAGTAAATTTGCTTCACAAAATTCAAACTGAATGTCAAGTACTCACCATCTTCAAAAATTTTGCCATGCTTCTCACAAGCTAGAACATCAACATTCTTGACAAGATGACTTCGAGACCAGATCTGTACAGAGTACGGATATTTATTATTCAATAAGTTTAGTAGCTAAAGAGAGAGTGAAGAAATCCACTGACCAGGTTGCAGAAGGGGAGAGGGGTGGGGGGGGGGGAGAAATTCCTCTTTTTGTAAAATAATGGCTGACAGTAGAAATGACTTCTAATTAATTATAGCAGAAATTATTGCCAAACTTTAAGAAAATGGAGGAATACAAGGAGTCCATCCTTTTCAGCAAAGTCAGTTGCATGAGTAAAAAAAAAAATCATTTAAAAAAAATTGATGGAGGGAGAGCTCTAGGGATGAGTGTGCCTCACTCCCAAAGCTCCCCATGGAACTGATTTTTTTTTTATTTGCGCAATGGACTTCCCTGGAAAAAAGGGACTGTTCATAGTCTGAAAACTTGGTCAAAACAAACTAAAAGGGCTTAACTTGAAAGAGCCTTAAACCCTTAAACTCCCAGAGGTGATCATCATGTATCTTCTCCTTATAATAACCATAAGTTATTCAGCAAACAAGAAATGAGAATTTACTCTAAGTTATCTCGTAGAAGTTGTTATCTTGATCTAACACCAAATTGTTGCAACTTTTTTGCAAGAAAATGTGTAGCAGCTAAAGGGGAGAATTGATGATTAGATCTTGGGAGTTCAAGGGTTAACAACTAAACCTTGTGCAGGAAAGTAAGGGAAAACAATAGCACACAACTGGTTTTATTTATTCAACTTACAGAACCTTCAATCATTGGACCAAAATTTTCTAACCTCCAGGAATTGCTTATCTTCTTGTCCCTTGTTTCCTGGTACTTTTCGCACAATGGCCTGGTATTTTCCACTAGAAGAAGTGCTCCTCAGCTGTCTAATTAAGAATCATATTCACCAACTATCAATACTGTGAACTAAGTATTGCCACTGTAAAACTGAACTCTGAAGATCAGCAACCTTGCTGTAGCATAGGTACAGAGCCACCTTAATTTTTTAATTGTTCAAGGTAGCTTTGAACTTTTAAAATGCTGTAGAACTTTTTGTAAAAATTTGCAGATAAATAATCTTGAAATGCTGATCTAGATGCAGCAATAATATATGAATATATATGGGTTATTAAATTCATTTTTTGTGTTTCAAGTATTTAAAGGAAAATGTGGGATGATTCTAAAAGATCTAGAGTTTATTCATATGCAACCTAATATTTCCAAACAAAATTTTGGTCAAAAATGGCATTTGCTCAATACCATTCTCAAGAAATAACAGCAAAAGTATATATCGCGGTCTAGGACCGTATAATGACTGCTTACAGCAATACTGTGTTGAATCATTCATTGAGGTCATGAGTATAAATAAACTGATCACCAACCTAAGAAACCTTGATTGTTAAGCAAATTCTCCTGGTCAGTACCAAAGGAAATGTACAGAGAAAGGTATGTAGAAGAAGGATACTGATGTCAGGGTGTAAGGCCTTGACAATAAATCTATGGATACAGTACTTACAAGTGTTGAATTTCTACTGGAAATGAAGGTTCCCTGATGTTGCTCAAACTCAATGACGTGGTGTTGTAACTTGCAATGTAATTTCTCAGAAAGTTACGGTTTTCATTTCTTTCCAAATCTCTTTGAGACCACTGAGAGTCTATACTTATTTCAACTGTGTTGGAGTTTGAGTTTTGTTCAAATAGCGACACTCTTGCTTTAGACACAGAGGCAGCTTTGGCATATTCTCTGTAAACTTCAACAGCTTTGTCAAGGAACTGATCCTGTGAATAAATAAAACCCCAAATTACTGACAGTTACATGAATAAATATATTGTCATTCTATCACGGATGTTGCAATTTGATTGGCTATTCTTATTGCTCTCTATCAACCCTATAACTCCCAAGATCTCTTTAGTAATTCTCCTTTCTGTCTGCCAAATGATTCCCATTATGTTAGCTGGAGAATCTGGTATCAGATGAATTAGCAATCGCATAATTAATATTTTTCTTTATTCTTATCACTTGTCAGCTTGATATAACCTTGATATAGTTGGAAGAAATTCTGTCTTCTTAACTCACAGGAGTGAAGGGACAGTCATGAGTAAAGAGAGTAGACTGAAAGTGTACGACTGCGGTGCATGATTTCTAAGGATAGTCATGTCAAGTTTTGCTTGTCATCAGTGAAGAAGCAAAAACAGTTTGTTTTTCATTAAATGCATAATAAAACAATTTGTAGATTTGGTTTTTGTGATAGCCTCAGCCGTCCACTTCAGCTGATATTCTAAATGTCACAAAAACCTCATCCAATAATTGTTAAGAATTTAACAGGTTTATTTAATTGCAATCAGCAAAAAATTTGTATCTTTCTTTTGGAAAGTGTTTTGCCAAACTTAGTGGCATCTTCTGTGTTGCTCAGAATTGAATTTTCTTCTATCATCTGTACCCCTATCTCTGTAACAATGATGAAACACTAGGCAGCCATTTCAATATTTCACAACTCTGCGATAATTACCTTGCGCTAGGTGATTATAGTGAGATATAACGCAATTAATCCTCAACCAATCAAAGATGCCCTTCTCTATAATCATTAGGGTAAGTTTACATATAATGATCAAGTGGGAGAGTAAACCTTAAAACTTCAACCCTGTGATCTCTTAGTAATTCTCCTTACTGATGTACATGCAATTCTGATGAAGTTATTTCAGAGAATTTGGAATGGGATCAAATAATAATCCTCAAATTGACATTTTTATTTATTCTCATCAAGGAGAAATTACGCCTGGGAGTTACAGGGTTAAGAGCTGAAAAATTTAAATGGATTGCTTACAGGTGGCCTGGAACTAGATGCATGAGATTACGACGTTCATAACACTAGAAGGTACAAATTTAGTTAACAATAACTCTTTAATGGGAGAAATGAGGCTCTCAAAATAGATAGATATCTTCCAAAAGGAATTAAAGTTGACAAGCAGCTTCATCACGTAAATAAGGCATAAAAGCAAAAAAATCTTTCGTTCCAAAAAGCACGACAAAAAGATCATAACTGGCTCTCAATAAATTAACACGCTACCTTGATATAGTGGGTGAGTAAATAATTTCGCGTTTCCATGAGCGGAACAACACCGTCGACCGAATGAGAATTCGAATTAAGAAGAGAAAATTTCATAAATCTGAGAATAAACCGAGAGAAGCTTTTGAAGGACATTCGAAGAAAAAAACACCGGTCTTTGGGAACAGCCCTCTTACCGCGCAAGCAACTACAAAGTCTTTCAAATAAATACTACGATCTACCTTTCAAACGCGTTTGTGTTTAACCCTTTTTCAGATTTTTTTCATCAAAATAAGGTTATTTTCTTAATTTCAATTGCCTTATTCACGCTAAAATCTGAAAATAAATCAAGGATTACCTCAGCAAGTCCTAATCCTGCCGCCATTTTGCGATTTTGGTTTTCCGCGCGACTTACGTGACAGTCTCGTGACAGACGAGATGGAAGGCATATGATTGTGATGCCCGTGACATGTTTGTGACAAACTGAAATAATCAGATTATCCCTCGATCAGAGTTTTTAAACTGTTTTTCTTTTCTTTAAAAAGAACGACAGTGGCCAACAAATTTTAAGCTGTCGCTCTGAAAACGAAAACGTAATTAGTGCGCTTTCGATGATGTCACGCAATATCAACAATTTTTCACATGAGCCGATCCTAGAACGAAATGCGAGTCTCACATTTTTCCCTTGCAACAAATAGTAGTAAATTCAACGCGGAAGAAAAAAAAAAGGGGGGTGCAGAGCACGGGAGGAGCGGATGCGGAAGAGTTGAAACACTAAACTCGCGCATTCTAAGGGTACTGGGAATGAAAAGAGAGGGTGTTTGGAGTGCGGGCTCACGTAGCTGGCATTCATCGAAGGATACGCCATTTTGGAACATCACAAATCTTCCAGGATAACTTCAGGTATAAAATCGCAGCCATGGCGGGCGGCCTTCCGCGAAGAATAATAAAAGTAAGTTTTTACGGCACTCTTTCCCTTCTAGATAACAGATACGATGAACGTTGATGCTTTTTTTCTAAGATTTTGTTAATTGTAGTCTGTTGCTCTGGCTATGAAATCCCAAAAATCTGAGAAAGCCTCTTTTCGTTTCTCTGTAGGAAACGCAACGATTAATGTCAGAGCCAGTACCGGGAATAACAGCTCTTCCATCTGAAGATAACGCTAGATACTTTAATGTCGTCATAGAAGGTCCCGCCGAGGTAACTGACACTAACTAGATCTGTTCTCTATGAGTTTGATTTCTAAGAAGTCGTGGTTTTTTTTAATTCAAATTATCTGTGTCCTAATGGTTATCATCTGTTATTACCGATTCCAGACCCCGTTTGAAGGAGGGAAATTTAGGCTAGAGCTCTTTCTGCCTGAAGAGTACCCAATGGCTGCACCCAAAGTTCGATTTATGACGAAAATTTATCATCCCAATGTGGATAAACTCGGACGAATCTGCTTGGATATTCTTAAAGGTACGGCACCGATTAAAATTTAATGTACATTCACGTTTCATATTTCCGAAAGACGCTGGTTCAATGAATTTATCTGTATTTCTGTTCGGTAGGGCTTCTGATGTTTGAATGACCATCTGTAAATCCTAATGACTGAAATACTTTACAAATGAGATTAGAGTTGATCTTTTTTTTTTTTTATAATTATCTTTAAAATTTGGTTTCTTATAGCTTCAGTCTTTTATTTCCATTTGCCTATGAAGTTGTTATTGTTTGATTTCAAAAAAACATTTAACTTGCTAATTAATGATACAAAAATAAATAAAACAATAAAGGATGAACCTTTTTAACTGTTAAGATCTGACTGCTAATTCTCTCCTCTAGCTGCTATATATTTTCCTTTCAATTTGTTTTGAGAATTTGGTGTTAGATCAGGATAACTTAAACCTGATTAGATTGAGTATTCTCATTACCATTTTGCTGGACAATGTATGGATATGATTGGGAGAAGTTACATTACAATCTTTTCTTGGAGTTCGTGTAGGTAATAACACGATTTCAAGTGCAATTTGTTTGTAATAAGCACTAGTAAATTTTTCAAAGACAACAAAATTTCTCAAGTTGGTAGGGCAAGTGTAATTTGTAGTCTCTGAAAAATTTTCAAGTGCCCATTACACCAAATTGAAAGAGAAATCAGGTTATTACTTGTTAATAAAAGGTATTATAAAATAATTCAAATAGTACGCACACTCTGATTGGCCATAAAACCATTTTACATGAGCGTATGTAAACACGGTTTTTGTTCCTCTTTCATTAGTTATTTTATAAAAGAAATATAAAATGGTTTCCATGTGTACATAGCTTGATGTAAATACTTGGGAGGTTGGGAGAACACTTGATAAGCTGGAAATCACTCCGCTTCGTGTCATGGTTTCCTACACTTATCTCGTATTCTCCCAAACTCCCAAGTATTTACATCAAGCTATGTAAACACGGAAACCATTTTACATTTCTTCATGAAAAAACATCACAGAAAGTCAAGACAGAGAAAATTTTCAAAGCACCCTCATGCTATTTGTAATTTGCATTTGTGTTGCAACTTTGCACTTGTGTTACATGAAAATGCACTCATTGTCAGTCAATTAGAAGCATGTAATTAGCTTTCTCTTGAACAGTTGCTTGATTTTTTTTAAATAGACAAATGGAGTCCAGCTCTTCAGATTCGCACAGTCTTGTTGTCCATCCAAGCTCTTCTTAGTGCCCCAAACCCTGATGATCCTTTGGCTAATGATGTTGCAGAGAAGTGGAAATTAAATGAAAGTGAAGCTCTCGTCACTGGTAAGTGTATCAGTAATGTCATTTGTGTCAGATTTAGTATCTAACATTGATCAGCATAGTGTTTCAAATGACCCCGTTTGTCTTGCACAGTTTAGCCCTCTGATGCAATTCCAAGTTAAGAGAATTTGGTGTTAGATCAAGATAACCTTAACCTGATAAGCTTGAATCTTCTCATTGCCTGTTTGTTGGATAATGTATAGTTATTATTGGGAGAAGTTACATGTTAATCACTCCTGGGAGTTAAAGGCAAACAATTTTTAGTGTATTCTCTACGAGTGACCACAACCTCTTTGAACACTGTTAAATTTTTCACTCACAGCAGAGACCAATTTGAATAATTTATCTTACAATATAAATACCTTGTCAAGCAGAAAGACCAAAAAGAGAAGGCAAAAGATGAATTTTATGATATGCATGCAGCTTAAAAGAACAGCCAATTCTGAGCACCACAATTATACGAAATATATGACATGCCGTAAGGAGAAATGTTAGTGAAAACATGGAAGTGAAAGAGTTAGCACTGAATGAATAGTGTATTTGCTTTCCCCTTCCCATGATCCCAACAGGCCTTCCTTGTCCTCCCATGAGTCTTACCCTTTAGAACTATACTGAAAAGGTTTATTTTTATAATTTTATTGCAGCCAGGGAGTGGACAAGAACCTATGCTATACAAAATTAGAGCTAGAATGTACATGTCTGTTGGATGTTCATGTTATCTGTGGGTTGTTACTGAACCCTGTGCGAAGCTTATATGGCAGTTTGCACCAGAATGGTGCTTGTTCTTTCAAGAGTAGTTCCAACCTTTTCTTTTTTTGTATAAAAATTCATCCTTAGTCATAAGATAAAGTCTGGTCATGCATTTTAAATTGTAGATCCAAAGCTGAAGATACAAAAGTCCAGTTTCCAATTGCTGCTTTTAACTTGGCATTGTTCCCTTAGAAATTGATCTGTGAAATGATCCACTAGAGGACATTTATTGCAGCAATTCATTGCAGCAACATGTTGCAGTTTCTGCAGTGTTGTTGCACATCATTTTTGTTGCAGTAAAAGTTGTCTTATGTTATCTACCAAACACAGCCTGAGCAAAAATCATCCTTAAAAGGTCTCATCTTTGTAATATGTATTCAACAAGCAGATTCAATGTTGTCTTGCACCTGTGCTGAAGTAGATCACAGATGATGTCAAAATATGGAAAAACAAAAACGTTGTTTGCGAGACACAGCTGAATATGTCACTGATGTTCTTACCACATTTTGACCTCCAGTGATTCATAACTGAAAAGATCCACGGCAACATGGGATCTCTTTGTTTTATGTAATAAAGAAGGAAAATGTTGATAGTAATTTCATCTGTGTGGCCTCTATTAAACAGTAGAAACCAATCAAAATATGTTTATGATTTAGCTTATATAAGGCTGTGTTGACAAGAATAACCACTGTGGGCCATTTCTTTATCACCTCAACTGCCGTCATTCTCAGTTGAATACCACTCAGACCTTTGACTCCTTAGACTCATCAATTTTCCATGCATTGAAAGTCATGGAATCTTTTTTACTGAAAATGATGTTTTTGAGAACAATGCGACGATAAAAATTCTTCATTTTATAATCGTTTTCATATCACGTTGGAATTGATTTTACGACTGTAATGTATGGAAAACAGCAAATTGCGAAAATTGGTTCTGGAATGAGTCATGCATGACGTGGAAGTTTTTATTTCAAAAGGCAACAAACTCAAGTCATTTTGGAGTGTGAAAAGTGTGTTCATGTTTTTTTCAAAGGTCCTAGAGTAGCAACACTTAAAAAAATAAACTGACTGAAGTGGATCCATAACAATCTACCTCGTTACTACTTTTCACTATCTCAATAAATTAAGACATGCAGACCTTAATCCAAAATAATTATACGTCCTTCAGTATGTTTATATTAATAGCCCCATCTCTGCCTACACTAATTTATATTTTGAAAGGAAGCCGAAAGGGCTATTTCATGTGAGGACACACTATTTTGGAATAAGGTGTATTTCACAAGACATGACCTCCGCGATTTTACAAGAAAAAATTGTGAAAAAGGAAGCTTAATATTTAGTCCGAATGTGGACATTCGCGGGGCTGCTGCGTTCAAAGCGGAGACCCAGACATAGTTAAAAAAGCAACTTAAGAAAAGATGATTGAGGATGATGTTCGTACGTCCGTGTCAACGAAAGTGACAGTTCGCTAGCAAATTCCGTTCTTGGTGGTTCTTATTTGCTATAATGGTGACAGACTACCCCAGAGTTCTAAGCGAAAACCTCTCAAGTTCTTAGTTGACAATTAATTGAAAATGGGGCGTAAATGGCAATTATCTTCTTACATCACCCATGATCATTGAGTTATTAAGAGCCCATGACTATAAATATCGAGAGGCTAAAAAAATCGAAAATTCTGATAGTTTGCCTTAAAAACCCTTTTAGGGAGATACTTCAAAAAGAATATTTTGAAGTTTGAAAAATCAAATGTTTTCGAGAAAATGGGGAAAAACGAAAATTTGGGTTTTTACCTAATTAATTATGCAAAAAATACAGCAAAATCGACCAACTTTAGTGTGCGAGTACTGAAGGAGGATGGTTGGTAAGAAATCGGGGGTGTTTTTACTTCAAAGTATAATTCATTTGATTTTTATTTGTAACATTTTAAGGAGCTTTGGTTAAATTTTAAAATTCACATGATTTTTTAACAAAGTGCTGTCAAACGCTTGTTGCAAAAAGCGAAAAATCGAGCAACTTCAAGCCTTCAAAACGCGTCTTGGCATGTGAGAAATCATGTCAAACTACATGCTGGCACAAAGTTTGGTCCTTATATGAAAATAATATGAAATAAAAAATCTGGGTAATTCAGAAACTGCCGGCAAAATAAAAGAGTTTGCAACGCACTGTGGCCAAGGTCAAGAATTTGCATGATGCAAATCAGTTGTAGAAATCATACTTGAGTCCTACAAAGTAAACAAGATAGTTAAAAATGGTTAAAAAACTCTTTGATATGGAAATTATATGAAATTATAGAATAAAAAATCCGCAGACATTACTGAAGAGGGCTGTAGATTGATGTGTAGATACGAAATTGTCTGTTAATTTGAATTGCAGAAGACTGTTATTGTCGACTCGCTATTTCAACAGCACTACCTACACCTAACTATAGATAAGGGCCGCTGCATAGTTATCGACATCATTCTTAGTTGAATAGTTACGTTTTCTGCAACTGCGGTAATAATTCTTTTGAAATATCTTGGATATCTTGGAAAAAGTCATGTGAGTAAACAAAGTCACGCAACACCGCAAGCTTCTGCTGTGAAGTTTTTCACCTCAAGATAACAGCCCAACTATTTTGTATGCTATTTACTCTTATCTTTTTCGGAAAAATGGCCACATTTCTGTCATAAAACTTGATAAAAAGGACTTATGTCACGGTAGCAATTATATCGTGTTGCAGTCCGGGCGATAATTCTCTATGATGCAATCACGGTCTTTTTCTTAAAGGTAAACACGTGCGAGGTTTTTCATAGAGCATAAACAGAAAACGATGTCATTCTGTAGATTTGCTTCTCTTCTTGGGGGGGCTTGTGGTGCAAGTTCTGAAAATTCAAACATGGCTGACTTTGTCAAATTGAAAGACTGTACTAGGGATCAAGTGTTTCCATGTCCAAAAGAGTGCTGCACGCATAGTTTCCAACGGCACTCTTCTCTAGAAAAGCATCTCGCGTTCGGAACATGCATAAAGACGGTTGAAAGGAAGACATTTCTTGATAAAGCGAAGGTTAAATATGCTGCAAGGTTCGAGGAAGGTTCAAGTTCCGTGCCAACTATTCCTCTACCTCCTGAAACCTGTCCTCGTAGCACTGGATATGTAACACTGCCTGAAGGCTTCGCTTCAAAACAAGAAAAGAATAGCATAATTAATGTGGTAAAAACCCGAATTTTCGTTTTTCCCCATTTCCTCGGACACATTTGATTTTTCAAACTTTAAAATAATTTTTTTGAATATATCTTCCTGAAAGGGTTTTCTAGGCAAATTATCAGAATTTTCGTTTTTTTTAGCCTGGCCAACGATTCTCGATATTTACAGTTACGGCCTCTTAATTGGTTGCTAATTAACGGTTTCAAGCCAGTCACTTTAATTTTCTGTTAAACGGTTAGCATAATTACCCTGGCGAATTGGGTAAGCGTTAGAGATTCTAAGGTGATAATTGATTACCAATCAGTTAAAATTTCGACGGTATTGTTGTTAATTGGTCGGCATAATTTTACTGGAAATTCTCAAAATTGAGCCTTACTTGAGCTCCGCAAATCCTTAGTCGATTACTAATTATCAATTAATAAAGATTTGAGTGCCTAGTTAGTTGGATTTCAGAAGTTTAAAGCAAAATAATTGATGTATTCAGCGAATGGAACTCAGCTAGATTATCTAGTTCAACAAACAAATTTAATTTACTTATAAAATGATTTTGCCATTATTTGTGGTTGTTTGAAAACAATTTTTGCAATATTTGCCGATCCATCAACAGTACATCTACCCTTGCTATCCTCAGCACACCTTGAAATGAATAAAGAGGGTAATTTTTTAAAGAAACTGCGGTTCTACATTGGTGGGGGAGAATAACAGGATAAAGGAGTTTATAATGCAGATTGGCCACCGTAAATATATTCTAAAGCTGACGTTTCGAGCGTTAGCCTTCTGTCAGAGAGAATGGCAAGGAAAAGCAATGAATGAATTAAAGAGACTTAACGACACTGTGAGAATCTTTCTGTTCGTATCTTAGTGCTATCATGGTAGATATATTAATCTGGTGATTCTCTCGATCATAATTCTGAAATGAGATGAGATAACCCTAACAGCCCATTTTTTAGATGTCTCTTCTATGCTATAATTTGGTTTTATCTACTGAGTTGTTACTGTATATTTGCCGCCGAAAAGAGTTTCATAAGCTGACGTTTCGAGCTCGTTAACCTTTCGTCAGAGCGAATGTGTCGAGTTTACTAAATGGATTTATGCAAATCAGATCAATTTTACATCATAACATTTTTTGGGTTAAATTATGTTTTGATATTGGAAATGAAGATAAATGCCTACCCCAAAATGAAGGCAACGATACAAACACATCTATATCCACTTTTTACCACGTTAATTGACATTCGATGGTTTTATTGTTTTTTTGATGCCGCACAAAATTCAATGTTGCGAAACTTCGACAGAATTAGCATATAACCTCGGTAATTCTATCATCGTCAAAATCACTCAATCATCTGATACATACACGCTACATTTCTAGGTGTCCCGAATCAATTTTGAGAAAATTGAAGGTGTACAGAGGTTTAAAAATATCTTCCCACAACTGCAGCGCAAGTTGTTCATCTAGGTTAACGGAACCAAGCGAGGTCTCGAATTTCCGGAATCCAGGTGGACGTGCTTTCTTTAAATCTTTCAAAGTTAACTCAGTTTCTCCTCTTTCTCCATTGTGGCCTTGATCTGTTTTCTTCTCGAACTGATCTTTTCCAACGACATACGACTTCCCACTTTCCTTCACGATCAAGAAGCAACTGTTGGTTTTGTGGTCATTCCAAAGTTTTGAGGATCCAAACAATTTCTCTTCAGAAGGAGTGTCAAACAGACCTCCGGTTATTTTCTTGTCATGTTTTGACTTGAGCAGCTTTCGATATAGACGAGCCATAGTTTACTTTGTTTCCCCGTCTGGTCTGAGTGAAACTGATACAGAAGCTCACGCACATAGCGCCTATATGATGTTTTGCGGCAGATTCTAAGGACATTTCCGCCACAGATATGACAACGTGTACTTGCAAATCTTAATGACATGTGCACGTGAAATGTTTGTAAGATTTGTCTGTCTCTGACATGGCGGGGAAGGCACACCCTTCTTGCATTTCGTGCCAATTCCTTCTCGTTCAAAGTTTTCGCTTTCTCGAGAAACAAAAAATATGTAATTATGAGATAATCATGCACATTTGGTATTCAAATGACAGCGGTTCTAAGGATGAGCCTTTTCTGGGATGTGGTAGGTGTGAATGACGTTTTGGCAACCCAAGCGGAAGTTAAGATTTCCGGTCAGTGTGTCAAAACAGTGATTAGAACATTGTAACTGTAATCGAAAACATAATTTTCAAGTTTACTCATATATCATTACCTCGTTAAAGAATCAAGATAATTTGGTTTGATCAACTGAGTTGATAAAGTAAATTGGCCACCTTGAAGAATTTTGAAATTTGACGTTTTGAGCGTCAGCTTTTTGCCAGGGCAAATAAAAAAGGGCTAACACTCGAAACGCCAGCTTTAAAGAATCTTTACGGAGGCCAATTCACATTATCAACTCAGCTAATAAGCTAATTATCTTGCAATACTCCCTCCCCTCCCTCCCCCTCCCCTCCTTCCCCTTCCCCCCACCAACGCAACATCACAGTTTCCAATAACCCTCTTTATTTATTATAGAATCAATTGTTATCCTGATGTTTTCCTGATTTTACACCATTATTTTTCTTAACTGAATTAAGATTTTGTCGTAAGTTGGATATATTCGACCAACCTTAATAATTTTACAAATTTCTTTCACCTAATGCAAGCTTATTGAAAAAACAACATCACAAAAACAAAATAAAACCAAACAACAACAACAAAAACCAAAAAGAAGGAAACAAATTGATTTAAACTGTGATATATTAACCTCAGGGAGTTACGGTTAACATTTTCGGACAGAATTTTGGAAAAGGAATTTTTCCATGAACATACGTTTTCGAGCCAAACAAAAGGGTGCGCCACTCCATTTCCTCTAGGGTCTTGGTGCGTGACAAGTCTCCTCAATTGCCACTCATGCTATCAGTCCACCTGTATCGAAGTTATGGCAAGCACGTACCGATCAAAATTGTTTCTTTCTAAAGATCGACCAAATATAACACAGAACATTAAACTTAAAAAAACTACTTGAGTCAAAAGGATAACAAGAATTTAATTTCACAGCAGTAAAGTTGTTAATTTAGTTGGCAAGTTACGCCCCCGTAGGCCTTCCTGTCCTTTTGCAATACGGACTATAGTTACAATTTTTCTGCGCTCATAAATCTGGTTGCATCTTTGTCACCGAATTAGCCAAAGTAAACAAGTCTTTGCCTTTCTTGCTTTTCTATCAACGATTAATCGACGTAAGTTAACCTCAATTCGCCTTGAACTGCTATAAAGATCAATTGTGAATAAAAATTAATTACAAATTACTTTAATTGTCTCTAGGAGGTTGTTTGTTTGCTAATCCTTTGTAAAGATCTTGCGTTTTCTGTCAAAAAATATTAGCAAACGTGGTCCCTCGATGCATAATTTGGTCATCGAGTTGACTTAATCATCTTATGCCGATATAATGGAAACGATTCGGAGCAGATAAAAAGGATATAAAGCTTATCTTTCCACATATAGAATGACTTCGACTTCAAGGCAGAGAACGGTGTTTGTTGCACTCAATCAGAAAACATTTATACACAGCAAAACAAAAATCTAGACAACAACATCAGGAACAGAAAAACACAAAAGTATTTACCTCTATATCCATCGCTCATCTTAGGTATTTATTAAAAATAATTGTTTTGGTTCCTTTTTGTTTTTTTTATACTTCCCCTGGCAGAACCATTGCAAGAAAAACATAGAAACTCGGTTAACTATTTTGTAACCCAGTAAACCGCACAATTTTCTAAGGCAACTATTACATTTCTAAGTGTCCAGAATCAATTTTGAGAAAATCAAAGGTATACAAAGGTTTAAAAATGTCTTCCCACAACTCCAGCGCGATTTCTTCATCCAGGTCGAGCGAAGCTAGGGAGGCCTCGAACTTTTGGAACCCAGGTGGACGTCTTCTCTTTAAATCTTCCAATGTCAGCACGGCTTGACTGTCATCTCCACTGCGGTTCTGATTCGTCCTTAAGTCTCTATCTTCTTGACATTCTTCTTTTTCAACCAGGTATGAATTTCCACCTTCTTCAACGACGATAAAACGGCCACTGGTCTCGTGGACAGAGGACTGCTTGTTGAGACCATTCCGCTTTTGTGAGGGTCCGAGAAATTCTTGGTCAGAAGCAATGGTGCGCATCCCGCCAGTCATGTTCTCTTTATTTTTTGATTTGAATAACTTTCTGAGAAGACTAGACATCGTTAGGTTCTTGTTTGTTCCCGAAAGTTCCTGTGCGAAAATGATTGCAAATGCCCATGTATCTAGAGGTAATTTTATCACGTGTATAATAAATGACTTTTTCCAACGAACTTTCCGCAAATGAAATACAACGTCAAGAAAAACGTGACCACGAAGACTTTTTATTGGTGCACTGAAAAAATAAAACCATCAAATTGCAAGCTCTTTTAGCCAATCACGATTTTAGACCGGTGAAAAATATCCCGATCACAGAACCACTAGATTACCAGCAGTCTAACTGTTTTGGTCTTTTTGTATTTTCTTTCCTTTTCCTTCGTTCAGAAGCTCACGCACATTATACTGTTTTGCAGCAGATTCTAAGAACGTTTCCGCCATGGATATGACAACGTGTGCTTGCAAATCTTAATGACATCTGCACGTGAAATGTTTGTAAAATTTGTCTGTCTCTGACATGGCGAGGAAGGCACACCCTTCCTGCATTTCGTGCTCTATAGATCATTACCTCATTAAAGAATCAAGATAATTTGGTTTTATCCACGGAGTTAAGAGTGCAATTTGTATACCTTGAAGAATTTTTTAAAGTTGACGTTTTGAGCGTTAGCCCTCTGCCAGGGCAAATAACAACCAGGGCAAATAACCTAAATCAGAAAATATTTGATTAAAAGAAATAGACATTCAAAACAAAAATCTAGGCAACAACATCAGGAACAGAAAAACACAAAAGCATTTATCTCTATATCCATCGCTTATCTTAGGTATTTATTAAAAATAATAAATACGAGACATCGTACGTTAGGTTTTTGTTTGTTCCCGAACGTTCAGCGCGAAAATGATTGCAAATGCCCATGTATCCTGAGATAATTTTATCACGTGTTTATGAAATGACGTTTTCCAACGAACTTTCCGCAAATGAAATGCAAAGTCAAGAAAACGTGACCACGAAGACTTTTTATTGGGGTACTGAAAAAATGAAACCATCAAATTGCAAGCTCTTCTAGCCAATCACGATTTTAGACCGATGAAAAATATCCCGATCGCGGAACCACTAGATTACCAGCAGTCTGAATGTTTTGGTCTTTTTGTATTTTCTTTCCTTTTAATTGGTTTATTTTTACTAATTAAATATATTTCTTTATTCCTTTTCTGCTCTCTCGAGATCCTTGAAACGAAAAGCGAATGCACACCGAGATATGATGAGAACTGACCCATGCAGGACAATCCTTATCTCATATGGTGAAACAGAGAATTAACTATGAAGTGTAAATTAAAGTGCTACTTAAACCCATGAATAACCCACAGGGCGTTAGCCCTAATAAAGGGAAACAGGGAACCACACGAGGCAAAGAACAAATCTTTTGACCTCGGTAGGAATCGAACCCACGACCTCCGGATTAGATCTACCGTTACTCTGCCGACTGAGCTACGAGGTCGCACAGAGAAAGTCGGGGACGATTTAGGATGGTGAATCGCGGCGAAGAGAAAGTAAGGGTACATATGAATGTTGTGCCGCGTAGCACTGGGAACACAAATGGTGAAACAGAGAATTAACTAACATTCATTCACATTCACATTCAATCCTTATCTCATGTTTTGTTTTGTACTTATCGTTCTCGAGAATACCGTACTGTCATAAGGAATGTTTTGTTATTTGAACAGCTGATGTATTCAAAACTTTTATCACAAAATGTTGCAAAAAAACAATGTATTGAAAAAAAAATTGTCATGAGGCTAAGAACCACCACTGGACAACAAACATGAACTTAGACCACGGAGCAACCCATTTAGACCTCGGAACAATCAAGGCGCAAGGATCTCTTGATAAACGTGGTCCCATGAAAGGATCTTAACGGTATCATGAACAGTAAGAGACGAACGCCTTAACCACCTAACCGTGAGCCATCATCAGAGTCAATTGACCTTGATGAGTACTCCCGCTAAGATTTGGAAATCATTAAAGCATGAATTATTCGATCCCTATGACAGCTCGTTTTAACTTTGTGCTAAAGAAACAAGTTGAAAGATAGGTCGACTTTTTTTCAAATATCCCAAACTACAAACTAAAATGGTACAAACCTCGCCAGAGGTTTTTTCAGAATCGTGCTATTGGAAGATGTTGCGGCGAATGTGTATTTTTTTTTCGTTTCTTACAAATAGGTCATATTTCCGTCCGCACTATTATTTTCGTTTTTCCGCGGGGTCCTGATCCTGTTGTACGCACGAATCTAAGAAAAAATTCATACGTCAAGTTTTTGTTAAAATAGTATTTAATGCGTCCCGTATTTAAAAGACGACAAAAAAAGAAAAAAAGACGACAAAAAAACAAAGGCATTTTATGACTGGGCTACCACAGGTATCCCAGTAACTAGACCCTGTGAGCAGGGTAACTGGGATACCTGGATGGTACTGGATCCTTGGAATCAAGTGTAGTGATACTACGGGTGTCGGATTAGTATACTGAAATAGTGAGCTCAAGTCTGGCTAAGGGCATACACCTATTTCAAAACATAGGCATGCTATGCATGCAAGAGTTATTTTTTGTAGGGTGGGTGGATTACTTGTGGTCTACATTCTTACAAAAGGAAAGAAGAGTATTAACGTGGAAAAGAACGAAAATGTCGAATTACCTCACACACAGGTATTTTGTGGTAGATTATGTGTGTTGTGCGAATAAACGTAACCAAAAATAAACTGTATTGGTGCCACAGATACCTGTTAGTACAAAATGCAGTCAGCAGACCGGATACAAAATATAGACTGGAGACTGCAGAGTGGGTACAAAATGCAGACTGAGAATCTGAAGAGTTTTTACGTCTGGTAAATAATAACATGTCATCTTACAGCTTACCGAGCGTCACGCAATCGCTTTTCCTCGATCAGCCCTCACGATTATTTGCACTATTGTGGAAAATTCCTGGCCCATTTCTTGATGAAAATCGATCATAATATTATTTCAAGCCTTCAATATAGTCTTCTTACTTTGTGCGCGAGTTGGTTTGTGTGATGTCTGTACAGATTTTACCAACGTAACAAAAGTAGATGATGTGAATAACAGTGATGGTAAAGCAAGCTTAAAACGGCAGAAATCACCAGAAACTACAATGGATGCACAATTCGCGACTCAATCCAGTCCAAAATTACCGCTCAATAACATCTTTTAGTGTGGATTGGCCGCGAACAATACGACAATATATGTGTATGCGTCTGTAAGTATTTCGAGCGTTTGCGCTATAATGCTTCAGGTGATCGTAATCAGAACACGTTGAAATACAAAACGACAGACAGAAGAGTTTTCTAAGCAAAAATCTCGTGTTCGTCATGTGACCCGGACCTGTCCGTGCATGACAACGTCAATCATCATCAAGATAACACGTGATCAGCATGTGAACACCTTCACCCTCATTGGATCACAGTTAGTTGTCATGGTGTTGAGGGCCCAATGACTACTGGGTACTATTGCGCAATTTTTCCATTTTGTGGCGGAGGAAAAAAAAAAAAAAAAAAAAGACGACAAAAAAACAAAGGCATTTTATGACTGGGCTACCACAGGTATCCCAGTAAAAAAAACAAAAAAGATGACAAAAAAACAAGGGCATTTTATGACTGGGCTACCACAGATATCCCAGTAATGATCACGTTTTGCAGGTTGCGGTTCACGCCATTTAAGTCGCCGGTTTTCGAGAGTATTCGTTGGTATTATTACGTGGTTGTTGTAATGGTAACAACGAAACCAATATGTACAAATAGAGTTACCGAGACAACCGTCCGCCAATTCGAAAAAATATTTATGTATGGAGTGAATGAGTTGCGTACAGATACTTAATGAAGGACGAGGACGTCAGAGATGGTTGAGAGATTAACGCCATTACCAGATAACCACGCTAAAGAAAGGTTTCCGTAAGAAAGTTATGATTAACACTCAGATAATCAATGGACTGAATTTCGCACCTCTTTTCTGCCTGATAGGTCGAAATTCCGGTCAAACCTTCGCAGAAAGCGCAATTTTAACGGGGACATGCATCTATGCGCGGTTGGAACAAATCGATTTACTGAGACAAACTCATCCAAGTTCGAAAAATATTTATGTTTGGAATGAATTGTTTGCAGACTTACTGACAGACAAAGACGTCAGCCTTAGATTTCTGAATTTGAATACGAGAACAATGTTGTTTGGCTAACAAGACTATGAATGATATTGAAAAACAAGCTGAAGAAATAACAATGAATTAAAAAATTTTCCAAACTCTGAAACTCACCCTCCCAAGTGATTAGTCCTTAATTAGTGCGGTTATCCATTAACGAGTTATTTGCTTAATTATGTGTTAATTTCATAGTACACGTCTTTATATTTCTTTAAATTTTTGCACGAAAGCAAACCATTTTAACCACACTAAATATACTTGCCTAATATCGAGTTTTCAACTTACATAATTACATCTCTAAGAATTTAGGATCCGTTTGCAGCAAATCAAACGTGTACAAAGGCTTGAAAATATCTTCCCATAACTTTAAAGCCACTTCTTCATTCAGCATTTGGGAATCAACTGTCTCCTGAAATTTTTTAAACCCGGGAGGATTTTTCTGCTTTAGATCTGCTAATGTCATCTTTCGCTGGACTTGGCAGTTTCCCTGATGCACTTTTTCGGTTAGCAACTGTCCCACATCACTCATCTTGTGTTCTTGTTCTTCACCGTCGGATGAAAACCTTACTCTCTTTCTGAACATGGTGAAGCTCTGTCGGCGTAAATAGCTTGACGGTTGGTTGGATTTCAATTTTTCTCCCGTGCTCGGCTGCTTGGTACGGTCATTTGATTTGGTAATCTTTTTGAGAAAAAGAGACATCATTTAGCCCGATGTTGTTTTCCGCTTGGAGTCGAGAAGGCCAGAATTTGTGGAAACCAAATGCAGTAAATCGTGTTGCTTGAACTATTTATAATGCTTACGCACGTGATCTGACGCGGGTAGCATCACGTGACTCTTAAGTGAGATGCATGGTCAACTTCAATCTTCCCTCTCGAGTGAAGAAGCGAGAGGACCCTGAGAACGAGGTTGATGCACGGCCCATGAAGGCTGGTTAGTAGCCTGCCATTTTCACCTCCGTAAGTGCTGATGAAAAATCGTACAGTTGATGATATGCCATCGAAAATATTTGTTTGACAGCCAATCACTAGGCTGGGTACTAGATTAGCCAATTGCTTGTTTTGAGTGGAATGGAATGAGTATAATTTTTTCAGTAACAGGTTCATACGTACGAATCGATTTCATTTTCAGTTCCTGCGCACTTCGTAGACAGCCTGAACACATTTTGGAAGATTATTTCTCAATCTTACGCGTGACGTGACGAAACAAAATGACGTCCACGATATATTAGCCGCTTAGGAGAGAAAATATTTGTTTGAAGTCATGACGTTTAGCGTAGTTTGTACTCTTATCGACACGTCATCACGTCATCACGTGGTCAAAACGATGTGGACTCACGAGGCGAAGCTGAGTGAAAATCGATCATCCCCGGCTTTACGTCAACATGTACTCAGTGCAATTTCACCCTTCGTAACTCGAACCTCCCGCTAACTCGAAGCAATTTTTATTTTCCTTCGGATCATTTATTGTGGCAACAGGTGACAAATCAGAAAAAAACAGTTTACTGCAGTCCAAAACATTTACGTTGTGTCACGATTTCTGCAGCAATTTAATGTTCCATTTTCACTCGACTTCTCTAGAATTAAATTTGATTAAAAAGTATATTGCACAAATAGAAAAACAGCAAACACCGTTTTCCCTTGTTTTCGGTCCTTTGTTTTCAACTCGCAAGACCTCCAACATTTTTCGATTTCCCTCGAAAGTTCGAGTTATCGAGGTTCGCCTGTTAATTTTTGGCCTTTTGTTATCTCAAATTTGTTGAGTCTTTGTTTAAAGTTTAAGACATTGAGAAGGCTTTCATTACCGCCAAACGTTGTTTTTAATTCAACACATACCTTGCACATTGGGACTCTTGCCTCTTTCAAAGAAAATGATGTTCTAGAGATGAAAAAAAAACAGTTTCCTTCCTTTTTCTTAGTTTCTGTTATGATTATGGTTCTTTTTAAATGCTTTGCCACCAAAGTCCAATTTTAGCACTATAATTCAGAATAAAACCCCACTAAAATCCCCGTTCAATATCACCGACTTAAAAAGGTTTCTATTTCTTTCATGATTGCACTAGTTTCCGCTAAGCACGTGGTATTCTGCTTTTGATCTCGCTTGACAACAGTTTCAAGATTGGCATGCGCAGAAGGGTTGGCACCAAGTTTGTTTAGACTCCCAAACAAGTCCAAAGGACCTTGGGATGCTGGTAATTTTGACAGTCCTTTTAGAACATCGTACGCAAACTTGCTATAGTGGGCAGTTGAAGAGATGATAAGAGGTCGATGAGAATTTGCAAAGCGATCCGCTACGTCTTTAGCCACTGCTGTGTGAGGATCAAAGATGTAGTTATTTTCTTCATAGGTCGATTTTATCACATCCAGACACCTCTTTTCTGTAGTCCAATCCGCTTTAAATACAGTTGACAAGTGGCTCCAAAGATCACCAGAAATCTGAAAGAAACGAAGAATATAAAAGATCTTAAGAACAAAGGTTTCCATGCAACAAAACCTGTGCTGCAAGCTGCCACTGTTTTGGTGATTGCGAGCAGGAAGAAAATATTTTGGCAACTCAGTTTACATTTGAGTCGTTAATCAGGCGGTTTGTGTTCGGCGGTCAGCGGTCACGTAGCAGGCTCGAACGTTTGAATTGCTAAGCGGAATAAAGGTCCAAAGTTAAAGTGGAAGAGATATGTGCAAACAGATTTATTATAATACTCCGCCGCCCTCTTTTATAAAAAATTGGTGGTCGGATTATTTAGTCTTCAGACATTCCATTTAACTTAAAAGAGCAACAAAAGTTATTGATGTGACTCAAATTTTATCTCTGACGACCATTTCCTGATTTTATGTTCGCAAAGGTTTACTTCATTCAATGAGCTAAAAGTTCACATCTTACTTTTGAAAAGTGTTCTGCCAAGCTCAGTAGCATCTTTCGTGATCTTCCCAATTTGAATTTTCATCTATCGCATTAATCACTTCTTCGGAAACATCGACCAAATGCAGGGCAGCCATTTTGAAATTTAGCGCTCCTGCTATAATCATCTCGCACGAGGTGAATACAGCAAGATATGACACGGTCTTGACCAGTTAGAGCGTGCGCATCCCCAATCATCGAAGCAATTATACTAATATATATTTAACATTTTGATTTGCTCTCATTACAATTCGATGTTTCGCGTTCCCTGGCAATAACATATACCTTGACGAGCAACCAAACAAACAATGGAGGGGAGGGGAGGTTGGGGAAGATAGAATGAACTGAAGTAGTTCTGAAAGTAAACTTGGCGTTTTAGTTCGTTTTCAGATCTTTTACGGTAGCTGTTGGCTTCCCAAGATCTTCGCTTTACTTATTCATTCATTCACATAGTATTTAATTTTTATTTCCATTTCCTACTCACAATACTAATTATGCCAACATGGCAATTTGTGTCAATACATAACTTGCAATACTACATCAAATAACGCTATTCGTTATCTTGTCGAAATTTTGAAACAAATTTTTTTTAAAATATAAATATTTGTATCAGTCATCGTGTGGAGTTCAAAAGCGTCAAGGGAAGTTTAATGAAGAGGAAATAAGGTCTGTTTTCGTAAAATGTGGCAAAAATTAGTCTCCAGGGTAACGAGAAGTGACGTCATACGTACAATGCGGCTAACCATGTTTACACCGAATTACAGTAACGTCATAGAAAAGAAACGCCTTCTTTTTCCTTTTATTTCTTTCAATTTTATAATCGCTGAAAATCTTGAATCAACATATGATACTCTCTATAGGTTAAAAAATAATTTTTCGGCGAAAATTCTGAGTAAACTGTTCGGCTGCTGAACAAAACGTCACATTACTTTAACATCTATTCAAAGCAATCTTTTCCTCCTTGAAAACTGCTTCGCAACGGTTTGAAAATATCCTCCCACAGCTGTAAGGCAACCTCTTCCTCTAAGTCCTGCGATCCAAGGGCAATCTCGAATTCTTTAAACCCTGAAGGACGTCTCTTTCTTAATTCCATCAGTGTTTCCTTCCTCTCAGCTGGAGGGTTTTTGTCCACGGGCGTCATCAAACCGCGTTCTGACTTCTCTTTGAGTTGAAGACTACCTTCATCTGAGCCACCTGTTCCAGCACTGATTGATTTTCCTTCAGCTTTGACAATGATGACATTTTCGCTTAGGTCGTAGCAAGGAAGTCGCCTGCCAAGACCACGGGTGAATTCTGTCGAAATGGTCACTTCGTTTGGGTGAGGAATAATCAACATGTCTCTCCTCCAGTTCTTACGATCGCTTGATTTGAACAATTTTGGCAGAAATTTGGACATCTTAAAGTAGCTGCTGTTTCTGATCTAGCGATGGCAAAGACTCAAGTGTACATGTAATAGAAAAACAAGTTTTTATAAAGCAAAACGAGCATGTGTAGATGCACGTGTCAGCGATGATTACACAACTCATAAAGATGGTTACGAATCGACATTGAAGACGCTTTTTAGCACATTCACATGGGGGAAAACGCTTTTAAAGACCAATGTGACACGTGCTGAAAAGCCTGCAAGTAAAGTGCATGGATCACATAACTATCTAGTACAAAATATTAACAAACTGAGAGAAAAGGAAAGGCGTTTTACAAGGATTTCCATCCCGTGCCGTGACAACACAATACGATATTTTTTCATGTGTGTTTGATATCGCCAATCAGCTGGTCTGGTTAATGAATGAACGGCAAAACCTTCACCATTCTTATCCATCGTTGTATGTCGAAATTTTCCCCGATTATGGCTGCTAAAACACTGAAAAATCCGTATCGCTTACAGACAGTGACGTTCACACTTCCCTAGAAGGGAAAGAAGACCGAAATATGAAAGAAAAACCGAAAGTTATGTAATTAGTGGCTTTGGTGATGGCATTTCTCGCGGCTGAGAAAGAAAATCGACAAACGGAAGATTTGCCACAAGTCGATTTTTGTCGTGTACCTTAAGGAATTCTTTTGTCGGTAAGGAAAAAATAAATAAACGAGAATTTTATTTATTGAAAATTACTCCCATATATTGTTGATTTTATAGCGATTCAACGCCTTTTTTCATCTTGAGCCTTAACGCCAACGCTCTCCACTGTTTTTATTCGGAGACTGTCGATCCTTTTACCGATTTTTCTTGTCAGCTAAGGGCTATTATTGTGTTTAGATACAAAAGAATACATGCTTTCTTTTAGATGAAGAATTTCTCTTCTCGTGTCAACTCGACATCTCACTCGTTCGCTACACTCACATACATACATATATACATAACTTTATTTAGCAAAGCAGGTCAGGAATACGCAACATACAAGCTGATGTGGACCCACTATAATTATTAATTAATGTAAAATCAAATTACTTAATATAATATAAATAAGTATCTATTTATTAAATATATATATACATATCATATAAACAATCAATACCAATAATAATAATCAGAGATTTTGTTGTAAATTTAAGAGCTTCCTTTCTCAAACTTAACATTCTTAATATCACGTTTTGACAATTTCAGTCGATTTTTTAAAAGCTCGATCGCTGCACTCACTCCTGAGCTATCGTGTTAAAAAAACTCGAAGAGAAATTCCATATCTACGCGCGCCCATGTATTATTCTCTATTTATTGGTTTTTGTCCGAGACACGGCATCAGGTTGTGACCTTATGCAAGCTGCTACAGATGTTGCATAAAACAGACATGATCCACGCGAAAGTCAAACTTATATGGATAGCCGCGCGGACTAGGGCTAGGAGGGGGATTGGTTTCTACATTGCATAAACCCCTCCCAAACCTTTGATTGGAAATGTCCATGATGACTCTCCTCGGAAATACTAAAAAAAAGTGATCGTTATGATGAATTTACTCTAGTCACATACCTGAAAATGCTTATTTTCATCCAACGATCTCATCAACCCAGACACTTCTCGTCCAGTTACATGATAAAGTAATCTTTCCAAGTTGGACGACTTCAGAATGTCGATAGATGGAGAAAGGGTCTGTTGAATCCTTCGTTTACTCATGTCGTAAGAACCAGAGTGAAAGAAGTCTGTAAGAATGTTATTTTCGTTGGAAGCGCAGATCAGATTATTGAGAGGTATTCCCATTTCCTGTACACAATAAAGAGAAACATTTATGCCTTGAATTCTAGGAGACTTTCCTCTTTCTAATCTCACAAAACAGTTCAAATCATCATTTTCATTTTCCTATTCAATGGCAAAGATAATTGTTGTGTGGTTTCTGAAGTGTGCTTCTTATTTACTAACCTTTGCATAGTAGGCAGCCAGAATATTACCAAAGTTTCCTGTTGGTACACACAAATCTGCCTCCTCACCCATGGAGATAACTCCAGATTGAACAAGATCCAAATATGCCGAGGCATGATAAACAACTTGTGGTAATAATCTTCCCCAGTTTATAGAGTTCGCCGCACTCAGTTGTACACCATACGACTCTGCTAGTTTCTTGCTAAACGACATATTGTTAAAGATCGTCTTAATTGCCGTTTGGCAGAAGTCGAAGTCGCTTTTCACTCCGATCACGCGCATATTTTGACCATCAGACGAAACCATCAGCGCCTTTTGGATCGAACTGACACCTTCCTCTGGGTAGAGAATGAGGACATCAGTATCAAAGTTCTCTTTAAAACCCTCCAGCACTGCACTACCCGTGTCTCCTGATGTGGCAACGAGAATGAGACGTTTAAGATCCTCATCAGAGGAACACGTTCGAGAGATAGCTTCGCTAAAAAACTGCGGTGTCAACTGCAAAGCCATGTCCTTAAAAGAGGCGGTAGGTCCATGGAATAGTTCTTGTAGATAGAACTGCTCGTTAAGTTTGACAACTGGGGCAACTCCTTCGTGTTGGAAATTACTGGAGTAAGCCTTGTAAATCATTTGGCGCAAACTTGACGGATGAAGTTCGCTTAGTGAAATCCATGTTTCTAGAATTCGCAAAGCTCTGTCTTGGTAGCTACAGTCTACAAGCCTTTCCCATTGACCTATAAAGTGGAAAGAAATCGAGAAATAATTGACTTTTCGTCTTGATACGATTGATCGTCGACATAATAATGGGATAGTGTTCACTTTCTCTCTTAGTATTGTTATAAGTATTAAGCATTTTTAGATTGACTGTCGATCAAACGATCGAATTCATTGAAGCGCGGGAAAACGTGGGTGACCAAGTTGGGACTGACTTTTCAGTTTTGAATCTGATTGGTTGTAAGGATAGCGCGAGTTTTGTTGACAAATCAAACGGCGATGTAAAACAAACTTAAGGAATGCTGGCTAACTTTCAATTAAAAATTACTGAATGATCTCACCTTCAGTAAAAAGTGGTATCTTTTTCTTGGGTACGTATAGTCCTCCGTCGGGCGCCAGTCCTTCTAACACCACTTGTAAAAATCCTGGACTGTCACCAGTGTCAGAGTGTTCCTGTCTTGTGCTTGTAAATCCCTGATCGATGCTTAACTCTGCCAAACTTTTCCGAACTTTGCTGGCAATTTCTTCGATGGAGTCTCCATTGGCACAGATGACACGAACATCATAGCTAGATTCGTAAAACTGTTTACGATACTGAAGAATTTCATTCATACTAATACCTAAAAAGGCAAAGATTGGACATCATAAACCACAAATATTTGAGAACAGTTGTTATTTATTGCCTGCAGGGGGGGGGTAGTTGGGATCACATAGCTTTCAGGGGGAATGAAGGGGAATCAGTCGTCGCTAACAGAGTATAATGGAAGGACCATGAAAGAGGAAGGGGGGAGGGAGGGTGTGTAATAATATGACAGAGCCCTTTCTTCTGGGGCATCAGGTAAATTTTGTTGTGACAAAATCAAAATCCTCCAAATCTCCCTTTCCCCCCCCCCCTGCCCTTCCCCTCTCCCCTGGCAACAAATAATGACTAGTCCCAAAAATTTATATCTGATTTCTTTTTTAAAATCTTTACATAACAGTTATTTAACAGAACTTGCCACTATTGACCTGATAAACATTTCAGTCAACCCACCCACCCTGTGATCAAAGCATCAATTCTCTACACTGTCTACCACACATCCATTATAACTTTCACTCTAAGAATTTAACACTAAATTACACACTACCCCCAAATTGAATTCATCTGTTACCTTCATTCTGTCCAACAATCCTGTTTACTTTCATAGCAGCCAGACGATTCAATATCTCTTCATCTGCCACATCTAAGTACACAACAGTCCCAAGTGATCTGGTGTGATCCATGGCTGTTGCATGCATTGGATTGGACCCACTCAAAGACACAACAGCATTGTTGGGAAAGAACTGCAACAATGCTTGCCCCTCTGCTTCAACAAAACCATCAGAGCCCACTTGAGACAACTAGATGTCAAAAAAGTTTAAAATTCAATTTACACCCAAGAACAAGCATACTTTTCGAGAAAATGACTATTTGTTTTATGCTTTTATACTTGTGAATACCAACAACAAAACATGGCCCTACAGTGCTCCAAGTTCAAATGTTATTGAATTTATTTCTATAGTGGATATTCTTCACAGCTGCAAGATATAATTTACCTTTTCTGCAACTGTCATTCCCCACACCTTCTCCAAGACATCATCATCAATATCAAGAACTTCTCTCTGCAAATGTCTCCCAAGGATTCTTCCAACAGAAGTTTTTCCTGCACCAGGACTTCCCATAAGAATAATATTGTCACCCTTGTGAAGTAACAGTGAAAATTGAAAATGGTTGTTTATTAGAAGCATTAAGTCAGTCTAAAATATCCTGAGGGCAGTTAGAAGGAAAAGTACAGGATGATAGGAAATAGTCGATAGTCGATAGACAAGTACCTTGACAGTCGACCGATATATCGGCCCACATGTCGACCGAGACAACCTACAGTACACATGATCCGATACAACAACAACCAAAACATCCAAACTAATTACTATTCTACTTTATCTTATATCCAGACGTTTAGTTTTTCTGGATGAAAAAACCTTAGTCAAGATACAGTAGAATACTACTTCATCCATCCATCCCCCCCGGCCTCACTAATTAAGAAAACACCAGCCTCCCAGCCCTACTCCCCCTGCCCCCCTGCCCCTTGCCCCCCCCTCCGCTAAACAGGAAAAAAAACATAAACAAAGAGCGAGTCATGGACAAAGTATTGAGCGATTTTTTTACCTTTGTCCTTCCGTCTTGCAGGAATCTTTTCTGTAAATTTACAAGATATTTCCATCTATTCCTTTCGAAGCACCACATTGAGTGATTTTCTCGATTCCGACTCGTAAAAAAACCATTTGAAGAAACAGCGCGAACAAGGAATCTATGTAAACCCATTCGTCGAAGACATAAATCGTTCGCTCGGCACTTCATTCTGTGGAACATTTTGCTGATGGGGAATAAAATCTTAGAGTTAAATCTTGCTATAACGCATCGAAAAAGTGAAAAGCAAGTCACTCAAGAGTCACGCGAATGTAACAGCTCACATCGTGTGGCCACGTGGAGAGGTTATTTTGTCTGGAATTCAGGGGTATATTTCATGTAAATTACATAGACTACAGCTTGGTTTCGTGCCGCTGGTTGTTAACGGTCGCAATGATTTGCACATGGCTTCGAACCTTCGATCAGGTTAAAGACAAAGTCTGCTGAAACTTTGAAAACCGTTTATGATGCTCTTATCCTGGGTGCTAAAGCTGATGTTCGCGAAATCTTTGTCTCATCGGGATCAAGAAAAGTAGAATGCCGTCATCTAAGAAAGACTTGAGGCAAGCCTAATAATTTCATAATGATAGTTAGCTGTTGGATACGATGTTTTTGTTCAGTTGTAGATATATAGAGTTCACCCAACTCATGGAAGCACAACAATCATTGAGATCGGGGGTAAACCCGCATATCCCAGAATTCTGGTGTAAATTGAGTGCGATATGCATGTAATCCGGCACTCAGTTTGTTGCATCATTTTGGATCACTTCGTTGAGAATGTTTACCACTTAAATAACGAATATGATGATTGTGATTGCTATAGAGGAAATTTATGGCTGTATCATGACTGGTATAGTTTATAGAATGGAGGATCTTTTCTGTACATTTCAATGTTACCTACTGCTTTATTTTTTACTCCTTGAAGCATGTACACAAACAAGGTAGGCCTCAGTGGCCTTGCCTGGGATTTCTTATTCACCCTTTTTTACTGCCCCTTCCCCCCCTACTTCCACTTCCTCCCCCCTCCTTTTCCTCCTTCCCCCTCCTTCTCTATCCTTCTCCTTCCTCTCTCTCCTTCCCCTTGTTCCCTCTCCTTTCCCTCACTGCTCCCTTGCCCCTCCTTTTTTGTCCTTCCCCGTCCTTTGTAATTCCCTGTCCTTCTTCATATTTCCCTGTCCTTCTTCGTATTTCCCTGTCCTTTCCCCTCATTTTCCATCCTTTCCCCTCCATCCCCTTCCTTCCATGTCCTTCCCCTCATTTCCTCTCCTTACCTTCCCTGCTCCCTTCCCCCAACTCTGTTCTTTCTCCTTCTTTCCCTTCTTCCCCTCCTTCCAACTACTTTCTTTCTTGTCATCTCCCTCCTTCCCCTTGTTCCCACTCTTTCCCCTCCCTGCCCCCTTTACCCTCTGTCCTTCCCCCTCCTCCCCCTTCCTTTCCCCTCCTTTCCCTCCTTCCCCCTCCTTCTTGGTCCTTCCCCCTTCTCCCTCCTTCAGACACCTTACAACCCCCCTTCTTCCTTCTTTTATCTTCTTTGTCATCTCCCTCCTTCCTCCTGTCCCCTCCTACCCCTGAGCCATTGGCAGGAATTGGTTGAATTTTTGTACTGAGTTGTCCAACCATACTCAAGTTTAGTGATGTTATTCAACAGAACCAAGCTTAGCTTGTAGTTGGTGAACTGTAGCTTACTGGCCCGATCTATTTCAGCTGATTTTCTCTATACTTTGGAAAAGGCTTTGATAATCCCTATCATTTCCCACCTGTAGATCTCAGTGTCCTGTTGGCTTTGAAGCTGTAAATCTAGATGACACCAACAACTGTCCATTGCTGGAAGATGTTGTAACTGATCATGATAACTCTTCCCTTTGGCTAATGAAAGTACCTTATGATGTAAGTATTCTCCATTCACTCTGATGAAGGGCTAACACTTGTAACATCAGCTTTGAAATTCTTTACAATGGCCAATTTAGTTGTTAATACTAAATTACCTTGTTAAACTCTCCTACCTACACAGCACCACAGTTTCTCAGAAACTTACCTCCTTTAATTCAAGTATCCAATTTAGTTTTCTTTCCCAAAATATGCTCGAATTAAGTGTCATAAAAGCCAATAGCCAAGAGCCAATAATCACCACGGCCAATCAGAACAAAGAAATATATCACAAGGAGCCTATAGGAACTGAGGATGAAAACAGGCCAGTTGCCTTTAGCACAGGAAAACACACTTAACCAATGCAAGTTGCACTTGGTTTAAGAGTATAATTTGATTGGTTGAGGAAGTAGGACAAGTTATCTGGACCAGTCACAAAGTGAAATCAAGCAAAACTTAAGAAACTCCAGATTATTTGATCTAAGACTGTTGTAATAATGACTGTGAATATATAAATTAATATCATACATGTGAACTGTGGATTAATGAATGGATAGGAGAGTGATCTTTGCAGTAATGAACACTATTTAATCTTCAAATCTTAACCTGCAGTTCTCATATATGACATTCATATTTTCTTAGTCATCACAGGTAACTTAATGATCCAACCTAATTCATTATTTCAAACTAACAAAATGACCCGCTCCCAGTTGGTATATTAGCTCAGTTGGTGAGGCATTGCACCAGTATCACAGAGGTCATGGGTTCAACTCTTGCATAGCCCTGAATTCTTTTCCAGACCTTATTTTTACTGCTGCTTCAGAAGTGTTCATTACTGCTAAGATTGCTGTTATGTTCATGTTCTAATTAAATAAGCAAATTGGCAAATCAGATAGAGAACAAATCACCAACCAGGCAATGAGAAGCACTTTAGTGTCCTGACTTACTTACTTTTAATTTCTATTTTTAGTTTAACTTGGAAAGTCTAACAGGCCAGACTGTTATTTTAAATGGATCACAACATTTATCTCTTGATGTCACACAGGTATTTACAAGGTCTGCTTGTTCTACTTGATATTCAGAAAATTAAAAGTAACTCTGTTATTTAAGTATTATGACCTATTAGTTGGTCATGCTAGGTTTTGTTTATTGTGTACCATGTATGTACTGAGATTTACAGTGTGAAGTACTATCATTCGTGTCTCTGATTGGAAGAGCAATTATTTTCACATTTTTAGCTTTGTACTTCACAGTGTAAATCGAAAAATTGCTTGAAAAGTTTTTATTCACTCATCAAGTGGCATTAAAAAACCTCACTTCTTTTGCTGCACTCACTCATTCTTTTTTTTTTGATGCATGGCAACTTGTGAATGAAAATTGTTTGTGCACACTTTCCATGATATAATCTGTGTCCCTCAAGAGTAAGTGGTTTGACCTCAGAGTTGAGATTATTGAAATGTCAGTCATTTGTACAGACAAAAGCGCTTCTTGGGACATCTCTTACCTGGATTATCAGAGTACATGTACATGATCAACTGCTGATGCTATTGAAGTGACTGTCAGAAAAAGAGGCAGCTTTTAATTATATTCATGGTTGTTCAGTGTAGCAGCTATTATAACATAGCTAGTAAATTTGTCTAATCAAATTCAATTTTACGAGCTTGCTTCATATTCCTATTGTGCACGCTCATGACGTCAGCAAACAAATCCCTTGAGAAAAAAAAATTTTCCATCGGGTTGAAAATGTTATAAAACAATTGGTTCATACGTCAGCTGTGCATTCATTGAGATATGAAGCACTTGGGAAGTTTGGAGAGCACTCAAGAAGCTAGAGTTGCCCACGGCTACACCTTGAGCAACTCTTACACATCTTTTGTGCTCTCCAAACTTCCCGCATGCTTCATATCTCGATGGATGACATATGAACCAATTGTTAATTGTTCTTTGGGGAACTGTGGGATAATAATTGGTCTGTTGTTTGTCTTAAGATTCTTACTCTCTAATAGCGTAGCAAGCAATTTGTATTTTAGGTGATATTGTACTTTCACTTTTGTAGAGTTGCTTTTCTCAACATGCACTGCAAAGTATTCAAAACTGGACAAAATTTTTCTTCAAAAATCAACTTTCACCACTGCACGTGATGAGGCACAGACTTGTTAATCCTTTAATTCCCATGAGTGACCAAACAAGAATTTCTCCTTACATTATCAATACAGTATCAAGCATAAAAGTGACAAGAATAAAAAAGAAAGCTCAATTACATGTAGGAAACTACTAGTTGATCCGATACTAAATTCTCCAAATTGACATCATAAGTATTTTATGGCAGACAGTAAGGAGAACTGCTAATGAGATCTTGGGAGTGAAAGTGTTAATTACTTGGAAATGAGTCTTAAAAGTACAAATAAGTGAGTATTATGTTTTTACATGTGAAATTTGTGTTTACAGTCTGTTTATGCATCCACAGGGCAGAGAAAAAAAAAGATATGAAATGCATTCAAGGGCAGGTAGCACCGCTGAGGTAATTATAACCATGCCACTTTAAAATTTGTTCCTTCAAGTTGGGACCAATGGTTTTCTGTTGTTTTTTTTATTATTATTTCAAATGTTTGTTAATTGTTTTATGTGATTTTTCAGCTGTCTTCTTTTACTGTATTGCTGCCATCTTCCAAGCGAAAATCTTTTTGTTCAGGTAACAATGATACTACATGTATTTAACCTTTTGCACTCTAATATCAGTTTACATATTCTCCATACTGTTCTGTATGCATTTCTTAAGGTGCTGTTAAGGAGAATTTGTTTAAAAATCAAGCGCTTCTTTTGTTGGTGATCATTTCCTTAATTCTCGTGACTGTAATGTTTGATTTAGGGGTAAGATTGTAACGAGAAATTTGAAGCCAAGCACTCTTAGGGGTGAACAGGTTAAATTATCAGACTCCCAAGACAACAAAAAATATTTCTGTCATACTGCCCAATAATAATGGCTCACTTTGCCCCTTCTCTAGTAAAAAAAAGGACTGTATTATACCTAAGAATGACAGTAATGTGTTTAAAAGCCGTTTACGACAGTTTCTATTTAAAGTATGGTAGGTTTATGACCTTTGAAATACCACCTGTTTATGGTTTGCCCTAAATTAAAGGACAAGTTTGACTTTCAATTGCCCCCCCCCCCCTTATAAATTTTTGGCTCCCTCCAAGCTTCTCCTCTCGAAAAAATCCCCCAGTTTGGAAGACATGAAAATATTCAATTCCCCCTTGGAACTATTAGAGTGATATCACTTTTTTTTCATTCAATTTGCTGATATTAGGAAACCTTTCTATTTTTAGCTGGTACATTTAGTGGACAGATGAGTGTCATTCAGTCTGTGGTAGTTCCTCCGTCCACAAAACAAGAAGTCCCAGAGTCTTCCAGGGAAAGTTCACCGAGTGAGTAGTTTTGGACTTGATCGCTATTCGGGTACCGTAACGTATTCCTTTCATGCATTACGTTGCTGCTATTTGATCCAAGCTACAATCTTCTTTTTGTTAGTCTATGGTGGTTTTCGCCTCCTAAAACTCCTAAAAGGTCGCCCCATCTAGATCTGCAATGCTTACCTCTCCTCGAATCAATGCTCCAGCAAATATTCAAAATAATTTGTCTTCAAAAGGGTAGAATTTTATCAAGTTTTTAAAGATTCTTCGGCAATGAGATACACTGTAGTTTGAAGCCTTTCGAAATTCCATCATAATTTTCGAAAGCACAGGGAATGAAAGCCTTTGAAACTCGTTCGATATACCTCAATGTCATTGGAAAGGTACGTCTTTTGGTGTCTGTAGTAAAAGTGATTGTTCATGTTCACAAAATACGTTTATTTTTCATTTAACAGAGAAAGCGAAGCGAACATCAAGCCTCGTTGCAGACGACATGGTATCAAGTTCATTTGCTAAGAAAAAGAAGAATAAAGAACAAAACCAGCTTACTGAAGAGAGTTTTCTTGAATCACCAAAACATAAAAAGGATAAACGGAATGCTGACAAAGCAGAAACACCAAATGGAGTTAGTGATAACTATAAGAAGCGCGATTCTCCGAAGAAGATAAAGGAGAAGGAGAGACATAGAGTTGATCTAACACGGTCAAGATTTGAACCGAAGGCTGAAGGAACAACAATTGGAGAACAGTGTTTAATACAATCGCCAAGGAAACGTAAGAAAGATGTTGTCGAAAAACAGGGAAACAGTGAAGATTCACCATTGACGTCAAGTAAGAAAAAGAAGAAACGCAAATCTAGTGGTACAGGAAGCCCAGAATCTGCTCTGCTTGAGGAAACTCTTCCACGATCCAAGTCGGATAAAGACAGTTGTTTAGGAATGAAGAACATGGATTCTATTGAGCACAAAAAGGATAAAAGTGGACATGAATCTGAACCCGAAAAATCGCGCAAGAAAAAGAAGCATTCAAAAATGAAAACAGGATGATTTAAGATAACAGCGGTTTGCGAGAAATACAAAAATTAAACTTGTTTCTGTTTGCTTTCAGCCGTTTCTTTTTCGGAGCAAAATTCTTTTGTATCAATGGTGAACAACCATTCCTCTTCAGGTGTTGTTGGAAGGATTATTGGAAAATTAAGGAAAAGTACTGTTCAGTTTTGCCGTTTGATGTTTCCTTAAATATTTTACTCTAACTCACTTCTTATGCGCTTTTTATTTATTAATTTTCTGCATCACCTATCAAAATGTTACGAAACTTTCTCTGTCTATAATACTTAAGGAATTCCGGTCACCAAGCTTCAGTTCCGTGAGAAAAACATTCGAGGTTTCTCCTTATGAGTAAAAATTGGCTAATATTGCTGGCAAAAGTTAATATGCTAACAATCACCGCCATCAGTGTGGACAGACTTCTCGCTTTGACCCTGGAGCTGAGTTACAGACAAGTTGTCATTGCAAGGCTAACGCGAATCCTTCTGATTACTTCATTAGTTCTAAGCGTGCCTTTCGTATTGATGGTCTTATTTTTTTTTAGAGTAATAATATATGCCATTGGTGTATTCTAACCTCAACTTTCTGTTGCGTGAAGATATATTTTACACTTCATCATTACCAGGTCAAAGTAAAGCTCTATGACAACCAAGGAAAACAGGAAGGAGTTAACCTACTGAATATGATGCGATACAAAAACGCAGTGATTGGTACTTTGTGGGTGCTAATCACTTTCTTGGCATGTTTTCTTCCGTTTATTATCGTGGTCATACTTGTCATCAATGAAAAGTTTTCGAACTGCAGATTTTTATTTTCATTTTTTTTTGGCATTTTCACTTGAGTTTTAAGTCTGAGGCTAAATCCATGTATTTATTGCTAGAAGATGAAGCATGTTTGACAAGCATTAACATGGCCAAGCAATGCTGTTGTTGTCAACGGTAGTATCCCATAAGCTCGCATGACATGGCTCTATACTTCCCCTTTAAACTGCTCCATATTTCGTCGATATTTATCAAGAGAATGTTGTTTTATCAGGTTAAGACATACCCTTCGTGATAAGTGTTCCTATTTTATTCACTTCTCTGATTCATTTACGTTCGTAAGGGAAAAAGTTTAAACCCGGTTTACATGGGATAGTAAGCCAACGTTGAGGTAAAGAAATGATCTTCTCCGTATGAGTTACAATGAAAAGGACCGCAGAAAAGAGGTCTTAAAACATTCGTGGGTTGAGAGGATTCCAGTCCTTGCTTCCCAGATTTTACCGCCTGAGCTACCGAGCCTTATGTTGAAAACGAGGCTTGTCATTATGCCTAGGGCAACATTAAATCAAAACCTTGTTAGCGTTGTTTACTTAAGGATCACGAAAGTAACATGTACCCATTGTCAATGGATATATCGTAATCTTACGTTATAAAAGTAAAGTAATAAAAAAGAGCTTGAACGTGACCCAATTTTTTTTCTGTCTTGAAACGTCCTTCTTCCTTGTACTATTCACCGTTCTTTCAAACCTTTATAGAGAATTTTATACTGTATCTCTTGATAAATATTTATTGCCAAAATACTAAACAAAAAATATTAAATTCATTCAAGATTTGCAGCACACTGATTGAAATTCAGTCAAAGTCAGACCTGATCATAACAATCAACTATACGAATACAGATCAGTTTGGCAAAAATATGTCAATAAATAATCAAAATAAATATCACTTCGTTTGAAAAAAGAGGAAGAGGAAGGAAGCTAGGTTATTAAAAAAAATGATGACAAAAAATCACATTTAGACTTAAAGCTCTCAATTTTTAACGCATGGACTAGTGATGAGTTTGGTCACCGTCATGCTGTGAGGAAGAAACATGTACATCCTAAATTTCTAAATAGAGATCTATTAAACAGCGAGATAGACCACGTCTTTCATAGATTAACATCGCTGTCAGTTAATTATTGTTTTAATTAAAATGTCTTTCCCTTGTTTGATTATTTTATCTGAAATGTTTTACTTCCGTAGTAGAGTTTGAGTTTCTTTGCAGGTGTGTGGATCAAATGACAAACGTAACTTTAATAGTTTTGATGTTTTCTGCATCATAAGATTAGCATGCTCTAGAAGGATCACTTCGTGCTTGGCCAAGGTTAGCCTTCATGCGAAAGAGGTTTTACATGAGAACTATCATAAACGTTCCACTTATCCCTTCGCAAAAGTTTGCAAAAGAGGTGGGTCCCTTGTACACTGAATAATTTAGACCGTCGGATAAACATTAACTAAGCAGGAGGAGTTGCTAAATGTTCAATATTCAAACAAGGGATGATGTAAAGAAAGGTGTTCTTGTAATTTGTCTTGTCCTGAGTGTGGGATAAAAGAAAGATTTAGCGACCCAATATAGAATTGCAACTCAGTCCTTCGAATTGCAAGCTTCGATGCTCAACCACTGAGCCACAGAAACTTCTCTGGCGAGCTACAACCAGTTGCAAAAATGTTGAGACACCTTGACCAAAAAGTCAATTTCTCTACTTCATTAGATGGCCAAGAAATATATGATTTATTGCAAAAAATCAAATGCTGGCCCCCTTCCCCGATTCATTGTTTTTCATCGAAGTTTTGTACATGATACTGCATAGCTACCAACATTGCAAAATAGGGAGTGGGAGTAATCATTGTGTTGGATTACAAGATTAACAACTATCTCTTGTAGTAGTAATATGTACTACTCATTTTGCAACCAGTTGTAAGTCTCTGTTGGTTTTATGTAAGGTATAAGGTAATTCACGCGGTATGTTATTCTTGGGCTATGAATGAAAATTGTAAAAACTTTTTAGTTTCTTCGCTTAAATTTCCAAGGAAAATGATATATTTAAAAAGCAAAAATGGATTATTTTCGACATTTATGATTCGATGATGACCCAGCTTTAAAAACTCTTAACGGTGGCCAGTTTAAGTTATCAACTCAGTTGATAAAACCCAACAATCTATTCCTAAATGTAAGAAATAGGTAAAATGATGCCATGATTCGCAAGGATCTTCTGAAGTTAAATATCATTTTTCCACCTTTTTCCTTTTTCTTTTCAATTACATGTCAGTGCAAACAAACTTTTTTCTTAACAGTGCTTTCTTAATCATTTTACCATGCTACAGACTGACAACATATATATGTGTGGCTAGGAGAGTTGGGTCTTTGGAGAGGTTATTAAAACAAGTCTTGACTGATACTGAGGAATTATTGGATAACTTTCCAGTTATATCAAAGACAAAAGATGCCGAGTTTAAACATATCCAAGGATATAAACTCGACAGATCAAGTCGTCTCTTGCAGAAGAAATCTTGAATTTTACCAAAGAATTTTCCTTGCAACTTTGAATATTCCTTCTGCCACGATTGCACTGATAGGGAATTGTCTTGTAATTTTGGCTCTCCTGAAAACGACGTCCCTTCACCCGCCTTCAAAAGTTTTCCTTGGATCACTAGCACTTACTGATTTATGTGCTAGCGTCGTTTCACAGCCCCTCTATGTCATGATTCTATTATTGCGCGGGGAATTATTTCTTTATCTGAAAATCATCACCTCCGTTAGCTTAACGTTGTTTGGAGTGGCATCACTACAGACTGTCACAGCGATCAGTGTGGACAGACTCCTCGCCTTAAAAATGATGTTGAGATATAAGCAGGCGGTAACATTAAAACGCACTTGCTTCACTGTTGTCATATTTTGGCTTGTGAGTGTTATAATTTCGATCATGGTAGCCAACTATATTACTATCTTTCACGTTATCTGTGCAGTTCTGCTGCTTTGTATGGTGACTTCCACCTTCTGTTACGCAAGAATATATAACATTCTCCGTCACCACCAGAATCAGATTCAAGTTATTCACGTACAAGCTGCTCCCTTCAGCCAAGGGAGCAGTCCCTTGATTGCAATATCACGATACAAAAAGACAGTGTCCAGCGCAATATGGGTACAGGGGGCATTTCTAGCTTGTTACAGCCCATATTTATTTGCAATTATATTTAAGCTAACTGGTACAGCAATACCATCGTTTTGTTTCTTTCGGGAACTTTCATTGTCCCTGGTGTTGTTGAACTCAAGTTTAAATCCATTCATTTATTGCTGGAAAATTGACGGTGTGAGAAAAGCTGCGAAGGACGTTATTAAATCATGGTGCTGATTTCTTATGAACTTTACTTGTCTTAAATTATATTTAAAATTCTTCTATGAAGTGGCAAAGTTGGAATTCTATCCCCTTAGAAATGTAATCCCCAAAAAACGAAAAGACAAAATCAAAAGAATTTATATTCTTTGGCACAAAACATAATTTTTAGAAACAAATCCAGTAACTGTCCAAAATTTAATACATACCGTTTAAAAATTCTTTAAAAATTCTTATGTAAATCGTCTAATTCTTAAATACAAGTTAGTGTTGAAAATGTTTTTTAATATTAGTTGCCTTTTTACGTATTAATTTGTAACACTGATGTGTAGTTTTTATCTTGTGAGCAAATAAAAATGTTGTGGCAACAATTTAAATTATGATCTACATTGTGGTAGTCAGGGTTGAAACGAAGAAATAATACATAAGCGTCCTATGTGCAGAAATTAACGTTTTGGTTTAGTCCTGATACACTTTCGTTGATGTTATCACGAGAGTCTTCGCATGAGTCTTTAAGTTTTGTTCCTAATCATTCGCTCGGTCACCGCTTCTAACGATGCGGTGGAGAGGGATGGTACCGTTTTATCACATGAACGTCAATTTTAGATAGATCTTTTCGAAAATCCATCTGGACCGGGTTGTTCAAAGCTGGGTTAAGATAACCCATAGTTACTGTAAAATCTGATTTCCGATCTAATAGCTATAAAAGAAAATTCAGTAGAATTCTTTTTGTCTAGAATATGACTCTTTGATGCTCTAAAAAGAACACAGGAAATTATCCCCAAAAGCCTTTTGAATGTAGGAATAGAGAAACCCAGATTAAAATTTTAACCTTGGGCTGGCGCTAATCAGCCTTCGAACAACTGGGCTCTGTATTAGTTAATCCGCCATAGATAATTCTTTAATACATGGCGATGGAAAAGTATAATTTAAGAAAATTGCAAATACACAAGGAGTGAAAGATCATAGCGATGACAAATGGCAAATTTAAGTAAATCCAAGTTGAATTATTCGAGAAAAGGCGATCTGAAATCAAAAAATCGAAAAATCGACCGTTTTAGCAGGAAAATATGTGATCAGTATTTCATAAAGTGCCACAACTATAAATTTCTGGGCTAGAACGACGCCGTGTACCTTAACCAAGTGAGCTCTTTGATTTTTCGCATTTCAAAATGTGAAAGATACACAAAACTCTTCACAGAACCGTCTGACGACTTCAATAAGAAAGTAATTGATAGAAATACTTTCCTAACTATTAAAATACTTTGAGTTCTAAAATAGGCGTGGATTGTTATTGACTGATTCCGTGGTGCTACGTTAAACTTCGGCTTATTGGAGATATTATAACAATATTAATTATAATGTCACGTGGGAGAGGCGGTGACCCAACGTTTAGTGCGCCGGACTCCGGACGGAAGAAGTCTGGGTTTGAGACCGAAGCAGGTCAGCGTATTGTGTTCCTGGGTAAAACACTTAACTGTACTGTCCAATGTATAAGAATAGGAGGGAGGCCTAAAAAAATGCTGAGGAAAACCTTGCCATCCATGCGAGGGTAATGATACTCCTAGACGCTTCATGATAAATAAGCTTCGTTTGGGTGAGGCATTTAGCTCGACTATGACTTTACCGTTACCCTTAAGTAAACTTTATTTAACACTCAAGCCTCAGGTCTTCTGGAAAGATAATCACTAATTGACATTCGAGTCTTTCTCAGTGCACCATTAGTCTTCCTTCCATTTTAGACAACTATTTACTTTAGTCGATGCATTACTTGAACTTTGGAGAGCTCTACTTTCTTCCGCTGAAATTGAATTTGTGACTAAGAAGTTTTTTTTTCAAATAATTAGATTTCAAGGAAACAAGAGGTAGAAAGTTATCGTATTTTGATACTTTTGCTTAAAGATTTTCAAAGCTTGATTTGAATTTTCATTTATTTGGGTTTCCATCCTGCAAAGACGTTCATTTTTACTTTTTCCTTGATGATGAATAAATTAAATTGGCTATTACTGATTTCTGACATGATGAAAAATTAATGAGGTCACTCAGGCGAAATTGCTTTAACTTGCAGTCTACGATTATTTGCTGGATGCGCTTACCTCTTTCATAAAATCCCTCGAAGACGACTAAGATAAGTCAGTAGAAAAGACTTTTGGAAAAGTCTGACCGAGTTTAAAAACAGATTTTTGACTTCGAAAGTTTTTGAAAAGGCTCCGTTATGAGGCTTCCGAGGCCCTTTGTCATTTTAAAACGTTATTGGGCTAGCCAATCTTACTTTACTCTGCATTAAGAACATTCGACAATTCCCATTTCGTTTGTTTATTTTACCGAATTAAAGCTGTGTTTTTAAACCCCAGGCTCAAATAGATTTGAAGTCTATTTGAGCTGACAACGGAAGAAAATATATATGGAAGTAAACCCCGATGAACATCTAAATCAGTTATGAAAAGCCTAGTTCACAGGATGAATTAATAAGGTGTTGTATTTCATCTTGATAAATTGATAACAAGGCTTGAAAGACCTCTAGAAAAGTGTTGATGAACCATCACGGTGAATCAGCAGAAGGCTGTGGACGAAAAAGAATTATTGGGAACATTTTTTTCATTAAGCATTTCAGAAATTAAGAGGGGTGGTTGATATCCGAAAGACATGCCAAATTTTACGAAGGTTTGTAACAGCACGAAAATTGAAGATGCTTTGTGTTGGACAGCCGATCTTGATCATCGGGGAATATTATCTTTAGTAACAAATATCCCTCTTTCAATTGTTGCATTTTTGGGGAATGCTTTTATCATTGCGGCTCTAAGAAAGGTTTCTTGCTGTCATCCACCATCGAAAGTTCTCCTCGGTGGCCTTGCGTGCACTGACTTGTGTATTGGCCTCATTACTCAGCCGTTACACGTAACATACAGGCTATGCAAGTGGTTTTCAGAACACTCAAATCATTGTGTTCATCTTCTTGACGCATCCATGTTCACGTCGGCGCTATTTGTTGGAGCATCCTTGCTGACACTTACTAAGATAAGCGTGGACAGACTTCTTGCGTTGATGATGGGTCCACGATATAGACAGGTTGTAACTTAAAGACGGGTGCAATTCTCCATCGCTTCATCTTGGTTACTAAGTGGTGGAGAAAAAATCATTTTCCGTTTAGTGTCTTATGTGTCACCAGTACTGCAATGTTACTATGTCTCATTATCTTAACATGCTGTTGCGCAAAAATTTTCAACAGACTTCGTCGCCAAGAAATGCAAGTCCATAGCCATTTTCAACAAGGACAGCAGAATACTGGGCTGGAAGCCACGCTAAATATAACTCAATACAAAAAGACGGTCTCCAGCGCACTGTGCGTACAAATTGCATTTTTGTTCTGTTACATTCCACATTTAGGTACACTTCTATTGCTACGTACCCAAGTGATTATGGAAAATGTAGGCCTACATCTTCTCTAACTTCCGAAATAGGGATATTATTTGTGTACCTCAACTCAAGTCTAAATCCATTTCTTTATTGCGGGAAGAAAAGGGCCGTGAGAAAAGAAATTAAGAGCATTATAAGACAATGGTGCTATCTCTCGTCGGTCGTATCGTTGCATTGAAAACTTTTGCATAAGTATTTGAACCTCTTTTGGCTGCTGTGAATTGATGGTGTTCATCTTGGTAGAACCATCTTGCGAAGGAAATCAGGCAACTGAAATGACTAAACTTGAGGGAGAGTTATGCTATAAAAATTGTTTTATCGCCGCCGTTAAAGAGTTTATATGAAAACATGACACCTAAAGTTTTTCGGCTTTGAAATATGTTCCACACCTTAAAATTTGGCTTCAAAATTGGAATTGAGGGGCAGAAGTTTACATGTTGCAAGATATTACTTCTGAATTAAATGTGAACAGGAAAACATTCTTCTCTCTAAGGGGTACTTAAAATACTGTTTTGTTCCCCTTTTAAGTCTTAAATGAACCGAAATAGAATTTCGAAGATGTTTCGGCTATGGAGCACAAAAAAAAGTGGGGGAGGGGCAGGGGAGGGGGTGTGGTAACTGTAACCCTGAAAAACGAAAATTTGCGGGGCATTTCTGAACAGCATCGCTTCACGTTTGAATTATATGATAAAAAAAATTTCGAAGTTAACTTTCAAAGTGAAGGAAACCATAAGGTGTAGGTTTGGCATGATAGGAAAACACCGGGTAACGAAGGAGCAATCCTAAAGAAAGGAGAATGGTAGACAGAAACACTGACAGGCTTTTGTTTAAATTTCAACAACATGTCTGAATGAAGCTACAATAGGTCAATCAACAAGGGCTAAATCTTTCTATACCGATCGTCGAGCCAAGGAAACCAACTCAAGACACAATTATAGCGGAGCTCGCAGCGCGCACGCTCAGCTAAGTGGTAGTTACTCACATAGACAACAGTAGCATTCCTTGATTTTGTTTATTACAGCTTGTCCGACATGCTCAATCTTCAGTAATCTTACATAAAATGATGTAGAATTGAGTTAGACTTGATGTTTTCAATTCCGAAATGAAGAAAAAAGCTAGGTCCCAAAGCCTGTGATGGTAAGAATAATTTCTATTAAGAGTGAAAGGAAACACGCCAGGACAGTCATTTGCACCCCAAAAGCACGAATGACTTTGTTTCTGTACCACATCATATTCAGTTGGTTTACTCCTCTCTGTTCTCCTTGCAATTGGTGAACGTGGGGTTGTACTGTGACCTGGTGATGATGAAGTGCATAATACATTTTCATGTGGCACAAAGTTAAGATTAGAATAAATAACGATACAGTTACGTTGGTGACATATATCATGAAACGAAAGTAATGAGAGACCATTGCGGAAGCCACCTGTGAAATTAACAAGAAATATTTGTGTTGGCCTTAGGGTTAGAACCTGTCTGTAGGCTCAGCCTTAAGGTCACGACGAGAAGTCTGTCCGCACCGATGGAGGTGATGATAACCAGTGACACTCCTGAAAAGAGTGGGCTGGTGGTGAAGTAACTTATTTGTGGATGAAGACCCATTTGAGACCTTTCTGAAGACAGAATATACATTACGCACATGGGTGTGTAATGAGACCAACGCGGAGAAGATCAAAAACTGAGTTCATCTGCAGATCCAACACTTTCACTCCCAAATGCTATTTTCGAGAAATTCTCGCCTTTAATTACAAGTGAGCCAACCAGTGAATAAACAGATAAAAATGTCGTGAAGAGTATATGTTATCCTGATAAAAGCACACTATGATAACTAATATGCAAATAAATATTGAGCAATTAAAGGAAAGAGCTTTGAGAAAGATCATGGGTACAAAAGGATTACAAAGCTGGCGTTTCGAGCAACATCCCTTCGTCATTCGCTCTGACGAAGGGATAACGCTCGAAACGTCAGCTTTGTAGCTCTTTACGGTGACCAATTTACGTTATCAACTAAGTTGACAAAACTAGATTATCCTGTTATACTCTCCCGCTGACGCAGCAACGCAGTTTCTTTCGAAACTTGCACCCTTTACTAGAGGGTTACCCTTGCAGAAAACAAAGGCATCGTTTCACTGTGCCTCCTACAGCTTGCCTCATATGCTTAATCTTCCAGCAATAGATAAACGGATTTAGGCTCGAGTTAAAAAAGAGGAGAGATATTGCCAAATCCCGAATGAAAAAAACCGTTGCAGTTCGAAAACTTGAGATGACAAGAATCATTATGATTGTTAACGGCAGGAAACACATTAGGAAAGTCGCTTGCACCCACAAAGCACTAACTACTGTCTTTCTGAACCGCATCACATTCAGTTGGTTAACTCTTTGTCTTCTTTTTTCTCCTTGGTGAGCGGGTGGTTGTACTGTAACCTGGTGATGACGAAGAGCATAGCATATTTTCACGTAACAGAAAGTTGAGATTAGAATACACAATAAAATAATAACAACAGTGAGATATGATGTGACATCGAAATAATGGAAGAACATCATTCCGAATGCCATGCTTATGGTCCAGAAAGAAACGAGGAGGATTCTTGTTCGCCGTACAGTTACAACTTGTCTGTATCTTAGGCCTAAGGTAACAGCGAGAAGTCTGTCCACACTAATGGCGGTGATTGTTAGCATTGACACTCCTGAAAAAAGGAAGCCGGTGGTGTTGTAACCTATTAGAAGATAAAGACCAATTGAGTGGCATTCCGGAAACAATATGCGCGCCACATACAATGGCTGTGTAATGACACCGACGCAGAGATCAGTCAAGGCAAGGCATACCAGTAAAACCTTCGATGGCAGATGAAGAGAGGAGACTCTGCGAATGGATGCAATTATGAAAGTATTCCCACAAACGGCCGTGATACAAGTAAGAATATTCCAAATTGCAAGGAATACCTTCTCTTCTTCCTTGAATAACCTTAACTTCAGTGATACTGAGGTTAAGTTTTGCATTGTGGCTTAAGCCAAAGTGTTAACTGCTATCTAAAGTTATAGTTAGTTAAGGTTGTCAATGCTGAGCTTGTATCAGTTGAGTGCGGTGTTCTGAATGTTCCAGATGGGCGCCGCCGGAGTTTGGGCGAGTATTTGACTTGTCCTGATAATTAACAATCAGAAGAGAAAAAAAGCGAAACATGATAGTTCTCTAAAATGTGTAATAAAGAAAATTGTCTAATTTCAAATTTAAAGAGAAACATTCGATGGCCGTTTTATATACCTAATGTGAACATTAAACGCTTTTGGAATTGTGAACGGCCTAATGAAATAGAAAACATAGATTATTTTTATTGAAAATTAAAGCAAAGAATGATTGGATTTGGGGTCCTAAATTTTAAATCTAAGATTTGACGCCATGGTTCACCAAAATATAATAAATCACTTTCAAAATGCTCGAGCGGTCTTGTCAAGTCACAGGCGGCCCAAGCTCCAGCTGTGAGATGATCATCTTGCGCAATAACAGTCATGGCGGAATTATAAGAGTTTGTATGGGAATATTTACGGCCGCCCTAAGGAATAAAATAATACGTCAAATTCTCAAAAAAAATACCTCACCTTACTTCTACAGCGTAACGCTTGTTATCTGACCGCTTACTTTGATGAAAAGGACGCATTTTAGCGAGTTGTCCATTTCGACGTTTTCAAAAGGCTTTTCTTATGAACGTTGAAAACCTCGAAATGAACAACTCGCTAAAATGGGCTCTTTTCATCAAAGTAAGCGGTCAGATAACAAATGATACACTGTGGAAGTAAGGTGAGGTTTTTTTTTTTTGAGAATTTGACGTATTTTGTTTATTCCTGAGGGCGGTCGTAAATATGCCCATACAAACTCTTATAATTCCGCCATGACTGTTATTGCGCAAGATGATCATGTCACAGCTGGAGCTTGGGCCGCCTATGGTCAAGTTGAAAATCATGAGTTACAAACTCAACACTTATGCATCCAACATGAAAGCGACCACACTGTAAATTAAACGGGACTGAAGCTATGAGTGAAGAGATCACACCAATTGTCACTTCTTCAACCGTTGCTTGTTAGCAAAAAATTTAGGTAAAAAAAATTTAGGGAAAAATCGCACTCACCACTGAATCACTCACAGTTCCTAGTAGCTTAGCCGTAACATTAACAAACGACCATTAGTTTCTAGTTGTTACTGAAGTTCCATAAAGCTGGATGTTTCCTGTGCCAACCGCAACAACTTGGTACGCTTGTTTCAGTCCTGCTACAGACCTCTGTGTAGCAGTGGAGCTCTATCTTAAATAATCAGGGTGAATTTAACTCGAATATTAAACATCTCTTCCTTTTTATCAATTTTTTTTGCAATCGGAAATGTATATCAATACTCGACTTCTGGATCTTGAAAGTGGCACACGACTAGGAATCAATAACGTGCAGCAATTAAGAAAACTCGAAAAAGTTATTATCTGGTTTATAGAGTCTGCCTTTCAAAGTACCGTATATTTTCTGGTTAAATATAGTCAGTAATTCTATTGAAGCGATTCATTCAAGAAAAAGTTTGATTTTTCCAAGGTTGCCAAATCTGTCCTCCGGTATTAAATGAGCTTTCGAACTTATTTTAATTTGCTTTGGACTGATGTGTATCTTTCCCACGCTCCGTTTGTAGATAAATATCTACAACAAAAATACAAAAAAAAAATCTGCAGAAAATGTCATTATGATTTGCAGCAAACTGATTAAAGTTTCAAGTTGAACTGATGACAACAATCAACTTTATGAACACTTATCAGGTATTTAGTCAAATGTGAATTGATAATCGAAACAATATCATTCCGTGTAAGAAAAGAAGGAAGAGGAAGAAATCCCGATTGGTATAAAAAAATCCATCAGCTCTGAAAAAAAGTTGTAACTTTTCAGAATGATAAGTAAAAAAATCATGTTTTGACTTGAAGCTCACACGAATTAACGCATGGAACGCCGATAGATGCGTTTTCAATCATCGTGCTAAATGTGAGACACAACTGAAATTTCATTATCTACATTTATCAAACAAATGAAGAATAACGCTTTCATAAACAAACTTTAGGCACCAGTTGACTATTGCTTTAATTAATATGTCGTTTCGTTTGTTTGATTCCTCTATTTTAAATTGTTTTATTCCTTAGTAGAGTACGAGTTTCCTTGCAGCTGTTTGGCTTTAAAGTTGATCGTCCGAAATATTGTGTAACAAGACTTTACGTTTAATTATAACCTACTCCTAAAAGATGGTTTTGAAAACTATTTGAAACGTGCAAATTTTCGCTTTTATTTTAGGTCGTTTCCTCGCACAATAGGTGTTCTGCTGTGAATCGTCGAAAAGAAAAATTATATTAAGCAACGAGACCTGCCAAAATATCATTACTCGAGTAAGGGATGAGGTGATGAACAATCCTCACCGAAAAGGTGGATCTCTATCCACCATTTTCACCGACATTGAAGTGAAAGTGTTAAACGCACCCAACGCACCCGCCTGTCGCTGTCTGTAACTCTTGACGACATAAAGATAGAAAACAATTAAGAGATTAAAGATTGTATATGTTTAAGACAACCCCTTCCCTTTTCCTACTTCTCCCGGTCTCTGGAAAGTTTTGTTTAGTTTCATTTTCTGAAGGGCTCACGTTCTTCTAACACACTAAATGTGATTAACTCAATGTCGCCAATTTATTCTTTCATCTTCATCCATAGGTGCATTTAAAGGGTGAGCGCACTAATCCGTCACTGTCTGTTGCTTTTTATGCCATAGAAATTGAAACAAAATTATCCGATCATATCGAAAGCTTCCGTGTTGGTCTTAAGATTTTTTTCCTTTTATTTCATAGTTGGTTATTATGATTCTATTGGATGCAAGCAAGGATGGTCAACTCGAATGGTTCCTGAAAGTCTGACCGCAGCACACGTAAGTGTAGTTATTTTGTCATATAGATTTTAAAGGAAAGTAAAAGCAAAGATTTTTAGCGTAAGAATTATCCTTGAAGAAAAGTCATGTAGCTAGGTCGCAAGGTAGGAATATGTGTCCAGTCCGATCGATTTACTTCTGGTTCATATACTCGCTTTGCCACTTTCGAAAGTACACCAAGGAGAACCTGATGAAAATCCTGAAAAATAACGTCTGTTTTTCTCTTAGGATTGTCATTTACTTTCCTTGTTAATCCAAATAAAGAAATTTTTATCACCAAGTGAAAAGAATCTGGGTTCGAAATAACTGAAAAGCTCTTGTCCGTCAAATATACTAAGTAATATGTTGAAAAGGGTTAAGTAGTATCATCCACTAGGTTAAGTTCCTTTTTTATTATTATTATCAGATCAATCAACATAATTGTTGTCATCATTTTAATTCTTTCTATAAAAATTTCGTATTTCAACGTACCACCTTTCCTCTCTTAAATTATCTTGGGAGATTTCTTTAAAGTGAGAAGGATTGGAGCGTCTCAAATGAATCTCAGTGAGGCAGAGAACACGCATAGCATTCGCTCTGTTTAATTATATTGTTTTGTTATAATGCTAGGTAATATCTAACCTCTTATCGTGCATGACATACAGGAAATAATGTTTGACAATGTTGAATGTTCAAATCTATCTCTGATTTTGCTGATGAATTGATGAATCTTTTTTTGTACATTGAAAAAAGCTGCAACAGATATTTATTACCTCAGAGGTATGAAAAATACACTTTGGTGTTATATTTTACAAATTGATAGTTGTTATCCAAAACCAACATGACTATGCAGCTTGTCTTTACCAATACGACTGATCTTGAGCACTTTGACTGAAATTTGTGTAGTCAGTAAATAAGTTACAAATTCGTACCAGTGATGACAGCCAGGAGGGTTTAGTACCCTTGTTTTCTAAAGACAACCTACATTTAAATCGCGACGAAGGTATTCGCAACTTTCTCTTGAATGAAACAGCCATGACGGATTTGCCGATGGATTGATCTACGTTATAAACTTCACTGTTGAAAACTTAAGTCTCAGAACACCTATTAGGTTTATCCCGAATTGAAATCAAGAGCTGGAGAGGCTGGCTGAGTAAATAAATGTCTCAACCACATGACAAAGGTAAACACCGCAACTGAAAAAAAAACAAAAAACAAAAAAAACAAAAGCAAAAAACCAATAGTTTGTGTATCGAACCCCTTCTATTCCTTAAATGAGCGCAGTGGTCTGCGTTTTATAGTACAACATTTCTCTTTTCTTTTCGTTTGCTAACATCATATTTCTTCTCCTTGCTACCTCTCCTGGAGAATTGTTGTTCAAAGTTTCTAATGTGTGTGTGTGTTTTTTTTGGCCACTTTTCAAACACTCCACGTGACTGAAGCTTTCAAATTGATCGCCACCTGTGCAAACGAAGAGATCAGAACCTTAACATACGATTGGAGTTCACAGGACAGAAAGGGTAGACGTATATGGATGTGGAATGTCCTCGTCAAACCGTTGAAAACCTACCTAATTGCAAGTTGATTTTTAAAGCTAAAGGCTGTAAAATCACTGCTGTTTCAGTCTTAAAACTGAAAGAAAACTCTTAATCGTGAACTCCTTTTTGTAGTTTGTTTCTTAACACTTCTGGACTTAGATTAGCTTTAAAAAAATATATCCTCAACTATAAAAAAATAACAATCATAACCATAATGGCAATAGTAAAGAGAAATGAAAACATCGAGAAAGGATGCAACATATACAATTCACGCAGTTATCATGCCATGGCGAGGAATCTTTGTAATTAAGAAATATCGTGAAAATTCCTCACCCAATACATATAACAATTAAAAATTGAAAGCTGATCATTTTTTTTTCAGATTTTACAGCTTTTTCCTGGAGCATCAATGTGCAAAACAAATCCATGTTTTTTTCGGTCATTATTATCACTTATTCGTTTGAACATAGTGTCATATCATTTCCATGTGGTTAGTTCCGGTTTTAAGTCACTCTTTTCAGAGCTCTGGGGTCAATATAGAGATTTAGAGGTAAATCGGATAAAGTGATAGAGAGCCATGTTCACCAATTAAAAGAAATAGTTTGCCACCGACAGATGGCCACAAATGTTTTAGCTATCACGATATTACAACATGCAATTTGTTGTAATTTGTTAAATAACACTCAACCTTTTTTTAAAACGTTGAATCTTAAAAGATTCAATACTTCAACTGACTAAGTAGTTCAGCTTTATTGTCATAATGATCTATTTTCAGAAAATTCAGGTCAGAGCTATGATTGAAGTGGATGCGGTTTATTTCAAAGCGAATCTTTAATGTTGTTGCTTGCTGCATGAATACTAATATAAAAATGCTCTTAATGGACGACACCCATGTTGGTGTCCATTTGACGTTCTAAGACAAGAGCAGCGCTAAAAGATATACTTTTCTGCAATTTTAAATTAGTGATTTTTTTTTCGGGAGGAAGGGGTTGCGGTGGATGAAATTCAAAGTTGCATCAGTAAGATTCTTTGCAGACAGAAGGCCTACACTTTGCCAAAGTAAAGGAAAGATTAAATTAGAACGCTACTTTCAGAAAAAAGCCTTGAACGTTTGGAAACTTTTATCATGCTTTTTGTATCAAGCTATTCATCTATTTACAAGCGAGGTTTATGGCCCAGTTCAGCTTTAAGCTGGTTTGAATGGGGGCCTGAAATATAGGCTGAAAATATTTGCTTTCGATGGTTTTGCCCGACACTTAGCGTGTGAAGAAACACATATGGCTAATCTTTTCCTTCACTGCTTGTTTCACTTCTCTATTTTTCCAACAATAAAGAAATGGATTTAAAGTTGAGTTAAAGAAAACCAAAGTTACGGCGACGGCCCATGCAAAGTTCAAAGATGGCGACTGTATTCCAGTGATTGCAAAAACGATAACGAGCGTTCCGTATGGAAGATAACACAATACCAATGAAACTTGGATACATAATGTGCTTGATACTGTTTTTCTGTATCGCCCCGTAAACTGTGGGCAACGGACTGAAATTCTCCTCGGTTCTCCCGGGTAGATATCACTTTTCACTTTGCTTAGAGTGCAATAAATTTTTGAGTAACAGAACGTTGATGATACTATGAAAAGCAGCATTAATATAGCAGTGATGACCAGAGGGAGAAGGAAATGGTAAAAGTACAAAATAGCAATTGCAACACCCAAGAACCAAAATGAGGTAACACAGATCTGCACTTTTCTCAAAGTTACAACTTGCCTGTATCGCACACCCAACAGAAGAGCTACGAGTCGGTCTATGCTGATCGCACTGAGTGTGGCCAGCGACACCCCTCCAAAGATTGTTGCCATGATGTGAGCGATGAGCTTTAGCACAAAACACGGAGTTGAGTGTTCCTGGGTCCACAGCAGGACAGTGAATAATGGTTGAGTCGTGAGACCCACACACAGGTCCGTGCTCGCCAGACAGCTCAGCAGTAGTTTATATGGAGGACGAAGGGTGGTCACTTCATAAAGAGCAATCATAACCAGAGCATTTCCCAAAACTGCACTTAGTGACAGTGGAACATTTACAACGGAAAACAATATCTTTTGATCTAGTCTGTTAATCCCATGGGTACAGAGTGGCTCCGGCATTGTCCCGAGGACATCTTCTTCAGTAAAGTTGAGCATTGGAGCCGACGATAATGGTCTTTCACCTATCTCTACTTTCATTTAACACAAGTAGATGACGAGTAAAGCTCTATTAAGACGTTCTTCGTTGCGCCGGTGAAAGATTCTCATGGAAATATCAAGACTTATGTGCTGATAAGAAAAAAACCAGGGATATTATGTAACTTTTATTTAAGAATGTAACCAAGCCTTTAGAGCATTTAACAGCTGCTCCCAAACAAATGTTTGAATATTAGATTCCAAATCCTAAAACTTCTGCCAATTTCTTTCGGTATCAAACGACGTAAAAAAAAAAAACGTTTAAACTCGTTTTCTCATTGTTTACTGTTTCAAACCAGTTCAAAATTAGATACACGTATTTCTGTCCTGAAAAGAACTTGACGAAACATAAGCTTCGTTAATAAATTTCGCTTTTCTTGTAATTTATTCAAAAAAGAACTAAGTAGCTAAAGAGCAGTGATTGTGTTATATCCCATTCTTATCCTGCAATGTATACACGCTGAAGAGGGAGAGGAAGCCTATCGACATAATATAGAACATGTCAAGTACTTACTAAAAATGTTCACATAGTAATCGGGTTCATCACAATTTTTTTCATCTGGGGCAACTCTTCCATTGTTAACTAGGTTTTTATCAAATTGTTGCGAGGAAAACTTAAAAATATTTCCTTGAATAAAGCATACCCTCATTCATTTTCTCTGACATTTTCGGATCTTCAGAACATAAACTTGAGATAGATGATTTGTGATATGCTTGTTGAAGATGTTCTCGTGCATAATACAAGTTCTCTCTTTTTTTTTTTGTTAAGCATTAATCTCACCTGTCAATTTGGTAAATAGACATCCGTCGGGTAAAGAGCAGTATTTGTTCTTACTCCGACAGGTAATATTACCTCTCACTTTATATCCGGAAATTATGACGTCATTCCGTTGTTGCCAATGAAAATTTCGCTAGGAAGTACTCCAATTTTGAATAAGTGTTCATTAGTTATTATTTTCATTTATTAAATTGTTTTATCTGAGCGGAAGGTGAAAACTATCCCAATTCCCAAGCGTGATCATCCGCTCTCTCGTTAATTATGAGACTAAATGAAAACCTTAATTTCTTCAGTTTTTACATTTTCAAGCAGCTTTTCAGTGATTTTAGAAGAAAAGTCGATTGGCTTCTTCTAAAGGAAAGGATAACGCAGAGAGTTTGCAAAAATAAAAGTGCACAAATACTAAGTTGAAAGTGTCATCTTCCGGCGCTCCTTATCTGTTAAGAGAGCGGTAACTATATACTTGGAAAAATATGCTCTTCGTTTCGTTTATGACTGAGTTTCTTCTCAGTTTATGACATCGGCATTTCTTAGTATCTTTCTCCCTGTCAAAGGATTCGGAGAAACATTATATTCCGGGAGAATAAGTGGCGGTAAGCGACGCAGTTTGGGTGGAAAAATAGATTTCCCAACATGACAGAGAATTCGTGAGGATGATATTTTATTTATGATGGCACAAAATTACGTAATACTCGATTGGCGATAATGTGTTTTTGCAGAAACTGCTCTTAGTGACAGTGGAATATTTTCAACGGAAAACAATATCTTTTAAGTTAGTCTGTTAATCCCATGGACACAGAATGGCTCTGGCATTGTCCCGAGGATATCTTTTTCAGTAAAGTTGAGCATTGGAGCCGACGATAATAGTTTTTCACCTATCTCTACTTTCATTGAACATAAGTGGATGACGAGTAAAGCTCTTTTAAGACGTTCTTCGTTGCGCCGGTGAAAGATTCTCATGAGAGAATTGGTAAGGATGATATGTTATTTATGATAGTACAAAATTACGTAATGCTCGATTGGTGATAATGTGTTTTTGCAGAAAAATGGAGTTAACTTCAGAATGAGCCTTTTTTAAATTCTGTCATTTTATTATTCAGTGAAGGTCCTGTAAGTTTTTTGTGTAATTCTTCATTTGGTGTTGGTCGGATGTAATTACTTTGTTGAGTAATTTTTTCTCTTGACATCTTACGGGGTGGCTGTCATGCAATTTCAAAGCTAGGAATGGACTCAACCTTATTTCAAAGCCAATATCTTATATCTTGGGGCTGCTTTTTAGATAGAACCGTTCACTTAGAACCCATTAATTTGAGGTCTTTATGAGTGGGGAGCTCGCCGCAATGAGGAGGGTCAAATGGAAGTTACGACTGAATGTGTGGTGAAAATAAAAGCTGCAAGAGTAAATGGCTGTCTTTAAGCAAAATTTTTTTTATTTTCAAGTATGTTTCATGTTTTAAACTCGCAACACATTTTACAAAACGAGTGGCAGGTATCAACAAAGATTAGTGGATCAATGTGCTGCCTTCGAATGTGTTTTTGAAATTTATTTTTCTCTGAAGCCATCACCTCCCCTTAGCGGCCAGTTTTTCCAGCACCAGGGGGGTCAATTCAGAGAGAATATTTTTCGCAGTGAAACATGGGTTAAGGGGGGGGGGGGACTGCACTCACCTCAAATGCACGTTTGGGAGGGTTGTAGCCCTTCACCCCTCTGCTCCGCATTTATGGTGGGACTACCCTTCCTCAGAGTATCCACGAAGCCACATACCTTAGAAAACATCACCCCATACTGGGACGAGAACATTTGTTTGCTACCTAATAGTCGTTTGCACTGAGGTAAAAAAAATTTTCCAAGCGAGACAAGATTTATTGTCAGCCTCTGCTTGATGAACCACACATTTCTTTCCGTAGCACTCAATGAGAATAATGCAAAGGGCAATAAAAGTAATAAATTAATAAATAAAATAAATTTCAAGTTCACATATAAGATATAACATGTTTATGCAGTATATGTATTATCTCAGTTCTATTTACAAGTTCCGTCATTCATTATTTATTATGCCTTAATAATTTTTTTTAAAACTATAGTCTATTTCGATCCTACATCAAACGCAGTTCTTTTAATTTTTGCTTTCCATAAACGTGAATTGCCTGATTATGATTTGTAAAAGTATCTACCAACATAAATTATAATGGAGTTTATTTTCCTTTACTGTCTCTCTTGGGCTTTTCCGCCACAATATGTTTAAAGTTGTATTACGCTGATGAAATGAAATCAAACTTTCAAAATTTCCATGAACGTTGAGCGAGTTGTAGCTCCCTACGGTCGAACAAAACTTTGATCCATCCAACAACTTCCAGCCAAGATATCAATTTTTTATGAACCTTGCTGTTGCAAGTTTAATATTTTTTTGTTTTTCATTGTTTCCCACATGTTGTGCGAATCAGGTTGAGAGTTTTTCGTTCGACTCCGCTAACAACATGCGACGAATAAACGTCTGATTGAAATCTTGGCTGATCGTCGTACGTCCCTTATTTTCCAACAATAAAGGACTGGATTCAAAGACGAATTTAACTGCACGAAAGATACTGTCAAATCCGAAAGAAAGGCGATGATTGGCGTATATTCCTCACTGATAGTATATATTGTCGTCATTATAACAAACGGCAGATAGCAAATCAGTATGGCGGCTTGGATCCACACTGCACTGGAAACTGTTTTCTTGTATCGTGCAATGTTCAGCAGACGGCTTCCTCGGTTTGGTACTTCTTTAAGAGGATGTTCTTGTATCTGTGTTTGGTGATGAAGAAGGACACGATAGATTTTCACGTAACAGAATGCTGATGTTGTTATGCTCGATAACATTACTATACAAGCGAGGTACATGGGAACAGCCTCCTGGTAATAGTATAATATTGCATTCGAAATGCTTGTAAACCAGGCTGCAATTACGAAGATCCACACTCGCTTCAAGGTTATGGTATGCCTATATCTTAAGCCCAGTAAGAGGGCAAGAAGTCTGTCCACACTTATTGCAGTCGATGTTTGCAAGGATACACCGCAAAATATGAAAGTTAGCATGTAAGACACATCTCCAATGTAATAACACGGAATAGAGTTATCTGGTGACATAAAATAGCTTATGTATAGAGGCTGCAATATGACCCCTACACAAACATCCGTGCTAGCGAGGCACATGAATAAAAGTTTCGATGATGGATGAAGCGAAGATACTCTTTGGAGCGCAATGATTATCAGGACATTTCCAGGAAAAGTAGTAATGGATATGAATAAATTTATGGGCAGTAGTATATATTGATGCTCACTTGTCAAGTAGGATGAACAAAGTATTTCATGGAAAGTCGAATTGTTTCCAGCCACTGAAAAATTCGCCTTCATTGTACTCGTTTTAAATTCAAATTTGATTACGCTTTTTTAAACTAAAATCCTCTGAGCTCTGATGCGTGTTTTGTCGTTTTCTCATAGAAGCCCTATTGGTTTATTTGTAGACGTTCTCTCTCCTCAATGACCGTCAGTAGAGGGTCGCTGGAAGTATCCTTTAACCTAAAAACAACATAATTTAAAACCATCATGAGTAGAGCTGACAAAAAGAATAATGATGACAATAGCATGTACAAAACAAGTAATATTTTTAAGTCTACAAAGCATGTTTCGAGACTGTGCATGTCATTCTCAGTTGCAAATGCTCGTATCACGATATGAATTTCACCTTACAAATACGCTATTGAATTTCGAGATAAGATTGCGCATACAGATTCGTAAACTATTTGACTATTTGTTTTGGTTTATCCTGAATTACTTCAAAATGCCAAAATTGCCTTACTTAGCTTCCGTTCCATTTTATTAAAATTGTTCACGAATCTGTCCCAACCTAAATAATTCCTTATCTATTTTCCTTTTTTTGTATGTCAGGACAAAATTTCTCTTGGAAAACCCATGCTATACTATGTACTCCGGTCAGCACACATGTTGTAAATTTGATTTGAATTTTTTTTCATATTTGATTGCGATGAATTATAGGTTAGAAAAACTTTTTAAACAAATGATAAATAAATAGATCATGTAATTTCGAACAAAAAGATTGTAGCGATGAAGTGTTTCAGTTCTCATTTCCAAATAAAACCATACACCTAAACTATTGAATAATTTACAGCTTTTGCGCCCCTCGAGAAGTTAAAAAATGCTAGATCTGGAAAACAGCTCGGAGAACGAACAACAAAATATTGAAATTGCTGGATCTTCTATTTTTCTGATTTTAATTTGAGTAACTACATTGTTATTAATTTCATTTATTAATTTGCTGTGGCAAAATCCACGCTCCATGAGTTGATGAAAGTTTTGTTGTGATAATATGATATAATTCGTGATAATATTTTTAACTTACTTGATTCCTCTTCGCTGTTGTGAGTACTGAGTATGATCTCGATCGAAAAATCGTGAAATCGGTGGATCTTATATTAGCGTGGACAAAGAAGCTTTCAACAGCTAGCTGCATAATCACATTATGGAAACAGCTGCTGACCAGGCCTAAATTGCTGTCATTGCCGAATCGATCCTTATGTCACGCAATGTTAGGCCCTAAACTACATCATAGGACATGGTTTTCAGTCTCCATCTATCGACAGACACACTGAAAATTTTGATTGTTTTGTAAGACAACGGAAACAGATTAAAAGAAAAACTCCGTTGTCCGCTCTAAGTGAACTCACATAACTATTACTTTATTATTGTCCTAATAAATTTCTTGAATTGCAAATGGGCGTCATTCATAAGATAACATCTATGTTTCTATTCAGATTTGCCATTTCTGTTCACAATTCAACAAGCACCATGCCAGTTGTGAAATGCTTGATTTTAACAATTCAAAATAATAACGCAAGAGACAAACCAAACTGCACGTCAGCAGTAACTTCATGTCAATAATAACTCACTTTAATTTCGATTTTGTTGGTGAATTGAGTATATTGGCAGGAAACGACTGACAAGACGACTAATTCATGCTGTCATGTTTCGTTTCTTTGTATATACGTGACTTATTGGCTCTTAATTGTCCCTTGATAACCTTTTTTTTTAACAATTCACCGCTTTAGGGAGCCATTTACCGGTGTGTCTTTCGAGCGTGTTGGTAACCAATTGCAAATCAATAGCCCTGAGATATCTATCTGGTGACTAAATAAGATATGGGTTTAAATTTTTTCAACACAATATAGTGTACACTGAAAACATGCGCAAATGTCGTGAAATGATAAAATTTTTGTTTTTACCATTCCTTGATATATACAATTTTGTGATTTAAACGAAAATAAAAAAATAATAAATTAAGGTATAAATGAAAATGGACAATAAAATGATTGAGAAAGCTTTGCAGCCGCAAAATGTCTTTTTAATCATAAGGGATTCAGTCGAAATAAAGGTACTTTGCATTATTTCTTGTTGTGAAAGTCACTTATTGCACTTAGCACAATAATCAGGGTTTTTCGATGAAGATCACGTCTGCATAATGAATATAACATTTGCTCAGTTTACAATCGTTTTCCTATCAAGCAGAGATCTAGCTTTTATGATAAGAGTATTTGTTTTTGTAAGATATTTGTTCACCTGTAATTACAGATCCAGTCACGCCAATAATGATTCTAGTTATAAAATTTTGGTGAAAAATTACTTACTGTTGCTTCCCATGAAAATCCACCTCACCAGAGTATGAAACACAAAGAAGAAGTCAGTCAGAGCAAACGTTTACCGAGGTGAATTCACAGTCAAAATAAGGCCATTTAAATAATGACTTCCTCAATAAACATGGACAATGCTTGTTTTTGTCGCACATTAATTGCCTGTAATGTAAATTTCTTACTTATTTCCCCCTGTAGAAGCTCTCACGGCACGAAATACGTCTTATGCTTGGGAGGAATGCTTATTTCTCAATATAAAATGACCTACTTCACTTCTCTTTTTTTTCACTGGAAAATTATAAAAATCATGATTATCAATCGATATAAAATCTATCTTTGGATAGAACTTTAGTCTTTATTTGTGTGGGACCTTCTCCTCCACCCATTTGTAACGCAGGATCCTTGAAACACAAACATAGATCTTCCTACTGGGAATCGCGGCAGTCGCCTCTTTGACCCTGGTTTGATCGCTAAAATTAAGAGCGTGTACGGAATCTAATTCATCCACAATATTTTGGTTTTATCAAGGATGTTGATGATGTAAATTGGCCTCCGTTAAAAGATTCTAAAGCTGACGTTTTTGAGCGTTAGTCCTTCGTCAGAGCGAATGACGAAGACGGTTAGAAATTAAAAACGGTTTAGAAATTCTTGCGGTGGCCAATTTACATTATCAACTCAGTTGATAATTACAAATCATCTTGTAATATTCCCCCCTGACACAGCACTACAATTTCTTTAGAAATTTACACCCTTCATACATTTTACGAATTTACCTAAGCCTTTCTATCGAAGATGACGTTATTCAACGTATGTTCTTGTTACTTCTGGGGGCTGAATGATCGCGACTCGAGAAGTGTACATGTGCATCGGACACATTTGATCAAAAAAACTTAAAATAACGCCTTTCCATTTTTTCCATTGCTGAAAACTATTATTTAGTTTCCTTTAATGGTATTTCAAGTTAATAAAAGTAAGCCATTAAGTACAACCTTGATCAGAAATCAAGAAATCATCGAGTAGGTTCTTCCAGTTCACCTTTCTTTCGGAGCATCAGTAAATCTTTCTCGCTGAATAAATCGGTTTTTTTTTGTTGTCATCGTATTGGCCAAGATTTGGGTAATTTTTCCACAATATAATCCGACAGAAAATGTCTCTGACCTGGAATACAATGGCGTCTTGAAAGCATCGTGGTTATTTTTCCAACGCTTTTTGTTCGCTTTATGGTAAATATGTCTCAATTCTTCCCTGTAAAATGCTTTGCGGACAAGCATTTGCTCTGTGAAAAATGACTTAAAAGCTATTTACATGCAAATTATGATATATGTATATATGTGTTAAATTGATAGCTGTCGTCAATTGCCTTAACAAGTACTCAAAAATGCTCTACTGGTTGTCATCCTCGACTTTAGTTGCACCGTGACTTTCTCTGAAGAGAACTGATTGCATTTATTTAACTTAACTCCTTATGCCGCGGAAACAAGAGAAGGCGAAAAAGTTGAAAAGCAAGGGAATTGAAGAACAAACCAACAGCTAAATTATCATCTTGGTTTTACTACAGAACTGCCGATCATACTTATTGTGGTAATTTGGGCAATTTACAAGTAGTCAAAATTTGCAGGCGCATACCAATTTCTTTTCCTTTTTTTTTTGGAAATATCTTCAATTCATTCTCTTACGTTATAACATTTGCACAATTAACCGTTGCATTCTTTGAAAGGAAGCGATTTTAAAAGGATAAAGGCAAACAAGAGTAAATTACATTAATCAACAAAACTTTAGCAGCAGAGGAATTGCTTGAGTGAGTTTATCGCTATTCGTCTTACTTCCTTAATTTTCCAGCAATACAATAATGGATTCAGAGAAGAATTCAACTGAACAAGAGTTATTGCTAGATCCGCGGCTAAGGCAAGAACAGGTGAGTGTATGCCAGAGGAGTAAGCTGTGAAGATAATTACGACGAATGGTAGATAACATGCTACCAGCACTGCCGATACCCAGAGCGCACTGGACACCGTCTTTCTGTATCGCGCAATATTGATTGGAATAACTCTTCTATTGGGCTGCTGGAGATGTAGCCGTTGTTGTACTTGCGTTTGATGGTAGCGAAGTGCGCGGTAGATTTTTACGTAACTAAACACTGACGTTGATACGCACAAAAACACAGCTGCAGTGGTTGTATATGCAAAGACATCACTTTCGTATATATATATGACTGCATTGCCACAGCTAACAAGCCAAGAAATAAATACGAAGGCCCAGATCAGCTCCTTTGTTATATAATGCCTGTATAAAATGATCCCGTAAAAAAAAAAATCAAAAATTATTAATTAGAAGTTGATAAGCTCTATTTTCTACTTTTTCCTAAACTAAAGGACAACTTGGTTCGTCAGCTGGTAATGTTTGCTTCAACGTTTTAGGCGTCAAGTTCGGAAAGCTAAAACGCAGGTGTAAAATTATATAAATATACCTTTCGTGTCTCTTCCATCGAAAAAAAAATACGAAATATTT